CATGTTATTGTGTACATAGACACGCGGTGTTACTTAACAATGCCTTATATGTATATAGAGTCTTCAAAGAAATGGGTTAAACGCTCGGATATATATATATATAAACTAAATATTACGTTTGAGAGCAAAGGGAAGGACGTATGACGCTAAATGGTAGGATCGTCTACCTGAGCGACTATAAGGGCGATGTTCATTCGCTGGATTGGGTCTATGGATGTAGAAATACCATTCACTACACAGATCTCACATAAAATATCTAGTTGCTAGTACCTACTTATTAGATAGGAAAATATTGAATTTCATCAAGAAATGAACTCGTTTTCACATTTTTTAATTACAATTAAAATATACGCGTATTGTATTGCAATGATTTAAGGGGGAGGACGACCGAGCTAATTCATCCTATCTTAGCACTTGAGATATGTAAATAGTAAATTCCTAGGTAAGCTCACAGCTAATTGCTTCAGGTGAACCAATTCTCGTATTAACCCGTAGCATGTAGATACGGTTTAGGCATTAGGTGATGTAGGCCAAGTCTTGTAGGCCGTCTAGTACCTACCTAGGAAAGTAAGCCGGACTGGCTCACGCCACAATTACATACATACATAGTACGGCTGGAGGCTTGTTAAATAAATGCTTAGTAGCGATTAGAAGGCAGCGACTTTCTTTGGGGGCTGTGTTGGAACTTGTAACAATGTTCCCCGGAGGCCTAGAGGAGCAGGGGATGCTGCTTTTGTTGGTTTGAGGTTTCGATTGATTCTGTATGTACAATAGTAGCGTAGTCAAGTAGAAATGTCCTAAGATCCCCCTGGAGGAATACATTCATTTCCGAATGTTCACATAGCTGTCAGATCGGGGCACGGCTGATGTGGAGATGAGATGAATTCGGAACGCGGAAATGAAGCATAAGAGACAATAGATAAAACTCACAAAACTGTTACACTGGCATCTGTGATCTAATCTGGCCTGCTAGGTGCTGTTAGATGCCGGTGACTTATATACATCCCGGGCTTCACATCCGGACCATGTGCTCAATAGATATGCGATCGCGGCTTGGTTAGCACACGCCAATTCCCACGTCCATGTAAGCGTAAGATTGCGATTCGGTTTAGTCAGGAACGAGATGCGTGCTAATGTAATAGGTGCAGCGAACTACTGCAGTAAGAGACCAAGCCTCTCATCTTACCACCCACCATCACCAAGCTGTGAACTCTAGCAGCTCACAAGTAACGTGGCGATTGCGTAAGGGAGCTACGAAAGACGCGGTAGCAATGCCTACACTCCTTACATCAGCTATTTGCAAACATAATATATGTATACAGGTAAGTGGTGAAATGCGAATATGCTCGTCTTACTACGGCGACTTTGTACCGAAACAAGGTGAGACGATGAGATCGAGTTATCGTGACCTGCACCTCTCGGGAAACGAAACGCCTCGGCGAAAAAAAGGGAAACATCTTCGCATCGCATCGCATCGCATCATGTCGATCCTTTTTGGAAAAGCTACGGAGATCTAGCAGGAGCTTATAATTCCGTTCCTGGGCTAGGCGGAAAGATCGCCGTAAGAGCTATCGTAGGAAGAAAGGATGAGCAAAGAAAAATGCTGCGGTAAGCTGGCGGCTAGATCTTCCGCGATGGCTTTCGATAGTCAGGAACGTGCGGACCCGGGAAAAAATCCCACGAACGAGCTGGAGCCAATAGGTACATACAAGTACGAAGTAAGCAACCATTTTTTCATTTGGGGGATCGAGCCACGCTGCCACGAGAACTTGGACTGCGTGGCGCGCGCGCGAGATGCAGGTACACAACCTTTGAACCGGAATACCGCACGGCCGGGCGTAGACAAAAAAGCATGCCCGAATGTGCCCCGTAAGCCACGCGAATAGCTGGCGAAAGACAATCAAGCTTCCAAATTTGGTCCGGCTCTTGCATTGCAGATTGCCTACCCAGCCTACCTACCAAATATCGAGTGTTAATATCACTCCGCATCATGATCATGATCCAATAAACGAGACTGGCGGAGTTTTGTATTGCGAAGAAATCTAGATTGCAGACGCCTCTATGCCTCTCCTCTTTTCTGTCTCCCTTCATTTTATTAAATATTGGAGTACTGGAGTATCGTACCAATATATGCCATTGCTTGTTTAGTGGTCGAATCATAAAAGATCCGAATTATCCACAATTCGCGCGAACGTGTTTCCAAGATTCGCGCCATTCACCACGGTCCAAGATTTTGGAGATCCACCGTTCACCGATATTCGAGGCGAATGGTCGAACTAAAAACGGACATTTCTCGTGTTCGACCTCTAAACCTTTAGCTATGGGACGAAACATGAGCAAGGGGATGCTAATATGTTAGGTAGGTGGTTATCGTAGCAGACTGTAGTAGTAGACTGTAGTTTAGACGATGACCCTCCTGTAAACAAGAGGAATACGGATATTCTGGGTAGGATGAATACCTACCTGAGCTAATTGCTTGACCTACCTGATACCGATACCTCAAAGAGATGAGATGCCGACAGGCGTATGCTTAGCCCCGGTTAGCTCTGTGATCTGCTACTTAGGTCCTATTGCCTGCATAAAGTCAAGCTATGATTCCTTATTGCGATTTGCATATCTTGTCCCGTTTTGGCTGGCGGGGAGATATGAATCTGACCCAGGCAGCCCAGGTTCCGATTTGAAGCAGTCAGAGCTGTTCGATGATACAGGGGTGAGAGAGGGTGTTACTATGGTAGTAACGGATGCTAGGAGGGATGCTGGGATGAGGTGGTAAAGTGAAAGAGAATTGCCGCGTGTGCATCTTCTTCCGAAACAATTGACTTTCCAGAAGGGTTGGCTTTTTGCTTTTGACAGCTCAGACAGCCTTCAGCTTAATCTTAAATCTTTATTTTATTTATGGTTATAGTTATGGTTTATGGTTAGGGCTCGGATCACCTAAACTGAACTCAATTCAGAGTTTGACGGCCCGCGGATATAGTTACCGTACTAACGGTACATATATGTAGATAAGTGCTATTGTAGTACTAGGTACTGATCAATTGATGGATGTATCTGGAAGCGACAGTGACAGTAGACTAATAAGAGGAATATGACTCTTTACTAACATGTTTCGACCCGATGAAACGGTTCATTCGCCGACTTACTACAACATGATCCTCCAGTTGCTAGAATGCGAAAATTTTTTTTCTTCCCGTTTCGAAACCAGCTGCATAGAAATTCGCACCGAACAAGCAGATCTCAATCGGCCAAGATGCCGGCGTTGTTTGCTCGCTCCGATTGTGAACGTGGAGATGCGAAATACCCGCTGAACAAGCGATGAAGAAATTCAACATCCACCAAAATGGTGCAATGGCGCATGAGTCCAGCGCCAGCGCGAAGTTCAAGGAAATTAGCAAATTGCCTGAGGTAGCAATAGGGCGCAGCATCTTTGAGAGCCAATTGGATGGGACCTGGGCCGCTATTTCTAGGAGAACCGAACCAATTAACGGCTTGTTAATATGCCGGGGTTGGACGCCATCAAGAACTTGATCTTATTACGCGTCGATATCTCGGTTGACTTTGGTTTCCTTGTACTGGACACTTCCCACTTTGCGGGCCGATAGCGCCATTTTTCAAGTATCTTTAGATGGGACCTGGGGTACTTCATCATAGGCGACCCGTCCTGTCCGTTGTAAGGTCATAGCCACCCCTCCCATCAATCACGCCAGTATCAAGGCTGGACATATTAACTTGCATTTGTGCTGCAGCAAGCACGGGAATCTCTACCTACAGCACTATGTAGGTGTCGTAGTGCACTTGCAGCGAGTTGCAGCAGCGAGTTGCACTTCATCCAACCCGTCCGTCTGCACGTTGGTACGGACGTCGTAGCCTCGATATTATTCAAATGTTCCAAGCTCTATGTATGTTAGTAGCAACTAAACCGTATTTGGAAGCCGGGAGTTGAATAGCGAGAACAACAAGAAGAATTAGAATAGAATACCCGCAGCGCCGCACACAACTTGGAAGGTATCCAAGTATCTATCTGTATTAGCGTTGCCTGCTCAGTGCTATCGTATCAGTTGCACAACACAACACTAAAAAAGATGGGACGAATCCTAAAGGAAAAAGAAGCAAAAAAAAGGAGAAATGATCAAATGAGCAAGATAGTTGTTTGTATGTCTAGGTCGATTCGTGAATTATCCTTTGAGCATTCCGTACAACACTCCCTTATCTAACCTCCCTTTTTCATATTCTTCCCTTTCATACCAAGGAAACAAGATGAAATCATAGAGACAATGCATTTGATGCAGCTCTACAGCCTAACAGCCTACATAGAAATTATTAGCGCCTCGAGCTGGTAAACTAGGCGTTTAAACCGTTTAAAGGCTTCTTGAAAAAAAAAGTCGGCCCTGGCACTATTTCCTAAATAAGAGAGCGCGATATTGGTCCCCACTAAGGCTAAGCTATTTAGGGAATAGTCTCACGTAATTAGCCATCCCACCCCACCCCCTTCACTAGACCCCTTGTTCTTCTCCCCTGATCAATGAGCAGACTGATCAATAACGAAGGCACCCCTGGGTTTTAGTGTCTTGGCATCCTGGGTCCCGACTCTCTCTTTCACACTTTCCCTCTCACGTTTCCTCTCGCTGTTTCTCATTTACCCCCTTCGACCTGCCCTCCGCCTTACCCTCCACGTCCCTCTTCCCGTCCTTCGCTCTCTTTTCCCTTTCGCCGACCTCGTAAGGCTTACCTTTCGACGACAATATTTCCCCCCTTCGGCGCGCCGGCCATCCATTGACTTTGGAGTCTTGACCCTCCTAAAATTGACGACTGCTCGTTAGTCGACGGTTTAAGCGTGTCGAGACCAATGCATCGCTGAGAGAATCGCCCGTGCGATACGTCGTGAACGCCATACAACATAACGTTAAATTATTATTGATTTCAGCTGACGATTTATTCGTCGCGCCACTCTTTTGAAAAGATTAACATCACATAAACAAAATATTTTGCTTGTTAAACAAGGTGAGTTCTGAGTCTATTGCGCTGACGAAGCCGTTTTCCTAAGAGACGTGGAGCGATGGGGCGGAGTTTCTTCAGGCAGCTTGAGGATCTACCGTGGATCGTTAATGCGTTGTTGATGCCACTGCAGACGTGATCGAAAAAGACACTGACCTTGTTTTTCTCTTTTAGCATCCACTCGTTGACATACATTGTCAAGTACATTCGTTCTAAATTATCCTGACATAGTAAGTGGCCAGGTCAGAGCTCCATCGCTCGCCAGCGACATTAACGTCCCCCCGTTAGCCACGATTTTACGCTGCAGTCGATACTCGAACCTAGCCGTTGCAACAGCCATCTAGCGATTGATTTATCTGGGACGAATTGGATTTTAATTTGAGTCATCATGCATTCTACTTCATTATTCGTCGCTGCCTTAGTGGCCGCCGCCTCGTTGGCTACCGCAGAAACTGAAAATAGACCGAAGATCTATTTCCCACGACATGTAAAGAGGCAGTACACTAATCACACGATTACGAGTTCGGCATCGAGGAGTATCCAAAGCGATACGGTGGATTCAACGACTCATTCCGAGACTAAGAAGGACTCAATATCCGATCTCTTGTCTAGCCTCCTTTCAGGGATCGATCCCAGCGAATCGACGACAACGACTTCGTCGGACGTTACCAGCGCAAGCTCCTCGATCAGCGCATCTTCAACATCCGAATCCGAATCCGAGTCTCAAGGGACAGCGACGACATCTGATGCATCTAGCTCAGCTAGCACATCTGGCTCATCTGGTAGTGTTGGGTCCACCGGAGGAGTGCCTCCGCTAATCTCCTTGCCAACGCTCAGCTTGGATCTTCCGTCTCTATTGCCCACTTCGGATGCAGAGACGGCATCTGTCTCTGCCAACTCAACCGTCTCCGCGACTGGAACTGCTACGGGGACTACTGCTGAAGTTTCGACAACGGGAGAGGCTACCAATGGCACTGCCATCGAGACTGCAAGCGACTCTACGGCCGTACCCTCCACGACTGTACCTTCTTCGTCTTCAGGCATTTTAATTGCCCCCACGGGCGTTGTGACCCAGAGTTCAACCAGCTCAAGCGGTGGATTACTCGGTGGTGTGACTAGTCTTGTTGGTGGAGTTACGAGTGCAGTGGGAGGTGTTACGAGCGCTGTTCTCCCGACGGCCTCGGCCTCGGCCAATGCAACGGAATCGAGCACGGAATTAGGCACCGATGCCTCCAGTGCAATTACCACCAGTTCGGACGGTGGATTGTTGCCATCTCTGTCTCTGTTGCCCTCAAGCCTCAGTCTTTTCCCGACTACCACATTCCCTGGCACTGCTCCGACTGCGTCGTCTACCTCAAGCTCTACAGCGCCTCTCCTCTCGCTGCCACCTCTCCTGGGCACTGGATCATCGTCAAGCTCTGCGTCAAGTTTTGCGACGACAAGCTCTGAGACGCCACTGATATCGCTACCACCTCTATTCGGTACCGGTTCGTCGTCGATAGCAATTCCGACATCGATCGCTAATACCACGGATTCAACTATCCTCCCTACCGTTCTGCCCACAGAGTCCCTCAGTCTTAGCTTGCCTTTGCCCACGCCCACTGTGATTCCCAGCAACACTACTACGTCATCGGTTGAGCCTGTCACCACTCCGGTCACTTCGCCAACTGTTCCACTTAATACTACCACCTCGGCAACGGAAGTCCCTATTACGCAGTCCTCGTCCTCAAGCGTTGTCACGGTCCCTCTTAACACAACCACTCCCTTGACCTCCTCTGCTGAACGTACGACTGTTCAACCCACCAGCACTTCGTCGTCGACGGTCTACTCAACGAGTGTTGCCCCCTCAACCACATCCTCGTCTACGACTGCACCCATATTCACGAGTATTCCTGTGATTGGCACAATTACTGATTCCCAGTCTTGGCTCCCCACTACGATTATTGTCCAGCCCTCTACCAGCACCTTCAGCACAACTGGACAACCTACGGCGACAGGAATTCCGACAAGCCTGCCCAAGGCTATTACACCATGGACGGCATCTCCTGCTCAACCCCCAGACACGACTCTTATCCAGATTTCGTTCCTCTTTGGCGAGAACTATCAGCATCTAGTGGATGAGCCTCTGGCCGCTTCTCAGATGTTCAATCTCCTTCCACAGGGACTTGCGTACGGCGGTGGCTATGACGTAGGGAGAATTCAAATGTACAGCATTAAGCCTTACGATACCATCTCTCGTTTAGGTTACATTACTTCTCAAGCCATGGTATGGTATCCCACGGATGGAGTTTCCAAGCTTAGCCAAGATATCGGGTACCCGACGACCGCTCTCTACAACAGCCCTGACTCTCTAGTACGCAACTTGACCAGCCAGATCAACCCCGCTATCGGTATCATGCCTGGTTCTACACTAGATGGTGCTACCGGTTCTACTGGAGGCAGTGGATCAGACCCGTCTGACACTGGTTCCGCCAATAACGACCCGTTCGACACCCAGGGTCCGGGAGAGCAGACAACTAGCGCGCAACAGGGCGTCACAGCTGGTATCGCCGTTGGTGCGGCTAGCGTTGCTGGTGCTTATGGCGCCGCCATGTTTATCATCGCCCGCCGCTACAAGCGCAAGAAGCAGAGACACCAGAGGAGCAGCTCCATCAACTCGCCCTCCGAGATGCGTCAAGCTGGAAGCCCGGCTCTGATGGGTGGTGCGTTACTGAGTCGGGATTTTACGAGCAACCCTGGTTACGGTGGAGTTGTAGGAAATACGCGCGATAGTCAAGGAAGTGGGAGGAGTGGAATGAACAGCTCAGCACGCACCGCTAACATTTCGGCGCCAGTCGCAGCTGAGAACTCTCTTGGCTGGAACTGAGCGAACGTATACGACCTGCACGTCACATCCGTTTCATTTTAGTTATAGTTCGATACCCATCCAGAAGGCGTTGCCTGTTTTGAACAGAAGCCACTGTGGGCGGCCTGCCTAAGGAATTGCGACCCTTTGTGAGCATTCGCTCAGGTATTCTTGTGATTTACATTCTAAGACGGTCGGTTTATCAATGGGATATTTGAGTCTGCCACCGGAAAAAATAGTTACGAATCCTCGGCATCTAAAAAGATTTAAGCCCACCTTTTGCTGGCCTGGATCTGATGACCAGGTACTTTAATCTAATGCGTTTGCGTTTACATTTGAGAATGGGGGGTTGGAGAGAAGGGAAAGGTGTTCTTGCGTGCCGGATTGGAGTAGCGGCTGAAAGGGAGGAATCGGAATGTGTCGAAAAATGGACTCTAGAGGACCCGGCGGGGAAGATGACTGACCGCGGATACTTGTACATTTATGACTGTCACGCCTGTCCCGAATATGAACGTCTGGTTCGGAAGCCCGGTGTTTGAATGGAGAAGAAGAGTAAGAAGAACGACGTTGTGAAAGAAAGAGATAGTCGTTTCAAAACCGGCAGCGGTCCTCTAGAGCCCATTGTGTTTAATGGTTGTGATATATACCATGAATAGACGAAAAAAAGACAATATTAAAAATGTTCTCTTGAACGACCGGCTGACAGAGGGTTTCCGCATAATACTGTCTCAGGGGTAGGCTGGCTAGTGGTAATTTATCCTGAGACATTGGGAGGGGCCAGTTGGTGGGATCCTTTAATATGGATGCTTATTCATATCGGGACTTCGCTACCGATAGAATACGGCATCTCTTTTCCAATTCTATATTGTATTAATTGATTATTCAATCCTATTTATGTATATAGTGCCTATTTTTCTTCTGTGTATTACCTTCGTAGGCACAATGTTGTGTTATGTAAGTGAGCTAACATTCTACTTCAGTTGCTGCGGTCATCCCTTTCCTACCTTCGACTGGTAGACAATGTCGAAGATCCTCGGACCGAATGAAGCACTTACCTCAACTAGCCTTCCTAGGCGAGGGAGGTAATACAGAATCTGTTTTCTGTACTAGGTATCCTGATAGGCATTTAGAGTTTGGCTACTCGTTCCCTAAATTGACCGTCAACTGTTAGTGATGATAGTCTCACGACGGCCTCCACTTTAGCCTTGTGACTAGGACATAGGTCCTACTTCAAACAAGCGGACAGCACCCTCTTCAAGATGCACATGTGCGAGGGATTGGGCCTTGACTCTTGAGAGTGGAAGCTCTTGCCGGATCGCAAGACTTAGAACGTGGATCAATCGAGTATGTCTTGTATCATCTATCGCATAACCTGGCTGCCTTGTTTTTTGTTGCTGTTGTCTCTGAATACCTATGCAAGTGCTGTATCGAAATCAAGATAATCGTTAGTACCTTTTTATTTTACCTATTTTAACAAAGATATTTAATATCGCCCCTCAACCTAAGAATGACGTATTCCTCTCTCATTAGTCCTTTATTGACATATCTTCATGTAATTATCCGACTATTATAATGATCTCTAAAGCTAGAACGTAGTTGCTCCTTAGAGGTAGGTAGGTAGTAGTTTACGTACCGGTAAATCATCGGGGCTAGCTGCTGTAAGTTTAGCAACTACGGCCTTATTAGTAAGTACCTACCTACAGGATAGATTGCTCCGTAGTAGCGAGATTACGAGATTACGGGATCGATTACTAGCAACGACGCGAGTAATCGTCAACTTCGCTTTTTTCTCCTCAATCTCCCAACGAGAATTGAAACAAAGTATCGCAGAATAACGTGACCCGCTCTCTTTTTTATCCAAATTATTAATCATCATTGATTATTGACTGTGCATCGTCTATCGCACAGTCAAAAGCGCATTTTACCCTCGTTTCTCCTACAGTACTTTATGCAACAAGAGCTTTTTGAGGTCTCAAAACATATTCTACCAGACAGCGCCCCTCAACCTCACCAAACCGTTCAACATGGCCTTCAGCACCATGGTTTCAATGGCTCAGCCCGCCGTTCTCTGCTGCAACAGCTGTCCGACGGAATGTCACCGCGTTCAGAGCGAGGAGACAGCGCCATTGACGATGGCGAAGGAGTTGTCAATCTGGACACCCTCCACGAACGATTGCGCCGATTGAACGACGTCCACGAGGAGCCAAATGCGACACAAACCATAGCTCCAGGTCAGCGTATATCTGAATATGAAAATGCATTGACACCGGCAGTACCTAGACAAGCTTTAGGCTTCAAGGTTATTAAACGCGCAGACACGCGTTCCGACGGAGTTCAGCTGTCTGATATGCCAAATGGTATATATCCTTCCGACGTATATTATCAATGAAAAAACTATTCTAACTATATCGTAGAGATTCTGACGCATATTCTATCCCACTTGCATCCAGATTCCCATGCTGCTGTTTCTCTGGTGTCGAAGCGATTTTATGATCTGGTCACTACCCCTCATGCATGGCGCATGGCTTTCCAGCGATTTTTCCCCGGACAGGACGCATTAGCCACCACCGGTAAACATCAAAATGGAATATGGGGTGAAGAAGATCCAGATATTGTACGATCAGAAGTTCGCCATTTCACACGCCTAGCGCTTCATTCCTCCTGGCGCAGTGAATACCTTCGAAGAACACAACTTCTCCGTAGTCTTGTCAGAGGCAAACCTGGGACAAATTCGGGTAGCATCGGATCTTCCTCTAGGTCGAGCCAATCTGGCAAGAAGGCAAGCGCCGTTTTGACGTACAACACAAAACTCATGTCAGTAGTAACACATATTCATGCTACATTTAAGCCTAGCGGGAAGAAGCCACCGAGGCTTATCCACGGGGCTTCCGACATGGGTATCGGCACTCTCAGTGACCCTACCAGTGGCAAGGTTGAGAAATGGGGCATAGATGACCACTTTGGTTTTGACCAACTGGAGGAAGTAGTACCAAATTTTCTGCCATATGGGATTGGTGAAGGACCTGCCGCTGTTCCCAACGTCATGGATGTTAGTCAGCCGTACGGCCTCCTCGGCGGAGAAGGGTTTCCCGGCGGCCGTGTCTTCTATCGTGCGACAAATGAATATAGGGGCAAATACCTGGGTCAAGATGCGGGTCTAGTCGAAGCCTACCCCGATATTCCGAAGATTCCGGGGATGTCAGAAGGCGTCTGCTGCGTTTGGATTGCTAAGTCACCGTCTGTTCCTTCCGCGACTCAATCGCTGGTTGGAATCATGACTGGCTCTTCGTTGGGCGTTGTGACTGCATTTGCTCTTGGATATGATCCCACGGGTCCGCGATACGCTCCAGGTGAGGTAAGCGCTCGTTGGGTTCTTAGTCCGGGAGTGCCTATCATAGCACTCAAAATCGACGATAGCTATAGTCAGAAGCGCAAAGCTCTTAGTCGGGTGTGGGCAGTTGCTTTAAACGCATTGGGAGAGGTATACTACTTAACTCAACCTCCAATTGCACCTACTAGCAAGACGAAAACCGACGACAGTCTTAAGCTCGCATGGCATACGGGCCGCTCAACATATTGGCACCTAGTAGAGGCGACTCGACGACAGGCACGTCCCGATGAATCGGGTAGGAACGCACTCCGTGGTGCCTATTCTCCACGGTCTCCTTCAGACGATATGAATTTGACCAAAGATCAAATGGCGGCGGAAGCTCGCGAGATCGAAAAGTTCCTTCGTTATAAGCCAGCTCATTTTCGTAAGGTCTGCTACGGTTGGGATATGCGTCGAAAGCTTGAGGTAGACTTTGCGAGTGATGACGAACACGGAGCTGGCGAAAGCGTGTTCATCATCGATTGCGGGCTAGAAGAAGACCAGACTTCAGCTATCAAACGACTTAGCCGAAGTGCACTAAGCCGAACTCAACTCAGTACTCAGCCTACTCCTGAACCAGAACTTCCGGTGGTGGTTAGCCCTGCCCCGTCCATATTTGGTGATAGTAGTACTAGGTCATCCTCCCCGAACTCATCCGGTTCGCCATTATTGAAGCAAGTTTTGTCAGTTTCAGATAAGGCATCTGCTCTGCCGGCTACCACTGGTGCCGCAAATCCAAGCCTGGACGATTGGCGCGAGACGTTCTTCTACTCGAAAGAGCTGAGCAATTCACAAATAACCGCGACTGGAGCGGATTCTTCACAGCTTGCCTTAATTACATCATTTGAAGATCCCTTAAAGAACATAGGGAGTGTTACCTCAAGTAATCCATCGGCGCCAACAAGACAAGCACCTTCAGATATTCCCGGCAGACGAGCAAGATTGTTTGGGGTAGGCACGAATAAAGGAAAGGTCATCTTGTGGAATATGCGAGAAGCCCATGCTAGTGATGGCATATACCCGGTCAGAGTTATCCAAACGGAATCTCCTGAGATTTCATGTTTAGCTCTATCGGCTCTTTATCTTGTTCACGGCGGTAGCGATGGCCTCGTCCAAGCCTGGGATCCTCTGGCGTCTACTTTAGACCCAATTCGGACTATCAATTCACGTTCTCCAGGTCGGATGCCTCGGCATTTACTTGCCGTCAACCCAGCATTACGCAACTCTAATTTTGCTGCCGCTGGCGCCATCTACCTAGATCCCGATCCGGGTTTGCTTCACGGAGTTGTATCGTTTGGAACCTTTGTGCGTTATTGGTCGTATAGTTCCTCGAATCATGCAACAGGTCGAAAACGTCGACACCGTCATTCAGATATCCAAGGTCGGGTTGCTGGTCGACGTCACGGTGGTGGTGTCGCTGGCTATATTGCCGCAGAGGCTGAAGAGCTACGCAGTGAACAAGAACATAAGGCGCGAGAACAAGCTCGCCTTCGTTCTCGTTTCGGCGTTGGCCTTGGAGAACTAACAGAAGAGGAAGCCATACGCTACGCTGAGATGGTATCTCAAGAATCATTCCTCCTTGATGAGCAGCGCCGAACTAGCGCCAGCGATACGGGCTCAGCTGCAGATTTCGATACTACCTCTAGTTCTGGCAGTACCCTCACTCCCGACCCAAGTGTGACTGGACCAAGCCCTCTGGCTGCTAGTTCAAGTGCACGCAATGAGACTGCGGATGAAAGCGATTATGAGCTCCAAATTCAAGCCGCAATTCGCTTGTCCCTCATGGAAGGCGTGAATGATACGGAAGGTTCGCCGAAGGCTAGCGGGTCTGGAGAGTACGATTCTCCATTTGTGATCAAGGATAATAGTGGAAAGAAATCGTCAAGTCTCCCGTCATCAAGCCACACCCCAATGGTCAAACCAGCCGAAACCTCAAAGGCTGTAGCCACCGGTTCCAAAGCAGGCGCAGACGACGATCTAGAATTTGCACTGCAGCTTAGTTTGGCAGAGGAAGAGAGTAGAAAGTCGAGCATGGCTGTTCTTATGGATCGGGAGGATGAGTTTCCTTCGCTTGGAGGAAGTGGTTTTGGCAAGGGGAAAGGAAAGGTTGTCTAAAGCGCAAAGAAGACATGACGTGTTCTTGATAAGAGGTTGTTTTCTTGAGATTAGATGTGTTTATTGTTTTCTTGCTCGTTGTTTTCGAGCTTAATTAGGTAGTTATATTTGCGTCGTTTTTAGCTTTGTCAATACTGTCACATCCCTGTACCACAATTTTCTAGCGTGTGAGCTGCCCTATAAGGTTATACGTTGGCCGATAAAACATAGATCCGCCATCCCGCCGTATTAATTTGTCGTTAGTGTGATATAGGTACTATATTTGCGTAATGTTTAGCCACTAAATCCCCTGTAATTATAGGGGACTTAGAGGAGGTATGGCGCTAAATTTATAAAAGGATAAATTGATATGACGGGATGGCGCTTCTATGTTTTATCGACCAACGTACCGGCCTTGGAACTGCAAGAACAGCGGCGAACGTGCCTAGCAGACAGTTATAGCTCACAGTTCACCTTCATGAAAAACGTCGAAGCGGCTGGAAGTTCCAGCACAATACTGATTACGGAGTCTTCGCTACCCTTTTGGCACACCCTGAACAACTCTATCCGAAAGATCCATGTAACTGTTCTTTCAGTAATACTTGATTTAGCAAGCCCTTTTTCTAGAACTGTTCATATTAGCCGGAGTCGGCCAAGCTCAGCATTCGACATGAACATCTACGGAGCACGAGACTTACCGATAGATAAAGAAGTGGCTATTGTGTCAGAAGGGTCGCAAATGGAAACAACAAAAAGAAACTGCTGCACCTACAGCTAGCTTACCTAGTCGTGTAGAGACCGCTGTGGGCTCCACCACTAATCATAACGCAAGCCGTAATGGCCGCCATGATAACTTGCATCGCATACGGGATCTCTACTCCAGTACTAAAAGGCTCTTTAGGACTGCACGACATACGTGGGATTTCCTCCGGTATGAACCGTGCTCTTTGATATAGTATCGCCAATGCGGAAGTCAAGACACCCCTGCAATCAAAACTGCCCCAGCCATACTGCATAATCGAGCCACTACCACGGATTCTGGCAAAATGACGACTCGGGAATCACTCGGCCGGTATATATGACGTAATGCGAGCACTCGGCCTTAGTCGCAGCCATCGAGTGACGTTGCTCTCCACGAGATAGTCGTATTCTCCTAACATTCACTCCCTCCATAACCACTTCTCAAGCTGCTCTGTACTCAGGCCTTTTGGTATCATGTTTCTCTCACTCTTCCATTTCATAGAGTACAGACCATAAGCATTATGATCTCTGGGCTTCAATGCAAGAGACTTTTTCTTCCGCGTCTCAGGGCTATCTTCACCCTCGCATATAACCCTAGCTTCGTACGCCCTCTCAGCAAACAGGCTTGCTCTGGCCTCATCTCCATGCGCGATACTGACTTGAAAGGCATCGTAGTAAAGTTTGGCTTTGGGAGGCCAAGCATACCCTTTGAATTCCTCTTCAAGGACTTGAAACAGAGCTCGACATTTCCTCAGAATCTCTGTTGGTTTGTGTGCCATCTGATGTAGATCGCCAATGGCCGCGTCGAGATCTTGGATTGATTGGCGGCGGGAGTCGCTGGCTTTGAGCTCGGGAGGCTGAAGAGAACATCCACTACAGCTACAATCGAAACCAAAAGCCTTCCTCAGAAATGCCCTTCGAGTATGAGCCTTACCACCACGATCATATGAGATGGTGATCTCTTCTCCGGCCTGAATCGGTCGAGTTGCGTGTATAGTCTCATGTCTTTCGTTATCGTTCCAATTGTTATGAGAGTTTGGGAGACAGCTGTGGTTGATGAGGCATATCGTAGGGTAAACTCCGCCTACAGGCGAGCTAGGTCCGCAAGGTAGAGCATTGGTTTTTACAATGCCGCTAAACGGATATCTTCCACGGTAGTTATTGTGCAGAGATAGAAACTGTCGTTGCTCCCCTTTGGACAAGACTTTCAGCTTCGCTGCAATACAGATCTCCAATTCATCAGGCGGCATGTTATTCACTGTAAACAGCGGCTTCTCACAGAGGAGACGTGTGCCTGCGGGGATATGGAATAGTGCGACGAGACCTTTGCCTCTGCCGGTAACTTCGGTGACCAAGTAAAGTGGAACCCCTGGCTCCTTAGGTGGAATTACGATAGCGGGAGAGACCTTGGGGTCAGCCGGCTATATGAAATTAGTAGGGGTTGTCGACGAGCCGCATACGAAAGTAGAACGGTATAACTGACCTTCTCATAAGATGCCATCGACTCATGGACTACATCCCACCGGTAGACACCAAACCGGTCGATACCCTCGTCCCAGTTCCGAATACGGGAGCCGAAGTGAGCCTTTGCAATAACTGTAACCTCCCTGATATATTTTCTTACTCCCGTAGCCTCTGCCGTACGTCCTGAAACCTTGGAGCTGAAACGTAAGAACTTATGGCCTTCAAAAGGGAGCCTAGGGTGTTCGCCTGCTTCGAATGTGATACAACAAGGTTTGATAAGAACTTGTGCGTCACCACGGTATGTATCTCTAATTTGATCGATGAAGCGGGCCCATTTCTCTATATCACCGGTGTCATTTGACAAGCGAGGTACCATATCGAAGCCTGCATCAATACCCATAGCTGCTCGTGGTGCCCAGACTCTTGAGGGTGGTGGGTGTAGGTGGATATGTTCGAAGCTATGTTCCGTGTCTCCTGAGATATTCATAGGAATAGCTATGTAGCTCCGTTCATGACCCCGCACGCGCCGTTCACGCAAAGAATGGGAGCACCACCACGCGATATGCGTAGTAAGTGTATCTATCACGTGAATAATACTTCCGAAAGCCTGCCGTGTTCAGCAATTGGGCAGTCGAAGGAGTGGCGTCCAAGACAGCTCGACATCGTGGACCTCGTTGTACGCGCCAACAATATCAAGAGCGAACTCGAGCTCGCCCTTGGTGCACTGTGGCATAGCGTCTTCATCGCCGCCACATTCAGGGCATGACCAGCTCCTGAATGGCTGGGCTCACGTGGAAAGAATTGAGGAGGGGAGAAGCTATGGAAGGCAAGGGAAAGCGCGGAGAAGGCCGCACATTTCGTGTAACCATCCCAACTTATGGGCCAATCCTATTTGCAGTAACCTGCCTGCATAAAGTTGCCAAGCCGTCATTACAGCTGTTTGAGTTTCCCCTCTGGAAACCGTTTGCTTTGATGCGATCTTTTCCCAGTATAAATGCTTAGCTGGCCTACTTACAAGCTCTTAAAATGTCGGTTGAACTTCTTTTCAGGAATTCCTACTATTAGAGAAGGCAAGGTCAGCAGCACAGTCTCCGGTCGCCAACCGCTTTTCGAAAGGTTCGTCGTCATCCAACGATTTACATTTACTGTTTCTTGATTCTCTGGCTCCATCCAGTCAGACTTGATATGGCAAACGACGAGAGGCCAAGGCCTCAAATTCTCCTCATCTCGCTCAATTTACAACCATACTTCGATGAAATATATAGGTCCCTGCTCACGGAGCTCGGAACGAAGGGGAAACTTCATCGAGTAAAGAAGGCAGATACGGCTATCCGTTTATTGTCCGAAAATCCCCGACCTTCTGCGGTTCTTATAACCGACGAGGCTCTGACTGATCAGAAGAATGCCCACGTCTGGGAGGCGGTCCTACAGTATGTGCGCCAGGGAGGCACGGCAGTAGCAATGGGCCAGTTCAGTTCATTCGTCAAGCCGAATAAAATGAAACCGTTCTTCTCGAAGGCAGGCTTGCCTTGGGAATCTGGGTCCTACCACCGAACAACACTTGTGCTTAATCAGGAGGTCGTAGGCGACGTGTTAGCTGCAAAGCTTGTTTCACGGTATAGCCAAAAGGCGCTTTTTGTGAAGCCTGTAGCATTCGAGGATGCTTGGTATCAGACTAACGAGAATTCTGTTCATGAATCTCATGTCTTTGCTCCTACCAGTGTCAACAATGAGGGTGAAACTGCGGTCGCACTTGCACGTGTTGGAGAGGGGAAGCTTGGTTATCTTGGTGACGTGAATGCCGAGAAGGGCTCAGAGGCTGTCATTCTTGCCATGTGTGGACTTTAACAATGTCGAAACTTGAGGTTGTCGGCTATAAGATATCGTATGTATGCTTCGAGGGGTGAAGGGAAGCGTAGTTTAGTCTACAGAGTTACAGTCCGAAGTAGACAACGGACCATAAGAACAAATCCGCCAACCCGCTAATTTAATTAATGTGTAAAAGCGTATAGTTTGATATACATTTCATACGGTGCCTTAGATCTTACAGGGGGTTATAGCGCTATAAGGCGCTGAAAGCCCCTATAACTTATAGGGGCTATAGCACGTAAGCTCCTTATAGCATATACGCGTAATAGTTCAAAACGAAGGATATGACGTGACACATACCGAGCCTTAAAGTAAATGTTAACAGTATTAGGTATATATTATCATAAGTTTACCTAGAACTCAACGTATGAAAGCTTTGCAATAATTAATATATAAATATAAAGAGTTTTTAAAGCGCATTCGAATAAAATTATTATATTTACTAGCGACTTGATATTAAAGCGTAAAATAGTAAATATATCCGAATCATACTTAAGTACTTATATAAAAGGCTATACGCTGTAGTCCCTATAAAGTATAAAGCTTTTAGCGCCTTATAACGCTGTAACCCACTGTACAATTCGGGACACCGTGTAAAATATATATCAAACCATACGGTATTACAGTATATCATACTATACACATTTCAATACATTAATTGAATTGGCGGGTTGGCGGATTCGGCCTTATGGTCCGCCGTCGGAAGTCAACGCGTGATATAGACAGCCCTGGAGGTGATTGGTTGAAAGCTATTCACTATGACGATGCGCTGAAGCGCCTGTACTTTTAGCGCTTTATGTCACCTAAGTCCCCTATATACATAAGGTATCTAGTGGCCAAATATAGCACTAGAGTGCAAATTCAGTGGATGCAATCTCACTAAAATATACAGCGGATAAAATAAAGTGGCAGGATGGCGGATCTTGGTACTGTCGGCCAGCGCAGGATCATAATACTTAGTACCTACCTGTAGTGAGATCAACAGAGACAATTGCGCTAGCATACGGGGAAGGCAAGTACTATATCATTGGGCAAACAATGTAAATAAATCAAAATAAGTAGACAATATCAGCATTCGAGGACGAGTATTTTATGTAATTTGGCATTTAAGTATAGCTAATCATCTACTAGCTTGTCCGTACGGTAACCTAAGCGCTACCTACAGCAAACATCTCATTCGTAGTAATATTGACATCGACATCACCGACCCGTAGCCTCTTCGCACAACAGCGTAAAGTACCCACGATCCATCCATCCGTCCGTCCAATCTCTTTCTCGTCCCACAGCGTAATTAGTATCTACAAGCACATCCCCACACACAACACGGCACCGTGCGCGGGGAACTTTCGATAACAGCCGCCCGACTTAAACGCCAGTTTGATGCTTTGGGAAAAATAAAGAGAGAGAAAAACACACTCCCTCATACCTCTTGTCATCGTCGCCGAGGCATGTATCCCGCTAAGAAAACACGGTAAGCAAATACAAAGATTCCGCTCCGCTAAACTCCGTTGCTAGTTGGTTAGTAAGGTAGGTACTCGGTATGTATATACAAGTCTATAAAGGAAATTGAAGAAGAAAATATGTGCGTCGAGCAAGGTCGATGTGACTAATTACAATGTCTTAAGAAAACGACAAGGCCTCCCGTGAACATCACGTTGCGGGTGGAGATATGTGAAAAGAAATTTTGTTTTATGGCTCCTCCCAACTGTATCGCTTGGATGCCGGTTGCGGTATGTGGATCAGATCGGCGCCGTCTATTCGGCCGAGAGTATGTGACGCTTCCCGGGCCGCCGCCATGCGCGCCTCCTCTTCGACAGTATAGTTGCTTCCTAGAGTGTCGGCTGTAGACACGCGACGGGAAGCACGATAGCATTCCTCGGTAGTTGGAATAGGAGGGATAGGCGGATAAGAGAATGTTTCGCCGTCGAGATGGAGGACTCCGGGTATCGACAACTGAGGTATCTGAGGAGCTTGTGTAGATTGCTGGGGGCGCTGATTGGGTAAGCGAACATTATCCGGTAAAGGACCCAAGCAGATCACCCGGGATGCGTCGATGGGTGCTCTCTGGAATGAGGCGGGAGGCGGCCCAACTGTAGGAGGCTGCAGCGACATGCCAAACCCCGTGGTTGAAGCAGAACGGCCTATCGAAGCTGTTCCGGGACTGCTAAGCGATGATGGTGATGACGGTGCGTATGTAAGGTTTGGGTTAGAGGTTGAATGTGAGAGCGTCTGTGAAGGGACAAACCCCATGGGAGGGGAGTAGCTATCTGGTATTCTATTTGTCCAATCGCTTTGAGAACTTAGTGGCGAAGGCATATTGTTGCTTGAATTATCATACGTCGGGCTCGACGTTGGTGATGGGGACTCGGTAATGCGGTTTAATGGACCGTATTGTGATGTTGGACTGATATTGTATGTTTTGACCGGCGACTCTGCTGTACGAGGAGTATATTCGGGAACCAAACCTTGCCTCTGTTGTTCCAATTGATATTTTGCAAACTCATAATCGCTCGATCTGTGTGATTCTCCATCACTGCTATCCATATCCCTACTCCTGGTAGCGTCTAACTCTACCGGCCCTGAAGCTGGCAATTCATAGCGTTCGTGGTTTTGGTCCGCAGCGAATTCAAATACTTTAAGCTCTTTATCCGAATCGTGGTCTTCGTGTTCATCGCGCTCCTCCCGCTCTTCGCGGGCACCCCCCTTTCTAGCTTTGCGAATCGGGCAATTCTTCGATATCCTAGATACTATACGACCTACGGGGGTAGTAGGTGGCGACGAATCGATTGTAGAAGCTTTGTCCTTGAAAGCCTCCTCCGAACTTTCTGTAGTCTTCGGCTTCCTCCTTCTTCGGCACAAAAGTAACAAAGCCACTATTGCTATTATGCTGAGAAAGCTAACTCCTATCGCCAGGCCCACGATTTGGGAATGGGAAAGACCACCTCCGGTACTAGATCGTGCAGGCGGGCCAGGATACGGACTGTTGCTCGAAGCTGCTATAGTTTTGATCGATGTATCTCGAAGTGGGTTCCCCGGAAATATGGCCTTATGTAAAGAGAAACTGCTCGTTTCGTAATTCGTGATCAAATATGCCTCTTGGAAGAAGCTTCTTCCAATGATAACAGGTCCGTTTTCCTCAGTGCGTTTCAGAGGAAAATAGGGTACTGCTGCAGCACCGAACTCGATAAGGTTCATAAATGGATAGCGAAGACTTTGGATGAATGCATTAGCAGAAATTGTGATGTTCACAACTCCAGCAACATTGAGTGGGTGTCCAAAATCGTCATGATTGTCCGCACTCGATAGCGTGAAAGTGAACGAGAGGTCCGGGGACGAGCGGTATCGCTCAAGATTGTTGTTATCTGGAAATAAGTATAGCCCAAAAGTTTCATTCCACGTGAGATTTAAACTGGCAGCGAATCGATCGCATATAGATCCTGGAAGCCAAAGATAAGGGGTTGAGCTGTCCAGCAGAGCTGTTACGGATTCGTTGAAAGATGATAGCGCCACGGACGAGGCTGGCCAGGAAGTAGGAGCATCGCTAGCATTAGATACTGACGCAGTGATGGCTCTTATGAGCACTTCTGGCTGCCTCGTAGTAGCATTGAGGTTAAAGTTGATGTCGTGGGGTTCGAAACGTTCGGTATCGTAACCACCTAGAGTCAAAGACAACGGTGTTCCTCTCGAACCTCCTGATTATAGTTAGACAGCGCATCCATGGTACCCAGTTCAACTTAAAACTCACCATAGTATGCCCCAGCAGTATATCCATAACTATGACTAGGGATGGTACCGTCCTGTTCAACTAACGCAGCAATGGGACTCTGTGCAACAACGTTGTTGAAGCGGCCAGGAGTAATACCCAAACCAAAGTATCCGGTATAGTAATCGGTGTTGTTGATGCCAGCTACGACCTGCTTATTAAAGGAGGTCTGCCAACGACGTACGCTATCATAAACAACGACCGTCTCCATCGCGTAGTCGCCATTTCCTCCCAGCCCGAGATAATTTAAACCGAGCTGCCATGCGCCTAGCGGTGACCAACTTTGCGATGCGCTAGTGTTATAAATGCCACCACGAGCGTCGGCGCAACGGACATCTGATCATAATGTGTCAGGGTATTGGCTAAAGCCGATGATTTCGCATCTTTTCAAGTTCCGAGTCTACTTACTAGGACTACAGCCGCCAGATTCAATAACCCATATTTCGGACAGGCTCGTACTTATAGTGACGTTGATCTCCTGTGCTGGCTCTCCCACGAAGAGGCCAATTGAAGACCAATTACCATCGATGCCGTACCTAGGTCACAATTAACTCCATATCCATCACAAAATTAAAGTCGGATCGACGTGCCATTGCAGTGATGGTTCGATCCATAAAGCGTCGATGTCGTCGGCATTGACTAGATCGGGTACGAGCAGCGTCCCGACGATGGTTGCGAGAAAATATGTCAACATTGTCTGTTGTGTCGCACCAACTCGGCAGTCGTACAGGAGACGCGCAAGGTCACCACCTATCTCCCTTCCAAAGCTTCATCAGGCTAGTAGAGACGTCCAAATAAGTCTTTTTCTCTTTCATCCAAATCCATCAAATTCCGAAAATGGAGCGAGTCGGGATGTTTGCGATCGTTATCATGTCTCTATCGCCGTACCTAAAGTCGAATGGGTAGGTATAAACTCTGTTGAACCAAATTTCGTGGTGGTTTGCAAGAAGAGAGAATACAAACGAAAATGATAAAGTCAAGGCAGATTTCCGTCAGTGGCGGGATCTGCCGGGGTATAGCTAACGAACGGGTTTTACACAGGCACTGCCCAATGCCATGCCTGCTATGGTCCATGCCATCCCATGTCATGCCCGCGCTCAGTGTAGATCGACGGAGCGTGCTATCTAGTACCTACCGGTAGCAGTGATGTGCGCCCGTACATGCATATTGGACAGGGCATGGGGGCAGGGGGTTCATCTTGTGGCTAAAATGCAGGTCAGCATGGTCTTACCGGTGGAGGTGCCGGGGGTGTCCATCAGGGGTATGACCACGCTACCTGCATGGAATATGGAACATCGAATTCTCTCCCTCTCTTTTTTTGCTTGACTCGAGAGGGGTAGACCTCGTTGATACAATACGCGGAATGCGACAAAGACGCATTTGATTATCTGACTAGGACTATTAACTCGAGCTTCTTTAAGAATTATTGGAACTCGATCTGTTTTAGGCGTCAGTGATGGTAATATTGTCAGGAACAGTTGTGTAGCTCGTATGGATGTCTTATGTCTTAGTGCTATTACGTGTTATCAATTTATGATGTATTGTCTTAGTTAAGTTGGCTACTATGCAGGAGAGAGGCGGCGGAGGAGTGGTTTTGAAGCACGCTGTAAGACTGGCGAGTTGGTTCTCGGCTTTGGCTGCTGCGTTGCCTCATCCTCTCGCGTGGCTTTTCGGTCTAGTGTTCCCCAGATGATCATCCTTTACAGTAGTGCGTACGTACCTGGTAGGATAGGCAGGATAGGTAAGGTACAATACAATAGTATCAGGGATAGCTATCTCTCGGTAACTGTCATTGAAGTCTAAAAAGTCCAACTGGCTGGAACCTTTCTAGATAGTACGTACGTCGACTAATTGGGGTCGTTTGGGACTTTTTGACATTTTACTGCGACCACATCTAACTGTTTCGCTGTGCTGGAGCACGGTACGCATAGTAGAGTCTGCGGCACTAGAGATCGACCCACTGACTTCCAGTTGGTTGACCAGTTGGTTGATCAATTGGTTGACTTGGCTGCTTGGTTGATCTTGTTTGACAAGCCTAACAAGCCCACGGTCTTCGCGGTTTTCGGCAGTGTTGCGCCCCCGTTACCTAACTGAGGTACGAGGTAGCATCTGGAATGGAACCGGCAACTAGCAGTTTTAGGTATCTGATGACCAGCGCATGAATATCTGGGCAATGGCCAAAACTAGTTAATACGTGGTAAATTACTTGGACAGGGCTGGTTAAATAAGACGATCGAAGACCTTTTCTGCCGACACGTCGAGTAATAAAAAGCGACCGAGACCGACGCGTAGTCTGTACGCGTATAATGGTATGTTCAAGAATGAATTTGCGGTATTTAGACGGTTTCATAAGAGTGTATCTCCCACTCTACCTCGTATAATTCAACAGTTCAAACTGAGGCTGCGGGCATAATGAAGGATAAGTAAAGTGACACGATAAGGAATCGAGGGAATTGAGAGTCTGTTTGAGATCGGCGGGTCATCAATTGCGTCAATTCCGTCAATTGCGTAGCACAAAGATGAATAATCCTCCGAATTGAATGTCCAAGGTTCTAATTGCCTATCCCCCGCCATCGATCCTTCTGCGTTTCTTTACCAAGGTTCTCTTTCAATGCCCCTTCCTCATCGAGACCAACCCTTGATAGGGATGAAAGGGGTTGTCCGCCGGAAGGACCTATCTTGGAGCTCACCTAATCCTATTTCCTATTTCCTATTCAATATCAAATATTATTTGACAAGATCAATATCTACCTATGTTACTCAATAATGCTTGTCATCTTGTCATCTTGTCATATTTTCCCCTTCTCGGTTGCTCAAAGCTTCCAGATCGTCGCTCTCACCTTCTAGAATCTAGACGATCAGCTTCAACCAAAGCGACGGTATCGATAGACCAACGGGAACACTTGTTATCTATTCTAGACCTGTCTTCTACGTACGATATGCGCGCAAATTAAAAAGGCCACCAGAAACTCAAATGAGGAACGCCATCAGGATCTCCAACTGGAACATCCAGCTAATACCGAGAGGAGCGCGGAAGGATTTCTTGGCTGACCTACCTCCCATAAAACTATGGCCGGACTTGTGACCAGTCGAAGTTGATGCCTACCACTTAGGTACCTACCTCCTACCAGGGGCAGCGCCCCAGCGCATTGCCAGTATTTGGACGCTGGTCTCGACCATTAGACTTATCTGATCCGGATTCCATGAGGCTACAGGATCAGCAGCCTTGTTCAAACCGACAAACCGACAAACCCGCTGGATTCTCTCATAACAATCCTACAGAGTAATTATTCGTCTGCTATTTTTTTTCCTATAATATTTGCGTCATCGACCCCGAAGACGCCTATCAATGTTCCCCGGATACCTGGAACGTATCAAGTTGCTAAAGACTTACGCAACGAGACCCCAAGATGCTACCAACAACCAAGATAGGCAGCTTAAGCGAGCACCTCCCACCTGTACTTGGAGTCGGGCGCTGTTTATACGGCGTTAACCTCTCTGCCTCTGCACCTATAGGACCCTGCGCTCGGTACGAGTGTAGCATGCCATACAATCTGGCCTTCATCCGGCAAATTTAATTGATCGTCGCTTCGTTACTTCCATTTCGCCATTTTACTTTATCATATGTATAGATCTCCGCTCTCGTACAAACTCGTTTCTCGGTTCTTTTTTCTTCAGCTATGGCTTATCGGACAAGAGGCCTACCGGAATAAATCGCTCGACGGCAAAGCTACCTAGTATCCAAGTAATACACGAACGTAGAATCATGAGGTTATATGTCTACCTTAGGCACCTAGGCAGACACATAAAAACTACCTAGAAACAAATATGTAAGTGGTACAACGTAAAAAACCTCGCTTATATGTACGAAACAGGTCTATTTGAGAGCTTTGCGAAGTAGTTACCTATTCGTATGGGGTTCTTGTTTTCCGGGGATATGCATATTTCCCCTTATTAGGCGGCATCCCAAATGAATCGACCCACCACTAAGAACACCCAAACGGTTGCAAATCAATTTCACCTTATTACAACCACTCACCATTAAACGTCCCGTGTCTGCGTTCCAATTCATTACGGGACTTGCGAGCCACTTACCGACAGGTCTTAGCTCGCCTGGACTTCTGCCAATTCCGAATCATGGTGCTTCACATAAAAAGTCGCGGCTCAGCCGAGCATTTCTCGCCAGTGGGTGTGGGGTTATTGCGACGTCTTGTCTCGCTTCCACCCTACACGTGATGCGTTTTCTGATAAAACCATATCAATTCCCTTTAAGTTCCAGATGTAAAGCCGAGAACTTGGACCCTTCTCGAAGTAAACACGCCGGTGTAAGCACCGGGTGAGAGATAGGGGCGAATAACCGTACTCGCCCCGGGTTAGCAATGCTCATTATCAACTCAATAGTATTATGTGTTGTGGTGACCTCAAGTTATGGCCTAGAATTGGTTAGGGCCGGTCAGTCGAGGCCCATCAATTGTTTCAATCACTCTCAATGCTAACGAGTTTCTAGAATACGGCCCTGGCCAATTCAACAAAAGGGTACCATCTCGCAACGACTCGGTGATCCCGGAGTCTACAAGCTCACCTGATATACTAGCTTCTAGTTTCATATTAACGGGCTCAGAGACGTATCAGAGGCCTATAGATACTGTTTCAGACGCGCCGATTACGAATTCTGTTAATGACGCGTCTGTCGTTACAACGTCCTCAGGCGGGAGCTCTATTCTATCATCGCCTGACCTTTTCTTTGAGCCTTTGAACTTAGGAACTATTACCACAATTGCGAGGCCGACGCTTGTATTGCCTACGTCAACACCGATAAGGGGCAGTTCAAAGATCCTTGATAGCAGTTCAAGCTCTGCTTCGAACACGGGCGTAGGAGCCCCCTCGCCCCCAATAGCGTCGTCATTCTCTTTCAATGCGACATCGAGACCATGGGGCTGGAATGACACATCCAGCGCATCTTTACTGCCCTCCCTTACCGTGACTCAAACTACATCAATTATTAGCACAACCCCTACCATTACTGCTACACCGAGCGAGTGCCCGGAGAAGGATAGCGGGTCCGTTACTGTCACTTCATATTCTATCATTTACACATCGACGATAACATGGAGTGGAGATCCTTCCGACTATATACCCCCTTACCCGCCAATAAGCACACCGGTACCATGCACTCCCAAAGAAAGCCCAACAGGGCGTTTTACCATAACCTTTTGCGACAGCACGGGTAAGACATGCTCATTTATCCACACTACAACGACAAATAACTTTCTCAACCCAACTACGACTGTCACATTGATTACGACAGACAAGAATCCTGCTGTGGTTTTTCCGACCCAAACGCCTCCCGGTTATGGCGGGTCTCCTTCTGGGCCAAATAGCCACGAATCAGCCATAAGCGGCGGAAACTTGATTACCCCTGGATATGGTATAGACCCAACACCTATCGAATCAGCTAAATCGTCACCAACTCCAGTCAATGACATTGATACAGGAAATGGCGGAGAGAATGGCGGGGAAAATAACGAAAACAGCGGAAATGGAAGCGAGAATGAAAACGGGAACGGGAGTGGTGGGAATGGAAATGAAAATGGTGGCAATGGCGGTAGCAACAGTGCCGGCTCGCCTCCAATTACCGTAATAGTTCAGCCCGGCGCAGTAATAATCGGCGACCACACATTTATCGACAATCCAGCGCAACAAACGTCTACAGTAATTATAGGAGGCGACTCATTTATCATCAGTCCGTCTCAGGTGGTGGGCGCTGGTGCCACCATTACTCGGCCTCCGTCTAATGTAGGGGTTGGTTTCATGCCTACCCCTACACCGATAACGACTTCGGTAGGAGGTTTAGGGGTGACATACGGGCTTTCCGTCGCAACAATAGACGGTACAATATTTACTATCAAACCCACGTCCACGGTAGTGGTAGTTAGGGGACAGACAATAACCCTCGGGCCCACAGACATCGTCTTCCCCACGCAAACCCTCCACGTCGCCGCAGGCGGGCCCGGGCCGACGCAGACCGCCGTCATGGGCGGCGAGCTTATTACTGCCATCGGATCCGATACAATCATCATCGAGGGCACCACACTCACCTACGGACCCGACGCTAGCACCACGCTCACAACGGTCGTAGATGGGGATACGGTTCTCGTGGCACCGATGGGTGTTATCATTCATCACCAGACTCTAGGCGGTATTGCAGCGGCACCTGGAGTTACTAAATACGCAATCGCGGGCGGAGCCACGGTCACGCAGATGGGACTCACAGCAGTTGAGATCAGCGGTGTCACATTCCACGTCGGGATAGGAGCTTCAGAGGCCCTGACTACGATTATTGGGGAACATACTCTGACTATCGGCCCCGAAGGTGTTGGGATGGAGACTTGGACTCTGGGGGCACCAGGGGCATCAACCACGACGCTTAGCCCGGGTCGTGGTGGTAGCAGTGGCGGTAATAATGCCGCTTTGACGATACCAGCGGCGACGGGATCAGGGTCGGTGGGGGAGAGAAAAGGAAACGGAGGACAAAATCCAAGACCAGATTGGGGACTGCAGCGCCTCTTCTCGGTCGGCGTCGGGTGCCTTGCCCTATTGTGAAAAAGAAAAAAAACTCCCAATTGTTGTACTATCGCTCAGGCTGTCTACGTGTATACTCGCCTACCATACATACATTTTCAAGCGGTTGGTTTCATCTTCGCATGGCGCAAAATGGAAATGAAGGAGAGGGGGGGCAGTACGAAAAATCAATCGTTCAAGTTAACGACGTTATGATACCCGTGGGGCAAACATATACATCTCACATCTTGCATCTATCATTTTAGGCGATCGAAGGATCCTAGAAGGACATCATGTAATTTATTCACCTAGGATAGGTACGCTAGGTGATCGACCGATGCATGTTGGAGCCGCATTGTCAGGGGTTGGGGTCTAGGGACCAACAAGGTACCTACCACCGTACCTATGTACTCGAGGCAAAATTTTCTACATGTATACATACCAGTACATACGCGCTTCTAAAGGATTGCTTCACCGAAAAGAGAAGTTCTCTGCATGTTGAAATTTGACATGCGTCCCGTTTTGTGAGTTGTGACTCGTCATCGAGAAAATTCTACGTCGGCTTGCCCCGGCCACATCGCTTTTTGAAACGTCGCCGGGGAAGGTCCCTGCAGCGGAGATCCCCTGGGTTCATGCGCACGTAAACGGCATGGTTCTGGGAGAATAAAAAGCCTACCATGGATGGGAATACGGCCTCATGCAATATACAGTACATATTATGAACGTATGTATGTACCTTGATTTGTTTCAACATGGACGAGGCGTGGCACGCGGCATGGTCGGAAGACAGGGGTGGAATGTGGAAGTGCCGTACGATGCACTCTTTCTATTCGAAATGTGCCCGAGTCGATCCTCCGGGCTCAGAGATCTGCTTTCGGAAGGCCTACCGGCACTTGGATTTTTTGGCTGCGACGTCGGTGGCGCAGACAGGGGTCGGCTTCGGGGCCGAGGCCACGGTTTGTTCGCTATTCTGCCTTGGGGGTTCTGGACACATGGCTATGGGCTTGTTCGTCATGCGTCTTCTCCAGGTTTTTACGGACGGGTAAGAGGCGGACAATGCCTTTTTCTGCTGTTTCGTCTGTACGAATTCGAGTATTGATGTTTGAGGATGGGTTATAGTAGAGATACTCGTTCTCTCAGTTACTTACCTAGTTTCGGGGATGTAATTAGTTTGTATGCTGAGCAATGTATGAGTAATGGTTCTATGGTTGTCTGTTAATAAGATACCATCTACTTATAGTACTCGACAGCTTAGACGGGTGAAGATGGAAGATCTACCATAGAAATCTAGCAATAAGTAACTGGCTCCTTAAACCTGCCGAAACACGTCCTCGTCATACTAATAAGAAATTTTTATTACTGGTTTGTACATGGTGTTAATTCACAGGGGTTTGAATATTGTGATGTTGTTTCCACGCATCACTGCCATATCCACTTCTACAACTCTAATATTTGAATATTCTCATAGACTTTCGAGGCAAATACAATAGCCCTTATCCTAGTGTCTATAGGCATGTTAAGAGAACACACAATAAGCTGCGTCATCCCCATCATATGATAATCGCTAGTTTCCCAACGCCAACTTCATGCAACATTATATGGAGAAACACTATGGTCTGGGACCCATCGAGCAACTCCCGGACTTGTGGGATCTGCTTCGGGCCTATTTCCGCTTGTCTATTCATGACGGCAGCATGCCGGCACTAATCCACGGAGGCGACAGATTTTCAATAGCTCCCACCGATCTCTAAGCAGCCGGGGGAAGGGAAGTCATGATTGGGTGAGACAATTTGACACCCGAGTTCGTGATATGGTAGGTAATTGAGATATAGGATTATATGTCATCTATAAGTGTTAAGTAATTTTTCAATATACCTAGGTAGGTAATACCTACCTAATTACGAGAGAATATCAAGCAATCCTCATCGTAACGAGCTGTTTCCCTACTAGGTATATGCGAAAACCCATCATAAACTGACCGCAGAGTACTACTTCCATAAAACGTCTAACTCAGCTACATGGAAGTACCTACAAATATTACCATATTGTAATGAATGCCCCTTATACAAAATTTCAAGATATGGTACGGGACCTCAGTATATATCTAAGGCCCCCCCTAGATAATAGTGAAATGCGAAATCACTTGGCAATTCCGGCAATAATAACCATGGATTCTGGTGGAATACTTGACAATTGGTACTAGTGGAAGTATTCAAAGGGGCTTTTGCGTATTATCCTGCTTATAAGGCATAGAATGACGATTCATCTTACTTCAGACCACCAGATAATCATAAATCAACAACCAACAGTTCCCCCCCAATATTTACTTGGCAGTCACATAGAGACACTCACTCTAGCATATACGTTTGGGCAATTTTCGAGATGCTCTTTATTACATCCCATATAGTTTCTAGCCTAGCGAAGACAGCTACAACTTGTACAGTGGTTCAGTTAACCCAGTCCGGATAGATAATTGCTATCAATTTGCCTCCACATCACCAGACTTCTTCCCACATGGGATTGTGCGAGTGTAGCAGCTTCTTGGCCACCTCTCGGTCGGGAGCCAATTTTCCAATCACCATAGCATCGTACAGGGCTGAACGAACTGCCTCCGGCATCTTCCCCGAGCTTCCACAGATAAAGATCACGCATCTCTTCTGAATAATATCGCAGATCGTTAGTGCGTTCTCGCGGATACGGTCCTGTACATAGATCTTTTCCGCCTGATCCCTGGAAAATGCCGTGAGAACCTTGATGCCGAATGTGTCCCATTCATCCTTAAAGTAAAAGTCGGCGTCGCGATTTCGTCCGCCGTAGACCAAGAGGATATCACCGGCATCCGCGTAATCATGACGGTCCCAAACGTGAGCGCGTATTGGAGCAACGCCAGTGCCCGGGGAAATCGCTAGGAGCGGTCTACGAATGAGCTCCGTCTGTAGAGTGTCATACTCCCTGTGAGTCATGTTGATGATAGTTCCGGGACTTAGTGATGCCAGATAACGAGAGCAAAGTCCCTGCCGGGTTTTTCGTAACACAGTCTTGTACTTCACTAACGCTACCAAGAGCTCAACCCTTGTGACCTGGTGATTATCTCCACTCTTAAGAAGCGAACCGCCGCTTGCAACGCTGTATTCCCGACCACGCATGACGGGGAAGATGGACGGAACATGCTCGTAAGGAATCTTGACTGACGGGAAGTCTTGCAGGACCTCTAAAATGGAGCGTCGAGGACGGGATGTGTAGTCGTAGAATTCGTCTGATAGACTGGGGTTTGAAAATTCCCTGAGCCGTTCCGAGTGCGTAGCGTCGTTGGTGTAGAACGCGATCTCTTGGAAGAAGATGCGCTTAGGAATGGCGGTGATATCGTAGTTATGGAGTAGGAGTTGTCGTAAGGTAGAATTAGTAAGCGGATGGCAATTTCTAGGCTGTGTATATAGCATGTGCAGTTGGGCTGCACGATGCTCAAAAGGCAAGTCGGCGACATCTTGCCAACCCATCAAATCGATCAGCGCTTGCACATCCGCGGGAAAGTTTTTGGGGTAGATGACGACTGCATCGCCAGGTACGTAACTGAAGAGGCCCAAGTCTCCCTTTCTAGAAGTGTCTGGCTGTGAAGGGACGTCAAAGACTAGATGGCGAACATCCTGCCAATGAGAAGCAGGGGTAACTCGGTGATTCTCTACGAGAGTGGCGGACCATGATCGAGGTATAGGAAGAAGATCTGCGGGAGGAAGTGCCTCCTTAGTGCTCGAATCCTCTAGAGAGTACTTTGATGGATGATCTCTCAGTACATTAGGTCTATCCAGAGTATCTATTCCGCCTTTAATTACCTTAGCCGTATTCTCTGATAAACGAGCAGCGTAGGTGTTGCTGTTGATGGACATCCTCTCTGCCCGTAGAGCCTGCTCCAGAGCATTTGGGTTAGGCGTGTCGGGATGACTGAAAAGCGCTGCAGTTCTATCAAGAGCTTTTTCCTGGTAGACGGGATGAGAATTGCCACTTGGTAATGTGGCGGTAGCAAGAGCTCCATCTGCGTCTGGATTGCCCGGGACCTTAGACTCTCGCGTGTCCCGGTCAGGCATTGGCTCATCTGACGTATCCATATTGGATACTAATTCTAATGTGAATTTGGGGGGAAGTTGAACTTCCGGGGGTATAGGCGATAAGCCTTCGGGTAAAGGATATTCTTTTAGAAGATGACTCCGAAGGCTTAGCGACCAAGCTAGAAATGTGCCGTCGATGCTGTCAGAAAATATTAGTCTAGAACTGCGAGTAGCCGTGTTCCCCAAAAATATCGAGAAACTTGAATAAGACGGGCAAATAATGAAATGAAAAAAAGGGGATGAGGAAAGCATAATAAAAATTAGCAAACATGTAGAATTCGGAGAGACATACCCGTCTTGGTGACGCTCATCAGCCTCGCCACGGGGAAAGAACTCGGTCGCACCTAACTGTTCTAGACGTTTGTGAAGTTTCCTAACTGCCCAGTTGTACCTGCAGGAAATAAAAAAGAAAAAACTTCAGTCAGTGATGATGTAATATGGGAAATAATGACCCAGGAAATAAAAATAAGATGCGAGAAATTGGAAGGAGGTACGTTGCTTACTTAGTATATGAACTATCGCCAAGACCAAATGTAGTGAAGTTAACTTTCTGTAGACAGTTCGGTAGTAGTCGTTTGCGCAGGAGGCTCTTCCAGAATTTGATTGCGTTCCGAGGAATTTCGCCTTGGCCGGTGGTAGAAATGACGAATATTATCAAAGGGTATTGTAGTAAATTACTCTAAATGAGGCAGGTTCTTGTTACCAGGTGCATCTCGTTGGTAAGTTGGCCAAAATGGCTGCATAAGCAGTAGGAGAGCGCGGGTCCAAGATGCAAGTAAACAACACTCCAAAGAATGAAATGCGTATATTTGCTACCTTGGGTAAAATTTACCTGGAACTAGAGGGGATCTGACGTATGTCCCGTGCACCTAGTAAAAACACACCTAAGGAAAAGGCCAAGTAAAAGGGGTGGATAATGTCATTGAAGAAAGATGACTGGCTACCTAGGCAGGTAAACGGGAAACGAACTTCGCAATGTGACGATAAACAAGTGAATGAATGAATGAACCGGCTGTTCGTACTCGACTTACAAGTTCGACATCGTTCACCTCACACACAAATGTTTTAAAGTGTAGTCTCTCAGCGAGCCTTTCAAGGTCACCGGCAAGGTCTTGGCTATTCCCTGTTTCGGAGCCGTAAAGGATAAGCATGCGCCTATCCTCAAGTTTCGTCGTTTTATCTCCATTGTCGTTAAGGTCTTTATCAAGCCCCGAAGTCATCATGAACATTGAGAAAGTATTATAATAAGAAAAGAATGAAACAAAATGTTACAAGGGTTAAATGGTAAACCTTGAATGATGAGATTGATAAGATAAAGACTCTGCTATGTAAGGTAAGAACTTTATTACCTCATTGGTCCGTGCAAGTACCTAGGTAGTATCCTTGTCCGATCGGAACCTTACTCTTCGGTTCCCCTTTTTCAATCTGTTTACTTAACATCTGAAAACCTATTTGCTATAACTAATAGCGTGAATAGCTCTTCCATAGGGGCTCATAACCTCGAAATACTGACTTATATATAGACATATGTTTAGATCAGCAACCAATAATCGATTGGAACTTCCATGGCGTATTGACCTTGATTAACGTTGATTTGTCTTTGGTATATACACTGTAACACTTGACATATTCTCCATGATACTGATCAATATAAGTACTCACTAGGTAAGTAAGTACCTAGGTAGGTAATACGATTAATCATGCCAGCTGTTAGCGTTGTTATATATGACCCGTGGTGACTTTCATTGATGGATTTTATGTTGCCAATCCTTATATCTCTTTAAACGACCAGTTTTGTTCACCTATTATATACCTACAAGGTGGGTAACTTTCAGACTTGATACTAGTGAAATCCTAGAAACTCTTCGAAATATAACTGTACTTTGAAGATTTAAGCGATGTATGTGGATTTCATTAAGTATATGGCGTTTCCGGGCATTTCAACATTTTAAAGTAAAGTAAAAAGTTAAGTACTACCAAAATTTTCATGACTTTGGGTCAACCCCCTAGGATTAGCTCTAATAATAGTAAAAGCACCAAAACTCCCAAACAACACGGATTCCTTGTCGTTTCTGTGTAGAAAAGTGTTGCGATAATGCAGGTACATTGTGAAGGCATATGACCAAAGAATACTTCGAAGTGTTAACTTACTGATAATTTCCAAGCACTGCTTAGGTAGATACACTTTACGACCTGAGAGATATGGTGAGGTGGGGTATACAACTGGCAAAGCGGGTTTAGCGCAATCACACTTAAGCTTAGATCTGTAATCTTATAAAGCACTCTATTTTCTTCAAGACTTGGTATCTGCTCACCGTCGGAAAGGAGACAGAGAAATGCTATGAAATCGAACCCGACATCTTCGGTACATCCGATAGGTATAATAGCATTTGCTCTTAATGCTGTGGGAACTCATTCAAGCGGAACGTGGAAAATATTGAATGCTACGACAATAGAGTCCATTCCCCACGTGATATGCACAGACTATGATTGGATTTAAACTTCCGAACATGTGGGCAGGTGTGGGCAGGAGTCGCAGGACCCTCTAGATCCATTTCGTAGGGCATAGTTCTCCCCTAACTTACATAATAGATGGGTTAGTAGGTGGATGAAATCCATACATGATGGGACACTTGTCAGGACCATAGGCTTAAACCTTCGGGCACGGCGCTAGATAAAGGTAGGTAGTTTAGCTGCCAGGTGCTGACTGCTCTTGCGCGCGGTTAAGCAGGTAGGTACTACTAGGTAATCTAGGCAGGTGGGTAGGATATAAGTATTTAGTATGTACAGATGTATCGGTAAATCTTGCGAATTGTGACGAGTAACTGGTAGTTTGACAACTTCAGTCACCTTTCCATAGCCGGGCTGCAAAGTAACGTTGGGTTGAATTTTTTGGTCGTCTGCATTTCTTGAGGTGCCGGTATTCTGGTAAGGCTGCTTGTTTGGCAGGCAATATTTCATGCACGCAACAGGAGCTACTTAACAAGCTACCTAACCCAGCCGAAGACATCGGCAAAAGCCATGTGGACCAAAGCTAACAACGTGTTTGTCTACTGTGTTGTAGTACCTCGCATACATAGACACCTGAATGTGATATTAAGAAGACTCATTTACCGACGTAAAGCCTTGCTCACCTATTCGCTGAAAAGAGAACAAAAATTCTAGGAATTGGCGACTGGGAGGATTTTATCTGCAAACCACGGTGATAGGACTATCTCGGGGTTTTGAATAACCCGCGGGATTCAGCACGGTCTGCAAGAATTTAACGAAATTATATTTTTTTCTTAATAGCGATGCGATTATAAGGGGTTAAAAAGGGGGGACGTTTTCTTTCAGGTTCTCTAGGATCATAGGTGAGCGAGGTGTTTGAATGATGAATAAAGAAAGGGGTGTATTTAGAAAGATCCTTGCAGGGCTTCGTTTCGTCCCCATCGAGTGGCTCGATCATCGAAACCCCGGAGACAAGGTTCTTTGAAAGCTTCCAGAATGTCAACCGATTTATGACTGGATTTCTAGCTCGCGTATGGAAAGAAAAACCATCAATAAGAAACAAGGCCCTGGCATAATTCCCTTTTTGGATGAACCGCGTGCGCGACACGGTAGCACAGTGGATGTGACAGAAAAGGGCTAATACGCCGGATTGTCTCTGGAAGCGTTTTCTCGAATTCCAGCTGACAAAGACGCGTCAAGCAAGCACTGACATGGCGTAATTTGCTATTCTCAATGCACCCCGAGCTTTTCGCAGAATCCAATTTCGACAATGCAGGCATCTTACCGAAGCTTGACCTTAGGAAGATGTCAGCGCCGATCTACTTCTACGTCTAAGCGCAACAATTCGGATATCCAGATGCGTAGAAAATCATGCAACCTACCTACCTAAGGAATTCTTACCTATTATTAGGTATCCAGGTTACAGATGGCCTGCTATACCAACTTAGCTTTTTAAAAGGACAAACTCATAACTGACGAAAATGATGACTTAGGAATATTTGATGCTAGGTATTAAATTATGAATACTTGACGGATAGATACATACCTATTATGATGAATACTAGGTGGATTGATGATCGGAATATTTGATCAGAGTATTGAACTTCAAATAGAGGAATACGCAACAACATCATCCATACATGTAGATTGAATGTCTGTACGCGTGTGACTGGTTTGAAGGTGAATGTTGCTTGGTAAATACATGTAGGTACGCTTTAAAGTCCCTATTTAAATCGATCGGTTTGATCTTTCTTAATATTTATCCTCAGGTACCGTTCACCACGGAAGGTACAGAACTTTAAAAAGTTGAAGGCAAGAACAACCTGAAGTTGCCAATTGGAACAAGTAGGCTCACTCGCACTTTGAACTGTGTGTGCACCTACCAGCTTTACCAAATTCATTGACGATTCTTTCCGCTTCCCACCTTTTTATTTTTGCCAGTCTTTACCTGACCGCATGAATGTTTCCTCCCACCTTTTAAATCTTTTCACCTTTTACATAACCTCTAACCGCTATTCGCCACGAAACAAAAACCAAACAACCCGCCACTTGTCAAGTTACCCCAGCCCGTCCAACCCATACCGACGTCCCTATAACCTACGAGCCTCCTGGTCTTGGTAAGCCTCTCGTTTATTTTATTTTACTCTTTTGCCTGCATAGCTCAACCTCTCCGCGATAAATAATTTACCGAGAGCTAATAATAACGTCATTAGGTCGCGCACTGAAGCTTTCCGAATCTTACGTTGATAGGTGCTAGCTCACGCAATTTTGACGACAAGGTACGTACCCACAGTGACAATGCTGACCCGCACGCCCACTTCTTTCCCATTGGACCGTACGCACCTGCCAAGCAATCTATATGCACTTCCCCCACACCTGCCGTAGTTCTATCCTTTTCCTTGACCCACACAAGAAACAACAACCCTTAAAAATTTCTGGCCGCGTCCGTACATCTGGTCTCTCTTCCATTTCTTCTTCACACCTCTCAAATCCCATCAATCATAAGCTCGTTGTGTCACAGTCAACTCAAACCCCCAACTCTTTCAATCTTCTCTAGGGCACGTAGCCACCCTATTCCTCCCCCGAAATTGTTCAAGAGTTCAATAGCTGAACCCGAACCCGAACGTCCTCAACGTTAACCATCGCTTTCCGTCAAGTCAATCAACCTATTTCCAACTAATCTCCCACCTAGAAAATCATCAATCACAATGGCCACCACCGTGGAGAAAGTTGCTGACGCTGCCGTCAACGACGTTACGAACGCTCTGAGCAATACCTCAATCACTGGCAAGGATGAAAACAAAGATGCCGTCCACGCCAGCGCTGCCGAGGGTCGCCGCCTGTACATCGGTAACCTCGCCTACGCGACAACCGAGGGGGAGTTGAAAGAATTCTTCAAGGGCTATCTTGTGTAAGTTCACCCTCATTTCTTCCTTCCTACAGCTTCGCACAACACGCATCTATGCAAGCGATCAACAATTTGTGTTTGATTGCCTACGTGTTGACTCATACGGTCAATTATGGATTGCCCTGTCCCACCTGGGCACACCGACATGTTGAGCTTCCACATGCCTGCTCCTGTGGGGCCATGACAACAAGCAACCAGTGCAACGATAGCAGGTGGTCTTATGAATTATCGTAATGGGCTAGGATTGTCCTGTTGTCAGCTCTGCTCTGCTTTCGCTAAGATCTGCACCTTACAAATGGGCGTTATGTCGGTGCCTACGCTAACTCGTATCACCTAGTGAATCCGTCTCTATCCCCAAGAACCCTCGCACCGACCGCCCTGTCGGTTATGCCTTCGTGGATCTATCCACACCCACTGAGGCTGAACGTGCCATCGCCGAGCTCTCCGGCAAGGAGATCCTCGAGCGCAAGGTTTCTGTTCAGCTTGCCCGCACTCCCCAGCCGGCTGGCGAGAAGGCTGAGGGTGCTACTAACGGCGATACTGGTGCTGAGGGCTCTCGCCGTCGCCCTTCTGGACGTGGCCGCGGCCGAGGTCGTGGACGTGCTGGTCGCGCTGGTCGTGGCGGCCGAGCTGTATGTTTTACCTTGTTCTATGTATCTTTACGTGTTTATGATTGAGCTAACATAAAATCCAGGATGGTGCCAAGGATGATGCCGCTACTGAGGGAGCTACCGGTGCCCCAGCCGACAACGAGGTTCTTCCTCTAACCGATATCACCAACAAGGTGGATACTGACAAGGCTGATAAGACCGCGAAGAGAGGCCCTCCCCGTGAGCGCCGTGAACGCGGACCTCCTGCTGACGGCATCCCTTCCAAGAACAAGGTCATGGTTGCTAACCTTCCCTACGACCTGACCGAGGAGAAGGTAATGTTGATATGTGAAACCTGAATGAAAACTGGCCATGGTCTAACTTCTCTATAGCTGAAGGATCTCTTCCAGGACTACCAGCCTTCTTCCGCCAAGATCGCTCTGCGACCCATCCCTCGATTCATGATCAAGAAGCTGCAGGCTCGTGGTGAGCCCCGCAAGGGTCGCGGCTTTGGCTTTGTCACCCTCGCATCGGAGGAGCTCCAGCAGAAGGCCGTCACTGAGATGAACGGCAAGGAGATCGAGGGTCGTGAGATTGCTGTCAAGGTCGCCATTGACAGCCCTGACAAGACTGACGAGGAAGCCAACATTCCTCAGGAGCATGAGACCAATGGCCAGCAGGAGGCCGCTCCGGCCGCCGCCTAGATGGCCTAAACATATCTCGATGACGAACCGGCTTAATTTCCTATGAGAGATGGTTACCGAACAACCCATTGCTTATTTTACGGAACGTCTTATTTTATGCGTCGATCGAGATTACGTGACGAATTACGTCGGGGATGGCTTCTTTCTTTGATTTCACCATAGTTACGCAGATGCACCAAGGCAGCGGCATGACGTGGTCCCAGATATCGTCAGTAGGCAAATACCATCAACAGTATTTGCATTTGGCTGACGGGGGTCTGGACTGTCATGTTAGTTTTGGCACGCCCCTTAATTCACGATGACTTTAACAACCACCTCGAGCATTTTCACGGGTTGTACACTAGGTGGACAACGGAGGGGGTACGGTAGGCTCGGAAAAGTTCTCGCGAGCAGAATAGATACGATGATTACGGATTGATGATACGACCTCTTCGACGTGACCTAGTGAATATGGATACATGATTCGTCTACGTGATGCATTTCTAGAGCTTACAGTGGATATGAAAGTGAATGCCAGTTTGATGATTAATTATATGACCCGGAGCTTATCCACTTATTATATTCATAAAAATTTAAGGATTGATGTATGTACCCAGACTGAATGCCCAAGTTCCTAGTAGCATCCCACTACACATCGTCGGCAAGAAATATTCATGGATGATTTTTTTTTCTTTTTTCTCCCCTGGTCGGTGCGTCAGGGATAGACGCGCTAAACCCCAATATGGTTAGCGTGAATAATCGGTCTTGGCATCCGACATCCCTATTCTGCTAATCTTGATGATTATGCACCTATGCACCTGCATCATGTTTATTGTTACCACGTATTAATAGACTACCCGGATCTTGACAAACTTCGAGTGACTGATATTGGCGCTTTCAATGCTTCGCTTCTAACGACCAATAGCTCAACCCTCATAACTCTTCAACATAAACCATAGCCCATCATGGCCTCGAAAGCCATGTGGGAAGTCGATCCCGAAACCAGATCAAAAGTACGCGTCAACATTCAACTAGCCTCTTATTAGATGCTTGCTGATCACCGTTTCCTTTTTAGCTATTGGCCATTCAAAAAACGAACAATAATAATATCTGCTGCGATTGCAATGCCCCGAACCCACAATGGGCGTCTCCCAAGTTCGGCGTTTTCATATGCCTCTCCTGCGCCGGTGTCCATCGGGGCCTGGGTGTCCACATCTCCTTCGTCCGCTCCGTTACAATGGATGCCTTCAAGCAGGCCGAGATCGAACGTATGCGCCTGGGCGGTAATCAAGGATGGAGATCATTCTTCGAGCAACACGAGGATACGAAGATGCGCGGCCTAAGCTGGGATGATGCCACCATCGCAGAAAGGTACAGCGGCGAGGTCGGTGAGGAATGGAAGGAGAGACTAGGCGCAAAGGTCGAGGGGAAAGATTACGTACCCGGCGAGCGAAAACCTACACCTCAGCCCTCTGCCAATGCTGCGAAGGCTGCCCCGAAGCAGATCAGTAGAACCGGGACACCGCTCCAGGGCGTGGCAACGAGCGGAAGCCGGACAGCAAGTCCTAGCCGAACGGGCACGAAGGCCAAGGTCGACGATGAATATTTTGCGCGGCTAGGAAAGGAGAATGCATCTAGATCGGCGGACTTGCCACCAAGCCAAGGTGGGAAATACGCCGGATTCGGAAACACGCCTATGTCACCTCAGAGCGGTAATGGAGGAAGCCTCCCAGATTTCTCGGATGTGCAGAAGGACCCCGTGGCTGCGTTGACGAAAGGCTTCGGCTGGTTCACATCGACAGTAAGCAAGACAGCGAAAGGATTCAACGATGATTTCATTCAGCCTACGGCTAAGCAGGTGAGAAGCGGCGTTCACCTGCTTGACCGCGCATAGATGCGAGGAAAATTAAGTTGCTAACGACGATACAAACAGATCTCGGAATCGGACTTTGCGGCGCAGGCGAGAGCGACAGCGGGAAATGTAGGCAAGGCTGCACAGGCCGGCGCGATGACTGCGCAGGAACGATTCAACCAATTCGTTGAGGGGTCTAACGGCCAGGGACAGGGCCAGAGGGGAGCCCCGATAGATGAGAGTAAGAAGGCTTTCTGGGATGATTTCTCTGCCGTGGCAGATCAACGACACGGTACCGGCCCTAAGTACAGTTCCGTAGGAACCTCGGCCATGGGTAGGGGTGGTAACAAGAATGCTTCGGCACCGGCTAAGAAGGACGACGAGTGGGACGATTGGTAATGATGTGATGGACTAGGGTTGGTGATAAGAAGCAAGCATAGGTAAGCGAGGTGGCTATATGAGTATCGTGGTGTATGAGTTATACGAGTTATACCTCTAGATGACAAAAACGATGTCAGCTGTATAATTATGTCACCTAGATGGAGTTTTGGGTAGCGTCTAGGTTAGTATATATATCTATGCTTATTAGAATCAATAAAGGGGTTCGGAATATTCTTTCTTTTTTTTTCTTCCTTTTTTAATAGCTACTGGAGTTTAATGCCCAACTGTGGTGATAACCAACCTCACTGTATTGAGAATTAAACCAATTGCAACCCATCCAATAATTATACATTCCTACATGTAACAACAAATCATAATATGCATGCAACCTAACATTATCTCAGTTTATATTTCGTACGTAAAAAGGGGTTTATAGGTAGATTATCACGTGGTCAACTCTATATTTGGCCGAGGCTTTTTAAGTGGGAGCGCGGCTACCGCCGGTCTCGGTCGCGGATTTTCGTCATTGAACCGGAGCTTTATTCCGAACATTTAGACGAGCGGAATAAGCTTCACTTATTACCACGCTCTTCTCGCCTTTTACAAGACAGCTAGCAAAAGCTGCGAATAAGCCATGTCTGCACTTCGCATTCTAGTGCCCATAAAGCGGGTCATTGACTATGCGGTAAGTTTCAATTGATCGCAATTCCTTACCTGTCTGCTTGAAAATGGTGCTAGGAAAGAGAAGAGAGATGGCTAACATTGAGATTGGGGGGTTCGTAGGTCAAACCACGCGTCAACAAGGCGCAGACGGGCGTCGAGACGGCCGGCGTCAAACATTCGATGAACCCGTTCGACGAGCTCTCGGTCGAGGAGTCGGTGCGGATCCGCGAGAAGAAGTCGGCGCCCGGTGGGGTCGAGGACATATGCGTGATCTCGGCGGGGCCGGCAAAGGCCGCAGACGTGCTGCGCACAGCGATGGCGATGGGCGCCGACCGCGGCATACACGTCGACGTTAAGGAGGGCGAGGACCTCGAACCTCTCAGCGTGGCGAAGCTGCTGAAAGCGGCTGTCGAGAAGGAGAAGAGCAATCTGGTTATTCTCGGCAAGCAGAGCATCGACGACGACGCGGCGCAGACGGGGCAGATGCTCGCGGGACTGCTGGGCTGGCCGCAGGCTACGCAGGCGAGCAAGGTTTCGTTTGCTAAGGGCGATTTGGTGGAGGTTACGAAGGAGGTGGATGGGGGCGTGGAAACGGTTCGTGCGAAGCTGCCGTTGGTTATTACGACGGATTTGAGATTGAATGAACCCCGGTATGCGAGCTTGCCGAATATTATGAAGGCGAAGAAGAAACCGCTGGTGAAGATGAGCTTGGGCGATTTGGGGGTTGCGAATGAGAGGAGGTTGAGGGTTGTTAAGGTTACTGGTATGTTTTTCCCCCTTGAGATATTGTGGTTGATGGGACAGAGGCTGTGGGTTGAGTTGATGTTGGATGCATGCTAACTTGTTACAGAACCGGCGCCGAGACAGGGTGGTGGTAAGGTTGAGGATGTTGATGGCTTGATCTCGAAGCTGAAGGAATTAGGTGCTATATGATGAACGAATGGAACATTATATCGAGCACATAGTGTCTAAATCTACATATCGACACTATTTACGGTGTATGAAGCTGGCTAACTACCTAGTTGCCATGGATCTGACTATGAATAACGAAGACACGGGCTTTCATTTCATCCACATCCAATCAACCCCTATTAGCTAGCAGTAGCCTGGGTAGTTTTGAGAAGCCCATAGAGGTCACTGCTGAATATAACATTACATTTACAATTGCACATCTAGGTCCGGTAAGAGAGCTTTGTTCTTCAACTTGTACGAAGGGGATATATACCCACAACCCATCTTCGTTCTGATGATACACAACTGTCAATTGTTAATAATTGGCCTATTTCTTAAGAAGCCAGAAATGCAAGAGTTGTATGATTCTTTTATCAATAATGACGAAACTATTAAGAATTTCACGGCAATAGAACCAATCGTAAGGAATTTCTCCTCATCAAGAACATATTAATAAATGCGTATGCATCGGGTGACTAAGATCAAAATACGACGATTCGTTGTGACATTGTAACTGTACCTAGTATGCACTATCCCTTCAGTGACATTAGGGGCGTTGTGGTATTTAAGGCTAGGGTTTAGTCACTTTGATAGGCCGTTTTCGGCCCATGATGGATTTTTTTTTTTCTTTTGGGGGGGATGCAGATAAGGTAGCGGCAGCGGCAGACCGGTATCATTATGTGTAACCAGTTAATATAACGTTTTTGATTGGCCCAAAGGACTATAATTATGGGGTAAAACATCTAGCTTAGCAGATTCGGAACCTAGTCAGATCGAAATCGCCCTTTGGTTCCCCGCTAAGAAATTAGAAAACATAATTTTTTCCCTTTCTTTCCCCAATCCTCCTCTTAAGACCTAACGATATTCTCCATTCACCTCTTACTAGCTCATATTCATATTCTTCTGATTTCTAAACTCTCAATCCAATTGAGTTGATCTCTTCCTTCTCCTACCGATCCTGGTTGAAATTACCACAGTTGCCCTTATGAACGGGCGCTCGTCAGTCTTCACATCACAGGTGAGTTTCACCTTATACGTCCTTTGAAGGATGACTTCATACCAGTGTCCCGCCTATTTGAATCATAAAAAAACCACATCACGGAACCCAATTCCTATCCTTGCGTCCCACACCACCACCATTAGAAAGACTCCTATCCCTATCCCTTGGTATCATTTTAGTCATGGCTTTTGCTAACTCTTTATCTTCGCAGGATTATATCTCTGGTTTGTCTAACATCACGAACTGACTCACCGCTTTGACTAACTCAAATTTAGACCACTTGTGGCGGTCTCTCTCCGCTTAAGGGGGCCATTGAATAACCTCTCCAGCTCTAACCTTTTTCTTTATCACTTCAGAACATAATGTTCTCACGACTCATCATCAGGGCTACGAAGCCCGCAGCATTCCGTGCTGCTGGGCCCTCGTTCCGAGCCCGATTCCTCTCTACCTCCGGCAGTTTCGCCGCCCAGGCTGCCGAAGGTAGTCTGGGTAGGCAGATGCCCCAAACTCTCTCCAGGGGTACGAAACCTGCCTCTGGCATGGAGGCTACACTTACTATTCGAGTATGTTATAGCCATTGTCGACTTCAATCTTTACATAATGCTGACTACAACGAAGGATGGTCCCATTTTCCACGGAACAGCTTTCGGGGCTAACTCGAACATTTCCGGCGAGGCCGTCTTTACAACTTCTCTCGTTGGCTATCCGGAGTCAATGACTGACCCCTCGTACCGTGGCCAGATTCTCGTCTTTACCCAACCATTAATTGGAAACTACGGCGTACCCTCCGGCGTGCGTGACGAGTGGAATCTATTGAGACACTTCGAATCTCCCCATATTCAATGTGCAGGAATTGTTGTGGCCGATGTTGCCGAGAAGTACAGCCATTGGACTGCCGTTGAGAGTTTAGGTGATTGGTGTGCCCGAGAAGGCATTCCTGCCATCTCAGGTGTTGATACCCGGGCCATTGTAACCCACCTCCGAGAGCAAGGTTCTTCCCTTGCTAGAATCTCGGTTGGTGATGAGTACGATGCCGATGAAGACGAAAGCTTCATCGATCCTGGCCAAATCAACCTCGTGAAACGGGTCAGCACCAAAGCTCCCTTCGTTGTGGAGGCACATGACCCCAAATATCATATTGCGCTACTCGATTGCGGCGTTAAGGAGAACATCCTTCGGAGCTTAGTGAGCCGCGGAGCCAGCGTCACTGTATTCCCCTACGACTTCAAGATCCAGAAGGTTGCCGACAATTTTGACGGAGTGTTTATTTCTAACGGCCCTGGTGATCCAACACACTGTCAATCTACTGTACACAACCTCGCAGTACTGATGGAGACTTCTCAAGTACCTATCATGGGTATTTGCTTAGGTCATCAGCTCCTAGCTCTAGCAACTGGAGCTCAGACCATCAAGCTGAAGTATGGTAACCGAGCTCACAACATCCCGGCTCTAGACATGACGACCGGACAATGCCACATCACGAGCCAGAATCATGGGTATGCCGTCGATGCCAGCACTCTAGGAAACGAATGGAAAGAGTACTTCGTCAACCTCAATGATGGTAGCAACGAGGGCATGCGTCATGTTTCTCGACCAATCTTCTCGACCCAGTTCCATCCCGAGGCCAGAGGTGGTCCCATGGATAGTGCTTATCTATTTGACAAGTACATTGAGGATGTGATGGCTTTCAAGGCCTGTCAGACTGTCTACAAGGACAACCGGCCATCCCAGTTTATGCTTGATATCTTGAGCAAAGAACGAGTCGGCGTTCAGCCAGAACCTTTGGCCAGTGCTGCTTAAAGAGTTACATATGTAGCATACACGTATTATTGATTTGAACTGGCTGGGATAGGAGTCTATTTCTGGGAAATTAATGTGACATTTTATGACAAATTACAAACAATCTACATTCGTTCTAACTTATCAATTTCCATATGAATCGCATTTGGTCCAACATAAGCGTGATCGCATGGCTACCCGGAGTTTAACTCGTCCATAGCGTATCACCAAAACATAGGTACAAATCTGTTATAATCTAGAATTTCCATGAACAGGTTTTAACTGTATGACGAACACCCACTGGAGTATAGAACGTCTAATAACAATCACTTGATGATGGAGAAATCGTTCCGGGCTCATGATGCGGTATTCGCCTCAAATGGTGTGGTGGTCCCATTTCTCCTATTTTACTAACGCGAGACGGCACATGCCGATCCTCATACTACATATCAAAATATGTTGTCAAGTGTATTTGTCAATTGTCTAGGTATGAATGATTAGAATAGTAAATGTTAGTATGAATCCTGATTGTCTTAATAATCGCTAACTCGAAGGATTACCTAGGATATTAAAATTGTTTCAGTTACGTTAATATCTGAGCACCAACACACGATATTTGCAATAGGCATATGCCCTATACGAACTACCTAGGTACCTATTGAGGCTGAAGCGGCATCGACCGTTTCTTGTAAACATCGACTCATTTTCACGCCTTGCGTCGAATATCGATGATCCATAGCATCTAGATCATTTCCCGGCCTCGAGAAGGGTCCTAGTATGATAGTCAGGAGACTCGACCTTCAGTTAGGAGAATATATCTACCAACTCCGTTGTGTTTCTTAAAAGTACCGAGTAATGTGTTAAGTGTGAGTTATAAGGTACAAGATATCTAAAAGTAAATCGAAGTGAAATGTATCACAAACGTCCGAGTAGCTTAAGCACCTGTGCCTCTAAACACCTTACCTCCTGCTCTACCGAGCTATTACTACGTGATGGATTACACTGAACAGTTAATATGGTCGTGCTACGGCATAATGGAGCTCGATAGCCGCGAACATAACCGACACCGTCTCGAAGACATCCCCGCGAAACCCGAAGAGAACTTCGTCATAGGGATATCCGGATGCACCTCCGCCGGCAAGACCACACTCGCCCTCCTCCTCGACGTCGTCCTGCGCGAAGCCGTCTGCCGAATGGCCTCCGGCAACCACGAATACAACCCCGAGCTCCCCCCGCACACCGCCGTCATACACCAAGACGCGTATTTCTTCAAAGACCGCATAGAAAGGGGTCCGATGGTCTCGGTGCAGCCCCTCTGGCCGGAAGATAAACTCGTGGCGAATATGACGGGCCCGAACGACCCGCCGATACTGGTAGAAGACCGCGATTGTGTGGGGAGCTGCGACATAGAGCTTCTCGCGAAACATATCGACGAGCCGGACGAGCGCGCGAGGACGGGGGTGCCGAATCCGCGGTTCTTAACGAATCTGCAGGAACGCGCGCGGATACACGTTGAAGGTGACGAGGAAACCGAAGACGGGGAGCTGGAGCGCGACGATATATCCCCCGCCGCGGCGGCCGCGGCGAACGAGTTAGCCCCCGGGACCCTCGACGCAGCCGTCGAAGCCATGCGCGATGCCTTCCGGCGCGACACGACGAGGCTGGCGCTGAAAACCCAGCATATCCGACTTGATGACGCGGGCGTGCCCATCGTGCCGTTCCGGTTCGTTGTTGTGGAGGGGTTCACGCTGTTCGCGCGGGACGCGGAACATGATCCCATCGGACGGTCGTCTGCTTCGGCGTCTGATACCGAGGCGGTGGCGCTGCGGTCGTTGAGACGCGTGCAGGATCGGTTTGATGTGGCGCTTTTTTTGCCGGTGGAGAGGGAGGAGGTTAGGGTACGGCGGTTTGGGAGGAGCAGGTATTTGGATGTGCCGGAGGGGAGGAGGAGGGAGGGCGAGGGGTGGAAGAGTGGGGGGTATTTTGATCAGGTTGCTTGGTGAGTTGGGCTTTGCTTTTGTCTTGTCTATCTCGTTGTATCCGTATGTGGCTGTACTGTGCTGATGTTTCGTCTCGTGGATCTAGGCCGCATTATGAACGCTACCATCGACATATCCTGTCTCATCTTACCGAGACGTATTCAAGCGACGAAGCGTTGCGAGAGCGGGAGCATGGACGACCGTGGTGCGCAACGAATGCATGGGAGCGCGATCCTTGCGTCAATGGTGTTCATGTGCGGCCGGCGGCTGTGAGCTCCCTCGATGATACATTGCTATGGGCGTCCTCGGTTGTTGGTGGCGTGCTGGCGGCGAGGCAATTGCAGGATTGTGATCACGATTCGTAGGGTCGGAGTACGTCATCTTTCCTCTTGATGTATATAGTTCTCTTCCCACTCGTCACATTCATGCTGGGGTAGGCTACCTTTATGTTAGGTATACGGATATACTCCTGGGTAGGGGTTAGTCAGGTAGTTGGTTAGTAACGAGGAGTCAAGGGCTGGGCGGTGATATCCACATATACACGCAGAATAAAAACAGCATTTTCAATCAGCGGCGCACAAGCTTGGGAAGGATCTCGGTATAAGAATCATCAATTATTAGCACACTTGTCTTGCAATAGCCTACTAGGTACCTAATTAGTGAGGCGTCATGTCAGATTTGTCTTGCAAAAAGCCGTCTCGTGTCGCCCTCTTCGTCTCGTAAAATCGGGCTTGCCTTGCCACCGTCTCCTCCCCTTCGGACCGGGTATCCTTTCCATACAATGCGTCCTATGTCTGTCCTGCGAAATGCTGTTGTTCGTTCCTATGCGTCTCTTTATGCTCCGAAAAAAAGAATGCCCCTAAACTTTTGATTGATTGCGTTTGCGAATTGGGCGCGGGAAAATGGGGACCGCGCACTGTACGTTCAATTCGTTCATATACAGTTGGTTCCAGAATGCCTTACAGCAATATCACTTAACTTTGGCTTGGTGTTGCTGTCTCTAGACACCTGTAGAGGTAATTAGTGTGTTAGTATCGATCTCTATCCCTTCGACTTCCGCGATCATCTCTGTAGCGGCGACTTGGTCGGTCGTCTGAAAATCGAGGGCGGCCGTTGGCACCTGATCCGGAAGAATCTCCAGGACGGAATCGATCGCCACCTCGAGGAACGCCGTGGAAGATCGGCATACCACCACGACGTCGACCACCTTGACCACCTCGGCGAGGACGTGGTGGATCGCGTCTCTGGTCTCTCTGATCACGCTGGTTATGCTGGCGCTCACGTTCCCGATGGGGCGGGCGGATACCTAAGAAGATCTCCGGGCCTCTGTCAACGAGTGTATCACCATTCTCGAAATAGTAACGCTTGTAATCTTTGCCGAAGTCTCCGTCTAAATTCTTAGTCTTCGCTGCCGAGATTGTGTCAAGTCGTCGTCTCACTAACTCGTCCGAGACAGGCTGGTACGTGATGGTAGGAAAGGCACGAGTTGGCTGTCCGGCGTCATCCAGTCGTGCCATCCTGTTAGGATGCATCGCCGCGCCGCCACGACCTCCAGTGAACCCGCGCGGCCCCGTAGGTGCGCCTTCGATGCCGGCGAATGGTCGGGACGGCCCAGTGGGAATAGACTGCTTACGCTCAGGCGGCGGCTCAGGTGCAATAAGCGCTTGCTTTGGCGCAGGCCCCGTGCTGTCGAATTCTTCGAGCTTGGCAATTACATTATTATCCTCATCGGTACGGTAGACAACCTCATAACGATTTGTCGAACCACGTCCTCCGGAAGATGTCTGCTCCATATCAACCCATTCCTCGAAGCGCTCTGACGGCATGAAGTCGACCCACAAAGCCTTGCGGTTGGTCTCGTCAGGCCAGACACGGTTGTGAAGCGCAGTGCGTACTCTTGAGGCAGACGATATACTATTAAACACCACAAACGCGTGTGTTCGGATGTTGTCAATGTAGAAATCAACGATTGTACCATCTTCAATGGGAGCGCCTACCGGTGTGGCGAGGCCTAGTAAATGATCCTGAACCGCCTGCGCTCGAAGGGGTCTCATGAAGTCCTTAATGTAAAGTGCACACGTGGCTGGGTGAATGGACGGCGCGACATCGCGTTCTATCTCGGCTGGATACGCGTTGTAAGTTTCTTCTCGGGGGCGCGTGTCCTCGTGACGTTCCTCGAAGGTTGGTTCGGCATTATTCATCGTGATGTCTTCAGGGTGTCCGTTCTGAGCAGCTAAGGGAGCATTATCCGTAGGACTAGGTTGGGCGATGCCATCATCGCGTTCAGGCTCGGGCTCGGGCTCGATTGGCGCGTCATCCTTAGCGCCTTGCATCTCGACGTCTGAAGGAACAGAGGTATCTTCCTTTCGAGGTGTTGCCTCGTCGACATTCTCCGGGATCGAATCCACAACTTGGCCTTTTTGGCTATCGCAATCTTCTTGTCTAGCTCGTTTATGTGTAACCTCGTGAGTAGAGGGGGCGGGACTCAACGATCTTCGCTTTCGTTTCTGCGAATCCTGTAAAACCTCGGTCGCTCGTAAAGGGGTTGCGCCAGAGGACGACGGAGCCGTGATAGACTGAGCCTCGGCTGTAGGTACAGCTGCAGGAGTTTCCCATTCTGCCTGCACGGCTTCGTTTCCGACTTCAGCTTGCTTAGGGGATTCATTTGGGGGTGTTGGTTCCGCGACTTCAGGTGCCTGAGGCGATTCGTGGTCGGGTTGTGGCTCGCCGTTCACATCCTCAGTATTCTCGACAGCTTCGTCAGGGGAGGGAGAAGCCTCCTTTTCAGATTCCGCAGCTGTCAAACGTGCTACTAGGTCAGCTTTGAGGCCATTCTGAGGCAGGCCGAGGCGCTTAAGCTCGGCCTTTAGGTCAACGACCTTGAGTTTGTTCCAGTCTGTAGCCATAGCTTGCGACGGGAAAGGGTATGGGAATGAATGGTAAATTTATGAAAGTATGCACATTTCTTGTATGATTCTTGTCAACAAGAAAAGGAGGTTTGTAATCACGATTGAGTAGCTGGGCGCGTTCGTATGTAGGTAATTGATTATCTGTGCGATGAGAGAAGATGTTCCGAATTATCGTCAGGGACTGAAGGTAGCTTTGCTCGGAAAAGAAAAAAAAAGTGGAAATTTATAAAGTGCAAACGAAGTAAAGGGTTGCCGTATTCGTCTACTATGTATGCTGGAGAATATCGTTGAGAGAGACGGGGAGCTAAGAGGGGAATATGTTTTAAGCTTTACGTTGTAATTGTTGTACTTGAAAAGAGTAGATAGAGGGATGCGCCGAAGAGATCATGGATCATGAAGATGTCATCTCATTCAATGTTGGGTTTTGGTGCTAGGTGTTTAAGGTTAAGTTAGGCCGGCGCGTGTGTCGCGGTCTTGTAGTCTTGTAGTTACCAGGTTACTTACCTGCCTACTACAAAAAATTTCATAGGGGTAGCCGAACAGTTGGAACTCGGCTGCCAACCCTGAGCTAATAGTGGATACAGACTGGAGGTATTGATGTCGCATCACAGGGTACCTAGGTACCTAGGACTTAATATTATGTAGCTGCGTGCAGGATCTCATTATGTAATCGGTAGATTTATGCTATCTATCCCATTTTTGGACTAGCTCTTGACCTCACAGCGCCCAGAAATGCACGCACTTTGCCATACCTAGTACGGTTATCTTTCAGCCAAAATACAACATAAAGCGACCACCCACACGTGCCATTCATAATCAAGATTCCGGCAAGAACGATCAGTCCTTATAAGTTTAAAAACATCTGTAAGTAGTAGCTAAGAAATCTTCGTAACGATGGGCAGCTACGTAGGTATAGAGTAGGCAGTTTCAAATTATTGTCAGTTACGAATTCGCATTCACCGGAAGCGGCCTACCTGTGACAATTATCCACTTCATACCTCCTTTACTACTAGGTACTACCATCATTGTAACTTTGTAATTCATTTTCAATTTGGTATGTTCGACCTGACCAAAAGCGGTACAACACTTGGGCAGTTATGTGAAAGACATTGAATACCTGCCTAGTAGTTGACGAGTCACCCTCAATCAACTGTGAATAACATCTTCACTGGTTTCGTCCAATAAATCAATGATGTTCATATCATCTTTTTTCTTCCTCATTTATCCAGCATTATGAGAAACAGAGAGCTCCAATCCAACACATCTGATTGAGTGCTGCGCTCCTTTGCAGACTTCTTTGCGATTCACAATTCACGCTTTACATCACCCATTTTATCACCCTCAAATCCTTTGCGACAAGAATCTTAGAACAGCAAAAAGTCCACCACCGACAACATGGCCGGCTTCACTAGTTGGTTCTCTCGCAGTGCACCTAATAGTTCGCCTATTACACCTGCAGGTGCGAATAATGGCTTTTTGAGAAATAGGATCTTTGGTGGCCGTGTTACTAAACATTCCTGGACACCTAAGAAGAAAACGCATGAAGAATTGGCCGACAAAGTAGAAGGGCGTGGGTGGAAAGGACTTCCAGGGACGGGAGAGGATGCGACTCAGTCGACCGACGATGAAGAAGCTAGCCACGTTATTAAAAAGGAAGAAGATAGTGATCATTTCGAAGAAGACGAAATTCATGTCCACAACCATAATTATGGGGACGACAAGAAGGTAGATGACAGGCCAGAAACTCCAGATCGCGTGGCAGACAGCTACAACAACGTACTCGCCATTGCATCAATCGAAGACGAATTGCTGCAAGAACCCCTAGAGCACCCTGCACATCACCACAATGGAGCCGCCAGCGACGTGGAAGAAGAAGAAGAACGCATCGCATTAAGTGATGATGGAACTGCAAGCGAATCAGAAGCATCCTCAACTACTCAGGAAACAAACCAAGACTATGACCCGGAAGATGGGTGGCGTTACGAACAGGTCTTCCTCAATCAAATTTTGAGGGGACGAGACGAATACTCGCTTATGCCCTCAACTTGGAAAATGCACTTCCGGGGGATTCCTCTGCCAGAAGGCCTTTTCTACATCAAAACCCACGCTGTAAGCACCCGGCCTAGGATATACGCGCGCACGGAAAGGCTCGAATATCGAGGTATGTTGAATTTATTATTGCCAGCTTGTTTCTCACATCAGCTAATTCTTGAATAGGTGCTATCGCGCTTCGTAGATTGATGGATATTCACGGGCGGATCCGCGACATACGCAAAGCAAGAACAGATGCTACGCGAGATGAAGATGAACGACGAATCGTCAAACATATTAGGGGAAGGGTTCAGGATGTCCTGCGTTGGGCTGAGCTCGATGGGGACATTGCTAAGTACAGCAACTCCTTACCCCCCAACGTCCGATTAATAGAGATGTATGATGCGGACAAAGACAACATGCATGTACCCATCCAGGACAGTATGGCGGAGGTGGCTGCATCGTGGCGGGAGGTATTAAACCGTATACCCAAAGACCAGAGGCCAACACCGCCGGTAATATTCGGGCTCGTCATCTTCAAGCACATATTGTTCATCGTCACATTGGACTCACAAGACCCGTTATCTTGCTGTCACATCCCAATCCAAGTGAATTTATCGGAAATGAACCAGAACCAGTGGAATGCGCTGGCAATTATGGTTACTGTCTGCTGGGCCCGAGATCTATTCGCAGATGTGGCAAGCAAGATTCCCGATTTACTCTTGGAGGACCCGAATGTCGACAGCGACCCGGATGCGTAACATACGCAATACCTACCCATAGAGGAGGATAGCGACAAAGTTCTGACAGGTTTCCTTTGTACTAGCGGACTCAAGAGATCCTTGCTAATGAGAAGGATGGATTGAAAGTTACTCTTGTAGGCGTCATATTTGGATTGCGGATTGATATCAACTTTTTGCTGCTTATTGAGACCAGCTGAGACCAATCGAGGCCTAGATACCAAAATAGTACGGCATAGCTATTTGAATTATTGCTGATGATACCATATTATCTCAAAGTGTAGTCAAAATTAGATTGACTAGTTCCGTTGTTGTATTGTTCCATAGTCGTTTTCCGATGGGTGGAAATCGACTTCAAGGTTATGCCCCGGGGATCTATTACCCGTTATCGATATCGATATTAGTGATCTGGGGGGTTATTGCGGGGCTCTTCCTGACCTAAATTGCCCTTCTATTTAAAATTCTACATATGCGACTGGTTGCTATTAATGCCCCGCTAAGTTTCTCTTGCTCATCTAGAAAGAAAACTCGAAAAGCTGTGTCAACTTCGACACCACGACCGCACTACCAACTATGGCAAGCGGAATAGGGGGGCTTGGTTTAGATACCAATGGGCCTTTCAAGGGTAAGATACATACCTGGTACTCGAATGTATGTGAATAATTGCTTACAATCTTTTAGGTATCCTTGACATCTGGCACGAGCACCGACCCTCGATTTTATTTGCGATAACCTGCACCTTAGTCGTGGTCTGGTTGTACATAGAACTCCTTCAGAAAACCAGTACCACGGCCAACGTATCAGACCTAGATCAGCAACTTACGAAGATAATACCGAGAAGTAATGGGATAGCTCCGCAAGAGAAGATCGATTTGCCTAAAGAAAAGGCGAAAGAGGTTACTACTGGACCGCGTCGCATCAAGGGCGAGCTACGAAGAGTAGATAATACACGAAAAGACATAGAACCGAGTCGCAAAAGTCCCATCCAAATACTCGTGTTCTATTCATCCCTGACCGGAAGCACGGAGAAGACCGCCGGTGGAATTGCCGAAAATCTTGGTACTTTATTAAGAGAGCGAGCCAATAACTCTGGAAAGTCTTTCTTAAGCCCCGTCGTCTTAGATTTGGCCCAGATAGATTACGATGAGTATTTCATCAGTGCACCTAAACCGACGGACCAAGATATACCGGTGGACTATTTCTATCTTCTGTTAGTACCGAGCTATAACATCGACTCTATCAACGATAATTACCTCGAGCATATGAGTGAAACCCATCACGACTTTAGGATCGACACAGCTCCACTTTCGGGTATACTAGGTTACTCTGTATTTGGCCTGGGTGACAGAGAAGGATGGCCGACTGAAGATGAAGGGTTTTGTTTCCAGGCTAAGGAGGTTGACAAATGGATGGCTAGATTGACGGGTCGTAAGAGAGCCTATCCCTTAGGAATGGCAGACACAAAACGAGATCTAAGGGAAAGGTTAGATGAATGGGCAGACGGTGTGAAGGATATCCTGGAACATGTCGCTCGTACAGGATCTTTAGGGGAAGGAGTCCCGGGAAGCGGAGACGCCATTGAAAGTGACGAAGAATATGGTTCCGGCGACGACGATGACGGTGAGGTCGTTATCGACCCATCTTTAACGACGAGCAAGGCAAAGAAGGGGAATGCTGCAAATATCGAAGATGTTGAAGACCTTGGGAGAATTATGAAGGCCTCTCAAAACAAACCCGAAAAATCGATTAACCCAACACCAATCGCTGTAGACTTCACAACATACAACAAACCAAAATCGAGGAAACCGCCGGTGACAATCAAAGAGATGGTACCCAAAAACTCACCTACTTATGCATCATTAACTAAGCAAGGCTACACTATCGTAGGCTCGCACTCAGGGGTTAAGATATGCAGATGGACCAAGTCAGCGCTCCGCGGGCGCGGCTCCTGCTATAAATTCTCATTCTACGGCATCGCGTCGCATCAATGCATGGAGACTACACCATCGTTGTCCTGCTCCAACAAATGCGTCTTCTGCTGGCGACACGGAACGAACCCGGTAGGCACGACCTGGCGCTGGGTCGTCGACCCTCCCGAGACAATCTTCGACGGTGTCAAGGCCGGCCACTACCAAAAAATCAAGATGCTACGCGGCATCCCCGGCGTCCGGGCCGAGAGGTTCGCCGAAGCTATGCGCATCCGCCACTGCGCGCTGAGCTTGGTGGGAGAGCCAATCTTCTACCCTCACATCAACGAGTTCCTCGCGATGCTGCACGGCGAGCGCATATCCTCGTTCCTTGTATGCAATGCGCAACACCCGGACCAATTAGCGGCGCTTAAAGCTGTCACACAGTTATACGTATCCATAGATGCTAGCAACAAGGAGTCTCTACGGAAGATCGACAGGCCGCTGCACCGCGACTTCTGGGAGCGGTTCCAGCGCTGCCTGGAGATCCTGCGCGAGAAGCGGAATAAGCAACGCACCGTCTTCCGCCTGACTCTTGTTAAGGGATTTAATGTAGAAGATGAGGTTGAGGGGTACGCGGACCTAATTGAGAAGGGATTACCATGTTTTGTCGAGATTAAGGGCGTGACATACTGCGGCACGTCGAGCAGCGCAGGCGCGGGCCTAAGTATGGCGAATGTACCGTTTTATGCCGAGGTGACGGAATTCGTCACCGCGCTCGATAAAAAGTTAAGGGAGAGGGGGCTGAAATATGGTATTGCGGCCGAGCACGCGCATAGTTGTTGCGTACTTATTGCTAGTGAGAGGTTTAGGGTGGATGGGAAGTGGCATACGAGGATTGATTACCAGCGCTTCTTCGAACTGCTTGAGGAACGGGGCGCTGATGGCGATTGGACGCCCGAAGAGTATATGGGTCCCGAGACGCCCGAGTGGGCGACCTGGGGAAATGGCGGGTTTGATCCGAGGGATGTGAGGGTGGATCGGAAGGGTAGGAAGATCGAGGCTTGATTACCTGTGGGTACCTAGGTAGGTATAAGATGCATGGTTAAGGGGCGTTGGACTATATCATCACACTTGAGCAATCGAGTTGGAGTCAGCTGGGTAGAGAAAATAAAGAATCATGGTCCATTCGTTTGTCTATACCAGCCACCGAGCATGATCGTGAAAAAATGTACAGCGGAGCCGCCCTATCTACCGGAACATCCGAACAGGAAGAGTATACGGCCAGGCGCATGCTGCTGACCGATCATTATATCATACATGGTATTCAAGGTATTCCTTTCTGCGTAAGTGCCTAGGTCCCTTCTTATACCGCGGGAACCATTCACTGTTTTTGGTCAGGGGCTTCTCGTCTATCTCTACCTGGAGGTTGGCGTTTTTACTTAACCAATCCCTAGGTGAGCGAAGCCTATCTACCAATCGTCTGTTTTCATGTGGGAAGAGTGGAGGGAGTAGTAGTGTCGTTTTAAGGATTTCAGTACGGATGAGGATGATGGGGTGTATTAGACTCCTATTCTTATCCTATTATCCTATTTCTAGTCCAGGCCTGCGCTAGGTAGGTCTGAGAGGTTGATGCCGCTGCCGCCGCCGGCGCCAAGGTCGAGGTCCTTGTCGTAGGCGATCATCTCGGCCAAGACATCTAATACTCGCTGTTGCGTAGGGGTATATGGTTAGCGGGATATTCGTGATGGCGAATGTGCGATTTCGCATTGGGCTTCTTACCTTGTCCACGGTCTTGTCATAAATGCTGATTAGGTCGCCCGGAGTTGGGTATACCTTGAGAGCCTTGTAGAAGGCTAGCGCGGCTTCCATCGTTCGAGATGCTGTAGGGATCGCTCAGAGTTAGCGCTTGTCGCTCTTTGTTTCGGAATAGCCTCCTATAATTTCCTCCCTTTTTCTCCTATCTTCGCCTCTCCTCCGGCTCAATGATGTAGACCAAGGGTATATGCGTGACTTACGTTCTGCGGCGAGCATTTCTCCCTTTTGAACATGGTCCATGAAAAACTGCTCCTTCTCGTTGACGCCCGTGGGGAATCCCTCCTCCTTAGTTGCGTCGATTACTAGCTGGATGTCCTTGCGCTTCTGCTTGTTGAACGCCTGGGCTTCCTCCTTCTCCGCGCGCGCTTGTCGTCGCTCTTCCCGTCGCAAGTTTCTTCGGAAGTTGGGGTCTACGCGACGTTGGTAGTCGAAGTAGATTGCGTATGCTGTTTCAAGACGGACGTATTAGCGGGGTTGCACTTCGGACAGGGAGGGTTGCCGAGGAACGACGGCGTTGCGAATGGGAGAATTGTCCTCATTGACGGGAGTCGCGGACATAGTTGAAGTAGGATCAGGAGGAGGAGTAGGGATGTGTACCTAGTAGACTGGTGGCCGCCGTTGCGGCTGATATCGTCAGGACCGTACTTGTTTGGACCATTGTGACGGCTGTGGTTGTCCCGTGTGGGGGTGAGGAGAAATCGATTAACTGGCTTAATGCAGGGCGGTTGCGGTTTAAATGATCTAATCGAATTCTACGATTTGGTCGTGTCGTAGTTGCTATCTCTTGTCCGGTACAATGCGAATCGTTGAGGTTCTGCAAGGTTACTTCCTAAAAAAGGTCTTCAACGATAAAAGCAGCACTTGAGCCTTCCGTAATTTTTTTTCAATGCAGCTTAGCTCGATACCTGACCGTTGACGTGCCATGGCAGCTTAAGCCCCAGATCCTTGCAACCCTCAATCGCGCTAGACATAGAAATGGACTAGCGTATCCGCTACCAAATAAATCCGGCCGATAAAGTAGGCGGCATCAATGGGAAGGAGCGTTGTCTGTCGCATAGCGGCATATGAAGCAATTGAGTGTCTGTGCCCCGTTCAGCTAAGCCGTCTCTACCTACATCTGTACTTCGACTTTGACCTTCAACCTTCAACCTTTAATGTCCAACTGTTCGCCTTTATAACCGTCTCAATAGAAGAACGGCATTGAACGACCAACCCGCCTGCTGGATGCACTTGATCTAAAAAAGCACCTTGAACTGGGGATTGTCACTCATTATCAATCCCTATTCTTACGGCGATCCTTGATGGATCGTTACGTATACCGACCACGCTGAACCTCCTGCACAACCTCTTGCATTCAATTACACAAATCGCTCCCCGATTCTGTTCTAATCTAGACACTCAATATGTCTGAGGAACGAAGCAAGATATCGCTACGCACCGGCCCTAAGAGGAAAGCTCGTCCTACTATCAGCGCCCCCCGCCAAATCTCCGAACCTATCCCTAACAATGACGTCCCTGTGCCTCGCAGCACCGGTGGACGACCTGGCCCTGGTGGTCCACCGCCACCCCGACAGCGACAACCCCCTTCAACCAGTGGGAAGACTAGCGATCTAGTCAAGCGACGATATTCAACTCGTTTTAACAACCTCCCTAGTGATTTCGACCCGAATGTTCCCCCAGTACCTTCCATGCCTAGCTTCGATCCGTCGAGGTACGATCAGCCCGCACCACGTTCCCGACCGCCCCCGTCCCGCGATGGAGGTGCACCCAGGGGCGCGCCACCAACAGTTGATCCAAAGGCACTCAGAGACCCAAGGCTGATACCTGATCAATATGTTTCAAACATTTTGAGCGAAGCTACCGAAGACGAAATTCGAGATTACGAAGTTGCCTTGCGCAAATTGAAGAACAGGGCTTCGGCAGATTTACAGCAGAGTGTCTACCAAAATCGGGCACAGTTTATTAAGATTAGCAAGGAAGCCGAGAAGTTAAAGGCAGAGATGCGCTCTTTACGCAATCTATTCAAAGAACTGGCCACGAATACGAACGCACTCAGGGCTTCATCTGGAGGCAATAGCGTTTCTATAAACGGCGAATTTTCGAGCGGCCTCAGTAAGAGGGACAAACGCAGCTCAGTGGCCGACAGATCGGCTCTCTGGAATGCCCAGATGCAGGCTCTCTACAAGAATGTCGAAGGTTCCCAGAAGTTCCTTCCCAACTCGATGGGTAGACACGTTGTCCAAAATGCCGGGCCCTGGATTGAACTTGACAATGCGACATACAAATCGAGGAGATCTATGCAGCTATTTCTCCTTAATGACCACCTACTCATTGCATCGCGTAAGAAGCGTAAGACGGATAACCCCAACGACATACGAGGTCCGGCGACGAAGCTGGTTGCTGATCGTTGTTGGCCATTGTTGGACATCGAAGTCGTTGATATGGCTGCAACTAGCGATTCGTACAGCGGCAGGAACAAACTTGCGGATGCTATCATGGTTCGAGGTGTCGGCCAGGAATCTTTTATCTATCGGACGGAGAAGTCAGAAGACACCGAGAAGGCAACCCTGGTATTGAACATTAGAAAGGCAGTTGAGGAACTGCGAAAGAACTTGCAATCCGAGTTGGAGGCTAATAACAAGGCTAAAGAGACCATTAATTATTTTGCCTCTCGAGATCCGGGTTTGCTACAGAAGACGGAGCTCCTCGAGACGCTATCCGATATCAAGGATATGTTGATCGAGGTGGATGGGAAGCAGCATAATCTTCGCTGGGTTGAGGGTCAAATGGACGAGCTCGACATCGATATCGCGCTTCAAAAATTCGAGCTAGCAGTTGACCGCGTCGAGAGGATGCAGAAGCTTGCTCAAGGGCTTAAGAACAACATTATCGCGCAAGACTTCATCAACTTCAAGGTCGAGGAGAGATGCACGAAACTAGCTGGACTTATCATACGGGAACTTATCGACGCACATAGTCAGCCACTCAAAGCGAAGCGTAATGTCGAGTGGTTAAATAGGCTTGGGTTTGAGGATAGTGCAAGAGATGCCTATCTCAAGGCTCGTAGCGATCTAATTCAAAAGCGCTCCAGGTATGTTATGCATGACTTCTGGTGGATGTGTAGATACTAACTCGACATAGGCAATGTGTTTTCCAGGGTGACCTCCATCTTTACATCTGGCAGATCTCGTTTGTCTATTTCAGCATCATCAGAAATACCGTAAGCTGTTTCCAAAGCTGTTTCCCGCAGGCGATGATGAGCGCCTGCGTGAAATGGGCCAAGGAGGAAGTGGACGCATTCAACGTGATCCTAGCTAGGCAGCTGAGTAGCACAGAGAGGAACGGAGTGGTATGGAAACAGTGCATGGAAAGAGCAAAGATTCATGCGAAGATGCTGGAAGAAGTACAATTAGATTTCCGAGATCTAGTTGGTCGGGATGTCCCCCAGGGCACGAAGTCCAACGACCCGGTTGGTCTTGGGTTGGCATAGGTCTCCCGTATTCCTATTCCTAGGTAGACTGGATGTATACATTAATGTAGTATGGTACATATAAGATTAGCTGGAGGATGGTAAAGGGTATATCAATATAATTCAATATATTTACACCTACATAAATATTTGTCATCTAACTCTCACCCATATAAATATATCTTGACAGATACTGGTATAGATATAAGGGACGGGAGCCGCACGTTAAGCGAAAACTGACGTATTGCGAGGGTACGTACCCCAGGGTAGCGGCTAGCCTGGACATGTGAGCTGGTAGGTACAATAGGTTGGTATTTGTAGCGCTGTAGCGTCAGTACCTTACGTTAGGTACCTAACCTCCCTTTTGTAAGGTCCGACCGCATTCTATTCCACCTGTGACTTGCTATCTTCAAACAAAAGAAAAATCCTACATTACAATCGACCTGATCCTTTCTTGATACTTCCTTGAATTAGTAGGTAATAAGTGACGATCAAGGGCGAGAGCAAGACAAACAAGCTTTCGTCCTAAATTTACGATTGATAGATAGTTGCCTACCTACTTTTTATTTTCTACATCCTCGCGCTATATCGCGAACGATACCCATCTTGCCCATCTTGCCTGTCCTAGCCCCACCCCAAATTCCACCACACCTAGACGAAAGAGGGTGCTGCGCTTTTCCTGCTGCCGTTTCAAACGTCATTCCAGTTGTCAACCGATCCCCCGACTCCATCGATTCCTCGATTTTTTATACCAAGCTATTGCAAAATCCCAACACGCGACGCGAACACAATTACACATAACCAGACGATCCACACTATACCATCCTGTACCATACCATACCTCGCCACACCTGACCGAACAGCAGCTTCTCCTCCACACATTGCTGCCATTGTTTTATCATCATGGATACAAACATGGAGGACGTAGGGCGAGTCCCTGCCGAATTGGCTCCCTTACCCGTCACAGAGCCGACTACGATCCCCACTCTCGATGGATGGATCGAGAGCCTTATGAACTGCAAGCAGCTTGCCGAGGTCGATGTCCAGAGACTTTGCGAGAAGGTGAGTAATCCGTCACCTTCGTGGTAGCTTACAGCAACTCTTTACAGTCCAATCTCACCCTCTTACCATCTCAACCATCGACGCTATACTAATACGTTTCATATTGTTTAGGCTAGGGATGTATTGCAAGAGGAATCAAACGTTCAACCTGTGGTATGTTATTATTCTCATCTCCGCCCACCATCCCATCGCAGTCATTAACATATACCTAGAAATGTCCGGTAACGGTGTGTGGCGATATACATGGCCAATTTCATGATTTGATGGAATTATTCAAGATCGGCGGCCCCAATCCCGACACCAACTACCTATTTATGGGTATGTTTTACCATACGCGACCAAAATACTATAAAGGATATTACCACTGACTACTATAATAGGTGATTACGTTGACAGAGGATACTATTCTGTCGAAACGGTTACATTGCTCGTCGCTTTGAAGATTCGATACCCCCAACGCATCACCATCCTGCGCGGAAACCACGAGTCCCGCCAAATCACCCAAGTCTATGGCTTCTATGACGAATGCTTGCGCAAATATGGCAATGCCAATGTCTGGAAGTTCTTCACCGACCTTTTCGACTACCTTCCGCTCACTGCGCTCATCGACAGCCAGATCTTCTGCCTCCACGGCGGCCTCTCCCCTAGTATTGATACACTAGATAACATCCGAGCTCTCGACCGGATTCAAGAGGTTCCCCACGAGGGACCCATGTGCGATCTGCTCTGGTCCGACCCTGACGACCGATGCGGCTGGGGTATTAGCCCCCGAGGTGCCGGCTATACTTTTGGACAGGATATTTCCGAAGCGTTTAACCATAATAACGGCCTCACGCTAATCGCACGCGCCCATCAGTTGGTTATGGAAGGGTACAACTGGTCGCAAGATAGGAACGTGGTCACCATCTTCTCTGGTGAATTCTATTCCTGTCCCTGTCCTACAGAATAATATACTGATCATTATTAGCACCTAACTACTGCTACCGATGTGGTAATCAAGCAGCTATCATGGAGATCGACGAACACCTAAAATACACATTGTAAGTGGCTCATATCGAACTTGGACCACTTTGTGGCCTAGCTTTTGAGTAAATGCTTACGCTATTCTGCAGCTTACAGTTTGACCCATGCCCGCGAGCCGGTGAACCGATGGTTTCCCGACGTAAGCACCTTTTAACTCCTTCTGATCGTTAGCAGTTAAACTAACCATCTTGACAGGCACCCCGGATTACTTCCTCTAAGCTTCCGAAAAGATTTGGTGTCGCACCTTGGAGATGCGGTGCGCGGATTCAAGGTTTGGAAGGTCTTTAGGAGGGTCTTCGGGAGATACGTCGAGACTTGGTCGCCACACCCCCCTGTCTTTGCCGAAAGTCAAGGTGGCGACCTATGCATGTCGGCTGCGTCAAACACACACATAGGGGTTACCTCCCTAAGAACTCGAATGTCGACGGTCTTTAACTAGACCGCCTCCGACACGCTTCGTGCTACGCTACGGAACGGCCCCACCTACCTCACCTTACCGCGTTTCCGCCCCTTGGTCTAATTTTTGCCCATTCTTATGTTGGTGGGCAAATACATGTTTTGAGCAGCTTAATGCGAAGTACTTAGGTAGATACTTAGGTAAATACCCAAGCATTAGACACGAGTAAAAGGAGAGATATAATTTCTAGCATCCGTCGTGTGGTGAAGTGGCTTTATGTAAACCTGGTGGCGGTCTTTGGGGGCTTGTTGATGCTTGTAAGTAATAAGGAGTAATCAAGGAAACTATTGATCTATATCCCAAGTGGGAACCGAGATTGCTATTGTAATGCCCTTCGTGTAGGCGAAGTACTCATCCAAGTAGCGACATTGGTGTAGACTATTCAGTCCCAGATTGACGGATACTAATTCTCGTTGCTTGATATAAACAGTAGCTAGGTATAATTACTAACAAAGATGATATCCAGCGGTATACATATTCGCCGGGCTATCTCATGTACAATGGTTCCCCCCTATTTCCAGGGTTCAGATCTCCACATCTTCTTGGTTAGGGGAATATCGAGCAAACAACAATTACTTCGATCCTCGAACCCCCCTTTTCTTCCTCTCCGGTTCATTAACTAGCAGTCGAGTTACGAGTACCTAGAGTACCTACATAGTCCTCGACCGCCACGACCGCATCGATCGCTGACTCCCACCCCCACTACTCTTCCCACTATTAGTTCCTTCTTCGACTTCTACAGCCTCCGCGCTTTCTCTTTCCCCTTGTACCTGTCCTTGTCCACCGCTGCTTCCTCCCGTGCTATTACTACTCGCACTCCTATCAGTACTACTATTACTACTATCGCTATTACTCGTCCCACTATCCTCCGTCCCGCTCATAAGAGCCGCACTACTACTACTATTACTTCCACTTCCACTCCCACTCCCACTTCCACTCGTACTCCCACCCCGCGAACTCCGCCGCACGTCATACCCCCAACTATCCAACGGCCACGGCAACGTCGCGCTCAGCAACTCCAGATCGAGATCTAGATCCGGCAGGATCGGTGGTCCGACGAAATGCACCGCTGCGGGCGCACGCAACCCGCTGTTGGGCGTGTAGGCGTGTGTGTGCGTGTGGGAGTGTGAGTGGCAGGGGACTAGTGCTTCGCGCGACCCGCACGGGGAATGCGTTGCGGGCGTGCTCATTAACGGGTTTAGCGCTGAGATGTCTGGCCCGTAGACGTCGGCTTCGCTGTTTATGCGCATCCGCAGGAGGGCGGCGCGCCGGGTGCGGGTGCGGGATTTGAGGTTGGGCCGGGGGTTGGATGTGTTTTTTAGGGCGCTTTTTGGGCGTGGTTTGGTGGTGTTGTGGTGGTGGCTGTGGGAATGGTGGTGGGGGTACGAGTGCAAGTGTGTGTAGGAGTGGTTGTGGGTGTGGTATTTCAGTGTTAGGTGCAGTGTTTTGTCTTTACGGTTTAGGCTGAGGTTGGTGGTTGGTGTGTTTTGCACGGCGGTGTTCGTGGTGTCGGTGAAGGACTCGATGAGGTGTTGTTGTGAGGATGAGGATGAGGAGGGCATTTTTGCTGTCATTGTTATCGTGTGTGGGAGAAACGGGGGGCTGGGTGGGACAGAGGGACTGGAGGGTTGGCGAAGCATTATTACGGGCTTGCTGGTTCCCATTAGGGGTAGCTTGCCCTCAAGATGGCTGCTGTTTGAGTGTGTTGATGGGATAATAGGGGAGTATTCCCCTGGTCCGCGCGCCCCGTCCGGCACGATGAAGCGTCGGTCGAATCGTGCTAGGAGGTACGCTGTCGATACTACTAGGTCCGTCACGAAGTTGAACCCGTAGTAGCACGCTCGACTGTGGAACCATGCCGGCGCCCTGCCAGGCCTGCCGTCGAAATTCACACCCACTCGAAACGCGGCTCCTAGCGTAGCAACTAGTGCCGCGAATACCAAGAGTCCAATCTTCGCACGCCATCGTCCGTAACCGAATTTCTCGACGTGAAAGCGCCGCGGGTGCGTAGCGGCGGCGAGCGCGACTATAGGCACGGGCAGAAAAGCCAAGCACGCAAGATACGAGCCAGCGAAGAGCTGAACGGCACGGTCTGCTCTGCGCGAAGCTCGGTCCAGAGTGAAGAAACTGTGGATAGTCGTCACAATAGCCATAACGAGACAGCACAGCACACAGATGATCAAAAACCAGACAACCACACCAGCGGCCCGACTCCAGCCCAGACGCGGGTGGTAAGCGCGGAGAACGCGCTGGGTGAAGAACAAGTTGATGATGAAGATCAGCACGGAGCCGCACTGCGTCATGACGCTGGCCGCTATCACGGCGTTCACCGCCTTCGGGTACGAGGCCCAGACCATGCGCGCGGCTAGTGAGACGCCTCGGAGGAAACATAGAGCGAATAGCATTCCTGAGAAGACGAATTTTAGGTTCCGCTGTTTGTTGATTCTGAGGATGGCTAGGTGTGCGAAGGCGGAGAGGAGGAAGAGCAGGAGCAGGACGGCGGCGATGGGGTCGTCGATTGAGGGGGTTGGCTCGCCGCCTACGATGGCGTTGGTTGAGGCGTAGGGGGGGCCTGGGTGTTTGGCTAGCTGGTTTGTGATGTGAGTGTTGTTGTTATTGTTGAAGGCGTATTTGGTGTTGCTTACTTGACTTGTCCCAGTGCTCCCGTGGGGAGCTGGTGCTGTCCAGTTCCCCGTCATAACTCTTTTATCCCTCCAAAACACCTAAGGATATCGATAGACGTCCTAAAGACAAAACCCAGAGCAGTAGCCTGTCTTACGACTTTACTTCTCGCCTATGCCCAACCGGTAGATGAAGATATCAACTCAGTCATGGGACGTATGTTACGTTCGTATCATGAGGCCTCGAGGCAGCATCGTCAGAATGATCAAAGTGGTCAAAGTGGCTAGGGGGCAGTTTCTTAGTTGACATTCAAGAAATACCAAAAGACCGAAGAAATGCGAGGGACGCGTATGTCGTAATGAGGATTACGAACTTATATCGGCCTTCCATATTTCCCCTCTCTACGCATAACTTCTGCAGGTTTCTCGAACCCTCCTAGAAACCTAGACAGGCTCCAATATGCACCATCGAGTGTGGCACTCCAACGTTGAGATATGGAGTTTATGATGCCTTGCTACGGAATATGAAGAATGACATGCCGATATTACCTCTCCTCTCCTTGGCCAATCGCAATGCCATCGGCAAGAATGGTGAACGCCGATGGAAAGATAGAGTTTGGATCCCAAACGTGCGGCATGTCTATTTGGTTGATGTCGGGGTAATACGAAACAGCTTAGATCGAGCGGTCATAGAAAGCATTCCTTGCTACCACCTACGGAGCAGACGATTCTGTAACTTAGTTCGGCCTCATCGATCCTGTACTCCTGGATTTGATCCCAAGTTTATATTCAAATATGACCTGTTTTCTACCACGTATAACATCGAAATTACATCAAGACAACTAAGCTATGAGATTGACGGCGACGATGGAAGAATACCGATTCTTGAATTATGTGTATGAAAGTTCCCCCTCGGACCCGAACGTCGATAGTAAAGGTTATGATCGCCACTTTAGTCTCGAGAAAGACCGGACGAAAATATGAATAGCAACATTAAAGTTCATGAGCGAAGGTTGAACTGACATCCCATTTTACCCTCAGCAACCAAAGGATAGCACCATTTGGAGAGAAGGGGGGCTCATGTCGTTGTAATGTTTCAAGATAGCCAACCCAGTTCCTACAAGATGTGTGTGATAAGTCTTAAATCTGCCTCGTTACATAATATAGGCAATGTCTAACATGAATTTTTACTAAACCTGTCACTCTCTTGCCCCTGATCTATCATTCCCTTCGGGATATCTGAAGTGTCAACATTCGACTCTCTTGTGACTATTCACAGATTTTCTGGAAGTTTTGGGGATCAGACAACGCGGTCTTGATACACGGCGGTAGCCCTCTGGAGGGCACAGTGCACTGCGTCCCTTATCGCTGTCAGAATATCGGAGCTCTGCATAGTCGGCTGGGTTGGGATTAGCTTAATCTATATGTAAATGTAATATGCCTAAATACCTCCAATAATACGTATGCATCATATACTTTGATATCAGGTAGCTTCCTATGGCCTTAATTTTAAATAGGGTACGTATCCATTGTTCTGTTGGGTTCGACTACTGTTCCTGTAACAAATCTCCTGATCTTGGTGAACATTACAGTATTTGCCTCATAAGGGAAAATCTGCTTGGAGATGGCGTCGAGCGCAAGTGATATGTCTCTTAATTCTTGAATTTCTCTTGATACTCAGGATCTTCAAGAATGTCGTACATAACATATCAACACGGGCTGTACCTAACACATATGTATGTTAGTACGTAAAGAGAAAGGGGATTATGGAAAGAGTATGAATAGACTCAATTACGTATTGATCTTTCCAATGATCTATTTATCACCGAAGGTGAGTTTCCCCTGAATACTCTCGTCTGTCTCAGGTGCTGTTGGAGGTAGTGTGGAGATTTAACTGTTCTTGACAGAAGTGAAAGATCACGAACCTATCGACTTTGGCCGTGGTCCCGTTCCATCCAGATCATCTGGGTTCACTGAAGTCATCAGCTTCATTGCAATTTTATTTATTTATATATAAGGAATGAGTGCGCGAAGTTGACTTATGAATTGATTCATGTCTTGGTATCCCCCTGGGAGAGGGCGAGTATTCTTTTAAGGAACAATGGTGGAAGCGTCTTTGAATGACACATAAACCTGATGTTCTATGTTGCGATCCTGACGATTGGCTAGGTGAATATCTTGCAATCTGAGTAGGTAGTAAATATATATGTATTGAGTCTTGAAGAGAACGCCACCTTTTATATTTTGCTCCATCTCTCCTACGTAGGTTGTAATGATAAGAGGAAGAGGTTAGGTAAAGCAATACACATATTCTAGAATCTAGATAGATTATATACATTTTTCTTTCTTTTTATAAATGTCATAGATCGGTTCTTATAAGGTAAATGCTATAGTTTGATGTGTTTCCAATCCATAGATGACAGTACGTAGTAAATAAATCGTGTAGTATGCGTCAGACGGGAAACGTGCGGGCAGTATCAGGTCGCGCGTAGAGGTGGAATCTTGGGTTAAACTAGTGACTGAGGTTACTGCTTTATGTATGATATGGACATTGGATGTCATATCAGAGTCATTGATGCCTTTTCATACTATGCAGGTATATACACCAGATATTATCGTCGCTTTCAGCTGTCGCGAGAAAATGGCGAGAAATCAGCGAAGTTGACTCTTCACCCCAATTCCCGATAAGAATGGTTAATCTGCGCCACATCTAAGATAAGGCTGAGCAGACGTGGCTGAATTAATAGATGACGACAACCCCTGCACCCCTGTCGGCACTAGCGTAGGTAGCTCGCAACATTGGAAAGCTCTCCCCTATCGAAAGAAAAGTTAGCTCCAGCCTCCTGACGCAAACCTAACACAAACATCCCCCATCCGTCCATACAGATCGTAGCCGGAAAAAGCGTCTGCCTGGAGCGAACTATCCTTATTCTACCCAAGCCTGTCATCGCGAGCCTCGTCTAAATAGCATCATCTCTATCTCCCTTATTACTTATAAACATACCTACCATAAGTTCCGCGCGTCCCTTTGTCCTTGGCAGAAACCACCGTTCATCGAACCGACTCAACATCAACTTTGATTCATCCATATAAATCTATCGCGCAAAATAGTTACATACCTAACCGAATCGCAAAGATGGATTTCTCCGACTCATTGTACGCACCCCCTTAACCGGGTTCCCTTTTCCTTCGTCGCGTATACATCCACCCCGATCTATAAAGCGCTAACATCAAACTTCCCCAATACAGCCGAATCGTCAACCTCGCCGTGGGCGTGATCATGGTCCTAGGCGGAATATCGCAATTCTTCAACGCAAGCTTGTACGTCCCCTCCCCTCCCCCTCCCCTCATCCTCGTAACACAAAACAACACACCATACTCACCCACCGCCCCAGCCAATCCATCATCATCGGCGCGTACGTCCTAATCTTCGGTCTCGGCGTCGCGCTTCTCGAGTTCCAGATCCCGCCCCAGGTATCGCGGTACGCCTCGTTCATGTTCTCCTTCATCGGCCGGGGCATCTTCTACGTCTTCGTCGGCTCCATCCTGCTGAACAACGGCGTCCTGCGCATCATCGCGGGCTCCATCGTTGGCGCCGTCGGTCTCGCTTACACCGCCCTCGAGTTCGTCCCGTCCGTTCAGCCTCCTGCCAATATGCGCGAGGCGGACGACCAGGGTTGGGGCGCTGAGCAGGTTTAGGTTTGACATATGAATCTATACGTCTTTTTCTCGCGAGCTCGCCTGCCCTGCTAGTGAGCTTTACCTACCCGAATATTTGTCTTTGGAAAAGTTCCCGGATACGTGTCGCGGGTATGCTGGGACGGCAGGGAGCGAGAGAGAAAGAGAAACAGAACGAGAAACAGAGAGTACGAACGAATCCCTGGCTTGGAAAAGGCGGTTGGTTTACCTGTAAGGGTACCGAGTGACGAGGTGCGGCAAGGACGGAACAGAAGTCGGTTTCTAACCGAGACTGACGATACGAAAAACCTGGACGAGATTAAAAAATTGCGGCTGGAATGCAAGTGTTTAGAAAGTTAATTCGATGCTCCGAGTATAGGGTCCGGTTAGGTTGGGGACGATGGCCTGATATGTACGAATAAATGCCGTGGATTTCACCATGTACGACCATGTCGATGTGCAAAGAGTCTAGACGTAAGAGACGAGATAGACTCGATCGAATTATTCTACCCATGATATTATATGCTTATGAACCCAATTCTGAATATTGATGCACTTTTTGCTATTAAACATTACGTCGCCGAAGATATTCATATAAATAAGCTCATTAATTTCATCTGAGTTGGGCGGTTATATGCGAGGAGCTGCCTAACCTATGCTAGTAGTATAAGAACAATACTACGAAACCCGACTTATACCGATCCTTTGCCTCCGTCCGTGTCCCGCCCCTTTCCCATAGTTAACCCTCTCTATAATTCATACGAAAGATTCCTTTTGAAAAATTCAATTTCCTTTAAAATTTCCTTCGCCGCGGGGATTTTGCAACCACGTAATGCAATTCAGAACACCTTGCCTCCTTAGCCCTCTCCTGTATTTTGGAGACTCGTGTACGCCAAGCACATATGCTACCTAGGTATGTTGTTTAAAAGCAAATGCCACTAGCTAAGCTCTACCTTTTGACGCCTCAGAACCTTTGGCTCGCCCTTTTTTGTTTTCGCCATGTTTCCGTAGAGCAACGCCGATAATTCCAGTCGTAAATCTTGATCATCAAAGCAATAAATCATCAGCGCTAATTAAAAGGAGTTTTCGGTAAGACATTAATGACTATTTTTGTAGTGCCGCCATCTCGCGTTCCTTGGCCGCGAGTAATTGGCGCATTCGTTCTGTTTCCTGTTGTAGTGTCGCTAATCGGCCGGCTTTCATCCTCTCATCCTCGACCGTGCTCTCTCTAGAATGGAGGCTCGGTAATATGTTGGAGGAAACCAATTGCGGACTTGGACTCGGTGCTAATATGAGTGAATTCGCTGGCGACCGAAGCCGCAACGACTCGGGTGTGCTCTCGCCCGGTCGAAAACTAGGGCTCGATTCAAACGACGGATTAAGGAGTGACTTTATTGATGATAACCTTTTAGAGCTATCGTAGCCCGGTTCGCTCGGCGCGTATTCCGACTCGGTTCCCGAAAAGGAGCGTTTCCTCGACGGAGAGAGAAACGAGGCTGGGGACAAGGACGACTGACGGTCGCTCGAGACCGAGATAGACGTCAACGGAGCCAGACGATTGTCGTCGGTAAGAGAATCCCGGATATCGAGAATATGATGTGGAGCGCTGGTGTTATGATATGCCATAAGGTCGGTGGATACTGGGGTTGATCCCGCACCAGATCGGATCGGATCGGGAAGCAGTGTGAGAGGATGCTCGGTTTTACGTCGTAGGCCGAGATTAATAGATCCATCTTCGTTCATACTACCCCGTTCCATGTCGGATTCGGCATACTGGCTCTGCTGTTCAATCGAATCGACCGCCATCACATCATCTACTCCGCCATCCATTTGACTTGCTGGTATTACACGTTTCCTCCTCTTGATGACGGATTTCTTCATCGTTACGGGCCGGTGAACTCCGTGGAGTTTGTAGTACAATCCTGTGATTCATGTTTAGTGAAAATTTCACGAATACAACTTTAAGCACACCACATACCGCAGGCATTGCATATAGTATGGCCGGATTCATCGCGACGCCATAACGGAGTTATCGTAGTACCACAATTTTGACAAGCTATAACAACTGTTGTCTGAGCAGAGGCTTGTTGTGCATTTATGTCAATTGGAGCTGGTCCTTCTTCCAAAGGCGTCCCCTGCTCATTGCTGGATTGTCGATTTTGGTTTTGGAGTTGGGCACTTTTTGCCACTCGGTTGTTGTAAGCTGGGCAGCCACTACATCCTTCCGCACCACCCGTACCATTACATCGTCCTCCGCCCGGACACGATCCGTTAGGCATCTGATCCGCCGCGACATACGTTGCGCCTGGAATATTCGCCGAACTATTCTGGGAGCAGGAGCTGGATGGCGGCTTCTCGGGCGTTTTCTTCGGCGTGGTAGAGATCACTGATGGCGGCCGCTTGAGATTCGTCGGACGAGACGAATTCCGCGCCTTTAGATAGAGTCCACATGCGTTGCAGATGGTAGCCCCCTGCGGCGAACGTCTCCATAGCGGCGTTCTCGTGGTGCTACAATTACTATGATGGAATTAGGACTCGTCGGTTACTTCTTTAGTAGCGAGTCTACTTACCTGCACACCTGGCCGCCTTGATTAGACGCCGAGTTTGACTTCGTCGTTGCCCAGTTTTCCTGACGGAGTGTATCAAAGGGAGAAGGACTTTTGGAATGAATTCGTTCGGATCCTTGTATCGATGGACTGGGCGCGTCCGAAAAATCACTCTGACTTAAGGCTGCTGGGCTTCTCGAGCCAATGGAGGAGGCATTTTGGATGGACATGGTTTCTGACGGTTGGGTGCCCTCTCTAGAGATGACAGGACGTGTGGGAAGCGCAGTTCTCACAGAATTCGGATCGGACCTGGCAACATTCGAATATGGATAGGGAGCAAACTCCATGATGACTCCCCGTCGATCAAACCCTCTCGAAGGAATTGGCCTAGTCGTGACACAGCTACGGCGGTCGTCGCGATAGGTACCTTTCTTTGTCCTATGATAACATGGGGTTCCGGATTAGAACCCAAAATTGGGAAATAGTCCTTAGATGGGGTAGATGATGAAATGCCGATGCTCGATGCGAGAACTCTGTTCTATTGTTAAGATATTGGCGGCTCAACGAACGAGAGCGGTGGTGGGTCAACTAGTAAGTGATCGACCGAAGAACCGTCGCAAGGGCTACAGTATGTCGTGACTGCTCGTAATGCTTATTAGTTTGAATAGTGGCGACTGGTAGTCTATACAAGATCTATGCGGCCCTAGACCAGCTGCGTACGATGGTAGATAAAAAAAAGAGGAGCCGAAGCAGAGCTGAATGACAATGATTCGACTATGTACAATTGACAGCGAAGTCACCTGGGGTGGCTAAAGACGGGATTATGGGGTGGACTCGGACGCAAGGGGCCAATATTCCTAGAGGTTCGTGTGGATTCCTCATAGACGTAGGGCCGGAGCAGACAGGTGAAGATGGGTTAAGCGCGGGAAGAGGGTGGAGTGATGAAGGGTTGATTCTTGTGCGTTATGGTTACGGGATATGGCCATGCCCGGATCACGAGGACGAGCGTTCCAGGTTGTATGTTTGTAGTAGTAGTATGTACGGTCTGTACAGTCTGTAAAGTCTGTACGGGTATGTACGATAGGTATGTATGATATGTACGGTACGGAGCACTGCAGGAGTTGTTCTGCTCTGTACCGCATGCGTCACCCTCGCTGTCAACGCACTTCGTACGTAGGCAGTCAACAGGCCAACAGGCCAACAGGCTACGCTTTAACTCAACTTATCTGCTTATGCTCCGCCACGTCGGGATTGATCCGTGGAGATAAGATCGGACAAATCGGAGTAGGGAAGAGTTTGTCATACGACGGCTAACTGTGAGACAGCGAGGCTGTGAGGTAGAAGCGAGCGTCTAGTCCGAGGTGAAACTCGGAGATTCGAGAGCATAGATAATCTGATCTGATGAGTTGGTGGTCGGCGGTGGATGAAATTAGGAATGCCACATGGAAGGGGGGGGTGTGTGTGCTGTGTGGAATAACGATTGGAAGTTAGACGGGTTAGACAAGAATCGTGGGCTGGGCGAGTCTTGGGTCTGGAGCTTACCCAACTTAGGTTTATCATTCTTAGGGGTTCCTTCCAGCTGAAGCCGCTCTAAACAGTGCTGGACAATGCTGGTCCCAATAAACCAAGGAAGGGGGATAAACGTTCCCCATAGGGCTAGTGCCTGCTAGCGTCGTCTAGCATAAACTATACATGGATCTACCCTTTCTCAAAAAAGATAAAAGAGACCCATCCCGAATGTCGGCGCCCCGGTTGAATGAGAATCGAGGCAATTATTATTAAATCAACTCTGATTGGCTCTGGTGTAGATCAGATTTGGTAACATGACGAGACTAGATGGACATTTTGTAATCTTCACCTGACGATTGGCTGATCGTAGTAATATCTCGGAAGGGCGGTCTGCCAACTTCACAAAACGTACAGAGGTGCCTTTCAAAAGATTTTACCATAGACCAATCCCTGTCAGCTGCAGTGCACAGCTGTCAGCTCAGATGCCAGCTGTAATGCCAACTGCCCTATCACCTCAGATAAACCGTTGACTTTAACTACTTATTTCTTTTGATATCCAGCCTTAAAAGCCTAAAGCTTTACGTATTTATGAATAATACTTAATATTAAATACTTTTAAGAAGTTTTTATTGACTTAAATTCAGAAGTGGTTGTAAAATATCAACTGAAGGTTAAGAGGTAATCGAGGAAAATTGGTGATATGACCTGCCAGTTGGCAAATAAGAGCTTCCAGCTGGTGTCGCAACTGACAGGGATTGACGCATGGTAAAATCTTTTGAAAGGCACCTCTGTAATCAATCTCCAATCCTTGTCATCTGATTAGGTGATAATCTATCATTCTGATATCAATTTGCAGTACATACATATTTTCAACAGCCCCAAATCCTTAATATAATATGTAAAATATCAAAACCAACGTGGCCATAATGACCAACATCCATTGATGGCTACACCACATACTGTGCCTAGCAGTATAGGTACATAGGTACATATCTACACAGACAATTGATATAGGTATGTATCCGCATATCGGTACTGTGTTTGGCGGTCAGGTGTACACTTTTGGTCTTGCCCCTAGTCTCTGGGACCTAAGGTTCCAAGGACGATTCGAGACCGCCGCCTGCGCTGGTAAGTCTGCCGTTGGCCTGCGCCAACCCGTGTGTTCAATAAGCGAGAAACATGCTCAAACATTCCGTCCTGCCTTTCATTAGCTCAGGCGCTATGTCGTTAAATTGCACCAGGCGTTTTAAGCCTTGTGTCTTCACACCCTTTTCACCATCTACTTGTGTAGGCATGTACCTAAGTATATTCCGGTTTCCGGTAAATTCGGAGTAGAACAATTGGAAGCCCCAAAAGGGGGTAGGCACGCTCGTTAAGGCCGGCCGCGGAGTACGGAGTACTTCCGAAGTTTCAATCCTTCAGGGTTTGATCATTCCCGCTGAATTGCCAGTCCCTCTTTTCTTAATGCCAAGCTTTTTTATCTAGGTCCATCTCCTTGCATGGTGCAGCCGCAGAAGCAGGCTACTGTGGTACATACGTACCACAGCCTAGGTTTTGGAAGAAGGGAGGGGGAACTCCGTAGATAAGATGCAGCATGGATGCGACTTTGGAACATTATATCTTATCATACCCTAATCAATCGTACCTAAATCTTACCACTATGTACTCCTTTATGCAGACCCCTAGGCAATATAGGCACCTATCTCAGTATTCGCTTACCCCTTTTTAGCCCGGAGTATCTAATAAAAATACGATAGATTAGGGCTTACCTAGTAGCTATCTGAAATGTTCCATTCAACATCGTGTATTTGTTTGCCCATTGGTAAAATCTACACTTACATCATGTTTACAAATATGTACAACGAGGGGAACACTTAGCCTCTATTATTTGAAATACGATTTGTCTGATTGGGTGTTGAGCAATGGAAACATGCATAGTCGGAGCCGCTAAACAAATACCACTCTGCTACGTACAGATCTGTGCAGTGTACAGAAAATGATGTCAGTGCCCGACGTGTCGTCACTCAGAGCAAAAGCCCTTAAAATGATACATTTCCATTCACCAATCGAAGGATTAGACGGAAAAGGCATTTCACAAAAGTACTAGGTAATTGGGCAACAATTTAATTTTTGCGTATGGTGTAACTTATACACCTGTAATTAATAGAAGGGAAAAAAAGGTAACAATCTAAACTAAAAGGGGGTATCAGGGTATGAAGGGTTGTAATCTCGAAGTCTGTAGCAAAAAAAGACCAAACTCCTCAATGAAGAAACAACGTCCATAGTCTTGTTCAGACATATCACACCTCGCCCATGAGCTGCTCTCCCTCATCCAATAACTCCGTCACCTTCTTCACGTTTCCTATCAGGCTTCTACCGAGCCCAACCAACAGTAGTTTCTCTGCGTTGGCAGGCAGACCCAAGTAAGTTGGTGGCTCGCGCTCAGGTAACTTCTGGATCCACGCCATGAACTCTTGTAGCGAAGTGCCAGACGGTACCACAAGGCTCGCTTCCTGCCCATCCTTCTCCGTGCCTTCCACCAGTTTGTGCCCGATTTCGTATGCTGCTGGCGTAAGAGATTGGTTGACTAATTCTGTTAAACGATTGAAATCGCCTTCGTCATCGATCTTGCCGCCGTATGTCTCACGGACCAAGTAGCGGATCATGTCCCAAGGGATATTCTGTGGATTAATGTTTGAGCGGCTTTGTGCCACAGATTCCACCCATGTATCCACGATAAAGGCAGAACATTCGTACTACGAAAAGGTAAGATTAGTTGTTGTCAAACATATTTTCAAAGGGTAGGTAACTTACATCACTATCATTAAACTCCCAGAAACCCTTCCAGCCCAAGTTGGGTGCGTAGCGTAGACGTTCTTGAACGACAGCATGTAAGAACGAGAGCAGTAGATATAATCGGCTGCGCTCCACGGGGCTTTTCGTAGCTCGATCTGTAAGAGAAGACATAGAGTCCTTCATGTTGGCGCGGACACCAGCTGGTTGTTCGTACATAAGCACACGAGATGCGCGAAGCAAGTTAACAGGAATCCTAGGGCTAGATTCCATCGATAAGAATAGCCTGAAATCAGAGTGCGGGTTCAAGGATTCCATGCGCTTCTCCAGGGATTGTAACCAAGTAGGTGCGAGATGAACGTTCTTGATCAAAACCCAAGATCCGACCTGCGCTGCGTTGCTAATAGCTTTATCCGCACTCGCAAGACTCTCATTTGATCCCATGGCAATATTTGTGCATCTGACACGCGTTCTCTCGACTAGATTGTCCACCTTGTAGCTGGCATCGAAGCCAGGGCTCGAAACAAGCGAGATGGGGCGAGTTGAAGGGACCTGGCTGATAGTTTCTTTGAGATCGTCCACAATATCGAATAATTCAGCCCCAAAGACAGACGCGACGAATCGCTCTGCAGCTGGGACGAAACGGTCGAGGCGGAAGAGCTTGACAAGGAGTAGCGAGAGTAACCCTTGATCAAATGAAGGGGTATTCGAATCCCAAATCTGGGGGATAACGTTCTCGGCTAATTCTTCTGTTAAAAATGTTTCCCAGGCGGCGGATGGTACTTGATCGAGCTTGTCCTTCAATACGCCAAGCCTCTTGGCTCTAGTAAAAGTCTCATCTTTCGCGTCGATTTCAGTAGAGAGATCTTTGCCCTCGATACGATCGTCAAGTATGACATCGATTAGGCCCTTGTCCATCTTGTAAGGAGAAGCTTGAGCGAGGAGCATAGCCAGAGTGATTCGATCCTTCTGTAGTAGACCCAAAGCTGTTCTCTTGAATGTGGTCACAAATAAGTCTTTGATGATAATGTCTCGGCGTACATTGAAATCTGTCTCGCCTGTCAAGTGCTTATTGCCGTGAAGAACAGAGTGGAAAATATCTAGGAAGTACTGAAGCGAGAATTGGTAGAAGTGATTGAGATAATGCAATTGCTCGAGAACAGCAAAGACTGCGCTGCACGATCGCGCAATGATACTATACTGCAATGTGATCTCATCTACTTCAGCCATTACGCCTTCGGTATTGCTTATCTTAGCCGTGATTTCACCAGCTTCTGTCTTGAGAGTCTCAAGAGTCTCGATGACGTTGTCATCATCGAGAATATTGCCACGAGATTCGTTAAGGGCCTGAAGAAGACGCTTCTCAAGCTGCCGAAGATGGACTTTGAACTCGCCTTGGAGTTTGATGAGGTTGGATCTCCTCTCGTCAACATCCGGTCTCTCGGATTTCAGGACATCATTAAGGGACTGAGTCTGGAGACTGCTCTGCGTGACTGTGAAGTTGACAAAGGTAGTTCGACTGCAAATATCGGGTGGGAATGTAGCAGACGGATCTCTGGTCGACAAGTAAATCTTGAACGCAGGCGAGAAATCAATTTCCTGCTTGCCAAGTTGAATGAGTACACGACCACCTGTTTTTTGATACTCCTTGTTGAGGACATGGTTAAGGATGGGGTCCAGGTGCTCGGCATCTTGAATGAGAATCGGGTTACCGAATCTGAGAGAACTCTCGAGTTGTTTGGTGAAAGAATCATCCAAGAAACTAGTCACAGTAAGACGACGGTCCTTACACTCGCGTTGAAGGAACTCGGTAACTCTGCCAGAAGGGTCGATAATAAGAGGGTATCGGTTGAAGCGCTTAAGGACGATGGCGTTTTCTGTGCAAAGATCGTCAACAGGCAAGGTGTTTTCTTGCCAACTAAGTCGCTCATCAGCAGTCGACAAGTATTCGGTAACGGGATTGTGCGGCTTAAAGTTGATCCCGGAAAGGTGTAGTTGATGCAACCAGTCTTCCATCATTGACTTTCGGAAGGTCTGGTCATAAAGACCGCTGTAGGCCAAGAAAGCCGCAGCAACTAGGACGTCTCCAACTAAAGTGCTGATTTGAGTTTCGAACGACTTGCTTCCATCCTCCCAACGAGTACGTTCTGAGGAAAGACTGTCGAGTAGTCTTACGCTTCGGTCGACCTTGAATTGAACGCGAGACATCTCGGCCTTAATGGCCTGGGTCTCACTAATAAGAGCAGCATATTCAGTCTTGTAAGTGGCGATACTTTGCTCTAGACTGATGATGGTGTTTTCGACAGCCTTTGCTTCAGCCTTCGTCTGGAGGGCTTGCTCCTCAAGCTGATCCACCTCATCTCGTAAAGGACCGACCCTGTCGAGAATCTCAGAGTAGTTAACTTGAGCCTCTACCCACTGAACTAACGGACCACATGCCTTACTGGCACGGTTAACCTTTTCGTATGTGAAGTCGACGTGGTTCAAAAATTTGGTCCGCATTAGCGTTCGCAGGGTCTTGGTCATCTGCTTCTCATTATCAAAGTTGACGATACTCGCAATGAAGTCATCACGTCGCACCACAGCTTGAACGCCTTTCCAATCGGCGATCTTGTGACCCAGTAATGCGCATACCGACTCCATCGCAAGTCGGACACCTTGGGGTGGAGAACCCATAGACCTGACTTCAGTCAAGTGCTGTCGTTTAATGTTGCTGACACTAGCTTTAGCTTCTTCAACAGCAGGCTCAGCTCTTGCAAGATCGTTCAAAACAACCTCCTTTCGAGTGGCAACCTCTGCTTCCTGTTTTTCAAGCGCTGCTTGGATCTCTAGTGAAGCACCTTTGCGCTGTTCGGCTTCCCGTTGATCGGCAACCATGCGTTGCAGTTTCTCATTGGCCTCTGCATCTTTTGCCTCGAGCTGGGTCTTCTTCTCAGCTAGACTGACCCTGAGATCGCGGACTTTCTCGACCGTGTCTCTTAACTTGTCAAGTCCAACGTTTAGATGGCGTTGCTGTTCCTCTAGATCTTCCCGCTTCTCGTTGTATAACTTGACATACTGAGCGACGAAGTCAAGGAAATGGCGCGGGGTGAGGAATGTCACCTTGCCTTGTTGTTTCTGAAGTTTGCTATTGAAGCGCTGTAGAGAATAATGGATATAAACCATGGAATTGACGATTGTTTCTCTGTGGGAAGGAGGTAGGTTAAGACCGCGATATGCAACAGGAATAGTATCAGGAGCCGCGAAGTTGGGCTTATCAAGATCGATGGAATGAGTAAGCTCATTAGCGACCTGGAAGAGCGCCTGGTCAGACCAGTCTCCAAACCAATTGAGCACGCAACGATTGAACAAAGCAGGACTAGTAGCAGCTTTGGAGGATAAACCATCTTCAGGTGGGTTCATAGTAAACACCACGTGCAAGTTCTTGACAATCTGCTGTGTGAACCACTTGTATAGTTCTTCTTGAGAGTCCAGCAGTAAACCTTGTCGCTGTGCGCCTTCTTTACAAGCCGTCATAAGGGATGCAAAATCGTCACCTTCGAAAAGACCAGGGACTTCAGCGTTAGCAAGAAGGGTGTTCATGCGCTCCAAGAAACCGGAGTCAAGGACATTAGATTCGTCCATGATAAAGCAGATCTTCTCGCCTTTGCAACCGCAGCGGCGTAAAACCTCCCGTAGATCTTCATCGAAGTCCTCGGCGGAGTACTTTCCATGGACTTTGATCTGGAAAACTTTGAGACCATTCATCCAAGCGACAAATCTTGAAAGTGTCGTCTTTCCACTTCCACTGACGCCAATCAATATCAAATGACCCTGCGGTTGTCTAAAGACACGATCAATACGAAGGACATGTTCGAGCACATCATTGAACAAAATGAGTGGAACATCCACTTCCTCTTCGCAGAAAGTCTTAAGACGAGCCTTGACAAAGTCTCGTAACTGTTCTCGATCAACGGGGACATAATTCTTGGAAAGCCAATTGGAGAATAAGATTGGGCCACCCAAAGCTTTAGATTCGTCGATTGTAGGGAAGAACTCTAATGCGATTCGTCGGACAGCTTCGTCAGTCCACTGTCGCTCGTCCTCTGCAACCAAACGGTCCTGGAAAAGTCGTAGGGCTTCGTGTGCCCAAATTCGGATTAGTCCTTCAATAGAAAGTGTCTCCAATGGGCGAATGGCCTCGTACACGCCACGGGCCCACCTAGTCAATTCACGAGGACTGTATACGTAATGTGGCTGGATCTTAGGCGTAAATCGTTGTTGAGATTCTAGGTAGAAGCGAACCATTGCTTGGGTGAGTGGCTCGGAGTATCCACGTAGCGCCGGAATTATCTTCAGGACAGCGGAGTTGAAAGTGCCATAGATCTGAAGGAGAGACAGTTCGCCGGGATAATCGACCATAATTAACGGTGCATGTCTCAGGAACCTGGCGCCCATTGGCGTACGACCTGCATCAGTTGGGGGGTTGCAGGCGCCGACAAATTGGATTCGATCCAGTGTCACCCAAGATTTGTCGGACGTCCGCCAGAAGCCATTGTGCTCCACTAATTGACGAAGGAACGAAATAGCTCGCTGCGTGTTATATTTATCTGGTGCTGGCAAATTGATTTCATCGCAGAAGATCACAAGCCATCGCCCAATCTGGGTAGGTGATAGCATCACCCCGTTCAGAGTTTTCTTGTACTCGCAATATTGCTCGAAAGTCTTGATCAGTAGGTCGGGGGTAGTCGCACTAGAGAAATTGAGACCGACAACCTCCATGTTGGGCAATTTTCGAAGTGCGCTAAATAGAGTCATTGTTTTACCAGATCCAGGCGGACCGCAAAGTAGAAGAGGCTTGTGTTCGGCAAGCCAAGAGTAGAGCACATCTTCGTGGCGAACAGTATCCAATGTGGGAATAACAACATCTGTTTGCGTGATTGAGTGTGTGTTGACCTCAATTGTAGGGACCTGGTTCTGCCACGGCGTCCATTCAGCTCTAGGGAGGATGACGTCGAAGTCGATGAGAGAGCTGGTGCCGTCAAGAGGCGGTGATCCAAAGCTTGCCAAAGCCCCAACATTATCTCCGAATATCTTTCGATCATTGAGAGGGCAATCGCCAGTCAACGCCCAGACTAGAGCGAGCAATAACTTCCTCGAGACATAAGTTTCGATTTGCTCCGGGTCCAGAGGAAAATCGACGTGAGAGGCGTTGTATTCGATCATATCTCTGACAGCCTTGTTTAGTAAAGAGAATAAGGTTGTCAGGACACGAGCTACGGTGAACTCCATGATATGATTGTAAGATTCGGCTTGCTTTAGAGCAGCAAGAATAAAGTCCTCCTCCGACAAATAAGCATTGAGTAGATCGGCAACTTGGCTCTGAATCTGGAGAGTCTTCGCGGGACTCTGGCCGGCAGCAGCCGTATCCTCATCCAAATCTTCGAATGCCACGGTCCTGAGAGTATCGAGATAGTTGGCGACCATCATGCTTGGTGTGACAGTGTCCTCGCTAAACCAGACCATACCACATCGACTGACAGTTGCCAGAGTAGCATATTTCAAAGTCTCGACTTCAAACATGATCCGGACATTAGGTGGCAGATTGAGACGCTCACCGTTAGGGAGAGTAAGTAACTTATTGTCATCGAGGACACTGTTCAAGTTTTCAACCCATTCAGGATCAACGTCGCCGTCAAATACGATCCAGTGGCGCTTGGAGTCTTCTCCACGAAGGTTGTCAACGATCTTTCGCAGTATGCTGGTAAATAGACCATCGGTCCATTCTCTTGTAGTGGAGTCCAAGTTTCCGTATAGTGCCTCCTTTGACATGACTTTAGAATCGATAACATGAGAGACACCTTCGACTTTCTCCACTTCTTGAAGCGCATCTAGGAGAAGTCTCCATGCAGCAGATTTTCCAGTTCCCGAATTACCCACCATCATCACACCATGGTGGATCTTCTGAATCTGGTAGAGCTGAAGGACCTTGGTCATCCAAATGTCATTGACCACAAGATGTCTCTCTGCTGCGAGACGACGAATTGAATCCTCAAGTTCCACTAAGTTGGCAGGAACATACTGAACACCTGGGAAGCATTCTCCCTCGATTGCCATCATAATCTCCACATCGCTTCGGATTAGCTTTGGAGCAATGGTCTCTCGAACACTCTGTACAATGATCTCAGGTTCCACAACTTCCTCGGAACCAATGCTGCCGTCACTATTTGTGAGCCGGGCACGTTTGAGGCCACCAGAGCTGACCAGTACGCTCTTTAGGGCACGGAGACCGAAATCGTAATGTGCTTGCTTGGACAGCTTTGCGGAACATTGGTCGAAGAAAGGAACCGTCTGTTTGGAGAGCTGTTTGGCTTGGTTAAAACCTTGAGAGTAAAGCATGACCTCAGCAATAAGTTCCTTGTCCGGTTTCGACATTGCAACACTACGGAACAGCTTCTTGAGATTGTCAGGCAAATTGGAACGACCGGCATATCCAGGGTTCATCGTAATGAAGATACCCGTATTGGCGTTTACGTGGAGTTGCCGACCGACCAATTCAATTTGGGCTTTGTCGTCTTCCGCGCCCTGTTTAAGACCAAGTTGGATATTCTGGATTTGTTGCGACACAGCAGATAAAATTCTTTCCTCCAAACGATTGAACTCGTCAAAACAACCCCAAGCTCCAACCTGGCAAATACCAAGGAAAATACGACCCATGGCCTGGAAATCAAAAGTGTCATCGCAGCAAAAGACAAGAGTAAAGCGGCCTAGCTGGACACCAAGGGCTTTGACTGATTCCGTCTTTCCAGTACCTGCAGGTCCGTAGGGAGAACCACCAAGTCGTTGACAGAGAGCTTGGGTAAGGGTTCCAAAACAACGATCGGTGAGAGGAGTTCGGACCAGTCTATCAGGAACACCCAAGTATTCAAAGCCATAGTTGAGCTTGGCATTTGCCATCTTGATATGGAGACGTTCTAGGTAATCTCCCTCGGGTGCATAGACGTATCGCATTTGTAGTAACCACATGTAATGTGTCGGTGCAGTGGCGTTGAGCTTCACTAGCTTCTCGATAACGTCTCGCTGATGAACACATTCCGTGATAAGAGCTTCGCATTTCTTCCTTTGTATCACCTCCAAGTCGCCAAGAACAGTCTCGGCGAGAAGTCTGAGAACCTGGACCTCCCGCTCAAAGAGGGATTGCAGCGTCTTACCACCTTCATTCAATGATCGCTCTACTGCTGTAGTCCAAGCTACTTGGGTAGCTAACACCACAATCTGACTGGGGAAGGCGTTCATGAATTCGTTCAAGGTATCCGGGCTAATTTCGCCCGATTCGAATAAGGGAGTGTATACCTCAACAGCTTCGGCAAGAAGTTCAGCTAAGGTGACCTTCATACCATTCTCAAGTAAAGCCAACCAATCATTGATCTTGGGGACTTTCGCCAACGAGATTTCTTTCTTAAGTCGCACAATTTCTCCTTCCTTTGAAGTGAATCCTGAAATGATCGATTCGTCGTCCATCACCAGCCCAGTCAGACCAGCAAACATCTTCTTGAAGTGTTTAGCAATACGCAAAGTATCGTTGCTATTACCAATCATTTCCAGCAGGTCCTCGTCACCAACGAAGTAGAAACGAGGGAACGACACTCTTTCCTTCTCGAGATATTCACCGAGCGCTTTCTGTATCTTGTTGAGCAGTTCGGCAAGACGTTCGAGAGACTTCTGCACCCCAGTGATACCTAGAACATCCATTACCATCGGTTGTTTGTACACTTTCTTCATCACAGTCATGAATTCGCTGTTGATGTTCTGAAATCTGGATGACTCGATTGGCAAGAGATGCTTGATGTCTGCGTTTCCGGTGAAGACACCTTCCAAGTATACCCATTGGCGCTGAACGTCAATCCAGACATCGAACAGTACGTGGACGCGATTCAGCTTGTCCTCCCAAGACGATGCCTCCTCTTCGAACTCTTTGTAATATGGCGAATGTTTCATCGCCTGCAACGAGTTTAGATTCTCGCTACACTTCGCGAAAAGATCATCCCAGCCACGGATAAGACGACACTTATTTTGATATGGCACAAGATCTAGTTGATAATTGTTCCAGGTCTCCTTCACTTGTTTCAAGAACTCTTCTAGTGCCATCTCACCCTGAGCCTGCGTAATGATGTCTCTCACAATAACTTCGGTAGCGACGAGGTTCAGATCCCAGACGTCTCCGAGTGTCATGGAAACAGGGGAGTATCGTCGCCCAGGCTTGATATCTTTCCAGATCTTCGTCCAATGTCGATCTCGAATGGCCTCTGACTTCAAGTCAGTGAGGAGACTAGTCACTTTCAGAAGCTGGCGGAGGATATTCTGAATATGCTCAAAAGCGGCATATTGTCGCATCCTACTTGGCATTTCCTTCGTCATCTTAATCAAGCCATCGATGCTGCTTCGGATCTTTCTGGGTTGAACACTTCCCCACAAAGTCTCACGAAGTTCATTTAAGCTCTTCCAGATAGTTGACAGAGCAGCCCAGACGGACTTAAAGTCTTGGACTTCTTCCAGAATGGTCGAAAGAGAAGACTCGGGGCTTGCGGGGAGGTCGAGCGCTTCCTTAGCTTTAGACACCATGTCAAATTCTTCTTGCAATTTGGTGATTCTGGCTTCGAAAGAGGTGAGAGTGGCAGACGCAACATCAGGGGCAATCGTCCCTGAAACAGGCTTCTCGTCGTTCCACTGTGTGGCAATCTCGGTTATCTTGTCTATCACCACCCTGTCCTCTGCGACGATCTTGGCCTTCAGAGCATCAGTCTGGTCTTGGACAATTTTTGCCTTCCTGTTTAGAAGTTCGTTGAGAGCCTCCCACGTAGAATCAACCTGTTGAACATCGACCCAGTCGTTCGGGAAATTGTATCGGTTTCGAACGAGGGTGGATTGGCCTTGGCGGAAGGTCTCAACTTCAGGAGCCCATGTCTTAACCTTGCGCTTGCAACTTTGAACAATGGTGATGAACTGGACCGCCATCGCAGTCGAAGTCGCTTCAAGGCTCTGTCCTTCCAGGTCTCTGCGGGCCTTTTCTATTTCGGCATTGACCTCTCGCATACGATTGCCAAGCCGGCTCGCAAATTTCACCAAGATCTCCTGCTGCCATTGATCATACTTAGAGTTGACTTTCATCTGGACCTGTTCATAGTCGATGGTAATGTGACCGAATGAGCGGCTAACTTCGGTGGTGTCAAATGTAGCACGAGATTTTCGAATCTCTTGCAGCAACTGCAGCCATTTAGAGAGCTCATCACCAAGAAGTTCGTACACTTGTTCAGATTGCAAATCCCAAAGAGATTGAAACTGCAACCATTTGTCGACATATTCGCCGATACCATGCAACTTTTTCTCAACTGAGGTATAGACTCTACTAAGTATATCGGTGCAATCACTCGGAAGGTCATTAAAACGAGCTTCTTCATGAACCACGGTGCTTAACGTTAAGCTCATCTGGTATCTGGAGGCCTTAATCTTTGGGAGGTTACAGACAATGCCTATCCAGTTGTGCAAGTGCAAGAACCAGCTAGCTCTCGCGAATTCCAGAGGTGGGTCTAAATAGATGACCTGATTCTTCATCGTAATTTCGTGAATCAAGTGCCTCATGAGAGGAGCATCAGATTTGAGAGATTCTCCAATTGGCGCTAGTTGCTTTCGTCGGTTGGCCTCAATACGATCTATCGGCGTGTCATCTTCGAATGCCTCGATCCACGCCGAGACCGCATGTTGAAGGCGAGTGAGCAGAGTTAACTTAATTCGTTCATTCATCCTCTCCACCCAAAAGCCAAGATTGACGTATTGCTCTAAGTTGAGTTGATCAACGGCCGCTTGGATCGCTTGTAGACGCGCTTCGAACTCCGACGCTTCGTAGGAGCAGGTGGCCAATTCTGCCAAAGCCTTTTGAACGTTGAGGTGAATATTTGCGAGGGTAACGGTCTTCGTCTGAAGAAGGGAAGCGGCAGCAGCAAAATCCCGGACGAACAAGACGTGCTTAGTCTCACCATTACGGCCCATCGTGTGTTCAAGACTGCCATTAGCGAGCGAAGGCTTCTGGTACGATTCCCAGGTGTTAACGAATGTTTCCCACTTCAAAGGTACACCCTTCGCGACCAGAACATGGACGTCGTTCTGATAGCCGCTTAACAGAATGGAGACTTCAGGTAGTTCCGATATCTGTCTGGTTGTCTGCGCAAATGTTCTCACACTTTCCATCAAACTCACGGCGTACGGATACACTCTCTTGGCGTCCTTTGCGATATTATTTACCGCATGAGGCACATTGAAATTTTGCCAGCCGAGGTTACGAGTCTCTTTGAAAAGTGCGATTATCTGGGCATCGAAGTTCACCGAGAGATCAAGCGCATTGTTGGCCGCTCTAATCTTGTTGATGTTAAAGAGCCTACCAGCTATCGAGATTTGTTTACGCTGGACATCCTCAATCCAAGCTTTGTATATAGTTGCCGTGTTGAGTTTCTTTCTGAACAATTCACTCTCGGTTTGTAGTTTCTGGCCCTCGGTATGAAGAGCCCAATCGGAACCAAGGATATCCTCAACTTTCTTCATATAATTATCAAGCTGTCGCTCGATCTGACGCGCCCAGATAATGGCACCAGAGACAGGGGGCAAATCATGAAGCTGGGCCATAGCGTGAGCCTCGGAGTGACCATACTGCTGCTTGAAGCGCTCGTGAAGCCCTGAGATAGCTTGCTTCACATTGTCAATGAGTTGGTTCTGATACTCAGCAATGGCGCCCCGAATCTTGGGTCGCACAAAGAGTGCATTGAACTGGGAGAAAACCCGGAACATTTCATTCGCATTTTTTGCCGTTGCAAGGCGGTCACGTAATCTGGCGATAATAGAATTTTCAACTCGAGAGGTTCGTTCATTGTAGGTGTTCTCTGCTTTGACCCATCGTTGGGTGCCTTCGGGAGAAACATCAAGCAGGTCAACGTGCTTCAATGCTTCCCAAGCTTGCTGGACTTCTTCAACGGCGTCTACGTCGCCCATCTCCTCGACAAGGGCAACGTTGTTACCGGCCGTCTCCTCATTAATGCCATTGACAGTCGACTTCGGGCCGAGAACATTAACGATCGTCCTCTGCAGTTGTTCGTGGTTGTCTCGGAAGGTATCGATATACTTGAGTCGAGCCTGAAGCTCACTATGCTTCGGGTTCACTTTGATAGGGATAAACCTTTCTTGTCTTCTACGTGTCGTCTCTCTAGCAATGTTGGTGAAATCCTTGATCTGAGCATCCCAAGACTTGAAGATTTCGTCAGCAGTAGTCATAAGGCTTTTGAAGTCCTTATAATCAAGGTCAACCAATTCCGAGCCTGGAAGAAGACGGTGCATAACCTCTTCAAGATCCGCCGAAATAGCCTCGACCAAATGCAAAGTCCGTGCTATGGGGTAATTGCTGAACCTCATCTTCTTGTTCATATGGCTAAAGATCTGGCCGATAGCATCCTGGATCTTGGGTAACGAGGTCGCGGAGAGTAATTCATCCAGAGGGAAATCTCGCATAAGCTGGTTGTACTTCTGCACCATTTCCATAGCCTCCTTCAGACCAGTATCGGCGGTAAAACTGACAGTAGCCTGAAAACGTTTCGCATGCTTCAGGATCTCTAAAGTTAGCGTAACCCCTTCACTCCTCAGCTGGGTCTCGATGCCTTCCAGCGCGGACTCCATGGACAGCCAGAAGTTAATCTCCTGCGTCGCAGTTCTCGTTACGGGGTCTCGAGTTAGTTTCGTGATGGTCTGTATCGATTTAATCCAACTGTTTACCGTCGACTGCAAGTTGTTCATGAATGTACTATCCGAGAGAAGGTTGGCGGATATCATATCGGTACTAGGCCGTATATTGCGTCCACCAGCATCTTCCAAGGCACCCTGGACAACGGGATGAAACGAAAGAGACAGCTCGGGAATCTCGACATTTTGTTGGAGGTGTAGCAAGCTCAGCTCAAGCTCCGTCATGCGCTTCTTCGTTACAGGGATACCCGTCTTTGCATCCACGTCTGCTCGATTCCGCCCACCATTTGCAACTTGAGAGGTCTTCGTGTTGGCATCAAAATATGGCGCCAGCGCATTGTGGAGAATAGAATGAAGTATCTCGAAAGGAGAAGCAGTCGGACCTTGTTCACTAACAAGATTAGTAAGTGAAGCAGTACCAGGTAGTGTCTGGATCTGGATCTGCGAGGTTAACGGCAGCGAGGGGTCGATGGCTTGGGGGCGTTTGAGGAGCGCAAGATAGGCTATCGTCGTCGGTGAGGAAGATATCTCGGACGTGATTGTGTAAGTGTATGACATGGGGACTAGAAATTGGGGGTTAGCAAGGCTATTATCAGAGTACAATGTTGCAGTAGCTACATACCATTATCAACCGGGCCATCTGGCATTTCGTTTGATGGTTTCGCATCCTTCTGAACGTACAGAGCAACCTGGGCATCGGTCGCAAATCGGCTACATCGCTGTATAGTGTCGTCGTGATTCTCTCGTGAGAGGAGGTTGTCGGGACGTTCGAGCTCATCTCGGGTGGCTCCGAGAGCGATAGTGACCACGGAGGCCAAATATTCAACCACCAAAGCTGGATCTATGGTAATGAATGACGAAGGCGATATTCCATTCGTAGTAGGACCTTGCAGGCCCAAAGGAGAAGCCACGGCCTCCATCGTGGCGATTTGACTTGAAGGCTTGATCGAATTCTACAGGGTCGGTCGCATCTCTTAGAATACGGAATAGTAGGGAACGATGTCGGGATTCAGGAGAAACACGAGCTCGTAGTAGTGATTACAGAAATGCTATGCGAATTAGATAGGTCGTAGCAAAAAAGGACAAAGGCGAAAATGAGCGTGAGAACCGTAGAGGAACCTTGTCACGGTGTGTTTCCCGACCTGTATCGTCGATGTGCTTATTTTGGGGATGATGGTAATACACAAGTACAAAAAGAAGGGATAACTTTTTTGAAGTTCTAATGTTCAATGTTACCAGTCACCAGTCATTTCACATTTTACGCGAAGTACACCAACGGGGTCGCGACTGCTAGGTACCTAATGCAGAATTACATGTGGGGATAATTTACGTATCTAATCACCGTATCATTTGATTGGCCATACTGCTGATCTAAAGTGGATCTATAAACGGAATGCCACGACGAGTGGTCCACCTATATGCTACGTACCCATGCACTAGAGATGCTTGGGCCACCTAAATGTGTTCTTGGAACCCCTGACACATTTATCCCAACTTTCAACCCAATTATCTTTCCGATCCTGAAATTCTTTGATGAGAGTAGCCCCTGTTTCATCAGTTACAGACATTATGTCTTGCATGATTCTCTTCAACCAACTCCAGTGTGAGAGACAGCATTCAGCATCGGGTTATGGCCAGATGCTGTACCTGATAGAACATGTTCTCAAACCTTGAGGGATTGGGTTCACCGTCTTTAACTGCGCATGTGCACTCCACTATCGACGAACAGCTGGACACCTAAAGATTTAGCCCTTCCTAGTACAACATTAGCCGTGGGGGAATATCCATCAAGATTGTCAGTCTACCTCTACTAAAGTGCTTTAATCTTAGTCATTTTTATTCATTTATATTCAGATACATATTACTATGAAGCGAGTAAACCATATATACTTGATATGATGAATATTCTAGTTTGTTCCTTACGTTGCGTAAACTCTTGCTCCGAAAAGAGTATCCTGTGGACATATCAATTCGTTAGATGGTGAAAACGGTAAAAAGGAAGTTGTGAAGGATTAAAACTCGCCGTTTTTATGATGACGTAAGTACATAGAACAAAGCAAGGAGCAAGGTAGGATATGATGAAAAGACACCACCTTGTTTTGCCTTTTCTAAACCAAAACCTTCATCAATAGGAGTCGATGGTAGACAAAAGTAGTAGTTGGGTTACAGAGGGCTAAAATATTGTATTCTAGTTGCAGTAATAAGTTTGTAAATTAAGTACTTGGCCATAATCCCGTTTATATGAGAATAACTTACATGTTACTTACATTGTACAGCTGCATATTTCTTGTCCATGGTCTGGACTGTGAGGTTTACCCCTGTCTATAGCTGTCTTCGGGATATACATTTTCAACGTTACTATGGCAGATTCGCAGATTTGTCACTGCCAGGTACCTTGCTAACCACTATTTGAATACATTCATACTACCTAGCATTAGTAAATGTGTAAACTTCCCCCGTTTCTTTCTCTTTCGGAAACACAACTTACAGGCAGGTAGTTATTGTTCTTCAACTATAATAATAATCTTTATAAGGAAAGGCGTACGATATCTCTGACGATGCACTTCTACCGTAAGAATTCCAGGGTACACTCAATAAGGCTGAATACTAACTTAAGGCTTCCTTTATCTAGCTAGATGCGATTTTACAATCTTGATTTTCGCTAATAACATTTTTCTCGCGCTTAGTAATAGGAAGTACACCTGAATGTTGTCCCATGTTCTACAACAGCAAACGGCCTAATTCAAAGCATCGTCTATAGCCCCGAAAATAATACTTAATCGAATAGCGCGCACGACACGATGTATATGCTTGATAGAAGTACTTCCCCAAGAATTCACTTCATGGAATCCGCTGGACATGAATAAAACCCCCAAGTCTATATTTTCCGTTTTCCAGTAGATAGCAAACCTCTTCATGCCTAGTCATAAGGTCAGATGCGAAGTTGACATTCCGTTAGATCCCTCCGCGGACAAAACCGCAACCTTGTAAATAAAACTCCAGACCCCGTTGTATGCCATCAGTCCCAGTCGTAGCCCTAGAGACGCCTATGCTTCCCTTGAATAAACCAGACCCGGTCCTCACATGTCTCACTGTTTTTGGAAACCCTTTTAATGATGCATCCGGTAGACCCCTTTAATTGCTCGGACCGTTTTGCCCACCGTTGCTCTCGCCAGTATCGTTCAGTCTCTCCCTCTGAACCATGACCCGCTGATTGCATATGTCGATAAACATCTCGAACTTTTCAATAATTTTGTCCTTCTCCCGCAGTTTCTCCCTCAAATCATCCAACTCCTTTTTACTTTCATCCTTAACCTTGGCCAATTCTTCTTTAGCTCGAGCAAGTTCCCTGCGGAGGTCCGATCGTATGCGTTCCTCGGGAGACGTAGCAGGTTTACTATATATCGCTGGTCGCTGTTCAGCGATACCTGCCTCAACCTTCTCTGGGTTTCTATTGATGGCAGCACGGGCATTATAAATATCCCTAGGGAGTAAAGGGACATGAGGATTCTGCTGTTGCAAAATCTCTAAAGTTTGGGTGACTCCAATACCTATAAGCGTCAATATAATATTCCGTCGCGGCTTTTAAGCTAAACTTACCAGACTCCTTAAGATTTTTGACGGCAGCCACCATCTCACTGTCTAACTTCCTCGCAGCCGGATGTAAGAGTGGGCTTTCGCTAGGACCATGATTATGATGAAGATGAGATTGATCGGGACGATAACGAATCGTCCACTGTGTTCTTTGCTCGATGGCGAAAAATCCAAATTGGCAATTACATTTGCGAGAGGATGTTTTTCGTTTCCTATGCTCAGGACTAACCCGACTTGGAGGCTTCCCAGCACGATCACAGACGAAAAGAACCTTCTTCAATCCCGGAACAGTCTTCTTCGATCGACCAATCACTACAGCATATCCTACCGACGTGCAATACGCTAGCACATGCTTGTGAACAGCATCAAGACCAGGAAAACTACCTCCCTCGGGGGGAGCGGACATCATCGCACCCATCGGTGTCCTCGGAACGAAGGGGGTCCCTTCGATGAGCTTAGGCAAAATATGACTATCCCCTTCTCCCGAGTCTGCCTGACTATCCATATCCATATCATCGTGATGCGATTCCGCGGGCGGTACGTTTGGTTCGGGCCGAGAAACTGGTGGCTGTTGGTTTTGTGGCTGCGGAGTCGGTTGAGGCTGTAATGTCGGCGGTGGCTGCTGGTGAACTTGAGGGAGCGTTTGAGGCAGCGTTTGAGGGTGCGGTTGTTGATGTGCCTGCTGGTGGACCTGCGGGTGACTTTGTGGGTGAGGTTGGTGAGGTTGGTGGGCTTGATGGTGCGGAGGATTAGGAGATATCAAGTTACTATCGTTCGGTTGGACAGGTTGGGGTGGTGGAACCTGTTGGATGGTTTGCGACTGGACGGGTTGAACTTGTTGAGGCATCGGCTGAGAGTGCGGGATTGGTACTGGCTGAGGCACCGATTGCGGGACATGTTGGACGGATTGGACAGACTGATTCATGGCCTGTTGAAGATATGCCATTGAGGAAGAAGGGCCCGGTTGAGGCTGCATCTGACGTTGCTGGCTTCCGCGTTGATGCTGTGGATGCGGGTGCGGGTGCGGATGCGGGTGATGTTGGTGCTGATGCTGCTGCTGTTGCTGTTGTTGAACCTGGCGGACGGCCTGCGCGGTAGCTTGCGCGTGCTGAGCAGCCTGAGCCGGGGTGTGGGTGTGCCTCGAGCTGCCATTTTGTAAATTCGAGAGATTTGGTATGCTAGCGACATTAGGTACCGGAGACGGAGTAGTACTCTGAAATATATGTTGCGCATAGGCGGCCTGTGGAGGTTGCTGAGGAGTATATTGAGCTGTTTGGTATGGAGACTGGTGTTGCTGCGGCGTCGGGGAAGGTTTAGGCGGCGTAGACGAATGTGAAGATTGGTATCCGCGTCTGAGTCCGTTGACCTGAAAGGTCAGGCCCGGATGGGTATGGGAGTTGGACCCGGCCTGGCCCAAGGCGGACATGACGGAGGGGAGGAAAGGAAACCGGAAGACGGGAATCGGGAAACAAAAGACTACAAACGCTATGGACCAAAATGAACAAAAGGCGAAAGGAAGATTGTCAGAGGGGACCCAGAATACAACGACAGTGAGCCTAGCACTAGCAAGCTAGAAGCTAGGATGGGCACGATGTGATGTCAACCCGTTAACCCTGGCCGGTAATGGCAGATACAATATGTAAGGTCGTTAAGATAATGTAGGGGGAGAAAATGTGGCGGGTGTGGAAATATCACGACACGGTCAACATGATAAGGCTCACCAGGCTTGCCAGGGCTTAAACAAGGGAACAAGGGAAGCTAGGGTGGGAAACGGATGGAACAGGCGAGGGTGTGGTTGAAGAGAAATCGATGTGTGTGTGGATTGGATGTGGATTTCGGGTCTCAACACAGCGCGCTCTGTTTTTTGTGTGTGTGGGAAACTCGGTGGGAAGACGGGAAGACTAGGAAGTGTGATGGAGTGTGTAAAAAGATCGATCTACCTTTTCTTGTAGAAAGTAGAAGCGCACTAAGCTAAACCAAGTTAAGTGTGTAAAGTCTTAAGGCAGGAAAAAGAAATCGAGGAAACGACGGAGGGGTTTTTCGTCGGGGGGAGGGTGAGAAATGCAACGAAATGCAACTGCCTTCGCCAAGAAAGACAGCACAACTTTGTAGCGCACCTGCTCCAGGTCCGAGGCCCCGATATGACTATGACAACTTGTTCATCTAGCTAAGAGAAAACAGTCATCACTTGTACCTTAAAATACATGATGAGTGTACACGTAAGGATCTGACCCAACACCTAAACTTCACTGGTAGGTATTTTTAAACAGCGGGTACAGTTGTACGTGGTACTTGGTGCGAGCACTGTGACCTAGCACCTAACTGAGTAGGTGCCGCTAATAGTGTTTTTTTCTTCCCTATTAATGAACGCTAGTAGTGAGCTGCGCCAATAAGATTTCGAAGTTTTGTTTTAATCCAGAGACTCGACTTAGGTAAGAGACATAAAAATACCTACGTAATGCAACGTCTACACTCCCAAGGTTGTTTCTTAAATATTAAGATGGAATAAAAATAACCTTAATAAACATTTCATGAGATTAAATATATAACACGATAATGCTTCTAAGTACGCAGTCCCTTTTCCAGAATACATTCTTTAATTCTGAAGGTTTCCAAAGGCCTACCTACCTGGAGGCAGGTACCAGCTGATGTGTCCCGTGTCTCCTCTTATGTAGGTACTAGTTTGCTACATCCACGTATCGATTTATAAAGTCCGTATGCATCGAGATCATTGGTTTTAACGGATTATTAACCCACTTGCAGTCTAAGTGTAACAGACGCGCATTACTAGGTACCTACTGCCTATGCACTCCGTTCCAGGACGTGTACATTAACCATTGCGCATGTACAGGTATAAACTGTACTGGGTATGAAGTCAAAAACGACTTGTCGATATTACTGTGAACGTGCCTAATCATGTATATGCATCTGTCTTGTGCATACCCGCATGCTACATGGAAATTTTAGGCAATAAATTTTTGAGAAAAAAAAGCAATTATCCTATCTCGCTCTATGGCTTGCTTGCTTATTTCCTCTGGGAACATCTACAATGAATATAGGTAGACATCTCTCAGCCTTATAAGATATTGATATTTATATACAGGTAGGTAGATAAATACCATCGAGGAATAACCATTAGCAGCTGCTTAAACATATCATTAACAAGCTCTTACTTGAAACTCTGCTATTTTATCATCTGAAGATTCGCTCACAGCTAAAATAATATTTCGAATTCGAGCTGAGCTTGGGCACAGTTGCACCTGCCAGTTTCCTGCTGCCTGCCTGCTTGATGCATAGTACTTGGGTACTCAGGTAAACTTTAAATTACGCACCGTACCAACTACATGTAGTACTGTAGGCACTTGACTATTGTTTGTTGTACAATACGTGCGTGGCTCAGTGGCTGGTAAAAGTGAGGCTGGCAAGTTGATCAGGTTCAATTCGAACGCCACTAATTGGGTCTCAGCTTTACTTACCTTACCTAGCAAACTAGAACCAGTATCGGAATATCAACATACTGTCTTCCGCTCAGGCCAGGCACATATGGTGTGATGTGGTCAGGTGTCGCGATTATTGACTACCAGGAAGCCTGGCTACCTTATCCCGGCTTTCATTGAGATAGAGTCATAGTCGTGTGGTCCTGTGGTCCTTGTAGCTGACGCCAACCTTCGGGCTCGCCATCATCATGGCTAAGGATGAGAACCGCAGGAAGCTTGATGATTGGAGGGTCATACAACATCGAGGCCGCCACAAAGTATTGAAGGCATCTAAAGATCCAGTCGCCCGGGCTAAGTTCATTTCTGAGATGCCGTCTCCGAGACCCGTGATACTCCACATTTCAGAGGCCGATCGAACTTCGGCCTTGGCTTCCCTTCCGGCATTCCTCTTCAGAAGCCCCGCAATAGAGCCGGATCCACGCCGAAACTCTCATCAACCTTATTACTCCTTCCTAACAAGTTTCCCGCCCGAGATACGTAATGTTATATATCAATATGCTATTGACTATCCCTCGTGCCGGAACTTATACGATTACTACTACGACCAAAGGGAGAAAGCCATATCAAAGATCGAACTACGACCACGTTCTACTAACCCTAGACTCTCACATTCTTCTAAGTTCATCCTTAGGACACCTACTATTCTGCTTCTATGCAAACAGATTACGCGAGAAGCATTAAGCCTCCTCTACCTTCAGCCCTTCGTTATCGACCGTATCCCGCCATGGATCATGGGCCACCCAGCACCTCTCTCCTTACTCAATTTCATTAGCCAGTCTACCTTGCAGAACCTTCGATTCGTGCAAATCAAGATCCCCCTCGGCGAAAATGCGTATGTCAGGAGCGGGAAGGTTTGGCTTGAATTCCTACATGATGTGTTGAATGCCTGGTCTGAACGAAATTCCCTCATCCGCCTCCAGATCATGTTCAAGATTTCCAACGTCACGGGGCGTAATTTATGGTCCTATGAACTAGAAGATTATGAAAAGCTTCTAGAGAAGGTAGGGGGTCCTTAACCAAGTAAGTCATTATATCACTACTCACAAACCCCTAGCTTAGTTATTTCGAGTTCAAGCATGGCTTGAAGCCTGGCCTGATCCGCTGGGAACATTGGGTCATTGACCTCGCATACGCCTACAAAGTTGGATTCCGAAGTAAGTCCCGAAAGTACTAAGCTTCTTCTTCGAACTCTCCAGTGACTAAAGAATAGCAGACCCTGTTGTTCGGGTTCATCCTGATCCATATATTTGGCAAGGAAGTGTCATTGAGTGGCTTTAACAAACTTTACTCGAGCATAATGGCAGATATTTAGTAGGAAGTGAGTGGAAACGGAGGACAAGTCCTGTCTACCTCTAGGTATGTCAGGCAAGAATACAAGTAGGCAGAATTTCTACGAATTTGCGGTTATGATGGCGTTTGGAGGACATATACCCAGATGTGTGCGCATGGTCTTTACGGCGAGTCCTTTTTCGAAAGATTGCCAGGTTGCAATTACAATCATAGCCTATGACCATATTAATAATTGCAGAAATTTCATAACGAATGATTAACCAACCATACAATAAGCCAGTCGTATCAACCAACCACTCGGGATCCCCACAAGATATTCTAAGCTGAATCCGCGACACCCTGGCTGCATAACCAGCGACCCAAAGATAGAGTAGAACGGCACCAAGGAAACCAAATTTGACACCCAATAATTCGAAGAGCCACCTGGGATCTAAACCAGTTCATTCGTCCCTAAACCTGAAACTCATCTCTCCCAACAGCAGGCCTCCGCCTCTATCCCCTTCCAACGCATTCTCCTATTTCTCCCGATGGCCCCCTTCACGGCACCATAAGACCCATGCTCCTCAGCCATCGTACCAGGCCTTTTTGTCCGGTTTGTCGAAGCCGTCATCAATTAGCAAATTGCCAATTATCGCGCGCGTTGTAGGGCTGGCCTCCCGATCAGATCAGATTGCCTACGTCGCTAGCGTGGTCGAGGTAGCATCGTGTCGCTCCTTCAGGAATCCATGCTTCCGTAAGGCTGACCGGAGATATATTACTTAGGGTTACGCAGTGGGGGGAGGTTAGACACAACACATACACATCAGGGGGGCTTACGTACGCAGGAACTTCTTCCTGGAGGATCCGGAAACATTTTTCTTCTCTTTCCTTTCTCTGCTTCCATTCCCTTCCAGTGGAACGGGACGCTATCCTTAGATGTCAGGATGTTACAGGTTCCCTCCCACGGCGTTGTCCGGATACCTCCCAATAGCGTAGCGTGTGCCAGGTTTCTCAGCCCTAGGTATGCAAGTATAGGTGTTCCAGGTGTTTAAGTGGTTGATTGTGTAATAAGCAGTAAATTGTCTCTCTCCCCTGCCCCCTGATCCGTAGATTCTCCCGTCCCCTATTCTAACGGGGGTAGATGGCTGGGTTTTCGATCCCATTCCTATTCGGATACTGTTCCGACTTATGGTATATTGCTCTTAGGGAGCTCTGAAGATAGCTTCCGGGATCAATGTTATCATATAGAATGAAATGCAAACAATTTCTGCTATCAAATTACCTCTAGCAAGGTGAGCAAAACATCATATAGGAAGAAGCGGACGAATGTTGTATATATCCAGACTAGCTGTAGTTATATATTTTACTCAAGGTGTCCTCCAACCCAAATCTATCTCTACTGTAAGCTTGGTGGTATCTCTAGTCTCCCACCCTAAACTCCTATCCAAGCCTCAAGAAGCGTAGAGAAGTAATAGGCTTTTTTGGAGAAGTGAAGTTGCAAAAGGCCACCGCCTAGAAAATCAAATCCAAACACCTAGCTAATGCAAAATTCCGCGTCGTATGTATTCGTGTCTTCTTCATATCCCTTTTTTGTGCTATTAATATAGTGCCTAGCTTGGTGAAGTTCTCGCCCTTTTGCTAGGCCTCCTAGACGCCTCATCTCCAACCCAATGTTTTTTCTCTATTTGGTGTTGACGTAGATTATCCTGGCGATTCTTGTATTGACTGTTGCAGCCAGGGTAGGGACACTTGTAAATAATTGGCGGCCCCGTCGCGTGCTGCATTTTCTTGTGTTTTGCCATACTGCCCTTGAACCACTGTGGGTCACCTTTCGGGCGATACCCGCAGATCTCACAACAGTCGTTCGCTTCTATTTTCTGCATCGAAGAGGATATAAGTTTGGGGCTTGCTCCAGCGCGACCTGAAGTTGAAGACTTTGGAGGGGCCCCTAGAATAATCGGTAGCGAAGCGGCGAAGGAGCTTTCGGGTGTGCCAGGGTGAGAGGCGGTTGAAGGGAACGATGCCGATGTAGTGGTCGGTTGTCGAGCATTAGGATTGATGCCTTGAAGATCAAGAGGATCAACTGCCGAGTTGAAACTACGAGTTGTTGAAAGATCTGCTTGGCTTGAAGCACTCGTGCTTAGGGGGACAAGGAAATCATCACTGCTCGGATCGTCAAAAGTTACGTGAAGGTTCTCGAGAAATTCGTTAAATGGAAACGAGCCGGACTCCTGCGTGTGTTGTGAATCGGATGAAACGCTTTGAATCAAAGTTTCTACCAGCGATACTGCCAGAACTTGATATCTTGCTCTCGTGGAATATCCCTGTTCTGCGTAGATGGGGTTGCAAAGTCCCCTGACCTGAGGAATAAATTCATCAAAGGTTTCAGAGGATTCCAACGACTTCTACCAATTTCGAGTGTCAGCCATTCGCCTTAGCCTAATGTATAAAATAGGGTAGTCCTCGGAGACTTACCTTGCCAGCTTGCAATATTGCGAGTTCAAGCTTGCGGATGGTGGTAATGTGGCCAGCACGAACCCTTCGTCCGATTTCTGTTAGTCTTGGTAACAGCGTTTTAGAGTTGGAAAATTTAAGATCCAGGCATTGAATGATATAGTCGACTGTTATTGTGAAGGGACTTTCATGTGATGAGTCTGGTTGGAAATCAACTAAGTGTGTAGACCAAAGTTCAGATGCATTGACTTCAATGGGCCTCTCTGAACTACTACTTATGACAGAATGTTCGATATCTATATCCATTAGTGGAATGATTTCTGAAAACTTGAGAGCACAACTTACCATCTAGAAAGTTCTGTCCCACCGCTACAAGAGGATCGGTGTCTATATTGATTCTTGGGCCCGTGCGATGCTCACGCTCTTTGCCTTTTCCACTAGATGAACCACGTAGAGAGATTCTTTGGGTCGAGGATTCGTTATTCGAGGTTGGTTGCCAGATAATTGTTGCAATCTGCGTGTAGTATTCGACCTGAGATGGATCAATGAAGCGTCGGTAGGAAAGTGCTTGTCGATATAGCATATCACAACGAGCTGCGAGTTCGTTTTCGTGGATCACAAGCGAGAATGCATAGATAAGGTGAACGAAGCAGATATAGTCGAGGGGGTCTGTGAGATTACTGCCCTGGAGCACATTTCGCAGGCTTGAAAGGCCACTTAATGCTATCGCTTTCGGCGACTGCATTCGAAGTCGTTCGACCAATGGATTCCCCTCAATATGTGACAACTTCGATATCGACGATGATACATGTTCTTCTAAGGCTTCCCATGATGACTGTACAAGCATCCTGGTATCAGGTCCATGACTGGTAGGCTCGGCGAGCCTAGATGACACGTTCGCGGATTTGGAGTTGGTATCCGTGAACATCATATTTACCGACGTGGCAAGTGATATCTCTGTATTCACTGATGGCATCCAGGAGTAGTTGTCCTTTGGATCAAAAGAGAAGAACAGTGGATCGGATAGGCCACGTGGTATGGGCAGAGAGTCATCACCGGGCAGTTCAGACATGTTACCGATCATATAGTCGCAATCATCTACTGGCATCTTGTCGGGAGCCTTTGATGAAGGTAAAATGTCAAAGGGAGGACAGTCCGAGCTTAATGGCGTAATTGGCGATGTCATCGCGGTATCTATGCCAGAGCACATCGTCCAAGCTCCAGAGTCACCAGAACTTGCGCTCCATGGGGTAATCGGTGATATCATTTGCGAACTACCGGTTGATCGGAGCGACGAACTTGGAGAGAGGTATTTCGAACGAGGAGCGCGTCTGCAGTGGTCAATATGCGTATTCAGGGCTAGAGAAGGTCGACGACTGCCCGAGTTTGTGGGTGTTAAATTTATGGGAGGTATAGACTCGTCTTTATTAGCATTCTGTGTTACGGGCCATGCGTGTTGTGAGAAGGTATTTAGTTGTTGAGGCGCTACGGTTCCTACAGTAGCATCGTGTTGGTCTGAAGTCATTGGGGTGTCTGTGTCGTAATTAACGGAATCGAGTTGAGCTGTCGGTAACATTTGCATCGAGTCTAACTCGTGTATCTCGTTTCCATTTAACTCGAGCTGGGGCTGAGGCTGAGGTTGCTGTCGATCTTGCTCCTGTTGTTGTTGTTGCTGCTGCTGACTGATCTCATCAAGGTCAATGACGAGAGAATCGTAGCTGGGTGGAGGCATAGAGACGTCTTCCTGGAAGTTAGATGGGGACAAGCTTCTTCGTGATCTGTTTCCAATGTTCGAAAAGAAGTTCCTCGCCAAGTTCATAATACGTTTTCGTTTAGTTGGATGGCCTAGGCAACATCGGCATTTTTCGTCGTTGAATCGTTCAACTTTCATGCAGTCGTAGCACAAATATTCACCGGTCTTGAGATGTTGGCACTTGGTTAGGTGCCTAAGCATCTTCTCATGGTCGTCGAATCGTTCTCCACACAAGACGAGAGGGCATCTTAGGCGATCGTTGGGTACCATTCGAGTAGACTTGTTTCGTTTAACAGCGGCCCATACTATGAATCTCTGTAGTGCACAATCCTCCCCGGGAGCCTCTCGAGTCCTTGGAAAGTTAGTATGCTCAGAACTATGTTGAAGTCATAGTGCTAGCTACTCACGCGCATGGCGAAGGCGTCTGTGGGTTGAATTCCGATCGTAGGCTCGATTGTGACCGCCGTCTTGGGTGGATAGAAGAAGATGCCTGAGGATCCTCTACGCGCCGCCCGACCGGCGGGTCTAAGTCAAATAGAGCATCATCAACAGAGGCCGGCTCGGTAGTGGCAAAGCTCTTTTTCGGATCCATTGCTGTAAGAGAAGTTTGGACTAGGGAATATAGACTACTAACACTTGAAGGAAATGAGAGAGGTCGGGGCACCAGTGGATCGCCACCGATCCATGACTTTATTCTGAAAGATCTAGAAAATAATCTACTACCTTGAATATGACGATGTAGGACTTTTTAGCACTGATGCAGGTGCAGGTGTACTTGTACCCTAGGACCTGAGAGGACCAGCGGTAACGACCGCGGACTAATAAGAGCAGATCCAGCCATTGGTGACCACTGGACAGGCTCCCTCCAGCATGCCCTTGTAATTACTATCGGCAGTGCGTTTAACTTACCGTTCGCGGCTCACAGGGCTGCATTAGAGTGCAAGCGATGGAGTTGGGGTCCAAAATCCGACTCGGTGAAGTACGGTACGCAGGCAACAAGGCAGAAAGGACCCCAAATTACGCCTTGTGCGAGCATATGCAATAGCCAGCTGAGTGGGAATTGCTCGCTGACTGCAGGACTCGGGCGTTGTCCAATCAGAAGCGCAGCAGGAAAAGAGACGTCTGCAAAGGGAGAGAGCTAAAGCTCCACGCTATTCGATTTTCTCGATTTTTCCAAGTTCGACTGCATAGTCGTCTTGCGACTTTGCGACTTTTGCGAAATTACTTCGCTTTCGGACGTATAGGTGCTTTTGTATCCAAAGCATAACCCGGACACGCCTTATCTACCTGAACGGAGAGAGCCCGAAGAAGAAATCGAGATCACGGCATCACAGTAGCACATCTTACCGCGAACCATTCTTGGGTGGTTTGCATTGTTTTTGTGATATGCGCAATTCTTTTCAATTTGCTCTTGTCGTGCTGTGCTTTCGGACACGCCATTGCGAAGAGCAAGCATGGAGCTGTAGTACTCGTTTGCGATGCGCAATGTCGTAATCGTAATTCCGCTAGATCAATATGAATATGGTAATTTGACATTTTACAATATCAATACATTTAGCGTTACCGTATAATGATTTGTGCTTTGGTAAACCCAGACGAATGGAAGTAAACAACGGATGCTGTGCCGTTGTGGCTTATGATGTCGTGAGAAGATCTGTCGCCTTGTAGGGCTGGAGCATGACTTTGCTGACATGGATTGCATGGGCGGCATGGGGTTGTCGGGATAAAAGTCATTTTAGGAATTTTTGGTCTTAGAAGCTTAGATCAATTTGCGGGATCAAGGACCGAGGTCCTAACCCCTGATTCCCTGTGGCTCTGAGTGGCTAGTTAGGGCTATGTGTGGCGGTGTGCTAAGTGGCTGTGCGTTGGTTGAGGAGTTCCAAGTTCTAAATTGAAATTTAGGACTTTGGATCATGTGCCCTTGATTACATAAGTAGGACTTCGGACTTGGCATCGATTCCTAGACCTTGCCTCATTTATTCGATATCGATGGATAATGACACTTCCCCGTTTCACGCAAGATCTCAGTAAAGAGAAAACTCAATCAACTTCGGACTTTTAACTGCCGACTAATAAAGGTCTTTCCAAGTTGCTAATGAAACACCAAGCTATTAATTATCATGAAGGTTGTTTCGTCGACGCGAGTATTCTTATATTCTTATTACATTATTACGCTATTACACTACCTCTTAATTTATCTTCATACCTACTCTCTTACCAATAACTTACATGTATTGACAATTGGATGATTCTACGTTTAACGTCGTTTAGATAGCAGAAGTCCTCTGCAGAGCATACCCTTAAATATCTACCGAGTCCTGATTCAGCGTAGCTTTCATTGCGTCACCGAGAGGACCAGCAAAGTCTCTCAAATCGGACTTTATGTCGCATCAATTGATACGCAACAGTACCCAAGTGCATATACTACGCAGACAGTAGACGACGCAGTATGTAATGCGGCGGATCCGTCCCTGCAATGTCTGCCATCTCATTGGGTCTCATCCGACCTATCTACTACATATGTAGTATTCCCCTCGAATGCTTTCGCAACACCAATTGCGCAATTTTACTATACACTACTTTACTGTCTCTACCTACCTAAGCTGCTAAGGTAAGTTGATTTGTTGATCAATGGCGCGCTAGGGCTCCTACGGGGGAAAAGTGGTTTTTGTTGGTCTCGAGTTAATTCGCTACCAAACATTACGCGTTCAACGTTTCAAGAGACGCAAGTCTGACCTTGTCTACTTGTCTACCTGTCTGTCTGCCTGTCTGCTTGCTACCTCGACACCCCGCGTCTGTTCCGGGGTTAGACCAGTCTCTTATCGCCTACATACGGAGATCCCATGGGATCTTATGGGATGAGATTCAACTCCCAGGCTTGTTCCACCCCACGAACAGGAGCACATGAGCCATCCCGACAACTCTCGTCAGCTTCAAATCGAACGCTGGGGAATATGTCCATTGATCTGCGTGACTAACAGGCATTCCCCATTTGACGATCTGGAGCGTGATCGACAAGATGTCGATATTCGAGACGGATGGGTCCCTAAGTTGCTAGCGGATTGGATGGCGTGGTCTACGACGACCTGCCACACACCAACCAGTCTAAAACTTAGCAAGGGATGGTCTGGACCCCCTCTAGTTTCGACAGCTTTCGTCTCAAGACGGCTGTATAACATGAGGAAAACTGCTCACGACCCATGGTTCTGGTGCGTCTATCCCACGAGGGCGGCCACCCAAGTCGACGATAATCGCTTAGACAGGATCCGGGCTTGCGACAAGCGTATAGTGGCGTTGTCTATAGTTGCTTTCCGACGATCTTATTCGTCTACGCACACTCTTATCAGATAACCACCGGGTGATCGACTGGTAACGAGCGTTCCCCGCGGGACGATGTCATCACCTGTGCTGCGGGTGCTTATAGGGAAACGGAAACGGCTCTTGGTTTATCTGCGAACTATCTTGGGACATCCCATACATCCCATATAAGCAAGCATTCCAGCCAAGACCGCACCCTTTGTCAATCATATTTCTAGCGTTTTATCCTGATTTTCTTCACATTATTCGTTCCCTTCATTCTATTCCATCCCATCCCTTTTTTTCTCCCGTAACCTCCAGTTTTATTAATTCTTTTTTTTTTCTTAAGGTTGTCGTCATCAATATAATTGAACCAACCCCCCACCATTTCCAAGCTGTCGCTTAGAGCTTGGAGCAAAAGTACCTAAGCTAGCTCTTTTAAATATTATTTTTGTTTTAATATTTTTTTCAGGGTCCAGAAGCGTCTGAGACCCTGGAGTCCCAAGCAGCCGGTAAAAATTACGACATTATTAATTGCCATACCAAGCACTTGTATTTTAACGAGAGACACCAACCGAAAAATTTAATTGTGCAGCTCAAAACTGGCTATCCACACACAACGTCAAGATGGCGCACGTGGTACGAGAGTTGGACTTGAATGCCTGCTACGGACCCGGCTCCGTCATGGACAAAATGAATGCGGTACCCGGTTTAAGAACTAGTACTGGTAAGTGGAGGATAGTATTTCCCTTATAATTGATCGATCATTAGTTTGTTCCTGGCGTTGTCGTGTGCCTTGCTCTTCTTTTGATCTTGAATTGAAAGTTCAATCTTCACCATCTCATTCCGTGGGCTTTATGAGTGACATGGTATAACTCTCATCTCACCTTCGCACCTTGATATCGCAAAAATTTGCATGCATTGGTCCAGGTGAGGAGCAAGATCCGTTATTCGATTCGGACATAAGAATGAGAAGAAATTTTCTTTCGCTTCGACAGAGCTGATCAACACCCCCCGCGAATAGCATTCTTTCTTTTCCTGCGGGCGAATCTCGTCGTAAACCCGTCTGCCATGTCGACACCAGATATGGAACCCGCGTCGTCAAATCGGCTTCCACCACCTTCTCCGTCGCCGCTCGTTACAATCGATCCGCCAAGCAATCCGGTACCGGATGATCTGCCTCCACTATCTGTTGGTATTATGGATAGCGAATCTGACAAAGTGGACGCTTTGAACTTGGTTACCGACTCGATAGCTCAGCAGCGACAATCGGCCTCATACCATTTAATCTTCCACCCATATCTATTGGCGGTCCTAGCTGTCGCGCTTGGCATCGCGTACCAATGGTCATGGCGCATAAAGCGCGACCTTGGCACGGCACTCATGTTGCATTCCGGCGTTGTCATGACCTACCTACTCGCCATCCGCTATTGCACGGGCCAGTATATTCAGGTGGCTGAGAATATGAAGTGGAATTGGATGGTATCTGAGGATAGCGAGGAAGACACCGTAATCGGCGTGCGGTTCGGGAAGGACCTGATTGGCGCCTTAGTGTTGCGACTCGAGCCGAACCCGAGCCTAGCCGGGAAGAAGCGAAGTCGAAATTCAGTGCTTAGAGGGGGCAAGGGCGTGATCCGAGCGTGGACGGTAAAGCTTAAGTACCGGAATAAGGGCGTCGGTATCGATTTGCTTCACGAAGCCGTCAAGGTGACGAGGGAGAAGTGTGGAAGGGATGCCGAAGTTGGATTCGCGAAGGAACATGCTAATAGTACCATGGTGCTACCAGAGGTTTTTAATGGGTTGTTTAGAAAAGATGAGCAAAGGGCGGCAAAGGCTCTAGAGAAGGTTCTTAGTGAATGGGAAGGCAGCAAGAGGAGACGAAAACTCTAGAGATAGAGAAGTATGATGGTAGAGGTAGAGATAGAGGAGAGGTTGACTGCATCGGCTGGTTGGCGTTTGGCGGCTACTTGTTTAACAGTGCTTGATCAATACCCCCGTTCGTTTAGAGTTCCGGTCAGAATAAATAATATACATCGTTTTCCATGAAAACGTTCAATAAAGCTACATATTCTCAAGCTATAGGGTATCATTATTATATCATGGTTAAAAATCGTGCTTCAACGTTGCAAATGTACTAGCCGCCCATATGTGTTACTCACCCCCACCCATCAGCGCCTGGTATTACATCTTCAGAATAAATAAGCAAGCAAACCAGCAATTCTAGCTACTACTTCTTCTTGGTAGCTGAGCCACGAGCCATAGTTACATCGTCAAACCCGTAAATTGGTCGACCAATACGCCTCAGGGAATGTAATACCTGCGGTATGAATTATGATTAGTTTTCTATATACACATTAGTTACCTAGATGTATAAGACTTACATCGTTGATCGTGACTGTCTTTCGTTGCCGATATTCTGTATATATAACACAATCTCTTATAACCTGTTCATGAATATTTAGCACAATTTGAATGAAAAGATAAAGCTTTATGAGAGTTATATCGTACGTGTTCAAGGCGTGCTCTTAGAGCAACGCGAACCTCGTCGTAAATCTGGGCAGATATACGCTTGACTCCTCCGCGACGAGCCAATCTTCTACATCGGAAGGTTAAAATTTACCCATCATAGTAAGATAATAATAACGTAGATGATATGACAGATTAAGACTAAAATAAAATTGAGTTGCGGGGATGTGATCCAAGTGGCAACGTACCTGATAGCAGGCTTAGCTAGACGATGAGGATTATACGTTAGCGACGTGTGAATCCTGGAACAGGAGGTTGGATATTTCTCATGACAGTCGGATTACTCACTAATTCCCTGAATGTTGTCACGAAGAATTTTGCTGCATAAACGATTAGAAGCTATGACCTTAAAAACTCATGTACTCAGGTAATACTAGGTACGCGACATACCGGTGACGCTTAATTCCCTGTGACAGGTAGCTCAAGTCAGCATGCACGTAACTGCGGATAGAGTCTAGGACATAAGAAATTAGGGTGGCATACGCCTTTCCCGCCCAATCCTTTCCCTCCTTTGCCGCCTCGGGGGAAAGCCTTTCCTGTCATGTTTGCTTCGTGGCCTCTTAGAAAGCTTCGAACTAGGTAAGTATCGATATCGAAGGCTGAAAATGAACGTGCTCAATTCTTGTGACAATGTGAACGTATGTAATGCGGCTAGGCAGACGATGGATAAGTAGTGCGAGGCGAAAGTAAGTCTGTAGGGGACGATGTGGGGGAAGTGCGAGCTGGGACCACTTGAGACGGATCAGATCCCGGGTAGCAGGGCAGCAGGGCAGCAGGGTACTACATTATTTAAGAGGCAAACGCCCCCGCATTATCGATAAGATATATCAATGTACTGTACATCCAATATCATTCCACCTCAAAAAGCATGTTGGAACCGCAACAGCGTAGTTGCCTGATTTGTTACATCAAGCAGGATTTTAAGCTTCCATAACCCGTCATCTTTACTGCATGTACCTGATAGTAGGTAACCCATGAGACATATACATACTAGCGCAAGTCGATAGCCAATCCATCCATGTCCCTTCAATGTTGGTTCTTTAAAAGTCCAGGAAACATCGGATACAGCAATCGATTTGTGTTTGAGTTAAGCGCCCGGGGGTTGCCACTAAACGCGAGATGCGACGTAGGATACATGGCCGTCTCTCTATTGCGAAATATTTGGTTGGCTGGGATTGATCGCATGCCATTTTCATGTTGGTAGATAGTTACACTCATAATATATTGATCGATCGTCAGCTACCTATGTAGCACCGGAGTAACTTACATACCCCTCCCCCTCAATCAACCCATATTGTTCTGCTAAACGTTATACTCCAAAGAACAAAGATTATATTAAAAATAGCGTTAGTAATGTAGCCTATAAAGACACTATAAGGTCTTGAACAGTGGGATTTGATTATGGCCTCACTCCTCAGGATCTCAACGAGTGATCAAATGCCTCTATGAACTCCAATGTGCCTAAGTCATCCAGGCGAAATATCCTGACTGCATGCTAGCCGAAGGTGGGTAATTATAACGCAGTCGATCCTTTCTACAAGGAAATATGCTTCAACCAAGCGTCCGTATTCTAAATGTGATGCTAGCTGCGCCCTGCCTAGCTTATCTTAGCCATTATTAGTGCTAGGCGTCTAACCTCTGCTTCATCTTAAGCCACGAGAAGCTCAGTCTGTTTCTGATATGAAGGTTGCTTCACTGAACAGGCGTCCCTCTTCTGTGATCTCTTGGTCCCCGATTTTGAGTTTGAGCACGGTAGGGATCTTGTGCTGGTGCGGGTAGAACTATAAACATAATTAGAAATCGACATCCCGACTTACTTCCTGTTTTCACTCACCTGGTATATGTACGGCTTGGTGCCGGCAGCGCCAGCAACAATCTTCTTGACAAAACCGGGGACTTCCGCCATGACGTCAATCCTATCAACCCTGTCACCGAACGAACCTTCAATAACGGCCTCAACAGCCTTCCCATCTTTCGTGGTGCCGGACCAGGTGAATTTGATCTCGGTGGGCTCGGGCCAGTCGTTCTCTGAGTCTTGCTTCGTCTTGAGGTGCTTGGCACCACAGCTGGTCCCGGCGGTAATGATCTCGCCGTCTTTGGCAATACCACCAACGTCGACTACGGTAGCACCGTACGATGGTGGCGTGGTGAACTCCATCATAATTGCGGAATAAGTCGGACCCTGGAAGTTGACAAAGTTCCACCGCGCTGCCGCGTGGTGGGGCTTCATGCCCTGGAGAGCGTGGGAATAGAACGCTTTCCCCTTGAAGTCGACAGGACCGTCCTTTGTCATGATGGTTCCTTCAGCCACAGCTCTCGGCCAAAAGGCGTGTCGCATGCTGCCCCACGGATCGGATAGATCGGTGCCAAACAAGGTCTTGCCATCCTTCCCAGCAACGAAACCCGGCGCAACCCTCGTCACTTTAAGATTGACAATGGCCTGGGGATCGTTCATCGACTTGATCGTGTACGTCGTCCCATCCTCGGACAGCTCTAAAGCGCAATCGGTGGCATAAAAGCCGGTCTTATCCTCGCTGAATTCATGATGACTCAAAGGTGTGGTGCTCCATAGGTTAGGTTTCGAAGCGTCAGCGAAAAAGATTTTTGAGTTGAACTGGCAAGTCGTGCGAATGCCGCTTCACGGAAAGTCAGCTAGAATCGAGATGCGACAGGGCGGTTAAAAACTCATACGCCACGTTGCTATAAATGACCTGGCAAAAAGCTAAGTTGCCGTTGTCCGCCGTGAAATAGAAGGTCTGTGTCTCAACGCAGGTCGAGTCCATGGCCGCCCATTTTAGGTCGGTTCTCTTCAACTCGGTATACGGCGTCGTCTTAGCATCTTCAGCGATGGACTTTATGGCCGAAGGCCCGTAGATAGGCTCTTCCGTTCCCACGACATTAGCCAAACTAGGCAAATCAGTTAGCCGGAGGCACGTGGTAATATGATCAAGAGCGATGTGTTGCTGACGTTTGCTTTGCCCAGTTGAACATGATTAAGAGGTGTAGTCTTCTAGGTTATTAATTATAGGTATCTAGGTAGGCAGGAGAGATAGATAATATAGATAAGGTTGAGAGAACAGAAGAAGTTAGATAGGTGTCATAGAAAGAAGAAAAGAGCGGTGATCCGGAATAAGTTGTAGTTGTAAGTATGGAGTTAAAGAAGTTCTTAATTAGTGCGTTCAAGCAGCGTAGTAGTAGCTCAAGCTTTCGACGTTTTTGGCGGGGTCCTCGAATCACGTTTCAATGTACATGTTTTGTACCCTGGTATACAGTATCTCGGCACCTGATAACCTTAAGGGAAACCGGGAAGGCTCGGAGTGGACAGCTGAGCTGGTGGGATGACATATTATGTGGCGCATTAAAACCGTGACAATGTGGCTGGTGCGAAATTTCTCGACATTTTGAAAAAATTGGAGATATTTGATAATAACTTAATCTTTAGATTTTCGAATATTCACGTCGACGACCAATTGCCCCCGCCTTTCACCGACCCGCGCGCAATTGCTACAACATGTCTAAGGCTCGCTCAGCTGCAGCTGGCGCTGACCAGATCGTGAAGCTTATCGTGGAAGCGGGTAAAGCTTCACCAAGTCCGCCGGTTGGTCCCGCGCTTGGAAGTAAAGGTGTGAAATCTATGGATTTCTGTAAGGTAAAGACAACCTCAGTCTCTAATGATGTGATACGCCGGGGTAGCTGACCGTGTATATCAAGGAATTCAATGCGCGAACGGCACATATACTCCCGGGAACGCCCATGCCAACCCGAGTTACGGTACGAGCAGATCGATCATTCCACTTCGATGTTCGGACACCACAAACCTCTTGGTTCCTCAAAAATGCGGCTGATTTACCGATGGGCAAGAAAGGAAAGAGAAAGGCAGCAAGCAGGCCTGGCCACGAGATAGCGGGTACGGTCACCATGAAACACGTCTACGAAATCGCGAAGGTAAAACAAACTGAGTTGCGACTCTCCGTTCTTCCTCTACGAAGTATTTGCAAATTGGTCATCACTCAAGCCAAGTCAATGGGTATTGCTGTCGTTGCGTAGACGTTGGAAAATATCGATTTGGTTGTCTTCTGCATTACCCGGGCGTTGGAGCGATTGACATCCGTGGATAGGGTTGATTGTCTATTTCGGAGCTTCCGAGGTCCTCTATGCATGAACAAGCATTAACATGTATTACCACACCTGTACGATTTTACGAATCAAACAAAGTCACCTCAACAAGCTGTGCGCTGAGGCTTCTTATGCAACGGAATTATCGGAAACTGGGTGGATTTGAAGATAGCCGAAGGTCTCAGATGCTCTCACATGCAAGCAAGATATTCGATGCTTACTCCCTTGATGAGTAGGTACCTGCATATCGCCTTTCGCCTCCTCACGAAATATTCGGTATTTTATAACGCCTTCAACTAAAGTTAGCACAATACTGATGGTTCAATATGATATATCATATACCTACCTACGATACCTAGTAGTTTTACTACGTAGCAATCAATTACCGGTTGCTTATGGCGTAGGTAGCGCTGGGCATGCTTTTGGGGTCAGAATACGGATTAAGCTATGTACATTGTGAGGGTGACATCGATGCTTCAAGACAGCTGTTCCCTGTGCTACCGGATCATGGAGCGACTTCGGTCCTCCTTATTTTGTAGTGTTTGAGTAGAATGACACCTACGAGTGAACAAGCTTAAATCGAGAAGATCCGAAGGAGGGTTCGCTGATTGCCGGTTGGTCCCCATCATGGAAGCATTGGTAATAGGTAATATTTATCCCATGTAGTTGTGCTAGTACTCGCGTATATATGTTGGTAGGACGGATCGTAGAAATCATGAACGTTATTTACACTACATACATACCTAGTATTATGCTGTTATTTATATACTTCTATCAGCCTGAGAAGCTCTTTTCGGAATAGAACTCGGCTTCGAAATATATTCTGGAATGCCCGTTGTTCTAGAACTACGTGGGTCACGACCCGATATTTTGTAATAAAATGCTACTCTCCAGGTAAACATGGACGCAAGGATCCATTGCTATCGACTTTGCCGCCTGCACTTCGCGCAAGATGTTGCATAAATAAGTAGAATTAAGCGGCACAGGTGAGATCCCGTATCCGTGCCAATGTTTAAGCATTTTCTATCATCAGTACCTTGGCAGAATGGAGTCAGAAAAGACCGCCCATGTGCTAATCCTACTGTATTGGACTGTGCATGTCAGTATCCCTTGCTATGCTTATATTGGCAACTCATACTTAATATACTCATCATAATTGGTAGAAAATGCCTGTTGTGTAACAAAGGGGATAGTTTTAGTGACAGTGCAAATAGTAAGATTAGCACATGGGACACTTTTTCTGACTCCATTCTGCTTGGTTAGCATTCACGTTTTTTTTTTTGGCTAGTATGTAAATAACCAAATATTTAAATGTGGACTTGAACTGCTTCGTCGATTTATGGAGCCTGTGATCGTAACCCCAAAAATTGCCGGTTGAACAGATGTTTCGAAAGGATTCGCCTTCGGATTTTCTGAAGCTTTGATAGATCACAGAAACTGTATTGGATAGAACCCAGAGCTATGGGTTTGCTAGGTTGGTTATTGGTTGAAGCTCTGTGGGAGAATAAATCTTGGCCCTGATAATGCATGGCAGATCACAGACCCCGCCGGCAGACGGGTTGCTGCAAGCTAATCAAATTCAGGCACACCTTATGACTCCGTTTATTTTCATTGGGCACATCTGGTACGTCCCATGCAGGTCGATGTTTAAAGTCTCAGGACAAACTGGCTGGTTTGTATGGTTCTCGATCCACGGAGGAAGTATTAAATATTGTCGAACGTTGAATAGGAAGAAGAAGTTAAAGACATTGTCGATCCGGGTCAACTAGCTGCTAGAGTTTTCTTTTTTACAAACTACCTAAAAGTACTTCCAAGGTTATGAGCGGGATGGCCGGGATAGCGGGATTGGCGTTCTTGCATTTCTTAGGTCCAGTCCAGGCCATTTCTGGTTGGTGTTTGTTACCCAATCCCGTCTCCACACTAATCATTGATGTACCAAAGTATCCTTCAAACGTTGCACTGGGAACACAGGGGATACAGGGGACACAGGGACTGGATTGAAAGGACGCAAAATCGAAAACGGGCTGAAAACGGGTTGAAATCTTGGTCCCCCACCAACAGGGTCTCAAGACAGACCCACATGGATGACCCATGTTGGCCATGCCCAGCCAGCCAGCCAGCCTTTTCCCAATGACTTGAAGTTCTCTGCTTCTTCAATCTTCTTTCAACCAACGCGGAACAGCCTCTGGGTGGTGCACCTCCGGGTAAAGCGCCGAGGTAAAAAGATCTTACCTAAAGCTTAGGTTACATACTTGTACCAATGTAGTATCTATGTATCTGCCTCAAAATTCGAATTCGTCACCCGTTCAATATCATTCGCAACTTACATTTAGGTATGTAGTCCGGCCGTATCGGCTTTTTAAATGCTTACCTACTTGGTAGGTAGGTATTTTTTTTTAATTGTATGGTGACTTTTATTATGTGATGAACCTATATTGCCTTTTTCAATATTTCAAATCTTGTCGTACTGGTTGTCTTTTCGTCACATTGTTAATCTTGTATTTTAAGATAATGTCTATCAATGTTAGGTACATATATGCTGGAGGTACTGCCTATGTAGAATATTACAGCGCAAAGAAAAAAAAGTAGGGGTAAAAAAGAAGATGAAAGGGTACTAAATACCTTGTACGTCCATGTCAATAGGTAGGCGTTTTTGCGGGCAGCAACGGAAAGAACTACCTTCGTCGTACATCCCATCCCATCCCCATCCTATGTACTTAGAACACTTGAGAGCCCCACCATGATGGGCATAAGTCAGGACTCCCACAAGTTTTCAGAGAGATCTTTTTAGTTAGACATTTACCAAAGTCTGGCACATCATATTATCATCACCTCTTATTCTTCTTTTTTCTCTCTCTTCTCCTTTTCTTTTCCTTACCAAACATCATTCTTGGGGGCCATCCCTCGGCCCAGATTTTTCACAGACCTTTTATTTTTTTCGTACTGTAAAGCTTTTAATTTGAACCCATCCTTATCTAAAGTGTATCCCATAGTCTTTGGGTACCTGGATTGCCATGACAACCCCGATCGACGCAGTCAACCGTAGACTGGAGCAGCCGCAAGGTATTTTTTAAGATCTTCTCTCTTTGTCAAGCACGACCGTCGCTGTTTCCTACTATCTCGTGCCCAATGCCAATATTGGAAATTGGTTACTAACTATTCCTATTTTCAACGTCATAGGCAGCTCCAACAATATAGCCGAACGTACCGATGCCGCTGCGAAACATTCAGAGCGTGCGCCAGCTGTACGCTTCTCATCCGTAGTTGACGAGATCGACCCTCCTATTGCAGTGTTTGGTACTCCGGAATACCGGAGAGATAGCATAGCCAACCCCGACCTAATAAAGGCTTTGACCAACTCGATCCACGGCGCTCAGCTTCAGGAGCAACGGCTGCAAAATTATTCGTTTGATCCAGTTTCGCTTCCTCCTAGTAGGGTATGCCTGTTTTCTATAGATTACCTAGGTAGTCGTCTACGAAATCCTATTCCCTCTCTTCTTGGATTGCGAAACACAAACCGCAAGTTCATTGTCGTTAATTGCTTTGTCTCATTTGTTTTCCGGTGTTATGAAATGAGTATTACTTTGATTGATACATATTCTTACCAGCAATAATGCTTTATTTGGCATATCCAAATTTAACTATCAACATTTCATATAAGGTAGCTAACAGCAGACGTTTTTAGGTGGCGTCCAACGAGACTACGCCTGGCGCAACTCCTCAGCACAGCCATAGCCCCATGAGCCATCCTTCGCCCCGATTGAGCCCTAAAGCTCCCGAGCTGGTATCACCACCACTAACGCCAGCCGGGACTTCCGGGGCAGATTCCTCTACTAAGAGCGCAAAGTCGGTCCGAATTTTAAGTTCCGATGGAGGCTTTGATTCGCAGGCCATAACACCGCAAGCTTCAGGGCAAGATTCGAGGCCTGTTTCACCACGAGTGGGTCTACCTCATCGACCTGCATCCACTGACAACATATCACAACGTTCGACCGCGGTTGACGACCAAGATGGCGGTGCTCGTTCGCATCGGAAGGGCATGTTCAGTATTGGGGGCCAATCCCTACCTGTATCTAGAGAATCCAGTCCATCGAGGAATGCCGCATCTCAATACTACTCTCGACCTTTTACGCCTCAGGGAGATGCCAACGATCCATATGCCGCAAGCAAACGGCCGATGCAGAGCAAGGCTGGCGGGAATATCGACCAGAGATTTGTCTTCTCTAGAAAGAAGGGTCGCAGCTCTCCCTCCTCTTCTACGACCAACTTGACAAAGACCGATAGGCAAGAAAAGCGACTCTCTGGTCTCTTCGCGAACAAGAATAAATCCGGCGAACTCCATCCGACGGGCACTGGGTCTACTACACACAGTACCCATGGATCCATGTCGGATCTGAAAAGATTTTTCAAGGTCGGAGTTGGTCACAAGTCGAAGAAATCAATATCCCCGTCTCCTTTAGGCTCTCGACAATCTCATCAAGTTCCCTTTGCCGATGACCATGGCTTAACATCCAAGTATGGGAAGCTTGGCCGAGTACTTGGTTCCGGCGCTGGAGGCTCTGTTAAACTCATGAAAAGGACAGAGGACAATACCGTTTTTGCAGTGAAGGAGTTTCGCCCCCGGCATTCGTACGAGACCGAGAAAGAATATGTCAAAAAATTGACGGCCGAGTTCTGTATCGGATCCGCCCTACATCACGGCAACATCATCGAGACATTGGATATCGTGCAAGAAAAGGGGAAGTGGTATGAAGTTATGGAATACGCTCCTTTTGACCTATTCGCCATAGTCATGACAGGGAAGATGTCAAAGCCGGAGATTACCTGCTGCTTCCTCCAAATACTTAGCGGTGTAACCTATCTTCATAGTTCCGGCCTCGCTCACCGAGATTTGAAGTTGGACAATGTCGTCGTTAGCCAGCATGGTATTATGAAGATCATAGATTTTGGCAGCGCCCATGTGTTCAGATATCCTTTCGAGTCAGAACTGGTATTGGCTTCTGGTAAGTTTGGTATCGTAGCGAAAACGGATATGTACATCTCTAACAGATTATTAGGTGTTGTTGGCTCTGATCCGTACCTTGCTCCGGAAGTTTACGATGAGCGCAAGTACGATCCTCAGGCTGTGGATATTTGGTCTCTAGCTATCATCTTTTGCTGCATGTCGCTCCGGAGGTTCCCTTGGAAAGTTCCACGATTGTCAGATAATTCATACAAGCTATTCGCAGCAGACCCATCCCCCGGCCACGATCCCAAGAAGCTGATTCTTCCTTCGAGATCAACGAACGACCTCTCGAGCATTCCACAACGTGACATATTTACGGAAGAATCGAAGCAGCAAAAACCCAAGGGCACTGAGTCATCTACGACTGGAGGCGGCGATGGCAATGCTCAGGAAAAGAAAGAAGTCATTAGAGGACCGTGGCGTCTATTGCGATTGCTTCCCAGAGAGAGTAGGCACATCATTGGGCGCATGCTAACAATAGACCCAAAGAAACGGGTTCAAATGGCGGAAATTCTGGACGAACCTTGGGTATCGGACACGGTCATTTGCAGGCAGGTCGGCCACGGACAAGTCATTCATGCAGAGGATCACACACATGTTCTTGAACCTCCCGCACCACCTAGCAAGTAGGGGCGTGTAGAGGAGCGGGTGGGTGTTCAATAGTGTATTTGGATCATAGGAGGGGGGAAGGGACAGTCTTCCTCGGAGTTTGTGGAGTTTGGCATTTTCTCAAATCATATTATCTTCATCGGCATAGTGGGAGGGGGAAAGGGGGCCAACGCAGAAGGGTGCAAACCGTACAGGTTCATAGCGGATATAGATTAGAGTATATGCGACTGTGTATAGAGAGATTCAGGTAGATTTATTGCCCCCCCTTTTACGGCTGTACCGTTGTCACTACCGGCGGTCTGTCTACTAATGCGATGTATTTCGATTCTATGTATTTATTGAGGTTGGTATAATTTGAAACACTTCGATAATACCGCAATATCCTGTACAGTTCTAAGTTGTAACTTCGTCATAGCTGCACGGGTACTTTGTAGTGACTTTGTATGTACACTGTACAGCCCTGAGGATGTGATGGTACTATGATGTACAGGGATCCGAGAGCCCCGGACAGGCGGGTCCAGACAAAAAATCAACCCCGGCAATCGGAAAAACCTAGGAATAAAAAGTTTAGGTCTATCAGCCACTTGAACATTCTAAAGCTTTCCAAAGACCCATCTCTCGCGATAGCTTCAAATTTCGACCCTCGAGCTCTCAAATTTCCTCAATTTGTTCAGAGAACTATCGTCTACGCTTTACGACTTTCTTCTGTATATAATTCACAATGGTATATGCCGCTCCTTAGCACCTACCGGCTTAAACTCCAACCCCGCACTTGTACCTACTTATTTGCAATCGTAGGCTGTATGCTGACTTGTGAATATAATAGGCCACCGCTATTCGATCAATCAAGTCCCTCGTGCCTCTCCTGGACCGCGTACTGATCCAGCGAATCAAGGCTGATACTAAGACCGCCAGCGGCATCTTCCTGCCCGAATCGAGCGTCAAGGAACTCAATGAGGGCAGAGTTTTAGCTGTTGGCCCCGGTGCGTTGAACAAGGAAGGACAGCGTGTGCCGATGGGCGTATCCCAGGGAGATAGAGTATTGATCCCTCAGGTGAGTCAGGATCTTTATATGCCTCTGTTGCGAATTAGGGCTAATCGTATCTAGTACGGAGGCGCCCCCGTCAAGGTAGGCGAGGAGGAGTACCACCTCTTCCGCGACAGCGAGTAAGTCTTCTACTTCCATGCGACATGATATGTAAATAGATACTTATACCCGTCCAACAATAGAATCCTAGCCAAGATCAACGAGTAATTATGAAACGATACCCACGATTCACGACACTGGTGTACCATAGCATGTACAAAAAAAGGCATATAAAAGAGCTCGGGTCACGCTTTGCATAGCGCGAGGTAACTTACGGTGGCTGGAGGGGGAAAGGCGTCTTTAGTAAGGTAGTCTTTGCCTTATGGTCTCGAGGTGCAATTAATCTCCACTCATCCTCCAGAAAGAAAGAAAAATATTCCCTAGAATCTAGTGGCTATTTATGAAAAAAAGTTTATGATGATTAACCCATATTTACCTTTTCCCAGGCTCTTATATCACTTGCAGGAATAATTTACCTACCTAGGTAGTCTCGCAGGATCTGGATTCAGCTTACTTACAGACTGTACACAGACTGGTCTTGTCTTCTCATCCCGTAAACCTAGAGAACTAATTGCCGGGTTTCACAGCGTCGAGTCTAAAGCATTCCACTTCACCTCCGTCAATCAGGTCTCTGTTCTCCCGCGGCCGGTACTTACCTGTTATCTCGGATGTCGACTAAAAACCAAGACCCTACAACTAACCGCAACACCCAAAATACTATCAAAGTAATAGTTTCGCTTGATCTCTATATGAGGCAGCCTCTGAATCCACGGAAAACCTAGTGCCAAGCATACATGTCGAAAGCCAGCTAATCCTCCGAGTGCCTCCCTACGCACTAGGGCACTTCTGTTAGCATCAAAAACTAACTAACCGGGCCACAGAGGTTCAAAATAGAGCCAAAAGTTTAGCCGCAAGCCACAGCGCAACCGTACCGTACATAACCCAAGCGCCTTAAAAATTTAGCTATGTTTAACAATAGGGGTTGGTGTATTAAATTTTGTTGTTTTCTCCGTTCGGATTGATATTAGATGGGGAGTTTACCATTCAGCCATTGGATGGTTGGGACGAACTTCGTTTCAACTACACTCGGTACTCCTCGACCGATTGGCCAGGGGATATAGGAATGCAGCCACCCGCATCCCGCCCCTGTCCCTTACATCAGGATACTTCTAAGATGTCCGCTACCCCAGGTCTCTTCAACGTCATTCGCACGTGTTACCGTCGCACTTTGCCCATGGCTCGAGGATTCAAGACAATTCCCACCATTGGGAATTACCCCTGAGAAAATAGCTGCGAGTCTTAGGAATAGCATGTATTTTCTTGGCTTGTAAGCGGGCGCCTTAAAGCCTCCCTTTTGGGGAGATTATTGGATTGGTCCTCGAATCAGGGGCATTGAAAGCCTAATGCCTCGGTGACCTTTCACATTACACGATGCTGATTCAGATACTTATTTTACTGTCGCCTCCCCTTACATTCATCCAATTCTATTATAATAAGGGCAAACGCAAAATTTTGCTCTTGTCACTTTCTTGTTTCGACGCATGACTTTTCTGCTTTGAACGTTCTTTTCTTGTCACTCATTCTTCATGGGTTGTTGATAGACCCATTCACCCTGGCCATACTTTATGTGCCGTCAGATGTTTTGTTCATTTCTGTTTCTTAGCTGGGCTAGTATTATTATTTAAAAGGCTGAGTATAGGAAACGCCTTATACGCCTAGGTAGTCGGATATGCCTGTTTTATACCTTCATTTTTAGAAATTCCCCCCCTCCCACCCCCCCAAAGAAACACTAAGTCGCTGATGAGGCCGTTTTTTCAAAATGAAGCATTCTTCTCTCTTTAAGGTCATGGTCGCCACGTTCATCGTAACAGCCGAGGCTCATACTACATTCACTACCCTCTTTGTCAACGATGTCTCTCAAGGGGATGGAACTTGCGTGCGGATGAGCATGAATCCCCAGACATGTTCATATCCTGTAGCTAGCATAGACAGCGATGATATGGCTTGCGGTAGGCCAGCCGAAACTTAGCTAGCGATGGTGCTTCATTAACAGTTGATTAGGTGCCAGTGGTAACCAACCTGTGGCCTTCACCTGTCCGACACCAACGGGTGCAAAACTTAGTTTTGAGTGGCGGGAATGGGCCGATGCTGAGCAGCCAGGCGCCTTGGATATTTCACACAAGGTATGATATACTAGGCATCAAGTACACGAAAGCTAGCAAACACTAACTTGGGACACACAGGGGCCTTGTGCTGTATACGCCAAACAAGTCCACAACATGACAACGGATTCTGCAGCTGGCCCGGGTTGGATCAAACTTGTAAGTGCTTTTATAAGATATTTCCCTCGCTAGAACGTGATCCCCATATCGCAATCTTCATGACTCATGTTTCGACTTGATATACTAATGCCTGCTAACTTTATGATATTGTAGTGGGATGAAGGATACGATGATTCTAGCGGAAAGTGGTGCACGGAAAAGCTGATCGACAATAATGGCATGATGTCCATCGACCTCCCAGAATTTCTCTCTAATGGGTACTGGCTCATCCGACCTGAACTGTTGGCCCTTCATCAAGCCGACAAAGGCGATCCGCAGTTCTATACAGGGTGTGCTCAGGTTTATATCCAGAATAGCGATACCGCAACTCTTAACGTCCCGGCTGAGTACAGCGTCAGTATTCCAGGCTACGTCCAGTCCACTGACCCGGGACTTACATTCAACATTTACTCGCCGAAGTTTCCTTATCCAATGCCCGGACCGAAGGTTTACCAACCTACAAAATGCACAAGTAAAGCCGTGCTTACTTCGGCCTCATCCAGGGCCCTGAAGCAAAGCAAGGGGGTGATCCCTTCCAACTATCTTATCAAGAACGCGAACTGGGTTGGCGTGGAGGTGCCTGATTATTCAACCGAGGACGGCTGCTGGAAGTCGTCCGAGGCATGTTTCAGCCAGGCGAAGGAGTGTTATGATTCGGCGCCGCCGACTGGTTCGGCCAACTGTCACGTTTGGGAAGATAAGTGCGACGGAATCAGCGCTGCTTGTAACGCGGGAAATTTCAACGGACCCCCGAATAAAGGGCAGAAACTTCAAAGTAAGACCCCGACGCCGCCGTTTAAGATCCCGGAAGCTGTCAATTCTCGTCGCTCTATGAAATTGCGGGTACGGCGTGCTAAGGCATTGGCTATGAAGCTCTTCTGAATTGTTATGGGGAAGGTTCGCGCTTTTATAACTAAGAGGTTAGTTGTGGGTGGTAGGTAGTTGGTACGCATTAGCAAAGTGAAATAGACAACATGTCAAGATGATCAACCAAAGTTCGTTTGCATATGCTGTGTTAGGTATTAGGTGGCCCGGACTATTCATATGGTGGTATTTGCTTCTTATTCGCGCTTCCACGTGGACCCCGATATCTCCACATCCCAAAGACACCTTAGGTGGTTTCCCCGGGTTTGCTGTTATGTAAATGTTCTAGGCTCTACAAAGGTGAGGGTATAGATAAGACGGCTGTCGGTTTGTCGCGTTGGCGTTACGCCAATCCAATCATTTCAGCTTATGATGTCGTTATGTATCAGCTAAAGGCGAGGTATTAGGTATACGAGGTGATCAGAGGCGGTATGGAAGCACGTTATATGGCGGATTGATTGTGTGCTAGGTAACACTTGTGATTCTGAGCTAAGTTATGATATTGTCATGAAAGGATTGAAAAGACAATTCAAAGTGATAATATAGGAATTATTAGTTGCAAGGAAGTAGGAATATTGAAGGTTGAAATTTAAGTTACATAACAAGCCGAAGGTACTTTGTACATATCCATCTGAGTCCGTTCCGAAGTAACGGTTATATGCGGTTTTGCGGCAGTCGGATGCAGGCAGCCCCGCCTAAACAAGCCCCGAGCCGGGTGGATCTCCTCATCCCACCTTCAAATGACGAATATCGGAGTTAGAAATCGATGATGACAAAACAATATCCATTCATAATCATATTCCATTCACTTCACCGCAATACATCTTGAACGATATCGCTTAGCTGAGCGGCAACTTCCAAGTCTTTATAAAATGTCGACTCCCATCAATTACCGGTTATTCGCTCATTCCTGCACTAACCATAACATTCTTAACCCCAGATTACTACACTTAAAAATAGATAAGACCCACTTCCGTTCATTGACTACTAGGGCTAGGGTCTCCCCCATACGAACTCAAAATTTCGATCACTTCAACTACTTCTACCATTTCTCAAGAAAAAGGTGTAGGCCGGCCTGATATCTTGATAGACACGTTCCTCTCCTACCAATTCAATCGAAACGAAACTAGCTATCATACTGAATAACTAGACGTAGTCTACTCAACCATGACCGTCCCAATCGAGACTTCGATCGAGACCCCCCCTCTAGCACCATCCCCTGTCCACGGCTTCGGAACCCTTGCCGTACACGCTGGTGCCCCTCACGATCCCACAACCGGAGCCGTTATCGAGCCTATCTCTCTATCGACCACCTTCGAACAGTCCGCTGCCGGAAAGCCTATCGGCGCGTATGAATACTCGCGTAGCTCCAATCCCAACCGGGATAACTTCGAGCGGGCCGTAGCCGCACTAGAGAATGCTAAATACGCGCTTGCGTTTGGCAGCGGGAGCGCTGCAACCGCTACCATTCTCCAAAGTCTAGCTTCAGGCTCCCACGTCATAAGCGTCAGCGACGTATACGGCGGCACCCATCGATATTTCACTCGCGTGGCGAAGGCCCATGGCGTTCATGTCACTTTCACCCCGCAGATCGAAGTCGATATAGCCGAGCACATTCGAGATAACACGAAACTGGTCTGGATCGAGTCACCTAGCAATCCTACGTTACGACTCGTCGATATCAGAGCTGTTGCTACGGCAGCTCACGCACGGGGTGTCCAGGTCGTGGTTGACAATACTTTTTTGAGCCCTTATATCCAGAACCCCCTCGACCACGGCGCCGACATCGTGGTTCACAGTGTCACCAAGTACATCAATGGACACAGCGACGTTGTTATGGGAGTAGCGGCATTTAACTCGGAAGAATTGCGTGAGCGCTTGGCCTTCCTTCAAAATGCTGGTGGCGCTGTTCCCTCAGCTTTCGACTCCTGGCTTGCCCACCGTGGTGTCAAGACATTGCATCTACGAGCGAGGCAAGCGAGTACCAATGCCACAGCCGTGGCAAAAGCCCTAGAAGCTAGCCCGCATGTAATCGCTGTCAACTATCCTGGTTTAGACTCTCATCCGCATCGACAAATTGCCCTGAAACAACACCGCGATGGTATGGGAGGTGGCATGGTTTCGTTCCGTCTCAAGGGAGGACACGCCGCGGCTGAGCGATTCTGCCAATTGACCAAGATCTTCACGCTAGCTGAGAGTCTTGGCGGTATCGAGAGCTTGGTCGAAGTACCGAGCGTGATGACTCACGCCGGCATTCCTCGAGACCAGCGAGAAGCCGTGGGTGTTTTCGATGATCTTGTCCGCGTCAGCTGCGGTATCGAAGAGCCCGAGGACTTGGTTCACGACGTGCAGCAGGCGTTAGAGAGGGCGGTTAAGGAGACGGCTCATTCGAGTAACGGCGTTAACGGTCTCAATGGGCACAGTCAAAAATAGACACAAAAAATAAATACGGTGGTCTGAGCAATTAGACATAGATATAGCATCACGACAGAGTACGATCTTGATTTTGGTGTTTTGAGGCGTCGGGTTTATACGGGTAGCATGAGGTACGACAGCTCAGACCCATAGAGGAATTGGGAGTTGGTAGCATGCGGTGTGGTGCGGGTTTATATTGGTATTAGACAACCACTCAATGGAAATTTGCATATATCGTATAGAAAAGCCAACATTTTCAGCTTGCTTCTTAGTGTGAGGTATGGATTATTCTGGTTCTTCGAATCCACGTCTATTCGTTCGGCATCGCTAACCGATCATAGCCGCTTATAGAACTTAAGCGCCTGAAGCCGATTGAGGATCGAAACTAAATATACCTATCTTGAGTTGACGACTCTTTCTCCTATCTTGAAACGTATTTATACTTTTATTGCTTCAGATTGTGTTTTTGTTGATCGCATTCGTACCCTACACTATTACATCTAATTGGCGAAATATACCGAGATAAGTAGCAATATTGGTCGACTTGCTCGGAGAATATTCGTCTGATGAAACATAAACGACCACTCAACATTGATCTAACTTATCTAATAGACATATATATTGAAAGGCGACTACGGGTATTGGCTGCCCGTCTGCAGTTTGCCTACGGTGGAGTAGGGTAGGAATATTGGGTGGCCTTTTAAGGAGGGGGGAAGGGAAAGGGATGCTCGGAGAATAAAGTGCATGATAGGTACCCGTTTTCGACGACGTGGGAAGAAACGAGCCATCCACTCATCCTAATATATCGAGAAAGTTGTGGGACTTATAAGGTTCACATGTTACTCTGCCCTGCATCTCTACCGAAAACCGGCTTCCGCTCCCCAGTTATTTCTGGGATAGGGGGAATTAGAGCATCGCAAAAGATGATAACCAACCTGCGTGGCCTTGACGAAAGGGGTTGTGGAAGTGAGTAAGTACCTGGATGGACGACAGTTCCTCTCCTTATCGCCGATATGCACGGTTTGCTAGGTAATATCTAGCACGTGTGGGATTGGGTGCTAATAGAAAACGAGGACGGGTATTGTTAATACCCGCACGACTAATATATAATTCGAATCTCGGGAAGAAGGAGCCCGCTTACTCACTGCCATATTCGAATGGAGATGTTAAATAGACGTCATCGGTACTAACCGGGAGTCGCGGCACCCGTACCCTCTCCCAATAAATAAGGTTCTGGTTAGCGGCTCAAACGGGGCTGAGGCTTAGATAATGTTGGTTCGATACTCGCGAATTCTCTCTCCTTTCTCTCTAGGCGTGATTTGGAATTTCTCCCATGTTATTGTATTGAGGATTACGGGTTTTAAGAATGATGTGGGTCGTTTGAGGAACAACCTTGCTAACTAACCTCCTTAGCTAATCAGATCTGACCCTCACCAAGGCTACGCTCCTAGTATCTACCTAGGTATATTTCCGAATTGCGAGGCTAAGAGTTCAATATTGATGTTGGTTCATGCCAGTTGATGATTAAGGGACGTGATGGCGATAAAGTGACCCGCCCTATCGCCGCGGCACAGCTGCACATGCGTCTCTATGCAATCTATGGCCCAGTCACTCGGGTCCTGTCAACGCTAGGGTCTCACCGCCGCAATAGCGCAGAGGACGTCATCATGATAGCTCATCGGTAGAATATGTCATGAAGTTCTATTTGGAATTCGGAGTTTTCATTTGGAATTGAGTTTGTATTAGCTCCCCAGAGAATGGATTGTTTACCATATAAAATGGGCTCATAGCCCTCTCTAAATATCGTTTCATGTAGCCATCACCAAGTCAGCTGTAAGCTTACTGAAGGAGAAGACTAACTCACGATGATTCAACTAACTCGCCATACCGTCCTACTTGCTGGCTTCGTCGCCGTAGCCACAGCCCGCGTATGTCGGAACTTGACAGTTCCCATCTCGATATCGGCACAGAACATCAAGTTCACCCTCCAAGCACCGGCGAACGACATTGAAGTCACGAATTTCTTCCTAGACCTTGCGCAACCGGGCGTGAATTTCACCCAATCAGTGCTAAACTCCAATGATTCGGTAAACATGACACCCCCCTTCCCTCCCCTTCCCCCCTCCCCCTGTCCCTGCCTCTCCCCCCCTTACTTTCCCACCCACACTAACACCGACCCACCCCAAGTTCGCAACCATAACCGGCAACTACTCCATCGGCGCAACCTACTGCGAGCCCGACTCCGGGCCAGGCAGCGCGCTGCAGATCCTAACACACGGGATCGCCTTCGACCGCTCGTACTGGGACTTCAGCTTCGCGAACCACAACTACAGCTACGCGAACGCGGCGCTCGCGCGGAACTACAGCGTCTTTTTCTACGACCGGCTCGGGCTCGGCGGGTCCTCGCGCGGCGACCCCGTCACCGAGATCCAGACGAACCTCGAGCTAGCCGCGCTGTACGCGCTGACTTCCAAGCTGCGGAACGCAGAGGTTTCTGGAGTGCCGGCGTACGAGAAGCTTGTGCATGTCGGACATAGCTACGGGTCTATACTCTCGTACGCGCTGGTGCAGGCGAATCCCACGGGGCTGTCGGATGGGCTCGTGCTTACGGGCTTCGCGCAGGCTGCTACCGCGAGCTATTCCGCGTTCTTCACTTTCGGTGGTAATTACGTGGTTGCGCGGAACGCGTCGACAAGCTTGGTCGGATACCCGGCTGGATACATGGCCTCGGGCGACCGCACAGGCGTGCAGACCAATTTCTTCGCGCCTAATAACTTCGACCCGGCGGTGCTGCAGGCTGCCTACGAGTCGAACCAGCCCGTCACCGTCGGCGAGATAATGACCCTAGGTAGCGGGGCGACTGGGAATAACACTTTCGGCGGACCGGTGTTGATTATCACGGGAGGTGAGACATGTCTTTCCGCTAGTTAACGGATATCCGTTGCTCGTCGCTCTGTAAGGGCTCCGAAAGCTGACTTGGTTCTTTTTCTAGAACGCGACATCCCATTCTGTGGGGGCAATTGCGATTCGACCAACCCCCCTATTCCCGATCAATCGGGGCAGTATTTCACCAATACCAACAACTTTGACGCCATTGTCGTCCCCAAAACTGGGCACAGCTTAAACATGGTGAGTACCCGTCGCCGACTGACGTCTTTTCGTGGTTGAGGCTAATTGCGAGTAGGAATACACCGCGGCGACCACGTACACGTCGATCCTCGACTTCTTGGATCAGAGCGTATAGAATATGTACGAGGTAACCTGTTATATGGAAAGAAAATTGTTGTCTGTGAAGTATTAATAGAACCATAAACTTATGTAGTTTTTAATCATATAGCAACATATGTTACTACCGTGGTTCGGGCCTCGTTCGTCATGCGACAATGTTGGTGACCTACATTGTACCGTCCTCGAATGGAGCATCCTTACTAAAAACATATCAAGTGGCTTTTTTTGGAATTTGCTACCAAGTGATCGAATTTTTACTCACGTATGCGACGACATGGTTCACCTCGAGATTTAAGTCTTTGACTTACAGCAAATTACCACCCTGGCATGTATTGATTATCATCGGGGATACATAGCTCAATTGATGACATCATCATCATCCTCATCATCCATATCATTATCCTCGTCCCATCCCAGATTCTCTGCGCAGAGAGTTAGTCAGAATGTGACACTTCGGGATGCCGAGGATAGCCACAGGTTCCTAGGGGAGATACATGCCTGCATCTGATTCTGAGCTCATATCGTCGTCTTCCATTTCCTCATCGTCAGGCCAATGAATAATCATGGATTCGATAAACTCTTGGGAAGCGCGTTCCACTGTGTTACGTCGGTTAGCATGCTTATTGAAGAAAGGCTTCCTGCTTAAGGCTACAAAAACCTGGATCATCGGAATATTTATGAAAGTAAAGGGGGGTGTACGTACCATCGAATCCAGACCAACCTTTACAAAACGGATTCACGATCGGGTCATAAATTGGGCGTCCAAACTCTACCGAATAGGGAGTGGTATTGTACTTCTGTCTTATATAGGAAAGTTGCATGGCAGTGAGTGTGAGACCAAGCTTCGTGATTTGGCTGAAGAACTTCGACCAGAGGTTAACCTTTCCCGAGGTATGATTTTGCGGTGGACTGTCGAGTGTAACTTTGTGCAAAGAGATTGCGCGCAGGCTTGATTTATATCTCTTGAAAACACTGAGGAGCAGAGGTAGCCCAACAGTTACCATCCCGATCTCTAGTTTCTCTAGATGCTGAAATGCTGGTGGCGGCAACGTGGGGAAACGCTCTCGTATGTTGGCGGAGTTTTGCACCCCATCCATTCCTACTTCCTCGCTTACTGACCACATGGAAGGCTGTGGGATCCCGGGCGAAATAGGAACCTGGGCAAGCCACTGAAGAATGCCCTTGGCTTCGGCGATGCCGCAATCCCGGAAATTAAGTCTCAGATGCTTCAGAGACGGCGTCTTCGAAAGGAATTTGGCAAGAAGATAACCAGTATAGGTAAAGCCTTCGTATCGTCCCCCATTATTGATGGTGAACCGAGAAAATGAAATGGGTCCCAAATCCAGAAATAGGACCTTGAGGTCCTGGAGGACGGGCAAAATAGTTGGCTCTAGATAACGGGGTATGTTGAAGGCAGGCGGGGGAAGATAGCATGTCCGTAAGACGACCTGGAACTCGGGGGGTTGGTGCATGTCCCTCGCCTTTCCCAGAGCTCGCAGCATGGCTATAAATGTGTGGGAGACATAGCTTGCGTGTCCCTCTTGAGGTGCATTGGGAGGCCGAATGAACCGTGGCTGCTCGAGGTGGGAATTTGTCTCTTCCCAGAAGGTTTGGGCGCCGTAAGTACGCCAGGTCTTATGATCTCCATCACGGCTTCGGCCGGGAGAGTAAAAGTCTCGTAGACCAATTGTTTGAAGCTTCGACAGATTGCGGAGAGCTTCGGCAAGAAGCTCAACATCTTGACCGGAGCTTATCAAGGTCTGATGGTTGATGCATTGTTCGTAGAAGTTATTATACTTGAGCGCATCACCAAGGCTCTGAGTCCCGACGTTAATGCCCTGACGTTGGAAGTCCCATGCATTTGGACGTTCGAGACTGATAATAAGACACTTTAGATGAGGTCCAAGTCTAGACTTGGAAATGTCCACAAGCGCCTGGAGGCTGAACTCGGTGAGCATAAATTGACGCTGTGTGAAGAACTCTCTAGCGAAAGACGGGAAGAGAGATTTCTCGATTTGTCGACAAACGCAACGAAGACGTCCATAGTCTAAAGTGGGGAGGTAGGATGAGATATGAAGCAACACTTCTGGTGGGACCTTCAGGAGACGACTGTGGACAAGATTCTGGTCCTCCGTCTGAGAGGTCTGAGAATCCATACCTAGGGTATGCTGTCGAGTACACCTTTGACTGTAGTCGTTAGCAATTATTCACGACCATATTAATGGAATATGAGGCTACCGGGTACCTACCTAAGTACCAGTCAGGTGAGGAATACCTCATTCAGGTAGTGAATCACTAGAATCGAAGTATTGGGGTATCGGATAGATGAAGGATAATAAGTAGATTGGGAAAGGATGGAGAAAGGAACAGAAGGTGCTGAGACGAATGATAAATGTAGAAAATGTCAAGGCTAAGAGTTAGGAAAGAGATGGAAGAAGTTGTTTATGTTTAAGGTGTTCTGCCTCCGTTTGTTTCTTCACTGTTCTCTAGGCAGAATATCAGCTCTGTAGGTGCAAGGTAGCACTGTAATGCACCTGCCTGGACCAAGCGTCAAATTCAGTTGAAGAAGGAGCGCACAGATCAAGCTGTACTACCTGAATTACCGTATCCGTCATAGACGCACTTTACAATTTACACCTAACCGTACCTGCCGTACTTCGTATTTAGGTACCGTCCGTCGTACCTACCTAAGGTACTGTATGAACAAAATGAATAAAACAATAAAATCTTTTTTTCTTCAGCAATACTATGGTTTTTCATGTAAACTTTTATCATTTGTTTCTGGATATGGTGCTAAGCCATAATCAGATCCGCCGTATTAATGAATATGGGTATGATCAATGTCAAAATCGGCCAATGTGGTACATTTTAGTACATACTTAACCAAAACTCGCACTCGCACTCGACCTCGCCCTCTATTTTATACCGTTTTCTGGTGATCCTTATCGTACTTGTTACCCAGATCTGCCTCCTCCTCAAATTCCTCTTCTTGCTGGCTACTTTGATCGTAAGCTAGCCTGACTTCGTCGATCTGGTCGCCCACTTCCATCCAAGTATCGCTGCAAGCTGGGATGGGAGATAGCTTGCACAAAGCCCAGTACATGCCTGCCGAGATGATGAAGCCGCAGAAGAAATTGAAGTTGTAAATGTACGTTGCTCCTATGGGGACATTGCCTCCATTTACAGCCCCAGCGAAGCCAACTACGTTAATAAGGATGCCGCTGATATATGATGCGTAAGCCCTCCAATGGAAACCGTAGGTAAAGAAGTACGGTCCGGTCTTGCGTGCATCGTAGAGCTCCCTGATTTCAAGGTAGCCTTTGCGGACTAAGTAATAGTCGCTGCACATAACTCCAGCAATCGAACTGAGAAAAACCGAATAGGACGAGAGGTACGTTGTGAACTGGTTGGCTGACGTAAGTAGGGTGTAGGGGCACATGGCCAAGCCGACGAGAGCACATATATAACCACCACGCCGGATGTTAATGAATCGCGGCAGCAAAGCCGTCATATCGGTTCCTGCTGAAACCGAGTTGGCTGCAATATTTGTTCCTAGTTGAGCTAGCGCAAAAGCAAGGGCGATGACAAAGACGCCAAAACGTTGACCAGAGCCACCGTCGTCAATGAATCTCTCCAATAGCTTAAGCGGGTCCCAGATTGGTTCGGTTCCAGGATAGATGATGACCGAGCTGGATGAGACCAATATACCTATCAAGGAGGTGATGGCAAATCCGATGGGGATCGTGAAAGCCTGTGACCAGAGTGCATCACGTGGCTTGGTCGAGAAACGAGAGAAATCTGGATCGTTTACGATGAGAGTTGCAAAGTTCGCGATAGAACTCATGACGCCCTTAATAAACTGCCAAGCAAGATCACTACCTTCCACGGTTGCACCTTGCCTAACGATAGGACCCGGTCCACCAGCGCGAACTAAGGCCCAGATCAAGAAAGCGACGCCGGCACAGGGTACGAAGTAAGCCTTGACGGTAAAAAGATGTCGAATCTTGTGCACGGGAAACCAAATCGCCGGTAGAGACAGGAGCCAGAAGATGAAAAATGAAGCGTAATCGGCGGTGGTAGTCCCGGAGTCTGGCGAAAATGTGTTTGGAATTGTGTCGCGGTCCTAAACGATGTTAATAACTCGAGACTTTCTCGGCGCATGTTGATCTTGGAGCTTACCCAACTGAGCCAGATTGATCGGATCATCAGGTACACACATTCCCCACCAATATACGATTGCACGCCGTACCAAATGCAAGCCATAGCGGCACGATTGAACACGGGCCAAAGACAACCCCATATTCCAAAGCTCGATCGGTTCACGACTGGGAATCCAATATGGTACACGGCGCCAATGCGACCTGTCATGCAGATGAAGAATCCAGCGATGGAGTACCCGATCCACACGCAAAGCCACGACTGCCACCATGACAATCCACCCACAATCATGGACGAACTAATCATCCAAGTGTTGATGTTGAAGGAATCTGCAATCCAAAAACCTACGAAGTTCCAGGCTCCCCATTGGCGACGTTCAGGCTCGACAGGTTTGAGATCATTGTTCGTTAACTGCTATTAGTCAGTCTCGTGATAGCTTCAATTAACCACCGATTGGTGGTACCGTTTAAACGCGGTAAGATGGGTGGTCAGATTTAGCCATACCATCAGCTGGGCGGTGGTGAGACCATCTTCATTGTCAACGGCTATCTTTTCTACCCATGAACTAAGCCTTGAATCGTGAAGCCTCTCCATGGTGAAAATGAAGTCGACAGGCCTAGGGTAGGAATTGAGTAGGTTTCCGTTTCCGTTTCCGTATCGTTAGGTAATTTTCGAGTAATGATAACCTTAGAAACGTGTGAAGGATATCCTCATGACGCGACCGCGGAACAAGACAGGTACCACCTAGGTCATAAACAGGGTATTTAAGTTCGTTTTGTGGACGTCAAGCATCGTATGTCCAAACTCTAGATAGTCGAACCACAAGTAAACGAGTGATATGAAGGAGATTGGGAGTGACTATATAGTAAGGGCTAGAAATAAATAGGAGTTTTTGTTTCTAGCCCAAGATAACAAGATAGAAAAGAGAGAGAGAGAAAATATTACATCCATCAAGCCTGTCAACGATACTAATCCTTTTCGTGCTGCCATGGCCCATGGCTGATAACCTTGCGACCAACAACGACATAGATACGTTTCCAGCTTCTGAAGGACTCCCCCACACTATCTGACCGTCTGGCCGTCTGGGTGCCGGGCAATTTGAGCTATCTACCCGCCTAACTCATCATCTTACCGGGCGCATGTGGCTAAGACACAGGGAACACAGGGACATTCCTAAAAGCCTTCACTTCGGTGTCGCCGCCAATAGAGATAAGGTAGGAAAAGATAAGCAGTTGATTGGCCAATGATGACCAAGAGGCGTTAGTTGAATATCGGGATCGTAAATGTTATAATCGTTTAAGGCTTAGCGCGAACCAGCCTCGAGGGATACCCCGGGAATCAAGAGACCATTTGCTCCAACGATACCCCGTCGTCCCGCATATTATGACGCTACCGCTATCTGCTATCTGCAAATTATGTCATCTCATCGAGCAATTCTTTGACAATTCTCCGTCTAAGCGTTTGATACAGATCTGTACATACTTTTAGATTTAGCCTTGCTAGCACCAGACCTAAACTGCCTAGTAGGGCCTAGAACTTCTAATGGGACTTTTACCCCTTCAATTTGGACTACTTACAGTATTGAGATATTTAAAACTTTCATTAATATCATCCCATTTATCGAACATATGTTAGCATACCACCGCGGAAAAGCCAGGTAAGACCAGACACTAAATAACGCCGGCCAAGGTTTTAGGGCGAGGGCTGGGGGACGAATCTTTCGAGCCATAAGCAACTACGAAATTCGATTTAACACCTAAGAGAATGAAACTATCGTCACACCACGAACAATTACTAGATATATCAATTATAAACATATCCAAAACAACATTATTGTTTCAATCCAACTTGTCTATTCAACAACAGAAATTGTCCGAAATAGGCATATATATATATCCGGCACAATAATGCATTAAGCCATCTCTCATTCTTTCATAAGCATTCAGAGAAAGGATTCATACGATATTCAAAGAATACTGGAAATTCTGACAACAAATATCTATTTAGTTAACTCTCTCTTTTTAGCAGATTCCGAAATGGCTCCCCCCATGGTTTTTAGATACCCATTGTATTGCATGGCACATTATCGCTTAACTTGTCTAGAATGTCTACATAGCATGAACTCTGTCAAGGGTGGAGTCATTCCCGATCCCGAACCCGGGAGTCGAATTCCTTGCCCCGAGGAAGCCCATAGTGTGGAACCAGTGTTCGGGAGATTTGGGCCAACCGCTGAAATTAGGGGTTTCCATCAAGGTTTGAGCCCCGAGGACCGTAAGAAACATATGGCTGATCCAGCGGCGCCACTGGATAATAAAGGCTCTACAATCCATTATTCAAGCTGTCTCCGATGTGGTCTTGACTACTATTCCCCAGGCGATCACACGACCCTTTCGCATCCCTCCCATACTGGATCAAATGGGCAGCGATACATCTTGGTCACAGTTGAGCCGCTCGATTACTCACGCTCACGGGATAGGATCCAATGTACCGCAGACTTCATATTCTCTTCCAAGTCTTCTAAACTCAACATTGCTTACGAGTGTGCGGCTAAAGTCGATTCAGGTTCTGCAGGTTGGAATGTTGACAATGCTGAAATTGCTGTTTTGGTGCAATTCCTTCATCACGTCGAAAATGAGATAATACCATATCGTAAGAGGCTCGTTGAAGAAATATTGTACACAAACAGCGAATACTTCGCTGGCCAAGTGTCACGATTTAACCTGATAGTTACCGCTCGTATGGACAAGGAGCTTTTAGACTTTCTCCTCCAAGCTCACCGACTAACATATAGCTTTAGTCGGAAGGCATTCGTCGAGCGAAACTCTCTGGGACTTGTAACCAAGATATATCCTGCGACAGAGGAACGCCGTTTTCAGATTGTTTCTTTTCTCCGAATGGTTCAGCGGCTTGCGTCACTAGGCATCCGAGTTTATTGGGAACATTTCCGTCCGACGGAGGCTTCCATAGCTGCAAAAAAACTATTTTTGCACGGTCCACAACAGAGAGACAACTTCCAGGCTACTGGAGGAATGCCAGCGCCAAACAACGCGCAAGGGGTGGTAGAAGAAGACGACTTCCAAAATCTCCTCGACTGCGGTACTTTTGACAGTCTACCAAGCCATGAGGGTTACGAGGCCGTAGAACGTGAGTCCCCACAATTACATAGCTCGAGCACATTTGGTAATATTTACCAAGAGGATTAAGGTAGGTACGCGAGCCTGGATTTAACATAAGCGATTTCATAGGGTTCATAAGATGATTTCAAAATATAGGTATAAATCCATTGTCTTATTTGTAGATTCAATATGTATGTTTCATGTCACTATGACAAGTTACCCCTAAGATGATTACTAATATTCTAAGGTCTCAACATTTTACCAAAGTCCAAGACATATATCATACAGTAATAAGTGCCAAAATGTTTACTCTTAGTTAGTACTTGGGAAGCATCTGGGTAAGTTGGACTATTATTAATATACCGATAAGAAGTTAACGTAATTATAGAGAGCTACTTGACTCCTGGTTAGAAATTGAATTCTAACTGCCAGTTTAACCAGGTTGAATCATCTGGCAAATATATCCTGGGAATACGGAAGTAAAGCCATGTGTTCTCTCTTCGTGACCCGGCAACCCGTCCCGTTTCTCGGTGCATACCGGAATGGTGTGGATCGAGACACGGTAGACGTCACAGAACTCCGCACTATAAGCCTACATGGTGCCGAGAGAACCATAACCCCGCAGTCTCCCCTCGTTCCCCAACGAACACTACCTAGGCAAGCCAGGTGCCAATTCCCCCGATGTCAACGCATCTACTTATACCGAAGAAGATAGCCGAGTCAATTTAAGACCCGGAGATCCATGTCTGGCGACATGAATCCTTGCCTGGTCAACTTGAATCTCATTTATCGCTAATCTCAGAATCACGGAGAAATTAGCAAGTCATCTAAAGCCATGTCGCCGACCCCAAAGAACATCATCATAACCGGAGCCGGTGGCTTCATCGGCCCCTTGCTTGCGGCCCGTTTGCTGAATGATCCGGACTACAGACTTATCCTCACAGATCTCGTCGAGCCCGTCGTCCCGGCCGGAGTCAAGTACCCCCAGAATGCGACTATCATGACAGGCGATATCTGCGACCCGGCTTTCGTCTCGTCGCTACTCGAAGCTGCGAAGCCACTCTCAGCTATATTCATCTTCCACGGCATGTATGTAACTTCAGACTAACCCCTCAGTCCCCTTTCCTCCTATCCTAGCGCAGCCTAGGAATTGGCCTTCCCCCTAATTCCAAACATTCAAGTGAACTTCCCCTGAATTTTTCCAATCCCGCCTCTCCCTCCTTTTACTAACCCCCAACAGCATGTCCGCCGGCTCCGAAGCAAACTGGGACCTCTCCCTGCGCGTAAACGTAAACAGCGTGCGGGACCTGCTCGTCGCGCTGAAAACGACATACCCAGGGGTGCGGGTGATCTACTCCAGCTCACAAGCCGTATACGGCCAACCGCTCCCCTCCGGCGCGATATCGGACTCCGTAACGCCGACGCCGGAGGGGACGTACGGCGCGCACAAGCTGCTCACCGAGGCGTTCGTCAACGACATGCACCGCCGCGGGTTCATCGACGCGTTTAGTCTGCGTTTCCCGACGGTCTCAGTGCGGCCCGGGCGTCCGACGAACGCCGCGTCGTCGTTTCTGTCCGGCATGATCCGCGAGCCGATGGCGGGGGAGAAGTGCGTGGTTCCGCTGCGGGATAGGTCGTTTCGCTCGTTTTTGTGTTCTCCGGGGATTCTGCAGGAGAATCTGGTCCGGGTGTTGGGGATGGAGAGCGAGAAGCTGCCAAGGCATATTCGCCATATTAATATGCCGGGGATTTCGGCGTCGATTCAGGAGTTGAGGGATGCGTTGGCGAGATATGGTGGGGAGGAGCGGTTGGGGTATCTTGTTGAGGAGGACGATCTGGAGCTGGAGAGGATATTGAGGAGTTGGGCGCCGGAGTTGGATACGACGACGCCGATTAGGTTGGGACTAGTGAAGGATGAGAGTGCGGATGCGTTGGTTAAGCAGTATGTTGATTCGTTGAAGCGGTGATGGTTTGGGTAGTTAGGCGGGTAGGTAGGTAGGTAGGTAGATGGGTATCGATTATCATCAAGCAACAGCATTTTCAAAATAAATGAAATTCAGTCAAAACACTTTTCTTAGCTATCTACAGGATTTCCCGTGATTTACATACATACTACTACGGTCAAAACTATGAAATGTACCCGCCCCCCGAAGCCGCGAGAGTGGCATAGTAGAGCTCGTCTTCCGCGCATATGACCATTCGTCCGTCGCCGGCGAAATTGAAGTTCGCAGTGGTCTTGCCGAGGAAGACCTTTCCAATTAGTTTTCCCGACGGGTTGAAGATCTGTAGGCCATCGCCACAGCCCGCCCAGACGTTGCCTTTGCTGTCGCAATGGACACCTATATGAGGAAGCGGATCCAGTTAGTTTTAAGGTCTTTAAGGGGATGAGGAACATTTGTGTGTATCGTGTTACGTACCGTCTGGAGATCCGGAATCAATGTAGGCGAAGAGGTTGCGGGTGCCGAAGGAACCATCTTCCTGGACTTCGAAACGATAACTATAACCCGGTTAGATCATTTCTATAATCGGTTAGTGAGCAGTGACAGTGGCTGCTTACATGCTCGCAGGGTTAGAAAAGTTCCACCCCCAGAAGCCGTGGCTGATACCGGTGTCGGTAATGTACGCATGCGATCCGTTGGGAGAGAATGTTATTCCTAGTAAATACTTATTAGAATACTTCAGCACAATTAGGGGAGGTTGGGGGACGCGGTACCGTTAGGAAGAGTGAAACCGTCGGCGACTGCAGCGATCGAACCGGTGTCATAATTGTACCTGTATACTTGGTTTCTGAGACCTGGGACGGGTCGGAAGTCCTGCAGGTAGCCGTAAAGAGTGTCGGTGAAGTAGATTTCCTTGTTGCGAGGATTTACGGCCACATCGTTCAGGGAATTGAACTGACGCCCGAAGAAGTTGTTGACAAGTACTAAGAAGTGTTAGCGGACATCTCTCATAGACTGCGATTTGTTACTTACCGGTTGAATTGTATGGCGCAACCGGATTCATTATCACCAGGTTCGATGGTTTATCATCTCCTTGTCCTTCCGCCGTAAAGATAATTTGGCCCCGAAAGTTCGTGCCGCCTAGGATGAGTTAGTAACGCCATCGGATAGAGAATCGTGGCATCGGGTAGCGCACCGTTTGAATTGATGATTTCAGGGGTGTCGAGCGTCTGGACAGTGACCGATCCCGTCGCATTTCGGAGACTGGAAACCGCCGCGGCTTCGCTTAGAGAAATTTTAGAAACTACATTTGATTTATTTAAGCCTGTGCCATCCGCCGGTGCTCCTGCATTCTGCACGAAAAACATCTCATCCGTAGGTGGATACCAGGTATTCGCCTCGTGAAACAAAAGCTCATTACCCGAGTTGGCGATGAGCGTCAACGTGGGATTAGGACCAAGCACATCATAAAATTCATCATCGAAGATATGGAATGGTTTCTCTTTCATCGATTCCAAGTCAAGTCCAGGTGGAATGAAAAAGAACTACGATCGAATTAGTTTTCTACAGTTATCTAGAAGTTTAAAGGCAGGTATAACTACCGCAGAAGCGTTCGCTTGTGTGGGTGGAAGAACAGTCGGGAGAACATTGAAAGATTTCCAGTCAATGACTTGAGCCTGTTCCGGAACCTGGCGGGTGGATAGTTGTTGGGCGTTTGCTGGAGATGCGAAAACATCTCCAACCGCTACGAGGACAACCAAGGCTACTGAGAGTGACGCCATCATGGAACGAACTCCTACTGGTTATGCTGGAATATCTCCGTTGAAGATCCTGCATAAGAATCGGCGGTGCAGAGCCCGGTACTTATAGGATGTCGAATAGGTTACATTTCTGCTCTAGGATGGAGACGTTGTTGATAATGTGGGAAATTGGCATCGTCAAGTTTTGTTGCAATACCTGGAAGTGCCCAGGTACTAACCGTCTTTACTCCATAATGGCTCCACGCCGCCATTCCCTTTCAATCGAGCTTTCCTAAAATTCGCTCAACCGGCTTCCGTTTTGCGGGTACCCTGGTACGTAAGGAGGGGGGAGACAAAGAGCCCTGAATGTTGCTGAAGATATCCACTACAAATTAGCAAATTACCACCTAAATATTCCAAACTCAACCTCAATTTGCATCGGTTCCAGCAGTACGGCGACGATATGGTGTGCATCTGCGGAGATCAGAGCGGGGAAGTGGAGAGGTGGGGGAAGTGGGGAAGACTGTTTGCGGGGACGATCAGCGAGTTGACCTGGGGAAGAATCGAGTAAGGATGAAGTAAACCTTCTCCGACCCGACCCGACGCGAACCGATTTGACCTGAAGTCATTCTAGGTAGTCACGATGCTTTGCAGGTGTCGTAGAAGAAGTAGGATTGTAACTAATCATTACCCAGTACCTAACGCCCAAAGCAACAATGTAAAATAAGTTAAATAACACCAAGAGAACAAAGATTCTGATGAGAAAACATAAGTAAAGTCGATTCTCCTTTCCTTATTTATAACTGCAACAAAGGTATTAAAATATCAACAATCATCCATTGTTACCAAACACATCTCCCAACATGGAGCTATATAAATCAACTCTCAGCAGCCAAAATCAAAACCTCACCAAGCTCTCAAGGACATCTTTGGTAAGCACAAGGTACCCTACGAAGTCAAAGAGCAATTGCATACCCAGCGTCTACACAGCAACCCTCAGCACAAGCATTCGAAATGTCTACTAGTCCCGTTGCGCATAAAACCTTTGGATCCTGCAAAGGTCCCGCTGTCTGTCGACCAGACACGGGGTGTACGGTCCATGTAGGCATTGGGTTGATTCCAAATGGTATCAGCCACACAGGTAAGTGCAAGTGCATGCCGGTGAGTACAGAAAAGAGTATGGAACGCATAGCTGGTAGTATCAAGGACGCCATGAAAATGGATATCATGGAAGCCGAGAAGCCTAGCGTTGCGTTTGCGATGCTTTTGTTGGGCGCTGATGTAATTTTCTAAGATGTCTCTCAGATAGTATTAGTACCTAGGTATGTAAGGGGCTAAGGAGTTAAGGAGTTAAAGGTCTAATATGAAATTGTTTAAACAAACCAAATATTCATAAATTCTGATGACTGATGGCCTTTGTGATTAAATGATACTTTTCTTAGTAAGGGTGAAGACTCCTTCAGGGGTCGAGAGAAAGAAGTTATCTAACATCGTACTAGTGTAACATGCGCCCGCGAATATGAAAGGGGTCGATGGCTCCCCAGACTTTAGGGGAAAAGGCGTGCATTAATCATGTAAGAACACAACTACTAATATCTCTGAATCTATGGCGAGCCTACAGAGAGCTAACGTCTAACATCACTCAATCCGTGACACGGTATTCGACTACAGGCTTTGCCCCTTACAGATCCCCTCAAATAGAAAGCATCAACTACACCAGTCACATAAATTTCCATGTCATCCTTAATGGGTATAAACAAAGATTCTGAATTAAGTTGGCAGGCCAGACTGTATCCGTTGCTTGTGTATCGTGAAGGCATTGACCTCGTAACGTCTCAAAATCATCAGGAAAAGCCGCGTCGCGTTTTTGCGGCCGAAATGGAAAAGAAGGAGAAAAAAAGGAAAAACAAAAGAAATAAAGGAAATAACGACCCTCTGACCAAAGCATTTTCCCGCAATCTCTGCACCAGAATCCATATGTCCCTAATAACCAATTCCTAGCACGTTCTCCAAGGGAGTTGGTGGAATCATGCCCTTCAAGTGGATGAGTCTGGATGAAATTAGCTGGATACTTTCAAATTCCCGAAAATCAGGGTGCATTAGACTAACCTGGCTATTATAGCAGATCAACTTTGATAGTCATTGAAGAATGATTTCATGGGATAGTTTCGTGAAACCATTTCGTAGTTGTTATGATCCCACGTTGCCCTTGGTCAGGTATTGCGAAGTAATTGTCTCTAGGACTCCCTACGGAAAGGCGTTTGGAAGATATCCAGGATAGAGGCAAATCCCGGGTTCTCATGCCCGTGGCTGAGTACTGGATGTTGAGAATGCTCTTAGAGAGGCTACCTGGACTAGATAGGACTAATTCTTCAACCTCAGTCAGAGTTGTCGAGCTAGCTTCTCGAGAATGCCGTTCTCCGGAGTGCGTAGGAGTTACAGGCATGGATAAAACCCAGCGCAGAGTTTTTCTAAATTGGACTCTTGTGCGATCTTCCCATGGAATTGTCGAATAATTCTTGCAAGACATTTCCTCGTCGTCTTTCCGGTCGCATGATACGGTTTCATCGTTTCTGGTACTCGTATCCGATGCCACTTCGTATTCCAGGCTGCCCGGTTCCTTGAAAATCGACAAGTTCCGTTTCTTCGTCCAGAAGTGAAGGTTCTCGACCGCGTCTGTGGACAAGGACTTCCATTTCTCCTTCCATTGGGCAAGGTGCTCGAAGGTTGAGTTAGAAGTGACACATTCCCGACTGAATCTAATCAGAGCTCTAGCTAGGGTATACCATTCGCCGGTTGCTTCAGATACCCATCTTTCTCCCACAGCACTGTCGAATGCTAACTTAATCTCTGCATTCTGTGGAGAGTTCGGTTCGGTTTTTCTAGAGTCCAATGGTTCTACCCCATAAGAGTATTCCGATGTGGATTCAGATTTGGACTCTTCATTAGGTACCGATTGCCATAGCCACCGCGGAAGTACACGAGCGGCGAATTTGGGCACGAACATAGCATCGTCCCAGTCTAGTACTCCAGTGATGGTTATATCGGGAGTGAAATCGACCATTATGTTGCGAGGGAAGAGATCTGTGTGACACAGACACACATCGTTGTCCTGAAAATCGAATAGCCCCATGTCCACCATGTCCTCAATTATTCTTTGGCATACTTCATGCCACTGAAGCGTAAATTCGTCCTCAAGCTGACTGTTCTTTTTGTCATATATTCGCCTCTTGAAGATGGCAACCATGATGTCGTTCACGGATAAGCCTGGGGGGTCGCGTCGCATAGGTAAAATGCCATCTTTGGGAGTATCCCAGTTGATCCGGTTGCAGTTTGACTCCACAGTTGAAGCTCCAAAGGCCAGCACAAAAGTTCGGTCGATAAGTTCATCGCGATATCTTATGTCTTGGTCGTGGACCCTCATTGCTCCAGCGACTGGGTTTGTGACTGACTCAATCTGGTGGTATAATTGGGCCAACTCCTTAGCTAGGAGCAACTTCTGATCATGGGCAAGATCTTTCCAAACATTCGCGAGACATGTTCCAGGGACGCGCGAAAGTATGACGTATGTGTTCTGTAGAGGGTTGTTGATAGTAGCATCCCATGTAATGACACTGGGTACCTTCAGGTCCGTGAACTTGTTTAGATGCTCGAGAATACCAACTGCATATTTGGTGTCCATGCTGAATTCGGGAATTCGTAAGACGTATTCGGCTTTTTCATCTTCCGCGGTCGCAATCGAGATGCTGAAGATAGAATTGTACGAGCCATGGCTAAGAAAGTCAACAGAGAGTGCATCTTCTTTGACGGATGGCCATAGGTATCTGCAGAGTGCCACAGCTTTCGGAAGCCACATCTTTTTAATAGTTTCTTCATTTCGTTCGTCATCATCATAATAGAATTCATCTAGGCAGTCGTCGACGTCGCCATCGTCGTTGTCACTGACGCCATAATAATCATCCGCGAAGTAGGTAGTATTCAGGCTACAGCGTAAAGTAGCCATGGTGGATATTATCAAGGGAAACGTAGATGCAAGTAGCGAGGTGTCCTCCGTTGGCTGTTGAAATATCCTGATTCGGTCCAGAATAAATGGGAGGAAGGAAGGGGAAAATGTTTACAATTCGGTGAGTTTGTCCGCCCTGGAATTAGTTAGTTTTCATATGTTTGATTATGTAAGTAATGGGTATGCAAGTATGCAGATATCAGACTATGGATAGGTACCTAGGCATTCCAGATATATACTATTATGTGTGACTCGGGAAATACATGCGAATCTGAAATTAAGCTGCTAAGGGTTGAATATGTGTGATGATGGTGGTGATGTGGGTTGATGAATGATGATGTAGAAGGTGATGGATGGATGGATGGATGGTGAAAAAAAAAAAAAAAAAAAAAAAAAAAAAGAAAGCAAAGAAGGAATGCATTGAATTTAGACTTACTTTTCGTCGTCGTCGTCGTCTTCTTCTTCCTTGAATTCGTCTTCTTCCTTGAATTCGTCCTTGTCCTTGTCCTTGTTCTTGTCCTTCTTCCAGCGAGGCTTGGTGCGGACCTTGCGGCCCGCTTCTTCCTTCTCTCTCTGCTCTTGCTCGTCCTGCTTCTTCTGCTTTTCCTCAGCAGTTTGAGCTCGATCTTTAGCAGCCGCTTTGGCGATGCATGACAAGCAAAGCTCGCCAATTAACATGAAATTGTTGTGGTGAGGGCACTTTTGCTGGTGAGTTTTACAATAATTACCCACCTGAGGGTAATAAGTCCGTCTGCATGGGGTCGAGGACACCTTCTGCCCAGGGCAGTGATGCTGTGTCTTTCTTTTCGACGAACTACTCATAGTACTAAGCTGGGTGTATTAGCTGAATATATTAGCTGAAGAATGAAAGGTTGATTGGTATTCTGACGGATAGGTTTTTTCGTTTGTAGGAAAAAACAAATAGAATCTAATCCTGAACGATAACCAAGGAAGATCAATGTTGATGAAGGAAGAGTAAGATAGAAGCTATAGTCATGTTTATATACCTTTGTGTGATTTGAGTACCTGCCTCAATTGCTAATGTGAACATAGCGTAACTTCCTCTATCTTGCTGTCGTGGCCCAGGCACTAGCACCAATGTGGTTGACTACAACATGAAGTCGACTGGAAAGAAGACAATTTGTCTATTAGGTACATTCATATGGCCTAGGTACTCTAGTATATGGCGGTTTTGGTGACTAATGTTTATCTTTTATGACTACATACTAGGTACCTACCTACTAGGTACATAGTCTATGATAGTATTCGTACATTTCCCTGGTGTGGACATAGCTTTCGAAGAGTTTTCCCTGATACGTCCATCTCATGCTGTCCTCATTATTGTCGACATTGCCAGCTTAGACTTCATATTTATTTATATAAGTACCTAGTACCTACTACTCAGGTAGCACTAATCAATGTACTCAGATGTCACTATTGTCATGTTTCTATTAAATCCACAGCTTCATATTTACTAAGTACATTGAATATGTACTTTCCGCAGCAGATTATAGCCGTTAATAGTATAGCTTTCCTTCCCTAACAGCCATTGGTATCAAATTTGAACGTACCTAGGTAAATATAGACCATCTCCAGATCCAACGGGACAAACTCCCTTTAATTTTGTATCTGGGGTACAAAACATCATTTCTATTAGTTACCTATCAATTGGGAAAACTTAAAAAAATCTGATACACTAAATTTATTTATTGTAAACTCTTTAGTAATTTCATTTCCTGTGAAATAACCTAATGCTGGCACCTACAGTCCTAAATTGTATATGCATTATAAACCTCTAGCTTTCGATTTCGAGTGCTGAGGTTAATTGGCACACTAGACTCGGACCTAGACTGTCACTTTTAGCCCCTATATTTGCTCTCATTGGCTATAATTCTCCAATCCCTGTCATTTGGCTTACACCCACCAATCATAGAATCGATCCTAGCTAAAAGAGGTAATTTGGTAGTCAAATTAACGCTCTAGTTACATTTCCGACAAGCATAAAGGCTAAGGAACTTCTAGGTTAGCGCATCTTATGACGTTATGTGATGAAAACACATCTTCTACCTCACGGCCGGCCCCTACCACATTGTATCCGCATGGAATAGGCATGTACGGGCTGTTGCTACGAGGACGTTAGTCCGATCATCTCAGTGCGTGCGCTAGAGCCGAACGCGACCCACGTGCATGGTATGAGAGCCGCTCCCCGGAAGACCAGGATGACCCACAGGCGGTTGAAGTACGGATAGCCCAAGATATCTTTTAACACGGGCCTTAACGTCCTCGCTCTGCCCGTGACCAACTCCGGGACAGGTAGAGCCGTTAGCTAGGCGCGACGGGATGCCCTTGCCCAGTATAGAGTACGCTGTGGGCGGGCCGAGCTAGGCGAGGATGAGATTATACCGAGTTTAGATCTCGGCCAGGTGTGGCTTTTCTTGCCGTTGAATCGGTTGCTGCTTCTTGTAGCGGAGCCGGTGAAGCGCATCCGGTAGGTGGAGCGTCGATTTAAAGTTCTAATCATTGCCGGGTCTCGAAACCTTGGAAGTCACTCTAGGCATATGACAAAGCGTCGTACCTGCTGCGCGCAGACTCTGCCGGCTGTACCATGTGTAGAGTGGGTCGCACCCGGATTTCAGGTATACCTTTCGCCCGGGAGGAGTCGTACCTATTCCGGTTCTTAGAAAGATCCTGCGAGCTGCGGAATATGACAGATGTGAATTGATGCTGGCGTGGTACCGACATACTTGGTATGTGCCCGTGGACCTACAACGTCTTTGGTAAATCGAAACTAGAGCTTAACTAAGAATCGACCCTCCTTAATCTAGAATCACACCGGAAATGAACCTAGGTAAGTTTCTAGGAGTTATGGAAGTCCGGAACTCCATTAGTGCTCGTGGTGGGGGTTACCTGCATGGTGGCGTATGTACATAATCCCCAAACTGCGGCAGAGCTGCTTAGATAGAAGTGACGAGAATTGAACAACCTTTGACTGATTTTCTATTTCTACCTACCTACTATGAAGAATGCATCCTAGAATATAACTAACCCTCTCTGGCTAGTCAGCATGTTAACTGGTAATATGACGGCGGGAATTGTACAGCCACTGGCTTCATTATGAACGATAAATATAGAGATTCGATTCTGACAAGATCATATCAAGACTATGCTGCCAAAGACGAAATAGCGTACGGTGAATGCAGGGTATTATTGGGGGTTATGTCGATAAATAAAGACCATGCAAAGGCCTAAAAGTCGCTTCAGCTAATTAAAATAATCCGATTGACGTTCTTGCCCCTTTCTCACCTTTTGCGACTGTCTATCAATTGCTCCTCCCAATGCTGAATTATGTGGGGTAAGTAATCCCACCAAGATTGCAATTATGCGCTTAAAGCAAGGCATGCATCAACTGCGAGACCAACTCTAGAATCAAGATATTAGTACGCCGAATATAGGTAGCTGGTGAATTGGTGAATCAACTAACCTTCCTTCCTTCTGGTAGACAACGTCGCTAATGATATCTCTATCTAGATCTGGGAACATTCCTGCAAGGGTTTCTACAACGTTGTTGTGTTCTGCTCGATGTATTCTTTGAGCTTCAGCAACTTCGGCGCTCGCTTGCCTTGCCGCAGCCTCTTCGGCCGACAGCCGTTGGCGCAGATCTGTTGAAGGGCGCCTGTCCATACTTGGTCGCGGACTAAGACGTGGGGTATCTGATTGGGATACTCGAATAGGCGAACTGGGGCCGGCAGCACTTGTGTCTTCTGAAAATATACGACCAATGGATGAAAGGGGTCTTTGGATTGAACGAAGTAAGCCGGAGATCGCGGGCCCTTCCTCGCCAGAGTCGTTACCATCATTAGAGGATAAAGATCGACGCGGCGTGTTTGATCCATCTAGATCGAGTGATGGGCGTGTTGAGGAAGAGGGGCCAGGAGGATATAATCCAGACTTTTCGGACAGTTGCGGTTGAGATGGAGCAGGAGTAGGAGCGGGTGGTTCCTCTGCCCGATGCTTTTCAGCAATGGCGGAGACGGCCGCTTCAACACTTTTGTCAAACTCTTCATCCGAGATCGTTAGAGTAGTACGATCCATATTCTCGATAAACTGTATGGCACCCATCTACTCGCATAGTAAGTAGTCGATCTTGATATCCTAATACCAAACCAATACTTACTAAAGATGAGAGATAGTATCCAGCTTCCCCCGCAAGTTTATCTTGATTTCGAAACCGTAAGATGTAATGAACATTAGAGACAAGGTGTTCAGGATTAGAACGTAATACGACAAATATTAGAAGCGGCATAAACGAGTCGGCGGACGAGTCAGACTTGTTATGCTTGAGGAGTCCTAATCTATTGGTTAGCGTGATAACAGGCCGACATTGTGGTGTTCGTACCAAATATGACTTTGCAGCAATTGAGGACGCAAATGATTTTGTCTCGGGGTGCTCGGTATGATTTAATTTTAAGGAGTTCTAGAATTGTTAGCGATATATCCTATAACAATGCCCATTAAGACTTGCCCTGCTCGGCCAGAGTGAGGAATCTCTTGCCGCTGTCACTGCTAGGCGGAATATCCAAGTGTTCTTCCCGAACCCAGCCGTAGATGTTAATCTTTTGCGCTAAGATTTCATCCCGCTCTACGTCCTCTTGGTGTTGCCCGCGGCGCCCTGGCCCCATTGGTCGATCACCTCCCCGGCGCTTTGGTTTCGCACCAGGGATGGGTTGAGGAGGAGGTATTGCAGGCGAAAAAGTCTGCGAATAGAGTCTATTCATAACAAGTTTTTCCATCCCTTCTCGGGCGTTGTCAAACTCCGCATCTGAAACCTCACTCCATACTTCACATTGGGCCATTTTATTGGATATGAATGCGAGAAAATCGCCGATAATCTTCACTTGTTCATGGACCATCCATTGGCGTTTTGCAAATTCGGACAAGAAAGATTTGAGATATCTTGCTACGGGATCAGCTTTTTTATGTTTAAGCTGCTCTAAGAACCGGTGGAAATCAAACGGAAGCGGGGGTTCCGGCTCCGGATCTGGTGGTGGCGGCCGGTGTAAAGGCGCCTGGGGTTCTGTAGTAGGAATCCTCTCGTCCGATGGGCCGTCTTTTGGCGGGACCGGCGGGCCTTGATCATCAACCTCTTTCTGTTTTTCCTTTGATCTGGTGCTTGTTGGTGACGTGCTTGAAAGCCTCAAACCCTGAATCTCCTGCAACTGCTGAGCAATACTCGGGGCAAGGGGTTCAAGGCTGGATTTTCTAGGAGGATGTTGTATCGGAGGGCTGCCGAGAAGTGGTGAGGTAATTTCGAGTCGTGGGCTCATTACTTCTTCTTCTCCCGGACCACCGCCCTCTTCAGGGAACTGCTCCATGATGCTCTGGATTTCCGAGCGAGAGCTGCCCTCTTGCTCATCCTCGCTTGGGTAGCGCCTCTCATCATACCCGGCATCGGATCGAGTTGGAGATGGTTCGGTGCCATGTTTCTTGAATCGGTGGGCGGAGTTGGTTCTCGACGGAGGCTGGGAGCCTTCTGGGGTTGGGGGCGTAGGATCAACATATGGGGTAGGTGTGATTGTTAAAAACTGTGGTCTCGTGGGTTTGAGAGTCGCGACGGACGATTCTAGAGGGTCAGCTGAAGCATCCGATGTAGACTCTTGATCGACTTTATCGACTGGTACATCTTCAGTTATCGGGTTCTTCCCCTTGTTGGTAGTTTGATTTGTTGGAGCCTTATCCTCGGTAAGGTCTATTAAGATGCTTTGGGCCTGATCCTTAACACTTTGGCCATCTAGGGCTGTTTGCGTGTCACTCTTGCTCCCGCCATCCTTGTCCTTGCTCCGAGTCTCGTTTAATTCTGACTCTGGTGGAATAGCAGCGACGGTCGGTGAGGAAGCATCTGGCAGATTGGCGGGCTTTTGATCACTCATGGCGGGGTCATGGTCGGACGTGATGGTTACCTCTGGTCTAACAAGAGGGCTTGCAGACTCTGGTAGGAGCTGCTCAGGAGGAGGCATGCACGAAAGTTTGAGTCTCTCAAGATGAAGTCGATTAAGAGGAGCGGTGATCTCTGTCGCGTGGTGGAGATTAGAAAGTATTGACGGTGAGTTAGAATGATAAATACATAGATAGGTGGATAGGCACACTATGCAGATAGGTTAGGTTCGGTATTTGCTGGGATGGCGATTACACAGATAGTTTATCGTTATCGCTCTGTCGCTTTCCTCGAAACGCGTCCGGTGAAACTCGAGGATTTTAATGAAGCACAATGCACATGCATAAGGCTCCAGCGCCTGAGCTGCTCCAATTAATTGGTCGGCCGATGCTAAACCTTGTTATCTCCGACCAGCCCTACTCTGTAATTTTTTTTTTAATGTATGAGGTACCTAGGTACTGGTAACAGCCAAGTTCCCATGCCACACGTCATCTGCCCCAAAAGCAATTTAGACTCTTGTGCTAACTAAAATTTATCCATGGATGTCAGCAGACGATGCTCAAAAATGTCTTAAATCTTTCTATTGCAAGTACCTACGAAATATCGGAAGGCGCAAGAGAAAGGAATATAGGTTTATCTAGCTAAGTACATAAATAGACGGTTCTATATTTTCAAATTTCTTGTTTTATCCTTCACTAGGACTTGGCTCAACTGACTAACGTGGGCGATGAATCTCAGAATCTTGCTGTCACCAAGCGACTATCAGCTTTAATTTCTTATATGACTTGGCGTCTGCGTCGATGGTCGGTAAGTAACTTCTAACCCTTGCTTTTAGTGATAGGCATGATTATATCTATTTGTATGTGACTTCTACTATGTAGACAGCCCATCTTCATTCTTGTTATAGCTTCAAACATTTTAGGTCTTAGAAAGATATCACAACCGATTCGAGACTTGCCATTTTAATATGTCTACAGGTTAGGTGGATCTGATACTTTAATCAAGCAGGCAAACTTTCTCATTTATAGAGGCTAGCTAGCAAGCCTCAATAATGTCTTTTCAACTACCTAGTACCCAGGTAATTTATATATTCTATTCTGTCACAGCAAAACCTAACTGCATTATGGGGAATTGCAGGTTTCGACATAAAATGAGGAGAAAGACTTCGTGGGCGAGTGATTGGGTGAACGTCATTCCGCGGCGACCCACGTTATGCAATGTTATGCGTTCTAAGTCACTTAGCATGCTTGGTTCCAATTGGGTTCCATTCTGTTGCGTGTCCGGATAAGTACTAGCCGCCGCAAAACATGGCGAATGGTACCTACGATCGATGCCAAGAAACCGTTACGGAAGCTACGGCCACTAATACGGGCTTGCCCGGCAAGGTAAACAGGGAATGCACGATGTATAATGTATTAGAATGGATCGTGACGGAGTAACAATTACGAATCTTCTCTTTTTCTCTTGGACATCTTTAGACATTCTCTAGTTGCACTTGGCCTTAGAAAGTGGTTAAAGTCGTTCCTCCGTTCAGAGAATCTGCTTCTTTGCGACTAGTCATTCGTTTTTGACTGCTTTATACACTCGTTTCTCATTCCAGTGCGTCTTGATAATTCCGGCTTTCGCGATCGCGGATATGAGCCTTCAATGAGAGAAATCTCGTGAAAAGTCTCGTACTATTGCTGACGCCCGCTAAAGGCTTTGCGATGCGGCTACACTCGCTTGAACCTGCGCATAATGCCTCAAACGGCCAACCATAAAGAACCTGATATAGTAAAGAAGCAAGAAATAGGCACAATTACCACTTTCGCTCGGCAAACTCGGGGGCAGTTAGAAAGAGTTGGAGGAGAAGTGCAAGAATGCGCCGTGCAATGGTATAAGAAATATTTTCTAGAAACAATATTACGACAGAAACCTCTGAAGCCTTCCAAAGATGGCCGACATATTCCTTTGCGAGTCGAGCACGAACAAGCCCTCATCGACGAGAGGCGCGGTCATCCGTACATATCGAACACGATTCGAACCTCGCGATATACCTTAATTGATTTTATACCAAAACAGATAATATTTCAATTTACACGACTAGCCAATTTTTATTTCCTCTGCGTTGGAATTCCCCAAGCGATCCCGGGTTTGAGTACGACCGGAAGCTATACAACCATTCTACCTCTGTTATTCTTTGTCCTTTTGACAATTGTGAAAGAGGGTTATGATGATTATAAACGACACCGGCTAGATAATCTCGAGAACGCCAATACTACGAGAGTATTGAAGCGCAAGTCTTTAAATCTAAATTCGGCATTGTCAACTCGAAGATGGTTCGCAAGCAGGCGAAAATCTTCTGAGAAGGATGTAGAGTCTAATGGCGAGGACATCGATTCGGAGTATGGATGGAGGCAGGTTAAGTGGCAGGACGTCTGCGTCGGTGATATTGTTAAACTAGTCCGTGACGAGGCTGTGCCTGCGGACCTAGTTCTTCTATATGCCACGGGAGAGAATGGATTGGCATATATCGACACCATGGACCTTGATGGCGAGACCAATCTTAAAAGTCGAGAATCCCTTCCAGATTTTAAGAATTGTAGTACCATTGCTGGCCTCCGCAGCTGCCAGGCTGAGTTCGTCCTTGAGGACCCGAATCCCGATCTGTATCGTTTTGATGGACGTGTTACGATAAACGGCCAAACACTTCCCTTGACATCTAACGAAGTCCTTTATCGGGGAAGCACGCTTAGAAATACTGAGCACGTCATTGGTATCGCTATTAATACCGGAGAGGAGTCTAAGATCCGCCTGAATGCGAATCAACATCCACAGGCGAAAAAACCGGCATTAGAAACCATCGCCAACAAAATCGTTATTGCACTTGCACTCTATGTCATTATTTTGACAGTTGGATGTTCTATGGGATATGTCATCTGGCGAAAATCCACCGAACGGGATTCATGGTATGTCTCTATGGCTACCGTGGAATTTAAGCAAATCATTATCGGTTATGCTATTATGTTCAATAACGTCATTCCTCTCGCGCTCTATGTCACTCTTGAGATAACGAGGATCGGCCAGATGCTCCTATTAAACAACGATGTAGAAATGTATGATGAGGCTACTGATACTCCAGCTCGGTGTAATACCAATACCATTCTGGAGAATCTTGGTCAAGTCAGCTATATCTTCTCTGATAAGACCGGTACGCTAACGGAAAACGTCATGAAATTTCGGAAGATGAGCATTGCGGGCACGTCATGGCTACATGAAATGGATATTCAATCCGAAGCCGCGGCGACAGTCGGCCAAAGTCTTAACGCAAGTACAGCACTCGCAGTGCCACGAAGGTCTAGGGAGGTTGCTAGCGTGATTCATGAGGATATCGAACTCTATCCTCTGTCTTCGCCATCATCAATTTTCACTCCTCGATCTGAGAGGAGATCATCATCGCAGTGGAGATCAACCGCTCGCCCGGACCATTTGCAACCGGATGTAACAACTACAGATCTATTGGAGTATATTCGACTTAGACCAACGTCGGCATTTGCGAGGCAAGCAAAAGATTATATCTTATGCATAGCTCTTTGTCACACGTGTTTACCGGAAGAAAAAGATGGCAAAGTCGACTTTCAAGCTTCGTCGCCGGATGAGCTAGCACTCGTTCGTGCTGCTCAAGAACTTGGGTACTTGGTTGCCCATCGATCTTCCCAGGCCGTAACTTTACAGATCGATACCGGTGACGGCAACATAAGGACAGAAGTATATCAGATTCTAGACGTCATCGAGTTCAGCAGTAAGAGGAAACGCATGTCAATTGTTGTGCGTTATCCCGATGGGAGAATATGCATTATCTGCAAGGGTGCGGATTCGATGATCCTTCCCAGGCTCAGGTTGGCTCATGTAGCGATGCAGAAGGCAACGGAGGTCCGTAAAAGTGTCGAACTCGAACACGAGCTTTTACGAAGAAGCGAACAATTGGAGGTGAGAAATAGCTTTGGCGGTCGTCCAAGCCTCACTCTACGACGGAATATCGCAGGAAACCGAAATAGTATTGCTCTTGCACAACTTGACGTGCCTGCTAAGTCGCCATCCATTGTGAGGAGTCGATCTGTGGAGGCAGCCAGATCGCGACCCTCTGGAGATAGATCTCGTCCGAAACTAGGCATTCGAACTACGTCTCTCGAAGTATCGAATACATTGTTGAAAGTGAGTCCATCAACGCCAAGGCCGTTGCCGGAGAAATTCAATTTTCTTGACGATACTTCCATTTACGACGAGTCAACAACTTTTAGTCGATGTTTCAAACATCTGGATGATTTTGCTACCGAAGGCTTGCGAACACTATTATTCGCGCGGAAATTCATACCTACCAGCGAGTATGACACATGGAAGAAAGTATATAACGATGCGACGACAAGTTTAGTCAATCGCCAGGATATGATCGAAGCAGCGGGTGAGCTAATCGAGCAGTCGCTTGATCTCGTTGGTGCGACAGCAATCGAGGACAAACTCCAAGCCGGCGTTCCCGAGACCATCGATAAGCTTCGCCGCGCCAATATTAAAATCTGGATGTTGACAGGAGATAAGCGCGAAACTGCTATTAATATTGCTCACTCGGCGCGAATATGTCGCCCAGGTTCTGATATATTCATCCTTGATTCGTCAAAGAACTCTCTAGAGACACAAATTATCGACGTTTCCGAGGATATTGAGACTGGTTGCACTCATAGTGTTGTCGTCATTGATGGTCAAACTTTGGCAGTTGTTGAGCAGTCGGCGCATCTCACAGACCTCTTCTACACCCTCATTCCTAAAATTGACTCCGTCATATGCTGTCGAGCGTCGCCCGCTCAAAAATCCATGATTGTCAAAGCTATCCGGCAACGAGTACCGAGTGCTCTGACCCTCGCTATAGGCGATGGTGCAAATGATTTGGCAATGATTTCCACTTCCCATGTTGGAGTTGGAATATCGGGTAAGGAGGGTCTCCAGGCGGCTCGCGTGGCCGACTATGCCATCGCAAAATTTCGCTTTTTGCAGCGCTTGCTTCTTGTTCACGGCCGTTGGAACTATGTTCGCACAGCGAAGTTTATCCTCACGACCTTCTGGAAGGAGATGTTCTTCTACCTACCCACGGCAATGTATCAACGTTATAATGGATATACCGGAACCAGTCTCTATGAGAACTGGAGTTTAACTGTATTCAACACGTTGTTTACGAGTCTATGTGTTATATGTCTAGGTATATGGGAGCAGGATCTTAGCGCAGAGACGCTCCTTGCTGTTCCCGAGTTGTACGTACACGGACAAAGAAACAGTGAGCTGAACATACCCAAGTTCGTACGTTGGATGGCTTCTGCAGCTACGGAAGGTGTTTTAGTATGGCTTGGTGTATGGGCTGCTTACAGTGTGTTTGGACATGCTCTCGATGATGGACTCTTTGCTTTTGGTGACTTGGTGTTTACAGTTGGTGTAATCTGGATCAACTGGAAGATTTTGTGAGTTTCCCGAGTCTACTTACCGTAACACATTTCTAACGAGTCTTGCAGCATCATCGAAACACACCATAAGACATCTATTGTTCTAGGAGCATTTGGAATTACTATGGCCGGGTGGTGGGCATGGCAAGCATTTCTTTCGGGAGTCTATGCTGCGCAACCGAGCCCCTATCCAGCCAGGAATGGATTTGTTAGCACATTCGGAACGGATCCGGTGTGGTGGGTAACACTCATTGTCGTAGTAACTGTACTCATCTCGATAGAGATGGCTTACAAAGTGGTGAAACGCAACATGGTCATTGCGGGTATGTGGAAATGGCCTCCATGGCAACCGAGGAGCGTCGACGACAGCCTGGAGGAGTGGGGCTTAGAAGTCTGGCAGGAACTGGAACAAGATCCAGTTACTCGCGAGCGATTACGGAGAGCGGCTATGGATGATGAGGATGAAGATGAAGGCGACGATGAACGGGACAGCGTCGACCCGGATGACGTAGCTAAGGTGCTATGATGGAAGAGCATTTGTCGGCGTTTTGGATCCACATACCTAGGTACTATCCATATACATATACTCTAATCGGTCTCCATCTCGGGACGATCGCTTAGATGAAGTTTTGGCGGGGATTTCTTTGGGGGCTTTCTGGGATTAGACATATACCCTGCAATCACGATGGGATATATCTAGAGCGATGCTCATGGATATCATATTATATTAATTACATACTTCATATACACCATTATTAAGAGCCATTCCTTTTATTGCAATGTAAAGAAGCATGTCTTCGCTTGGAATGGTCATAGTAAATTCCCCCAAAAATCGTTGCATTTATTTTCCCATGTTTAAAAGGCCTCTCTACAGATGAATCTAGGACCGATAACTCTACCTAGCAATCAAACAACCAAAACACAACCACCATCCACCATCCCCCAACACCCCACAGAAAGAAGCACCTTACCTACTTACTGACCACCCTCAGTAGTAACATTACTCACATGAAACATCTCCATCCCCACAACCCCCTCAATATCCCTCACCATCGGAATCAGCTTCTTAAACTCCTCCGTATCTCTCGTCTGCATATGCGCCTCGTAACTAGTCCAGCCAATGACCGCAACCAGCGCCCTGCTCTTCTCCCCCTTGAACAAGATATCCGTCTCGACACTCCACCCCAGCGCAACCTCCCCCATCAACCCCTTCGCCACAGCCCCGAGCTTCCCCAGGAAATCCGCCGTCGTGGCGTAGATCTCCGCTCGCCGCGCCTCGCTTACGTCGCTGGGGTAATACACCTGCAGCACCTCCGCGATGGGACTCTTTCCCTTGTCGCCGTCGAGCGCGGTGGGTGGGGGCGCGGCGAATTCGACGTGGAAGGGGGGGCGGCGAGGGTTCGTGGGCCCGAAGGAGGCGGCGTCGACGATGCCGCCCATGCGCTGCAGGAAGGGCCCGTAGGCTGCGGCGTTGGCGGCGAAAGTGCGGTGCGCTTCGAGAGAGGCCCAGTCTGCGAACAGGCGGAGTTTGTTTGGGTCCTCGTGCGTGCGTGAGGAGCGCACGCGCTGGCATCCGGGCTGGGCGAGGAGGGTCGCGATGTTCGCTTGGATCACGGAGGCGACGGCTTCCGGGGCCGCGTCTGGTTTGATGGGGAGGAGGACGAATTCTGTTACGGCGGCCATGGTTTTGTCTTTGCTTTTGCTTTTTAGAGTGGCTTTTTGGCGTGGATGGTGGGGGATTGAGGGGTGGATTGTGAGGAAATGTCTGGATATGTAGGTACTAGTATACCTTGGTAGGTAGATAGCAATTCAATGATGAATGGCGTAGAAGCGGTGTGAAGGTGGAGGTGGACAGTAAATTGAATTTTTCCGTGGCGTTGGGATGTGAGACCTGAAGTATATTTAAACCAGCCTGATCCTTGGCCAGCGGAAGTAAGGTATGGGGCGAATCCCGCAACGGATGTCCGTTGTGTAGCACGGTATAGTTAGGTAGTTAATGCCCATTGGCCGATCTTCTCAAGCAGTTGCGATCGGTGCCGAGGCTATAGCACTGATATACAACTCGCGTCGCACAGCATTAAACCCCCTTTCTGGGGTTGTCCCTTCAAAGTCCTGAGTAGCTGACCAGAGGATTGAAAATATTTGGTGGGTTGAGGCATATAAGTCAATTATTAAGAGTCTCGGTCATGGTTGATTTGGCTCCGTGCGACTTTATCGTATAGATATTAGAATGGTAAGCGAATATAATTCTGGAAAGGGTTGCTACCCACATACAATTATTTTAGATATTTACATTTCAGTATCGGCTTGCTATTTCGTGTGACCCGAAAACCTTGTTATATAATTATTATAATGCCGAATTGGACTACCGGTCCCGAGCCGGAAGCGCCGGAATTCCATCGTGGCTCAGAGCTCATCCAGCCAGTCTAATAAAGGATTCACGTAGTCGGTAGCGAGTAAAGGACCAAGCGTAACCCCATTCTCCTTAGCCAACGGATAAAGGTCTGCAGGGTCTTGCATGAATTCCATATAATACATCAGGACATACTTGAGCCGGGGCAACACGTTATGCTTCTCGGTGATCAAGAAACGGATTAGCTGATAATCCCGCGGCATGAGCGTCAACTCGAGGGTATAGCCTGGAGGCGGATATCCGGGAAACACGACACCTCGTTCATTCATGACTCGGATGGAACGAGGCACGATATTTTCCAGAAGGAGCATCTTCAGATTCGGGGGGAATCTTGTACGGATGAGATCTGGTAATGCCGCGTCATCCATATAAGCGCTTCCAAGAAGGTAGACAGGGGGTACACGGAGAAAATGGAGGTTTGGGAATTGGGTGAAATCCATTCCCTTGTCCTCTATGGGGATCTTCCATCGCCATGTGAGGTCCAATATCCGTAAGCTTTCTCGAGCTGGAGCTAATATAGTAGGATAGAGCTTTTCCGAGAATGGTAGTTGATCGTTATGGCCAATCAAGAGATTTTGCAATTTGCCCGTTGGTGCTACAAGTCGAGCCATAGCGTCTTGATTGTACCAACATAACTCGAAGAAGAGCACCCTTAAGTTGGAATGCTGGAAGTAATCCGCGTCCAATTCGCCGAATGCTGAAAAGTCGATGTAGGAGATCCGCATGCGCCTCAGCTTCTTATGGCGAAATAAGGTGGCGTCATCTGCGGCGAAGGTGACAGCATCCCAATTGTCCTTCTCGATGGAGAATGTCACTGAAACCTCTTAGCAGCCATTCATTTTTCTATCTCATTTCAAATCCTATGAAACTTACAATTCGTCAAGTTAGGCTGTTCCTTAACATGCTCATTCAAAAGCTGCCTTTCTTTCTCGTCGATATCCACGAACTCTCCGTCATGTTGCATAATTATGCTCTCGAGATTTGGGAAGACGGTAGACATAAGCTGCCGATAAGCGACTGGGTGAAATTCGTCAAGTACGAGGAAGTGTATGAAGCCCGCGACGTGAGGTCGCCTGAGCAAGAATTCTACGAGACCAGCGGTGTCATTATGTGTGCCGATTTTTGTGAATACCTTATGGTATAACAATGGTTCCACGATATCCCGAGCTCGGTGACAAGTCTGTAGGAAGGAGGCCTGACAGCCAGCGTCTAGATATCGCAATATCCACCATTGTATTTCTAAAGGTAGGCGGAATAAATGGCTATGGCTATTATTTGAAGCCATTGTGAGATACCCTCTGTATGTTATCGATCACAGAGAAGAAGGATGTCTGAGAAGCATTTAGTTTAGTCCTTGGTTTGAAGTGGGATTTAAGGAGAACAACTAGGTAGGTTAGCCCCGCTGGGACCATACTAAGCGCACTTACCAACTACTGGGCATGTAGCAATCGGGGCAAGGACTATCTGCTCCGGCCTAAGAATATTTGCATAAAACCGGACATTTAATGAGGCCATACCAGCATCTACCGACAGCATTATATTCCGGCGGCATTTACAGTTTGACATCTGACGCTAACAGATCTTAGGGCCAAAGATGCCTACGATCAACATTTGATCAATACCTAAAGCCAATCTCCGAATGACAACAATACTAAGAACGAATAGACACGCCTAATTGAACAGGACCCCTCAACACCACATCCCATACGCACCAGCCTCAATGACGTCATATACCAACCTCTCCGATTAGACCGCCGACATGCTACCTCATCACAATTATTTATCCCAGCAAATAACACCGCAATTACAGACATTCTACACGATTCCTAGCATGATCACTATACCACAAAAAATCGAAGAGATAAAGCTTTACGCATTTAATTAAGGTATACACTACAAGGTATATCTCCGCTAATATGCGAGCACGCGTCTCAAGACAATTAACTCACTTTTTCGACATGTTACGATTTACTTCAAACCGGCTCCGCAGCCGATTCCGTAGCTTCCGGTTCCGTAACCTCGGTCTCCTTCTCAGGCTCCGGCTCAGCGGCTTTCTTCTGAGGTCTCGACTTCTTCTTGCGTTTGCCAGTCCCGGTACCAGGCCCCGTCGGCGCCTCGCGAATCCACCTGGCGACGGCCTCTGCGCGCTCTGTTAGGATGGGATATTCCCTACCGTCGTCTACGGCCCAGCGCTTGGGTCCCGCGTTGGGGCTTGGTACGCCGCCGCTTGAGGAGCTGGCGTGGTCGGCCTCGGCGCGACGTTGGCGGGCAAGGATAGCCGCTTTAAAGCTGGCTTCGTCGTTGACGCGCTCGTCCTCTAGGGCCTCTATTATGGCCTGTTGGCGCATCCGCTCCTTCCTCTGCTCCTCTGTCTCGGTTGTGGGACTTGTGCTGCCGGTGATAGACAGGGCGTTAACCGCAGCTGCGGCAGACACTCCTAGTGCAGCGGACATGGGAGTAGGGAGCGGGGCGGGTGCGCAGAGTGCCTCCCAACTCGAGGAGAGCTCGATCCAATTCTCTGCTCTTCTAAGGACTTCTATCCAATCTGCTCGGGCAGGGGACCGGCTCGCTTGAAATACCGGATACCCATCCGCCAGACGAGCAAGGCGAGCAACCATGTGCGCATGTCGCTGCAACTCTTTAGCCGAGGTTTGCATGAGGGTGTGGCACAGCAAGAGCGAATGTAATGCGTCGGTAAGTAACGGGTGGTAGGTGACAACTTCGCTGGTTGTCTGGATCGACTCCACGGTAGCAGAAGCTGGAGAAATGATATCTGTCGAGGGGTAGGGCGGCAAGTCTGCGGGGGGTGTCGCCGAAAAGAGTGATGCTAGCTCGTAGATCGTGTGGCTAGGCGAGGTGCCCGTGGGACTACCTGGGTCCTGAGACGCATGTCGAGATTGACCGTAATACTTCTTACTACGGTGAGTTGCTTGATTGACCTGACGACTGAAGTCATCTGATACTTCGATAGGTAGATTAGGCGAGTAGTGGAAATGCTTGAAATATTCCATATAATCTCTTAATGCGCGCTTCGCATAAAAGCGCACTGTCTTACGCATTTCGAGCTGCCTCTTGGTAGGACCTTTATCCTCCAAGTCTCCTTCAGCTTCCTGTGACCCTGTATTCCCATTAGCGGAGCCATTACTAAGACCATTTGTGCCGTTTGCGCCGTTTCGCGAGCCCCCGTTCTGCTCGCTATGCAAATTAGGGAGTGCGTGCGGTACATGATCACATGCTAGAGTGAGGTAGCAACCTGCGCGTTGAAACAGCAGTTGTACTTCTGTACTACTTGGTTGATTTGCCTCATCAACAGGGGGTTGGTCTCGTCGCCGCCGTGTCTTCTGTTCTAGTTGCATCGTTTCATCTACAGCAGGCTTGTTATGCCGTGGTTGTTGGAGACGATACACACTAAGCGCAGAGGTGAGATCCTGAACGGCACCCTCAAAATCTTCCTTAAACATGCGGACAATAGCTCGAGTTCTCAGAGGCTCGCACTCAGAAGGCCGCTGGCCAATTATTAAATCTAACGCGCGGAAGTCGGTGCATTCTGCAAGTTGTCTAGACGGGATCTTTTCGTGGAAAAAATGTACATAATTGGCATCGGGGTCGTTAGGTGACCTTTGCAATACAAGACCAGCAACGTTCTCTAAAGTTGAAGTAGATTGCATTGTAGCGACGCTCGAGGCTATTTCGTCGAGATGGTAGGCGCGCGACAACTTCTGGGTGGCTTGCTCTCGCATTCGAAATTTCCTTTCTGGACTCAGTTTTGCGCCGGCATTGTTCCCAAACCCGAGCCCTAAGGCTTGCATATGATGCGCAGCTCCTCCTGCCAGCGAATTGGACAAGGCCGACGAGGCGACGCCATTAGCCGCTCGTACGGCCAAATCGGTAGCACCATCCACAAGCTGTCTTATCTTCACCAAGTCGTAGAATACTGCGGGATCGACGGGACGCGGTAAGGGCATGTAGTAATTGGCATTGGCGAGCGTAACGAGGACCTCGAGCGGTAGTTGTAGCCATGGGCCATGGAAGGAAGAAATATAGCGCCAATGCCTGTCGTAGTCAGTAAGCTAGAGGTTCTACGTTGACGTAACAGAAATGGAAGAATTGAAAGTTGGAATCTTACTTATTACGACAGATTACGAGCGCAGACGGGGAAGGTTGGGGCGCAGGAGAGGACGGTTTCTTCTTATTTGTTGTCGAGGAGGTTGTCGTTGTTGTCAAGGTAGTCGAGGTGGTCGAGGGTTCTGCAGCAGTCTGTGGCTCCAAGTTAGGAGATTCGCCCGCTGCGGGCTTCTTGCTCTTTTTTCCCATCGCGCATTGGTGGTAAGGATATTCGTGAAATGTACGGTTGTAATAAATAGGTATGATTAATTCCCTAATGCTGTAATAACCGAACGAGACTGGACGGAGGCCGAACCACTACGATAATGTTCCGTCAAGAATTCGCGAAATATCGGCAAGGGTCGTCATTTGCTTAGAAATTATGTATAGATGTGCTATGGATGGCTAATGAAGTTGTATACTCCTAGAAAACCTTCAATTGCTTCGGTGACTTATCGTAGTACGCTAGGTGTACCAAATTCCCCTCTATCAGCACGTGATATCCTTTTTGTTCCTCTATCGCAGGTAGGGATACACCTTACAATTTTAATTTCCAAGTCTACCGGGAGGTACCTACCCAGTATTATATTGATATAATGCAAGTCTGGCAAGTGTGACTCCTTGCGTACTGTGTTGTACAATTGAATCTGGGCAGGCACTATGCACTATGTCCGTGTGAACAGGTGCACGTAATAATAATTCCAAGCTACCTAAATTCTCCAATTCCCCAAACATCTCCAGATTACAATCACATTTCTTGACACTCTGAATGAACAATTGAACAAATGAACAGTCATCTTGGGGTATGTCACTCCCCTTTAATCTCTCTTCGCCATGCCCTCTTCACTTCTTCCAAGAGTCCGTCTTCTGTTAGAACATCCAGGGCTGTGCCAGCAAGAGCCTTTCCTACTCGAAGACATCTCTCGAATGCAACTCTTGTTCCGGCCGCCTTCGCAAATTCAGGATTATGAGGCCCGTTCCCTCCTGGACCCGGTGGGATAGCGAAACCTGCGCTTAAGCTAGGCATCGCATAGCTTATATCGCCTTGATCTGTACTGGCCATCGTTCGACCTTCGACCTCATCCTGATCATCGTTTCCCGGGATTGGTCGCGGAGGTGACAGCGCATTGAAGTACTTTCGATACGAACCGCCCAATACTCGATTAGGGACGTGGTCAGCGTAAGATTGTACTGGAGTCATCTTCAGCGTTGCACCTGTTGCCGTCGCTCCAGCTTCGAAGCAGGCGTCGACCTTCTTCTTCAATTCCTTAACCCTGTCTTGGGTATTGGCGCGCGTCACGAAATTACCAGCCGTGTAAGCGTGGATTACATTCGGTCGAACCCCGCCATTAGTGATATTTCCTTGGATGACATCACCCGGCATCGTTTGTTGGCGGAGCACGGACAATGAATTATAAGCCGTGATCAACGCATCAAGGGCGTTAATACCTAGCCAAGGACTTGCAGCGGCATCTACAATGCTAGAGATGAGTATTCTCCTGAGTATGATGATACCAAGGGTCAAGGGTTACTTACGGGCTTCACGTCCAAAATATTCAACCTTAAATGCGGTATACGCAGATGTCCGCATCAGAGCGGTATCCGCCGTGATGCCAGGATGAGATATCAAGTTGATGTCGACATTGTGATCTCGGTAGGCTCCAGCTTCCAAGAGTTTGATTTTACCACCTCCTCCTATCTCAGGTCAGAATTTGCAAGTCTCGCGAATAGAAGGCGTGAGAGATAGCGTTACCTTCCTCTGCAGGAGTTCCAAACATGACAACTTTCCCACCCAATCCATACTCTTCCATTATTTTGGCCGTCGCCAATCCGCCAGCTACAGATGCGGTGGCAATGAGATTGTGGCCGCACGCATGTCCAATCCCATCCAATGCATCTACACATCCCCGTTAGACTTTTCAAACCCACGGGTTCAGATATGACATACCCATTTCCACATTAAATGATACCACAGGACCTTTCTTTTTACTATCAAATACAGCAACCCATGCTGTAGCCAGGCCATAGGCAGACGGAGTCACTTTCCATCCTGGCCTGCTAGCCATGAACTTTGTTAGGGTCTCATGAGCAATGAATTCCTCATAGCCCAGCTCAGGATTATCATGGATTTTCTTGTTCACAGGCCACAAGTCATCTGCTATGTTGTCAATGAAATCACTAATCTCGCCAAGATAGCCGAGCTTGAGTTGTGCGAAATCGGCATCTTCGTGGCTAACGAAGACGAAGTCGTCAATTTGCCCATCCATGGCGCTGCAGCAATTATCGGATGGAGTAGTAATTACCAACGATGGCGCATCGGGTACTTTATATGCGCACAAAAAGAAAGAGATTATTAGAAACGAGATCGCGTGAACCTTGAGGACTTGAAATACTTACAGGTTGAAGTTCCAATTAGCCTGTCTACTAACCTCCTACCGCAATGTAACTATCAAACTGCACCTGTTTCTTGGGATCTACCCCACACGTTTAGTCTTGGACTCTTGGTGGTAGCATGGGTACGACAATCTCCTATCTAATGCCTGGTACCATGATTTCCTCTTTGGGAAATAGTTAGCTACGACAAACTCCACGCACTTGATGAGTTACAGCTTCGAAGCAATCATTTGGAAGAGACAATGAGTTTGTTCTTACTTTATACGTGTAGTTATCATTCCGGCCAAGGCGTCCGCCATGAACTAGTATGGCAAATCCAAGATCAAACACTCCTAATTCTTTATTATATAAACATGGCCCGTCTCTATTCACATACCAACTCGGTATTCTCTTTACATAAGTTTCATACCATTCTATTATGATTGTTTCTCAGTACTGGACAGAGACAGAGCTGAACTTTACTAAACATTGGCCACATTACCTACCTACCTACCTAGCCGTCTAAGACCGACAAAGATGACTTCAAATACGCCAGATGTCCAACCAACCACCGCCACCTCTTCGAGTGGATCTGACATCGAAACGGTAGATAACGGCATCGAGGATGAGACTGGGTTGTTAGCTGAGAGGGCACTGGCAAGTGGTCCCATAGACGATCAGACTTCTCAGATGATTCGACGAAAAATTGACCTACGCATCCTGCCGTTTCTGTGTATAACTTACGCTTTACAATTCATGGAAAATACGTCGATGAGCTATTGCTCGGTCTACGGAATTTTCCCTGATAAGAAACTTCGAGGACAGGATTATTCATGGATTCTTTCTATCTTTTACTTCGGTATGAGACTATCAAATATTTGAATCATCAATATATTGATATGCTAATATCCCTAGGTTATCTCGCTGCCGAGTATCCTGGTATCGCACTTATGCAGAAGTTTCGAGTAGCCAAGTTTCTAGGATTCAACATAATTCTATGGGGAGCAGTCCTCATGACATCCGCAGCGTGCTCGTCTTTCACATGTCTTGCTACCATGCGTTTCCTTTTGGGTGTGGCCGAGGCGACGATATCACCCGGATTCGTCGCTATCATGGGAATATGGTGGACTAGACAGGAGCAAGCCAGTCGATCATCTCTCTGGATCTCGTTTCTAGGAGTTGGTAGCTTCATCGGGACGTTGATAGTATACGCCCTTACCCAGGATAACGCGCAACCAGTTAGTTGGTATGATGATGAGTCCGCATTTACTTGTTGTGGTATATCTGTTTATGCTAATGATTTCCCAGGAAGCGCATTTTCTTTGAGCTAGGGGTGATGACTTTTGTTTGGGGAGTGTTGTTTTCACTTGCTATGCCAGATAGCCCGACAACTGCCACATGGCTCAATGAGAACGAGAAAGTTGCCGCCGTCCAACGAATAATCGAAAATAAAACCGGTACAAGATCTCGCAATTTTGTTAAAGCCCAGGTCTTCGAGGCGATTACCGACCCTAAGATTATAATCTTAGGCCTAATATCCTTCGCCAACGCCTTCGCATCCGGTGGGCTTGCATATGGCTCATTTGTGATACAAGGCTTCGGTTTTGATCCGCTAAAGACGACCTTGTTGAGTCTGCCTCTATTCACGATCCAAGTTGTGGCGCAACTTGGTTCGGGATATCTAGTTTCTCGTATTCGCGATTTTCGGTTACATATGGCATCTCTGGCTATGGTTCCTCCGGTGTGTACGACTTGTATCAAGAAGAAAAGCGTGAACTGACGTTTATTTAAGATCGTAGGTACGATATTGATCAACCAACTTCGGCCGGATAATAGATGGGGACGTCTTGCTGGGGTTTGGCTATTGGTGAGTAACGATTTTAAAGAAAATCCAGATAAAGCGTAACTGAAAACTAATTTATTCAGGGATCCTATCCTGTGGGCTTTATGGTAATCCTCGGCCTACTTTCGACAAACATCGCGGGTACCACCAAGCGGTCCGTAGCTTCGGGCTGGGTGTTTTCCTGCTACTGTGCCGGCCAAATCTTCGGGCCGCAATTCTTCAAAAACGCTGAGGGCCCTGCGTATCGCAACGGCATTATGGCTATGTTATGTGCCTTCGCCTTGAATGCGTTCTTAAGCCAGGCGTTGCGTCTCCATTATGTTCTCGAAAACAAAAAACGAGACAGGGCCTTAGAGGAAATGTCGGAGGACGAAATCGCAACGATAGAAAAATTAAGTGAACGTGAGGGATTTGAGGATGTTACCGACAAATATAACGTGAGTTCTCACTGTGCCGATGATGATGTTGTGGCTATATCTAACATTATATAGGCCATGTTCCGCTATGCGTTGTAGCCGGCTCTTACTGTAGGAAGACAGAGTTTGGCCGGGGGGGTATGTTTTTTTTTAACTGAATTGACATCGTATCTATTAAACATTTCTCTCTCTTGTGATATCATTCTGCCGCACCTCTGAGCTGTTTCTCCTTGGGTTTGTATCCTGTGCATCCGTAGCACCGAGCATCTGCCCACCCTTTTCCACGTGGTTCTGGCCACCGAACAACGTGTCGATTTCCTCAAGAGGCACCTTCATGGTCTCCGGAATGCAAAACCACACGAAGACAGCCAGGACAAAATTCGTCGCCATGAAAAAGAACAAACATTTCAAACCCTCGTTGGCAAGAAAAATGGGGAAGAATTGCTGGAATATGGTGTTGGCCACGTTTTGCATCTGGGAACACATCCCTACGGCTTGTGCTCGCACATTCATACTGAACACTTCAGACGTCCAGATCCAAGTCGCTGCACCCCAGGACGGCTTGTAGAAGAAAATGAAGAGGAACAGCAGAAAAACAATAGCGATGCCAACAGGCTCTGTCTTCGTCGCCGTGCCCTTAGCTCCGATAACATTAGGCGTCGTCATACCAATAACCGGAACAACCAACATGCATATCCCCATCCCGATAGCACCGACAATGAACAGCCATCTTCGACCAAACCTATCCGCAGTCCACACGGCGTTCAGCGTGAACAGAATCCCACACGTCGCATTCAAGGCGTTGATGAGATTAATAGTCTGCGAAGACGGCCAAATCGTCTTGTAAATCGCGCTCGAGTACGAGTTCAGCGTGCCCTGGCCCGACAGCTGCTGTCCGACATTCAGCACGAACGCGAGGTACAGTCTTCTCCGCACGGACGGGTCCTTGAAAAGCGCCAGGTACGAGCCGCCCACGGCCTCGTTCTCAAATTCCACGGCTTCGCGGATCGCTAGGACTTCGTACTCGACCTCCTCCTCTGAGTCGCGGATGAGACGGAGGGCTTCCTTGGCTTTGTCGACGTTGTTGTGGCGTTTGATCCACCAGCGCGGGGACTCGGGCTGGAAGGGGAGGAGCACGAGGATGATGCTGGGGACGAGAAGCTGGAAGATGACGACCATGCGCCAGTCCCAGTGCCCGAGCGTGGCTTTGTGCGCGTTGCTTGCGTAGGCGATCCAGTATGCGATGAAGGACCCCACGCTGTAGAACATCTGCCAGAACGTCATGATCTGCCCCCGGATCTCGGGAGGGGAGACTTCGCCGATGTAGATGGGGCCCGCGGCTAGTGCGATGTTAGAAATGTTAATTGGGATTTTGGGAAGGGAGGGGGCTGGACGCACTGAGAGCCATGCCCTGGCCGATGCCGATGAGGACGCGGCCGCCGATGAAGCACCCGAGATTATGCCATGGCGCGAAGGCTTGCATAAAGGTTGCGGCGATGGTGAGCAGGCATCCTATGCCCATGCCGATTCGTCGGCCGAAATAATCAGCCTGGGAAATTGAATTGTCAACATCAAAATATGAGTGTTATACATTCGCAAGTGTATGTGACTTACAGTTGGGCCACCAAAGAACCAACCAGCGACAATGGCGCCGATAGTATAAGCTGTGTTTACCAACCCTATCAAGTTCGCATCCGCTTTCTTTAAGTCCGATATGTTAACTCAGACGTGGAGATCGTATAGTGGGAGGGCTTACCAGGTCGAGATCAAACCACTCGAGCCAATTATCTGAGCCCTGCGCGGCGTTGAAGACAGAAGCATCGTAGCCGTATAGGACCATACACATCGCCGCCACAAGAGCGATATACCTACCCAAGCATATCAATTTCAGCATTATGTTCCCTTGATTGTCACTTTCATGTCTTCGGGGGACTTACCAATTGTAGAGCCTCTTAGAAGTCGGCATCTTAAATCACTTGTGCTAGCGACAGCAACCCTTCCTCCCCAATTGCGATAAAAGGGATCGGCCAAGAGAAAAGAGCAGATCGATCTATGATATAAATGCATCCCCGCCGTCGAGAGATTATATCGAAAGGGGTGGTTTACATTAGCTAAAGCCCGCTTACTCTGTACCTAGACCAGGGTCGACATCTCATCTGCACGTCGAACCCCTCATTTTCCCCCTTTGACGTTAGCCAAATACCAAACCCGTCTATCAGCTTCGCTCAGCTCAGGTCGGTGGGGAAAATCTCGCCCGAATGACCGGGACGCACGTCGTATCCACCAATTGTAGATCTACCTAACGCAAATGCTTGACTTTCCTGTGCGTAGGGAGTAGCCGTCCCAACCAGGGCGTTGGGTCGGACGGACCGTCGAGGATAGGTAGCTCATGATACCCCGGATTCTTGGCTTGAGAGGGTAAGCTTTAGCGGAGGAATTCCCTAATAGAGAGCGAAATTCCACCACTTATAATTCTCCGCCAGCGATCTTCATGATCTAGTTGGCGGGCACTATGATAGACGTCGTTAGGTCCCTGCAGGTAAGATGTTAGTGATACGTTATCGAAGCGCTCTACCTCAAAGTGTTGTTAAACTCCGTAGCGAATTGATTTGATCTTTTGCCAAGAAACCTGCTATCAACCTCCAAGATGTCGATACGAATATTCGGTCATTAGGAATTCATGACTTTGCTAATAACTCAAAATATGAAATGAAAAATAGGTAGTCATTCATTCAAAACATCCTACCATCCATCCAATTACGTCTAAACGCCAAGAAATGGTATCTATCAGCGAGAATTTCCATATATACCTTTCCGACGTAGCATAAAAGCCGTAAAGTATCCCCTCCAACCTGTATAGAGCGATAGTTGATGCAATAAATATACCTCCCAAATATGGTCCTTAATTTATGAATGTCCATTCCAATGTATCCCTTGGTCGTTGCCCATGAAACTCGGATACGCCATACCCATGTTTAAATACGTGTCGATATCTGTCATCCCCTCGTTTTCTAGAACGTCCATGAGCTCTATCTGCTGCTCCTGACTTAAGCTTCCTTGCCGCTCCGGGGGGAGACCGTTGGAAAATGACATGTCGCCCATGTTAATATCACCCAGGCCATTTGTGCCAGACGTGTCGTTCCAAAAGTTACCGCCTAATCCGCCACCAAATGCATACGGTGAGATGAAAGGTGGTGGTGGATTAAACCAGTCTGTGACTGTAGTTACCTGAGGGAGGGGCCGCTGTCCCTGTGACGAATGTTGTGGTATAGGAGGAATAGTAAATGGTTGCGTAATCGGGCGTGGTTGCTGCGACGAAGCTACCGAGTTAGGTGTCGCTATATCAGAAGGAGTCTGGGCTAGACTGGCAGTTGAGAGCATCGGCGTCGTAAGGATCGGGGTTCCCATAGTTGGAGTCGTAGCACTGCCTGTGACAACGGACTCTGGAGAAGTTGGAAGATGCTGTGCGGGAGATAAAAATGGTGGGGACACAGTTGTATCAGTATCTGGAGGACTACTCTCTTCCATAAGAGCCAAGTCTCCAGCTTGGGTAAAATCGGGAGGGAAATAACTGAAACGACGTCCAGTATGATCACTAGTAGCTGGGTTGAGGAAGATAGAATTCGATCTAAATGTGGGTTGTGGCGGAAAGTTCTCAACCTTGTAACCGTTCATCTCCTCAGGACCAGAGCCGAAAACATAGCCAAATTGTGGATTGAAAACACCACTAGCAGACATGGTAGTCGCACTTGAAATTTCGGACGCAGAAGGTGAGTTTGTATCAGTTTGAGACGATGGAGTATTGAAAGGGCTCGAGTTTGAGAGATTGGATGTTTCGTTTGAGTCGTAGCTTTGAAGACACGCTTTCGTGAATGTTGAGTATAACTGAGATGCCGCTGCGGTACCTGGCCATCTTTCGACACATTGATCAATGATATCTAGTGAGATGTTGACTAGCTCTTGAACTTCCTCTCGTGGATGGGACGCTCGAATTTCGGGATGTGTGACAGCCCACAAGAGTGTATTGAGAGACATGTAAAGGGTTAGTATGAATATCCAGGTAATATCAACGGCAGCTGCCATCATCTGCTTGCTAGATATATTGATGACGAAAGCGGCCGAGTCGAAGCATTTCGTAGCCGAAAGGAGGGATGGCTTCGGTACTTGAGGTGAGGGACGATGAAGGGCTATCATCATGGTGTGAAATCGTCCTGAAAACCTATATTACATTATTAGCAGCGATCGAGGCGTTAGTATCGGATATTAGATACATACCATGGCTTACACCATGGAGGATTTTCAGGAGTTTCCTTAAGCCATCGGTCTATTTTAGCCTCCATATCTGCGAACCATGGATGGCGGTTATTGCTAGGTTCCGGGTGTTTTCTTTCATACAAAACCCGGCGGATCTCGGCTTGATGCTGACGCATCTTACAAAAGTGTATAGAGACCAATTTCCTCTCGTCAGGAGGCCCTGGAATAATTCCATTCTCACAGATATTCGCGTCACTAACTGTTTCGAAGAATCTGACATCGTTTATGTCGCCAGTCTTAGCGAACCCGTTTGGTCGGCCCATACTGTAGGCTAAGCCAAGTTCCATTGTACTAACAATCCAGCTAAGTCGCCGCCGCATATCCAGGGTTAATGGATCGTTGGCACCTAGAGAAATTGTCTTCTCATCAGCTAAGCCGAGTTGCTGACAGATCCTCGTGGCTAAGCCGACGATGTAGTATACGGCAGTCCGGGTAGGCGTCAGTAGTGAATACTGTCCTATTAAGACGAGACATTGAAGGGTTTTGATATCCTTTGGCCGAACAATGTCTTCGAAGCGCCTCATCGCGGCAAGATAGTAACTATCCGCAAGTCCTGCGTACGTCGAGTCAAGTTTCTGCATGCTAGTTGCCATAACTAAGCGCGCAACAAAGTTTTGGTATGCATCTGTGCTCCCAGCATAGACATCCTCAAATATCGTTTCCAATGCCTTTTCGTGAAAAGTCGGGGTGAATACTTGAGCTGGGGTTAATAATTAGTCTAGGCCTTCTCCAATTGGACAGGAGGGGCTGGTAAATGGGAATAAATCACCTCGTTGGTAGAAAACCTCCAATAATCTATCGGCGATGGCTCTACTTGGAAGATTCTGCGCTGCGACGCCGCTAATTATGGGGTAACTTTTCTTTCTTGATACTTGTGGCGGTATGGTGAAAGACTGTGATCGCGTGCCGGGAAAGGTTGTGCCGGGGGCTGCAGTCTGTCGTCGATCCCGCACATCGGGGATTAATTCAGATATGCGCTTAGAATCCGTATAGCGCTTTGCTTCCTCCATGAGTATGCGCGTCATAGCAATACCGCTGGATGGACCGAGATATCGCGGGGTTTCATCGGTTTCGTTTAAGCGGACGAGGCCTCCGGGTCGGATGAAATCCTCGTGATTTTTAGGGAAATCGTCGTCGTCGGTATACTGACCAAGTTCGGCTTCAAGTGCACGAACTTTTTCTTGGAGTTTGACAACATAATACCGACTTATCCTCTTACCCTTTGTCGTGTCAAAATACTCGCAGGTGGACCCTGACCGCTCGCAAGGCAGGCAGCGAGGTAGCGTAGGATCGCAGCGCGTTTTTCTCTAAAAATCCCAACATGGTCAATCTCCGACTACTTTCATATCCTTAAAGGAAAAAAAGGACAATAGGATGCGCGATGCGTAAAATATCGGTGGACGGGTTACTCACCTGGCGACATCGGCAGCAGGCCGTAAGAGTATGCGCAATGCGGTGCGAGGCCTCACCATCTCCGGGATCCTCGACCTTCACAGGCTTCTTATTTTGCTGGAAACCATTCGGAGGTCTTGGGGTATAAGTGCCAAAACCTTGGACTTGACGGAAGACATTAGAGGCATCCATCGGTAGATCTGTTATGGTATCGTCGTTTTCCGTAATTCGCTGATGGTGAGACGTAAACTTGGGCTTCTGCTTTTGCTTTTGTTTCTGCCTCTGCTTTTTGATCTGGCCCCCAGATACGGCAGATACGCGGGGCAGATCAGTTGTCGTTGGTCGCACGCAACTTCGAGGACTCGAGGCTTCGGAAATGAAAGCGGGGTGAGCGAGTAAGGCAAATCGATTGTACGACTGTTGTTGCTGATGCTGTTGCTGTTGCTGATATTGTAGATCATTGAATTTCACTTGATCATGATTTCGAGCTTTTGGAACATCGGCGCAAAAAGTCTCGTAAATTCGACTGTAGAAGGGAGAATCGTCGCCGCCAAAGTTGTAATATCCATTCTCGGTCTGAGAACACATTCTCTTACGTATGTACCTTCTGTACGAAGGTGACAGGTGGGTAGGTGGTATGTACGCTCTCGTATAGCTTTGTACCTATCTAACGCTGGCTACGACGGTTAGCCCGCAGTTAGCCTATTAGTCATGCTTATTTTGATGTACTGTCAGATAAGCATTACTTAAGTCAGTACTTGACGATCATTTTAGCTAAGAAACTAAGAACATAGAAGCTAAAACATACAGCTTGACCTGGAGTGGGAAGTGACCGCTGCACGGACTACAGTCCGTCGTATTGAAACAGCGATTGGTTGGTGGGGTACTAGGTAAGAGAAGTTGCAACCTCGAAGTCTTTCTTCCAGCTCGAACATCGAATGGCTTAGACTTTAACAGGGAACTTAGGAACTTAGAATACTACCTCAATCAGCTCAATATGTATGATGTGTATGTTGTATATTGGATGTTATATTAGAAAAAGAGACTCTATTAAGTTGTTTCATTCTTAAATCCCTTTTTATCGACTTCGCCCCACAGGCTGAGTTACCAACGCAGATTTAAGCGACTGCAGTTTCGTTTCGTCTATTCTCTACTTTTCTAGCACCTATTCTCTATTTTCATGCGTTTCGTTTTGACAATTCCTACAAATTAAACGGACTTCCGCACGATCTCGCTCCCTATAACCGACCTCGCATACACGCGTGCGGCAAAAGTGCTTTTAGGATTTCTTCCCTAGTTGAAAATCGAAATTCCGTTTCTATTTTTTTCTATTCTTGGAATCCTTCTTCTTACCTTATTAAGGACATTTCCTAATTAAGTCTTTTCTGGAACAGTTGCATCGGTTTGAGGATCCACCTATTGTTACCAGCCTGCGAACTTGCTGACTATCTGGTTTGATACACTCGGCGCGCAGTAGTTCTTTTTTTCTGTTTTTTCTCCATTCTGTTATGTATGCCCTTCAGCTAGACAGGTAACACAACTGCAACCCACTCAGCCCACATGTGCATAAAGTGGGAGGTGATCACGGAAACCAAGAGAATATTATCGGAATCTTCTCTGCAGCAGATTATCCAGGTTATCCAGGCTATCCATGAATATTGATAACATCTGGTAAGGCAGCTGAGCAGTTGCCAATATATTCTCGTTCGAGAACTGATCGGGCGGCACGCGGCTCCAACGGCCAGTACATATGAAAATTAATGAAGGCTGTCCCACCAACTGCATTCGGAAAACCCTGAAAACCCTGACCAGCCTTACGACTACATCTTGTCAACGTAAGAGGGGGGCGCGTGGGGAGGTCTAGTGAGTTCTGACACCGGCTAGCAGCCCTGAATGAGGCGCAAGGGCAGGCAAAGGAGTAGGAGATGATCTCACGATTCGTCAATCTTTTGCAGACCAACCTAATACAACATTTTCATTGAGGGTCGTTGAGGACCATTGAGGGAGCGGGCTAGGTTAAAAACTTCCCCCTGATGCAAGGAGGAGCTGCAGCTAGTGCGCATAGTACCGACACAAGCTATTTTCGCCTACGGGTTACCAAGTTACATGCGTTATCCGTCATCAACCTGATCCTACCTTATGTTGGAATACCTACAGGATCTTTCCAAGATTTACATCTACATACGTTTACGACAGAAATAGTAAGAGTTTCGACAAGTGTCTTTTTTTCTTTTTCTTTTTCCCCTCTGTTTCTTTGATGATCTAAAGTCCAAAGTCCAAAGGTGAAAGAAAGCACACGAGTCATGTAGGTTACAACACAGCAGCAACAAAGTCCTACTACGTCGTACCAAGCTACTAAAGCTTTTCGAGCAGGAGCTGGTGATCCACGCAATATCAATGGTCGAAGTGGTCTAGAGAACAGGCATTAGGTCAGGTTGTTCGCAAACCGGTCACCACACAACCCCCACTGTCCCAGCGTCCGTGGTACACATAGTACATATTACCTAGTACGGCTGGTACCGCAGATTATCGCTACGAAATTCCGCATCCTATGCCCCATTGATGACCAGACGGTCTAGCCCATCCTCGGAAGTCAAGCGCACCCTACGGATCCCCGTATAGGTACACCTAAGCACCTAGGCAAACCTAGGCTCTGCGCAGGTTTATTCAGTAATTGAGACCCTATTCCTTTGACCGTATTATTAAGGCCACTAAAATAATAAGCAGCCTTGCTCGACTCGCCATTCTTGAAACCTAAACGTTTTGAAGGCGGCAACGGCAGATCCACGTGAGAATCTTATTCTCACTACCATTTCTATTAAGAGTAATAGTTAGACTATTGTCAACACTTTGCCGCTGTTCCGTCGTTCTTTTTTTCCCTTTCCGACGGAAAACGAGTCGATCTAACGGCCTGTACGCCACGTTTTTATTAAGGACGCATTCTTACAGATCATAAAGCAAAACGTAAGAAATCTATGACAGCTGTGGGAACTATCTCCACTAGACCTCGCGCTATCATATACTATCGTGTACTTTAAAAAAAGAGCCGAGATCCCGGACTTCACGGACTACAGCCGGGAAGCCGTACGCGCTCAAGCCATCATCTCAAAGCGGGCAATATGCCACGATCAAGCTTCTCGGATAATCCGTTGTTGCGCGTGTCACGGCCAGTATCAGCCTGTTCCAGATGTTAGTGCTCTCATATTAAAACCGCATATAATGTCAAGGATGTATGACTAAGATATTAACAGGTCGAGCCGCTAAAGTCAAGGTAGCCTCATTGTTACTTTATTTCCCAATAACGTGGTCGCTGATGTTGGAATTATTAGTGCGATGGAAAACTGCCGGCATGTACAGCCTGTGAGAAGGCCGGTCGCGAGAATGAATGCTCAGCCGCCAATGACCAATTCGCGAGAGGCAAGGAACGGAGGTGAGATACTTCAGCTTTTACACCTAATCTCTTTTACATTATACTCACATGTCTCTCCCAGTTATGTCGCTGCGCTCGAGCTTCGCATAGAGAAGTTAGAAAAGCGATTAGCGTATGCTCGATCAAGAAAGGCGTCTGTTGCTCAACATGAGTCTGAGGTGCCACCGGCACTACCTGAGCCTGACCGGAAAGATTCACTTGCTACCATCAAAGCCGCCATTTATCGTAAAGCTGCTCGAAAACGAGAGATGTCCGATGTTAATTCACTGATGTCCGATTTTGGCTTCTTGTGGGTAGTTCCATTTCCAAGGCTTAATTATCGTCACTAATAAATGACTAGATCAATCAATGCTACTACGAGAGACTTTGAACCTTCAATGGGCAACATGACATTTGCACGTCTCGTACTAGCGGCGGCTTCTAATGATCCTCTTCCAGATAGCTTGGACTGGGCATTGCCTCCTAGGCAAGATGCCATCGCTCTTGTTCAGTATTACATGACCAATATCTATTCACTGTTTCCTGCGTTTCCCGAAACGACGCTTTACACAATCCTTGATCAGATGTATTCGTTCCACGACCGCGTAATAAAGGATTCGGAGTATTGGCTCGTGTATATGGTGTTAGCCATCGGGTCCACCGCTCAGAGCCGAGTGAGGAACGATGACTACTATCTGAACGGACTAAACTTCGTCGCCCAGGCCTTGCGGCATGCGGACAGGGCTTTGATGCCAGGCTACACGACACAAATCCAGTCTTTGATCCTTCTCACCCAATACTCGATGCTTGATCCAGCTCATTTCGACAGCTGGCATTTAATCGGCTTCACTTCGAGGGCAGTGATCGACTTAGGGTTCCATCAGGATCCTCCGCCCGAGCAGCTCTCGGACAAAGTGGTGCTAGACATGAGACGGAAGACCTTTTACTGCGTGTACTCATTAGACAGGTATGTACGTGAGATTTTGCTCACCGCATAAAGCGTGCTAACTCCTCCAATAAGATCCATTAGTATGGTTCATGCTCGCGCTTTCTCCTTCACCGATGCCTCCACAAATGTTGCTTGGCCGAGACCCTCATCTTTCAGTCGCCGAGCATCGATCACTGGTAAAATCCTCTCGGGTTCCGAGCCAGCATTTTTGCTCTTCCAGCTGCGACGCGCTCAGTCACATTGGTACCAGGCGCTATTCCAAGCAGAGCCAACGCCGTTGCCTGATTCATCATCGTTCATCTGGCAGATGTGCCAAGACATGAGAGAGTGGGCCGAAGCGCTCCCTAATTCACTTCCGATTGGCATGAGGGAGTTATTCGACCTGGAGCTGAGATATAGTTATGTCTACTGCATAGCACCGTCGGCTCGGGCTCCTCATATGACCGACTATGGCCGACTGCTCATCTTTGAACACGCCATCGCCTACCTCGACCGCATATTCGAGGTCTCGCACAGTAACATGAAAACTGCGTTCTACACGTACCACGACGCCCTACGCGTGTTCTTCATGGCAAGCCAGTTCGTCGCCGTACTCCGCGACGCGGAGGACCTGCTCCTTGCCGGAGTCACTCCACCGCCACCTCTTGTTGAGTTTGGTAGGGCACCGCCACCGCCTCTACCACTGCGCCCCGGCGGCCCTGGAGTTGATAATCTGGACAGGAGCCTGGGATGCCTGGAGAAGACTGCACGGACGCTTGCAAAGTACGGCGAGAGATGGGAGACGTGCATCGCGCTAAGACAAAGCTTTGAGATGATCTCTAGCGAACTGATGGATCGCCTACGGATGAGGAAACAGATAAAGCAACGCTCGCCACAGCCCCACCACGCCCCCGCCCCGATGCCGAAGGAGATGAAATGGGTCGGCGTTGATGTCGAAGCTATGTTAAGAGGAAATTCTAGTCGGTCTTAATAGGCGAGGCGAGGTTGATGAATACTCGTTTAACTAAGTGATATTTGGCTATTTGGGTGGATATAGTCCTGTCTTATAGACGGTATACCTATCATGGCTACTCTTGTGTTCAGGGCTACATACCATGATTAGTGGATTCGACACTAAACAAAGAGCGTGGATACTTGACTGCATGGAAAGGAGTTAGGATGGGTCTGGGTGGCATGGTGTCGGGTTTCGGGCATTATATTTTATAGGGGATGAGGGATATTGGGTACCTTACTGATGACTTATGGTATATCTCAAAATTGATTCCTTCACGCTCAAGTATATTATGAGCTTTTGGGTATGGAGAACGTGCTCCTTTTTACTTGATTGTGTGCCTATATGTTGGTCTCCTAAGTTTTGTCAGTCTCATCCTCCCGCTTAGATTGTACTAGGTAGTACCTAAGAAACGAGTGGCATCCATCACGATAAACTTGTACTCCCAACACGACGGGTCCCTCAGATCTTAAACACAAGCCCCTCGGCAGCCGTCACCTCGTTCCTCGCAAACCTATCCCAACCCTCCTTCACGCTCTCCATGCCCTCTCCCCAATTCACCTTAAACCCCTTGATCCCCTCTCCCCTCAACCCCTGCCACGACTCCTCAAACCCCTCGAAGAACTCCTTCTCGCCAACCTGTCCCATCGCCGCCGTCAGCAGCGTATCCGCCATCACCTGGTCGATCTCCAACCCATCCGGCTTCTCCGGCCTCTCCCCACTCGCCTGCGCTTCCGGATCCGCCACCTCCATCCCGATCACCACGTACCGCGTCTTCGGATACCTCGCCCCGATCGCCGCGGCCCATTTCCACGCTACGCCGGCGCGTCCGCCGAAATCGTATATCACGACTTTCCTATCCGTGTCTTCGCTGGAATCTAGACTGGCGAGTGTGGTTAGCGGGTCGGAGAGCGTAGATGCCACGCTGTCGTACAGCCCGGTCCCCCGCAAGAAGGGAATCGAGGCCTCGCTCGCCGCGCCGATGACGTGCCGCGGTTTTGCCGCCGTGCGCTGGTTCTGCAGGAGATACGCGAATGCGAGCCCGACTTTGGACCCGGGCGCGAACGCGACGACAGTAGCGTCTGTGAGATCCGCTTGTGCGGGGGTTAAATTCAAAGAACGGGTCGGGTCGGGTGAGTACATGAACTGCGACATGAGATACGCGGTTAGGTGCATGAGCTTCAGAAAGGAATCGTAGGCCACCCCGTCGGTCTTCGCGGCGATCTGCGCGCCGACGCTCGCGGGGAACACCGTGTACCGGTTGTAGATGGGCAGCAGCTTCTGGCGGTACGGCTCGGTGACGATGACCTGGTCCGCGACGGCGCCTCGGCGCACTTGGAAGTCCAGCGGAAGTGTCCCGATTGGGAGATACCCCCACACGTAACTCCCCGCGGACACGCCCGCGAAGGTGGACTCGATGACCTTGGCGTACCCCCAGGCGCTGATGCGTCCGTACGTGGCGCCGTCGTCGTACGGCGCCGGAGTATTGGGCGGCAGGGGGTGCACGGCCCACCAGTTGAAGACATCGCCTATCTTGCAGTAGGTGAAGTTGTTGGATGTCACACTGAGGACCTCGGTCCGTACTCGCAAGGATGAGGCGGTCAGGGGGGGGAGGGAAGTGCTGTTCGGGTAAGGCACTAGGGCTTGTTTGAAGTAGTTCTTCTTGTCGAGGATTTGGATGACTGGTATTTCTGACATCTTGGAAACGGATCTAGTGCTGGTTCTAGTTCTGGTTCTAGTTCTAGACCTGGTTTAGAGCTGACTGAGTTTGGAATGGTGGTTGTCTGTTGGCTTGGTGAAAGGAGTCCGTATTACGACTATTCCGTCGTTTGTTTATATTCAGCTGGTCGGGCGAACGAGTTCGTCCGGTTTGCCGTCATCTTCCCCACAGATTCGCTTTCGGTTTTCATAGCACAAACCGACCCGGTGTCTTGTTAGTTTCCCGCATCGTACCAAGGTTCTAGTAAGAGTCATTCGGCGACGATGGCATAACCAGTCTAATCGCGAATTTCGCAACGGTGGATCTTCATGCTATACTGTTGAGGGCAGCCTAGTACCAATTTATACTTATTCCTGTTCGCTTACTTGTCTGGTAGACTAAAGCTTACTTACATGAAGCCATACGTCTGAAAAGGGTCGATACCCCGTTTCTCACGACGAATCAAGACATGCCGTTCACTGTCCTAAACACCTTTTAGTCAACAGAATAGCATAATGGGCAGGACAACTGGTGTGTCTGTGCCAAGCTATGTATGCGGCAAAGCATCTGACCAACTTATTCAATCTAAAGGAAGCGAATGAGTGAATTGCTTGTTGAGCAAATTGCATGGTAGAGTCTGGTAAAGCATGGTACAGTATGCGTGATGACTGAGGCCATCACATCCAATAGATCTTCCAACTCCGCATCGATCACGATGTCCGGATGAAATTTCTACGGGTTTGGATCCGACGGGATAGCTACTTAGGTACGCGGTATAGAAGAACTAATGCAAGGGCTGAAACAGGTTGGTGGTTTTCTTCAGCCGTTTCTGTAATCTGCCTAGTCTCCGCGAGCCGGATTACGAATCAGAACCAGGGTTTATGCTATGTGGACTGATATCTATTATGTCGGACATGGTTGGTGGCATAATGGCGGCACGGTAGTGACATACAGGTGGCGGTAGCGTGGAAGGGTGGCTGCATGGTTGGTTGAGTAGTAACAAAAGCAATTCTTAGATGGTAATAGATGATAGGTAGAAAATAGAGTATTCGGAGTTTAGATTCCAACCCCCCCTTGCCCCCCTTGCTTAGCTAAATTACCTTAGTAAGTGATCATCTTCTCCGGGACCGAACATCGTCGTCGATCAACTCCGTAGGAATTGAAGCTCTCACCAATCTTGGCGCTTACCTAGCTTCTTATCGGTGAAAGCCCCGAACGCCTCAAAAACGCCCAGGCGTGGGTAGTAAGACAATATATGCGACATTTGGAGAAGGCCGACGTTGAATACTATACTTGGCGTAAATATGCATATTGGAAGTCTTCCCATTGAATCGCTTCATCGGGTATCCGGTTACACGAACCACACCGGAGTCAACGATTTCTATAGCTTTGTCTAACGGCTCGGATGTGCTTATCCGTTCTAGATCTTAGATATAACTTCAGCTTGTCGTCCTACACTGAGTGGTCTGATTTAACATTGACATTAACATTGACATTGGCATTGACATCAACGTCGACATCAGTATCACGTCAATTATGAACTAGGGGCTAAAAACTCAACACCGTCACCCCACGACCCAGCATCTACCTACCTGTATTTAAAACTTTCAATCAATAGGGAGAAAAAACCAAACACCCATAACTCCCTTTTTATCTAGAAACTCCAAGCCTCGCACAATAAAAAACAAATCACCCAAAATGCCCGACTCTAAACCCCCTCCGAAGAAATTCGACCTAATCAACCGCGGCGAGCGAAAGCCCACGCTCCTCGGAACCCTAACCTTCGTCGGGCTCCGGCTCCTCGACATACCACTCCAACACGCCCTCCTCCTCCCCACCGGTCTCGGCGTAACCCTCCTCTCAAAGCTAGGAATAACCCTCGCCTCCAGCACCAGCACCGGTTCCCTCAGCACCGGGCTCTCCTACCTCGACGTGCTAGGCCAGCCCACCAACGCGCTGCTAATGCTCTTCGCAATCGGGTCCAGCGCAAAGCAAATCTACTGGCAACTCTTCGTCTCCAAAGAATCCTTCCCGGCGCCTGCCGCCGCCGCCGTCGCCTTCTACAACAGCCTCTTCAACGCCTTAAACTCCTTGCTCTTCCTCGCGCTAGCAACCTCCTCCGTAAACTCCACCCCACAGCTCACAGTCCCCAGCTCCCTCTCCCTAACCGGGGTCCCCTACGCCCTGCCCCTCAGCACCGTCGTCGGGGTGTGTATCTACACCTTCGGGATAATCCTAGAAGCCGTATCGGAGACGCAACGACGCGACTTCAAGGACGCGCCCGCGAACGCGGGCAAAGTGTGCAAGGTAGGCGTGTGGCGGTGGTCCCGACACGTGAACTACTTCGGCTACTCGCTGTGGCGCGGGGGGTACACGATGGTAGCGACGGGGTGGATCGGGGGGCTAGCCGTCGGGAGCTGGCAGATGTGGGACCTGGGCTACCGGGCGGCGGGCGTGATGGACGACTACTGCACCAACCGCTACAAGGAGCAGTGGGCCCAGTTCAAGCGCGAGGTGCCGTCCAAGATTGTCCCGGGCATTTGGTAGAGGAGGGGAATTACGTACCGGACGAGCTGACAATTGGCTGCCTGTCTTGCTGTTGTTGCTGTTGTGAGACATCGGATGGGACACAGCCGCGACTACGGTGGTTCATATAGATAGATAGGTTGTTCAACACACCCACACCCCCTTCAAGATCCTTCCCTACCCCGGGCAGACGCCTACCACACTAGACTTAGCGCACTATACGCACATAAACATACACATTAGACTAGCATGCAAGAATGAAATTCAGTTTGTGTCAGTACAGTTATCAATTGTGTACGGAGCTTCCGCAAAGCCCTCGATTCTGTGCGTCCGTAGTAGTTCTGATATCTTGCCTGTAGCCAGCAACCTACCTACCTAGGTAGTTAGTTAGTATACAAAGCACAGAAGCAACCTGTAGATAGAGATTAACCACCCGCATGTTCGCGCGAGGCGGTGCGTCAAGTGGTATACACCGTAGCCAACGACTCCTGGCAGGTGAGAAAAGCAAGACAAAGGAACCCTCATGATATACGCAATCCCGCCTAGAAACGCCTGATGTCGTGAATGCAACCGCGATCTTTTAAGTTGTTTTCCGGGCTCTCTTAGCTCTCTTGGCTCTCTTGGGTGTTTCCGCCATAACAGGAACTCCATTCACTTTTCCCCTGCTTCGTTTTCGCTTCTTTATGTCGGTCCGCACATCAGCCAGAGCATCAGTCTCAGATTCCTAAAATGGACGCATGTCTGCATGATGTAGATTCTTCGTCGATCGAGGCAGCATCTTCGTCTGTTCGTAGAGTCGGCCGCAGTTGGCGCAGAGAGACTAAAGGGCCAGTTAGTATTGATATGATGTATTGACAACTGTAGAAGCTAGCTTACCCTAGGACCCCACGGTCCATCTCTGACAGCCCATACACTGGTACCCCAGATACGACAATGGGTGCAACGCCAGCCCTGCCGTTCTTGGTCGCCGAGTGTGCCGCCGCCGCCTCCGCCGTATCCCACGTCCGGTGTAATTCTACCGCCCGGTGTACCAGATCGGCCTAGTGGACTTAGACTTCGGAATCTACGCTTCTTCTTCGATCGTTCTCCGCGTCCCATTCTCTCCTCTTCGACTTCAGTGCCCAAACCAGGCACGCCACCTATCATACCAGCATTGCTACTGAATCGTGCTGTCTCTCGGCGGAGACGGCGGATCTGTCGTTCTCTGTCGACTTCACGCTTCTCAATCTCTTCCTTAGAAAGTACTTCGATCTTTGGCTCCCATTCATCTCCAAGGTGTTCGTGGTCGTATCGCCAGCCGGCATCACCGCCATGAGCGGCGTCGTTAGGAAATTCAGTACCGATTCCACCCCATCCTGCCACTAAACCACCAGCCTCACATGCTTCCTTCTTGAGACGTAATACCGCCTCATAGATCGCATGGGTTAAAGCTGGCACCCACTCCCCAGAAAGGCCTAGATCAGAACACGTGATTTTGGCGAACGCCTCAGCAGTACCGGGCGGGTGCAATAACGACCATTCGAACTTGTCGGTGTAAAGTTGAGAAGAGAGGTTGATGTTTAGGGAAACAATGCATCGGTAAGTGTCGTCGGGGTTCAATTCATCAGAGTCGGCAGGGATTGGTGTGGCACTGGCTGTTATCTCGTTAACCTGGAGACGGCCACCCCTCGGAGTATCAACACCTGTGTCTGGGCCAGTTCGGAAAGGCGTTTCGGGGCCACGCATCGAGATGGGAAGAGGAGTGGCAGGTGTGGCTGGAGTATCGCGGAAACTGGACGGAGGGGCAAGTCCCATGCCATTCATAGGCGCCTTCTCTTCTGAATGGAAGAGAGGATGAAGCGCAACGCCGGCATACTCTTCTAATTGAGTTCTGATCTGCTTGCTGATCTCGGCAGCAATAGCAGCAGCATTGGGAAGATCTAGATCCTGGACGAGATTGAGGGCAAATTGATCCGTCGTCATCATAGTCTCATGTAGATTCCATAAGAAGATATCTCTCAGCTTGTATGGGACCGTCATCTCTCCTGTTCGATACAACGCTGGGTCTATATGTGGAGGAGGTTGAGTAAGGCCTCGTGGGATTGGGAATGGTGCCGAAGGTATGAATGCAGGAATGTCGACATCAATTCGAATGGGAATGAGTGTGACGGGTAGTAAAGCTTGGGCCTGGCCACTAAGATCAGATTTCAGTTTATTTTTCACAAACCAATCTCTCCAAATGCCCTGAACTTCCACCGGTGTGTTGGTCTCTTTCCCGAACTTGTCGCCCGGATCTATTCTGGATGCGCTGTCCTCGCGTCTTAAGCTGCGCAAGCCTGTCGGCCGTCTTCGAGAGTCATCGTCATCGTCATCGTCGTAGTCGTAACCATCCTCGGCATAGTTAATTACGGTGGTGCCACGCTTCGTCGTTCGCGATACAGGTCCGGTCGGTGCAGCAGAATGAATTACGGGAGAGAGAAGAGAATTGTTATAAACGCGCAGGCGCGGCGCATAGGACGAAAGGAACGATTGAGCAGAGCTTTTAGCATCCATCTTGAATCGCATTCAATTCGTCTATGACATTTTAGGATGGCTGCAAATGTGAGGATTCGATGTTGGCAACGCGCCAAATAAGACCAAGGCCAAGACCTATTAAGGTCGAGGGAACAGATGGAGGACTTGAGAAGTAAATGAAGTTGCGGTAGTAAAGTACAGTGAGGTGCGTGATGTTGTTTAAAATAAAAGTGGATTAAATCTGCAAGATTCACTTGCCTCGTTGTGTGAGTATAATAAAAGTGTACAGTTCAAGATTAGGATGGAGTAGATGGAGTTGTAGAAGTATCCATATACCTTGCATGAGCTTGAACTTTGAATGCCCAGGTCTATCGCAACGCGTCTCGTAAAATTTCCAGAGGGAAAGCGCAAGAATCCCCCGGAGCTACCTTAGCAGTTAGTTGCTAGGCTAGAGAGGGAGTAGATCACGTGGAGAGCCGGAGTTTACCCGTTTCTACCTTGTTGTTTTAGCATATCTTGATATGGACCGTGCGCGATTGTTCACCGATACGGTACAACGTACAACGATAATACTGTGTCGGTACCGGTACCTCCTACATAATTCACTGATCATGAATTGATCCAAAAGATATCAGGTTAGACATTACGTACTAATACAGGCTTTTAATAAGCCATGATTTAAGACTATTGGTACAGAGTACACTTACTTCCTCCTCACTTCTCAAAAGCTTGTTTCTAAACTTTGATCTCCTAAGCCCATGTAAATTGAAGGGGCTTCGAAGACATGAGCATCGCCAATTCTGTCAACGCATATATAAAATGACAAAAAAAACCAATGTCCCCTTGCGTGGGATCTCTGATAGCCATTAAGTTCATCATAGAACCATCCATAATGCAGAACTCCGATTCGCCAGGGTATGATCCATATCAGGTTCGATGTGGCAGATATGCTTCCCCCAAATATCCACCATACCTTTTTATCGAGCACTTGCTCGTATACTCCTACCTCGCTCATCCGTTCGCCTGTTTGAATTCGTTAATACCATCCAATCCTCCCACTCTTTGCTTATTTCCATCAATACCGAGCCCATCACTGTGGCACTGGCCATCAACCCATGTCCCTCACCCTCAAGCACACGAACCTCACATCTCCGCATAGTCTTCCCAAGCCACTTGACATTCTCGACAGGGACACGAGTATCCCTACTGCCGTGGTGAATAATGACGGGTCGCGTAATGTCTACGTAACGGAACCCAATCGTGTGCCTGCGCTCTAGGCAGACAAGCAGATCCACAGCAGGATTTGCACCAGTAGTAGCAAGTTCCCAAATCGCGTGGGTAAGTCGCATATCATATGTCATCTGCCTTTCCTTATCTGCGATTGCGTCGGCGGCAGCTTCGAGGATCGAGGATTGGGGATTGAACTCGTTGTCAGCTGGGCGATACTGGTCCATATTCTCGCTAGCTGTGGGTGGTAAACCTTTCCCGCCCGAATTTTCCTGTAGGATATTTTCTTTATCTAAGCTAGGCGTGATATCTCGGCGGTTTCCTATGGTTGAGTCACGTGCTGAAGGGGCAGAGGACTTTCGCTTCCCGCGTCTAGGACTATTCTTCGGTAATGAGCTGGTAATTGAACTACTAGTAGCCGTCATAAATGAGCTATTTGCCGCCTTAAGGAACGGGGTCGGCAAGGCACGGAGGATTCGCTGGGATGTAGGAATTGCGTTGGTAGGGGGCAGAGCCTGTGATGTGCCGAACACATTCATCTGCGACGGAGGGATCCACGGTGCTAGAAGGTGAATACGGCCACGAATGTGTTGTGGCATACGAAGTGCAGTAGCAAGAGCATATATCGCGCCGGCAGAGTGCGCAAGGATCGAAAACTTGGTAATCTTGAGTGCTTGACAGATTGCGTATACATCATCTGCAAGATATTAGTACCCAAATGTAGTTATCGCCAACAAGGAAATTAGACATACCAGGCCAACTAAGAGGTGTCGCCGTCCCGTCAGCGTAAGCTTCGCTATCACCAACACCAGGCCGGTCAGGGGTGATAAGTCGTAACTTAAGCGTCAACGCTAACTCGTCATAGAACGCAGTGATGTATCTAGTCAGACCCATACCAACACAACAGAATACGGCCGAGCCTTCAGCGTCGCCGACCTCAGAAAACGATATCATACGACCTGTCTGCGGGTGTCGAATTTTCTGCGATAGCCTTGGCGAGCAAAGATAGGACTCGACAGCGTCGTCGATAGAATCGGCACTTGCAGGTCGCTCATAACCCACCATAGGTTCGGGGGTGGTGGCCTCATTTCTCCTATCAAGATCAGGGCTCTTAGGCCCAGCTGAGAGACGCTTCAGTCGCGAACTGCTTCGTTTAGGTTTGATCATATCTCCTGGGTCCGGAGTCGTGCGCCCTGACTTTCTGCGGTCGGTACTGTGCGCACTGCGCCTCCTACTCTGTGATACCGCCGGGAACGGAGCACCATCCTCAAACCCATTCGCATCGGTCGAATACGATCCTGAGCGCTTGTGCGCATAATTATCCTGGCCCCTCTTAGTAGAAGATACGCTCGCTCTCGTAGGGTGTGGCATTTCTGGCAGAGAATCGTCTCTCCTCTTCCTAGTTTCAGCTTCCGAGTTGGCGCGACTTGTATGTCGTCGCCTCGCGGTAGAAGGGTCGCGCGAACGAGTATGTTCCGAATCCTCCGGGATAGTATCGGCGAGTCCGTTATCACTTTCTCTCTTTCCTCGCGAAGATCTGTGCGATGACCTCTTTGCGTTGGTTCCCGTCTTGCGTAGGGAAGAGTCGCGAGTAGGAATCGGTCGCTGGATGCTAGAATCGAAATCTAGGGATGATGGGCTAAGATCGTACATTTTTTCTTTAATGGGCGAATCGCTCGGTTCTTCGCGAATTGGGGTCTCAGCAAGAAGTGTGTCAGGCCTGGGTGATACACCGCCCAAGCTGTTAGATTTACCACCGATTGACCCTGTACTTATTCGCCTCTTCTCCGAGTCACTAACACGTAACCTTTCTTTTGAGCTCATATACATTAGACCTTTATTATTGCGAGACTGCTTCTTTCCCCAGCTGTCGTGCGATCGTTGTTTACGCAACTCAGGGGTTGGTGGCATCCCACGTTCAACCGAAAGGTTCCCGATACTTCGGGTATCATCATGCGACGAAAGCGATCCCTTCGACGACGGCCTCGATGAGCTGCGCAGGAGAGATTTCAGTCCGCCTGAGGTTTCGCGACGCGGTGACTTGGGGGCGGTTAAGGGAGAGAAGCCGGACGGTGGTTTCGCGGTCCGAATCGTTGGGGAGCTAGCGGCCAATTCGTCGAGATCGATCTCTTCTTCCTGTAGTCTGCCGAGCTTATGATTGAAGGCGCCGTATTCGACACCGAAACTGCCCTCTCGCTGGTCGTTCGGCGAGTTTGGCAGAGACAAACTTTGGCCTTCGAAATGCTTATTCGCCGGCTTTGAGATGACAGATAAACTTGTGATTAAAGATGATATAACTTCGGGAGAGGCAGCAGGTATACCGGCGCGGTCTTTGTCGTCGTCACGCAGATGGAGGTGCATGGAAGGATCGATTACCTTCCTGCGGGATTGTTGGCGAGTCTGCCGGGGGATAGGGGGTAGTTGATTTCCGGCGGTTGACTTGTTAGACGCCGCGGAGTAATCCATAGCGGGCGGACGCAAGGACGCAAGGAAAGGATTGGATCGAAGGCTGGCTGGAAACTGAACAACTGGGGCTGACAATGTTTTGCCTAATTGCGTCTGGTCTTACCTGCCGATGTCTTGTTTGCTGCAGCCGGGCGGAAGCGGTGTACGGCCAGAACGGCGTGTACAGCTCCAAACCGGTAGAGGATGCAGCAGGAAATTGTGGAGGTTCAAGGGAAGGCCAAGGGGAAGGGAAGGTCAGACTCGCAGACTCGATGGGGGATGACGGGATGGGAATGCAAGAAGTTGGGTCAAGAGGTCAATACCGAGACACACTTGCTGCAGGTCCCGGAATTGGGAACATGAAAAAGGCGCTTAGAGACCAGGGCCTTGTAACAGTAAACTGCCCGACTGCCAATATACTAACGCAACTGGGGCAGGTCGACTGAATGTCTTGAAGATCTGACTCGCACGTACATTACTATCTTCGTAGTGTATGTAAAACAAGGAAGGGGTATCGGATGTACTGGATGTATGTACTGGATAAATCGAAGGATATGTGGAGAGGTTCAACTTGGTTCTCGGTGCTTGATCGAAGATGGTTGTAAACTTCTGGCTACTAGGTGATAAAGAATGAAAAAAAGAATTGTGTCAGTTCGCATTGACGAAAAAAACTTAGTGTCGGATTTGCAATTTCCAAAGAGCAGGACAAGAAGAGGGAAAAAATTAAAAGTCGCTCTGAACAGAGAGTTTTAACTCAGGGGAAATGGAAGTGGGAATCGCGGGCGATCGAATTATTAGGTACATAGTATATTATTATTATTGGACAAGACAGGTAAGGTAGGTCCAATTAGGTACAGGATTGCACGGATTGCACGATAACAGCTTCCTGTGTGAGTGCTGTGTGGTCACTGTGGTGGTGGTTTAGCTTTCTAGATTTTTGATTCGGAAAGTCTGGAGTCTGTGCAGTCGTAGCCCAGTTCTAGTCCCTCCCTCTTGCAGCAATAATAGCGATACATATTGCAGGAATTGCAGGTGTTCTGTGAGGTAACCCCTGTACGATGCAGGTGCCTAGGACCTAGCACTGTCTGCAGTTTCTGCGGGCTGCGGGTGATGCATGTGAGAGGTAGTACTTATCCAAATGTACCTTGTAGAAATAAAACTTAAAACTTAACATATTATTTGAGCAACTGCAAAGGTTTCAGCGTTATTAGACGTTCATTCCTAAGCTCCCTTGGTAGCATTTTGCTTTTGTTTTCTTCCACAAAATGACAGGAAGTTGGACAGATATATCAGAACACGCCCGCAGACGCCTGCCACTCTCACCACTGTTGAACCCGGTTTATTTCCAGATCGACATGTCTTTTTGCTGAACTATTTACTCCACTGGTGGAAATGCTTAAGAGGCTGAGCCTAATTGAGATTAACGTAAGTCTTGGTTTTAAGGTAGTTTCTCCAATCATTAGAGTTTAGCATGCCCCTGACAAGGACCTCGTTTTGGCCGCCAGATTGGTATTTTCGGTGAAGTAAGATGGCCAACAAGTACAAACCGCATCTGAGATATTGAAGCACTGAATACGAAATATATTGAAACATATATATATACATATTATATGCACTTTTGTTTCAAGATATGTATGTCAAGTAGTACCCGATTTAGGTACGTTGCAGCTGTAACGTTCAACGTTTACCCGTACTACCAGACATAGTAAATGAGAGTGTTGAAGGATACCTAAGAAACTGGTTGTACCTATGTACGTATGTAAGTACCACTTCAGTCACCCTTCCCAGAAACATATGGCGTGAGTCGATCGCTACATGGGAATGGTAGGAAAGGATGAAAGAGTAAATATGGCCTTGGGCCACCCACAGAACAGAATGACGGTGAATACAGATTGTCAAATTAGTGGTATCGGTGACAGTGATAGTGACGGTGACAATGACGGTGGCAGTGACGAGGATCAACTGCCATTGAATTTGAATTTAGGGAACGTGGGGTTGTGGAGAAAGAGAAAAGAGGAAGGAATTGACCATTTTAATTGGTGGGGTGTTATCACCAGAGCGTTGAGAATATTGGGTGCACTGCTATCTCAGACAAGATTTAAGTTTAAACGTTCGTCTTTGGTTCTTTTCTTCGCAACTCTCCTCAACCCGCCAATGAACAAAATAAATATATGGATATTCCAAGTTGCTTTCTCGAAGCTCCGAGGTCGAGCTCCGTCTCGCTTTTACCTGCCTGCCTGCCTATGGCTAACCACTTACATCTTACATACCAGGTACACAGACGCGTATGTAACGATTCAACTTACAGGATCTCATAGGCGATGTGTCAGTCCATGTCGCATACTCTGTACGAATCGATTCTTATCCCCGTAACGAGATTTCCGGCCGACTATTTTACCGAACACATTTACAAACAATGACAAGAATGGATCCTCTTGTTGGCTCTTTCAACCTTACCAACGCGATCAACAATGAACCGGAAATTATTCGTACAATAGCCTAGTCCCGACTCTCCCCCCTAGATTATTATCTACATACTCGGTGCAGAAGAGCCGCACGGAGCTTCCAATTTACGTGCATTAATGCGCCGAGGAGGATAACAAGCTGCAGACGCCACGTGAATGATAGATTTGACAAGATGCAAAAGCCCTCGAGGATGATCGATCAAATAGGATACCTATTTTTGACAATGAACTGATGGCTCGTCCTGAGTGTCTAGGAGCTATGGCTTTAACCCGGACCAATATCAGCCACGCTAAGTGCCTTCTCCAACAACAGGGGGTTGCTCTTAAGGCATGCGGTCCATGTTCGAAACACAGCGATTCAAAAGAGCTTTTTTGAAAACTTCAAATTCGCAATCAGGTATTTGGGCGTTCAAACAATTGATAAAATACTGATTAGGGTCTAGAAAGTTGATGAATGAAACAAGACCACGTAGTCAACAGTCACGCCGTTTTCTCGGATTTTATGTATGAACATGGAAGGCCCTAGACCCATGTCAAGAATAGCGTCGTCACATTTTCGCGAGATGATAGCGTCGTAACAATCCGAACTTCTACCCACGATGATTCGTCATTTTCAAGGAATTACACTGAGACCGTTGTGATGAAATCTTATGTGACATCCGCACGTGGCGGCAAAGACTTCCCAGATGAGAGATACAACTTAACTCGGCCGTGCAATAGTTCCATCGCCCGTTCGAATCTCGGTTTGTTACAGGCATTTCGAGACTACCTTAGAAGCAGTGGAGCACATATTCCGCGCCTTAACCCCTAAAACCCCTGGGCATCTCTAGGTACCTAGGTACATGGCATCTTAGCTAAGCACTTCCCTTAGATGCCCCGCAATCAGTGTCGTTCCACAAGCTGCAATCGCAAGCTCGGACTTCAGATTTCCCAGAGACCAATCTTTGGACCAGTGACCCCTGCTTAACTTTGACAGCTAGAGCCTGACAGGGAGACGGGATTTAATCTGCAGCGCAGCCAATTAAGCCGATGACAACACGACATACGTCACTATCTAGCTGTTTGACAAGTGGCGCACACCAGATCAAGTGTTGAAAGTGAGCCCAAGACGTCGAAAAATCTATGATATGAACGGCACAGTATGGATGAATAGTTTCCTTACAACTAATTTGTGATCATATGAACGACCAACTTTTTGAGTGTACTTGAAAGATCAAGTATAATCACCAAAATATCAGACTTTGTATACTATCGTGTTTAGTTCAGTCAAACGATAATATCGACAGCATGGATCTTCTTCTTTCCCTTCCGATCGTCTCGTATTTCGGTGGACCCGTGTTTACCTCGTGGTCGGGTTCAATGAACCTTCTCTTCTTCTACATGACATGGACGACTCTTGTTCTATCGCATTCACCATTGAAGATAGAGTTAGTCGGTACGTTGGCTGTACGCATAGTTTTCTGGCTAGTTCCGTCGCTATTCTTCCTCATATTTGACACACTACTTCCGAGCCTTGCGGAGTCTATCAAGCTCTACGGTTCTGCATCGCTTCCTCGGCGGAATGCCGCCTCCCTGTTCCGGCAAGTCCTCCTCGCCCTCTTCAACCTAGCGCTTAGCACTGCCGTGCAGGCGGGGATCTCCATAGGTGCGGGATCCCTATTACGCCACCCACTCTTTAAGACGAGCACGAGGCTGCCATTGCCATGGCAGATTGTGAAGCATATTTGGCTGCTGTATACCGCCCGCGAAGTCTTAACATACTACATCAGCCGATATATCCTACACTCCCGCGGTGGAATAGCCAAGTTGCACAAGTCATACGCGCACTCCCGCAAGGGTGCGGCTCCGTATGCGCTCATGCTATACACAGATCACCCATTACCGTTACTCCTCCACCGCACCCTGCCCGTATATCTGCCTGCCTTGGTCATACAGCCACATCTACTCACCTATTTCTTATTCACAATCCTAACAACATTGGAGGAGATGCTGTCCATGTCCGGCTACAGCATGGTGCCAGGGATCGTAATGGGTGGGATCGCCAAGCGCACGGCGACTCACTATGCCAGCGGAGGACGTGGAAATTTTGGTGCTTGGGGTCTGCTCGACTGGGTTGGCGGCACAAGCGTAGGGAAGGATGTTGTTGAGGATATTAGTGACGAGGCCGAGAAGCACCAGGTTAAGGAACGGTCGCAAAAGGCAGCGAGCGACACGGGTAGCCTGATACAGGACAGCATTGACGGGCTCAAGAAAGTTCGCAAAACCCGCAAAAGGACTTCAGATTAAGGATGTCATATTTCAGACCTTGAGAACCAAACATAGAGGGGAAATGATTGACCTATGGACGATCTCTAAATATGAAGCAATCTAGGATTGGGCTTCTTGGAGTTTGGCGTCTAGGGCGGTATAACTAGGAGAAGTACATCCACGAAAACACGGGTATGAGATATACGATGATAAATGAATATACGAAAATTTAAGGACCACTAGAACAGTGCAATATTATCTAATTCCAAGCAACCATCAAATTCATGCAATTTGTGTGATATAAATCCAGTCATATCAAACTCTCGCGTTTGTGCAATAAAATTATCTTATCGATAAGCTCACATGGAAAGCTCTAGCATGGCGTCATACTGCTACCTAGAAGCAGCTGCCTTTACTGCCCCTGTCGTTAGCGGGGCAATATATATTCTCAGCAGACACACACCCATCTTCCAAACGAGATCACCTCTGATACCCTAGATTAATACCCAAAGCCCTCAGCGCTTTCAGGAGAAATATATCTAATCTCACCAACGAACAAATACACTCAACCCAACTCAACCAAAATGTCCACAGCAACAAACCCCGACCCAGCTCCCGGCTCACTCGCCTTCGTCCCACTCGAAGCGAACCCCGAGCTGATGACCAGCCTCCTGCACAAGCTCGGCCTAAGCCCCGCCCTGCAAATCCACGACGTCTACTCCATCACCGAGCCCGAGCTGCTCGCCTTCGTCCCGCGTCCCGCGCTAGCCCTGCTCCTCGTCTTCCCCGTGTCAGCACCATACGAATCCGCGCGGCTGGCCGAAGACGCCGGTGTAGAGGAGTACGCCGGAAAGGGGGAAGGCGAGCCCGTGCTCTGGTACAAGCAGACGATCCGCAATGCGTGCGGACTGATGGGCTTGCTGCACGCCGTGTCGAATGGCCCCGCGCGGGGGTTCGTTGGTGTGTATCCCCTTTCTTCCCCATCCCCTCCCCTCCTCTATCCTTCCTTCTGTCCTAGCTAACTAACCCTACGCAGAACCCAACACCCCCCTCCAAAACCTCATAACGGCCTCAATCCCGCTCGCACCCCCGCAACGCTCCGCCCTCCTCGAACGCACGCCCGAGCTCGCAACCGCGCACCAAGAAGCCGCGAGCCAGGGCGCGACGTCCGCGCCCGACGCGCAGGACGACGTGGACCTGCACTACGTGTGTTTCGTGAAGACGGAGGACGGGACGCTGTGGGAGCTCGACGGACGGCGCAAGGGGCCGATCGCGCGGGGAAAGCTGGAGCAGGGCGAGGACGTGTTGTCCGAGAAGGCGCTGCTATGGGGCCCGTTGAAGTTCCTCGAGCGTGACGGGGGCGATATGCGGTTTAGTTGTGTTGCGCTGGCGGGGGCTTTAGAGTGATTGTAACAGTTATGATGAAGCTGGATAGGTAGGATTTTACAACGTGGAGGGGGCGTTTAGCATTATCTACAACCGCGGCGTTAGGATGGGGATTTTTATCTGCTTTAACGGGTGATCCATAGATACTCACGTACATGGAATCACGTCGGAGTCACGAAATTACGCGAAGATGTTTATAAAATGGTTGGTTGACCGTTCTAGTTCTAGCCTCGACAGAAGAAACGCGAACAATACTGACAATCTCGTGATACCACAACGACTTTACTCATCGCCCATCCAAACATTCTAGGGGGCATTTATAAGTTATAAGTATAAAGACATCCATCAAGCTTGCCTAATCCCCATATTCCCCAAGATATCGCAGCCCTTGGTTTTCCAGGTTGACTATTGCTCGCAGACTCCAAGTTCATACGCTTTGTATAATACCTAATTGAGCTCATACGAATTCTGTGCTCTAGGCTAGCATGACATCAATACATTGCTCGTATCTCGTTTGCGGAAAAACTTCTGCGGGGTGAGCCGCAAGGGGCGATTTCGGTATAACGAGATGAGTCGAGGGGAAATGAGTGGTGTGGCGTGAGCGGAACTGATAGGGGCGTCATGATAGGTGAAGCGTAGTGACAAGCACTATGGCCGCAACACGGTGCCTCAAGGCAGAGTGCCGGCACTAGTGAGACTGGAACACAGGCGTACGCGGCGGGTTCGTGGTGGAACCCGTGCGAACAAACAGGAATGTGAAGGCAAGGCGCGGTAGCGATACCTCTCGTTCGACTTGGGCTAGAGTTAAATCTAGCAATGACTTCGGTTAGTATACATGATCAGCTATGAATCCCATGGAGAACAGATGTGATTCTAATATGATGAAATAGGCAACTTACCCTCTCCTCAACCACGATCCGTTGCGCTTTGGAAAAGAAGGGGGTGGGTCTTCTATTGTGAACCCGAGCTGTTCACACCATGGAGAGACACAGCGACTTACCGGACCCCTGAGAGGCGAATAAGCCTGGGGAGACTGTGTGGCGACGATATCAGGGGTAGGCATTGGCTCCAGACTGCGAAGGATATGATTTTGCATGACGGTCAGTGGCCAGTCTCTATTCCCGTCCAAGCCATGGTTGGCAGGACTACCATTCTCCAGCTGCTTTCCAGGTGTAGCCGGTCCCGCTTTCTGGGCGGATGTAGGATTGGGCTTAAGGGGCGGAGCTTTACCGAGTTCCGTGTTTCCTCCTTCGGGAGAGTCGAGGTCGAAATACTGGTGTATGTGTCTGTCGATGTGTGCTACAATATGGTCAACCAGCTCCTGTTCGTCCCAACAAGTGCTCAGGTCAGCTTGTTGTTCATCGACAAATTCATTCGCATCGGTCATATTGAGCAACTTCTTTGCCGCGTCGGTGAGTTCATCAAGAGAAGGTAAGCCCTGCCAATTCTCTAAAGAGTCTCTCAGGAAATCAATTGTTCCCTCTTCCTCGGGATGTTTACATATGTGACACCCAGGTTGTTGATCAGCCTCGGCGGCAGCAATGCCTTCGGCACCAGCAGGGAGCTCAGGGGGAGGGGTTGTGGCCTTATTTTTCTTCTTGTCTTTGCTCTTACGACGCTGTTCCTTCTTCGCCGCCTCCTTCTCCTTCTTGAGCTTTTTCTTTTCTTCCCTTTCCTTGGCCTTTCTCTCCCTCTCAGCTTTTTTTGCCTCAGCCTTCTCTTGCTTCTCCTTTTCTCTATCTTCTTTAGATTTCTTTCCTTTGGTTGGCTGAGCAGGAGTTTGAGGAATTGGGGGTACTGGACGAGGTTCTTCAGCAATACCCTCTTTTACAGAAGACTTTCCCCCTTCGCTCGGTTCCGGCTCACTTGGCTTAGATTCAATCATGCCTCGGAAGATGTTGAATGCCTGTTGGACTCCGTGAGTGACTCTCTCTTGTAGGGATTCGTCATTGGGATCGTCCTCTTTATCTTTTCTCGGGGGTGGTTTGTCTTACGAATCAGAGTCAGCTATGTCAAAATACCTCAGAGAACAGGTTGGGTAACTTACTAGATGGCGGGGCGTCGGCGGTTTTCTCTGTATTGCGTCAATCGAGAATGTTCGGATTACATTAGGAATTATAACAGACCTTTAGGAGGAGTCTTCAGCGGCTCCGACTTGACTGCTAATAACTGGGGATCGGTACGTAAAGGCGTATGAGATTTTGGAGATAACTTAGGATTCTGCTCGTTCTCAGAATGGTGAGCAAGATCGTCCAATTCCGGCTCAGCAGGATCCCCATGCCAACTACAAGTGTCGTCGGGTATACGAAGATGGAGTTCCTCATCGTGAGTGATGTCGTCTAACTGTGGCTCTGGGCTATCACCTCGCCAGCCGCAGTTCTCGACAGGCCTGGTCTTAGTGGTATCAGGCATGCTAGTACCAGTTCCGGTTCCGTCAAAGTTATACGGGAAGATACATGCGTCCTTGGAACCCGCTGCAATGATTTCTTCTCGGAGAAATAAGTTGGGCCCAGAAAACATTGCACCGGGATACGTTACATTTAAGTATTCTTTTGCGTAGGTTCAGCTAGTTTAGGGATAATTATACATAAGGAATAGATATTTTTTGCAGTGGGATGGTAGTAGGTGAGAAGAACATTTTCGATGTCGACGTTTAGGATAATTGCCGTTTTGATTCTTCGGCCTGAGTTGTCTACCTAGGTATGGGAAACATGAGGCAGGTTCATTGGACTGCAAATTCTTTCGTTTTTGATTCCAACGGGAACCTACAACCAGCTAGAAGCACTTGCCCCCTTATCCTTTGCATTAGGTTAGGAAAGAATTAGTTCATAACCCGTGTTGATGTTATCCTAGGGGTAGCCACTCCCTTTGTTATCGCTAATGAAAGTACCTAATTGCAAGTTAAACTTTACTGGAGCAATTCAACTACCGTAACTAAGGAAGGTCAATTTTAGCGATAGACATATCATAGTAAAATATGTATTATTTGGTATCTTTGTAATTAGAAGAGCTTTATAATATTATTTAATGGGGGCTTGCCAGCAGTTTTGCTTTTCGCTGGGATTCAAACAAACCTGGCCGCCGATTCACATTAACTACCCCTAGATGTCGAGATTCTTCTAGACATTTAATATTATCTAAAAAGAGAATAGAGAAGTTACTAGGTAGGTACTTAGCAAATGAAATATAAAGGATCTTAGTCGAAAATATGTCTTGGTCGTAATTGGCGATAGGTACTTTGGAGATTTCTCGCAGTAAGCTTGATAATAGCACACCTTCATCTCGCTGTTCCTCCAACCCCTTTTACTCATGCATTCCGTTAAGCTGTAACGCAACTACATCCAAAACCACATCGGGGTCGATTGGCATACGAACCCAAATGGACAAATGAGCAATCATATCATTCCGTATACCTCTCATGGTTACTTAAGGCTGCTGAAGGATTCGGCTAAGCTGAACCATCACTCTAGATCTTCATGGACGACACCCATAAAATATTCTTACAGTCCGCTTACGCAAGCCACGTTGGGGGGCATTGGAGCAATGGTGTAACGTGAACATTACATGTTCGCCGAGAAGTGTGTTAAGAAGGGAGTTTGGAATGAAGAGGCCAGCTAGCATAGCCGCCAGATATTTGCGCTTTCCTCACACGAAGAATTATACCATATTTTTAAGCCACATACAACATGGCGACCGCTTAGACATTATGTGATAGCAACATTGAGCGCATCGGCGTTAGGTCAAGCTCAACTTGTCTGAAAGCTGCGTGCTACATGAGAATGTAGGACATGGACGACACGAAGCGCGCATAGGGCCCTAAATTTAAGACATGTTTAGGTGTCTAAGCGGTTACATTTTGTAAGCCAACAACGTGTTCAACGCCGCCGTTCACGCGGAGAACGTTAGACCTTTAGATGAATGAAGGCGCAATGGCTAGGCAATTTCGTAGCCCCGTTAGACTTGTCCAATCAAGGTCGTGGGAATAGCACCGACTAGGTACTGAGATAATGTCTCTGTTCGCTATAATTAGATGAATTTTCTTTTGGGGGCCCTCTATATGAGCTCAGGAGCGAGGCGACGAGACACAAACACCTACCACATGGCTACTGAGACATTGTAGGCCAATATGTTCTGACAGCCACTCGGAACAGCCCCTAAATCAACCGACCCAAAGGGATGGCACGACGTGAATCAATCCCGGGGTCATCGTTGCTCGCATATGTCTTGCTAAATTGACCATATTTATCGACAAGCCGTGCTGTCGCTTAGGTTTACTGTGTAGCGCTCTAGTATCTGTCATAGTATATTTAGTCGACAGACTAAGCACCTAGCCAGTCTTCAGCAGTCTTCAGTAGTCTTCACTAACGTAAACTAGTAAATACCTAGAAATAAGTTATTGTTCTATGCCGACAGCTATAGCGTACCCCGGACTCACCGAGTTGATGAATACTATGATGGGAGATACCGTGATGGACTGACGTGCCTTGGCACGAAACTAGAGATATATACCTCACCTAAGATCATGTAGGTCTAGTTTGATGTTGCCATTTATGCCGAACTTTTCGCTGGAGATCGAACGTCTACGACGGCGCCATTAACTAGGGAATAAACAAGCTATACCGTTTCTCGTAAAAAATCGACGTTAGAAGAGGCGGCTCTAGTTTTAGTAGTCTTTGGTAATTTTGTGCCAACGTAATCGGTGGACGATCTGATAAAAGTCAGTCGGCATATTTTAAAAAAACTACGAAGCTATCATCCACTTTTGATCGTTCGCCGTGGATATTATAGAAGTTGACGGGTTCAAGGTCCCGACGAATTAAAGACTCCGAAGCGTTCGGGTAGCTAGCCGAATGTAGGCAAGCCCAGGGTCCCCGTTGCCTGTCCATGCGTACATCAGCGTAGTGGACTTTTCAGGGATGATGACGCTAAACTACTGTATGTATTGATCCCCCTTATTCCGGGTCTGCATCTTCATGCTTTGATGCTTTGATGTTATATCAGGTAGCCATTTCGCCGTCGTCCTAAACACTTTGACATTATTGCTTGAGCACTGTAGTGTTCATATTTATATGCGCGATAAACTCGGCGATTGATAAAAAAGAAGGGTGGGATATTAGGATTCGAGGGAATCAATAAGTTTAACCTTAGAAATGTAACGAATATTTAATTGGCTAAAGCTAGTTGTTCCTTGGAAGTTGATGATCGGCTATCGTCATCCATATCTACTACCGTAGGAACAGAACACGCTTTTGCAAGGATTCCCCCCTTGTTGCGGAGTAATAATGAAAAGCATTTAAATCCTAAAATGCGACATGCTGATTGGAAACCTGTATCATGTGTCTGTCTTAGCATCAAATCCATCTGTAGGTATGGTGTGTATACTATTGTTCTTGAGCCTTGATTTTGAAGTCGAACTTTCTATAGCGTACAGAATATAGAAGGAAAGCGATGAATTATGTAGATGGGTCGGTGATCTATTATTACCTTTAGATCCCTGACCGAAGAAAAAAAAAACCGTGTCAGCTCCAGGGCTGCGGCCGCAACAAGCAAAAATTCTCCACAGATACTGCGGCTAGACACCTAGGTCTACTTACCGTGGGTGGAACTATCGAACCAAGTCCTGCAGCACATGGAGATATTTCCTAAACTAGGTCTTTGGCGGCGCCTTTTATTTGGAAAATAGCGTATGAGAGCGTAAGAGGATCAGATTATAATAAATAGACATATAATAAACTTATTAAGTACAACGAGATACCAAGTACGTTTAATAATTCCTGACTAGAGTATAGGTGTATACACATCTAGGTAGGTGTATGACTTGGAAATGTATGGGTGGGTTCTGCATTTTGTTGTTCGCAAACGCCAAACGAAACAATGATACACTGTAGATCCTTGGAACATACCCCCCTGGGTGTGAGGTCGGTTAGCTGCACCGGTTCATGGCGTGCAGGGGTCGCGGCGTGTGTAGTTCCAAGGTTTCGCAATCGAACGCGTCTTGATAGCCAATAGGGTCTAGAAAGGGTGATCGAGGGGGAGGGGTGGGGTTCTTCTAGGGTTGGACAAGGGGGGAGGTTAAAGTGGGTTTATTGCGGTCTATGTACGCTGTAGCGGAAAAAGAAGCAATACAAACGCAAGGTACGACTTGCAAATTATTTAGCTGCAGAATGATAGTATTAGTTACCACCTTAATCAATGAAGTTTACTACGGCAACTACGGTAGTTACGCCCGCACATGATACACGGAAATCACCTAAATCTACCTATGTACGAACCTATAGACCCATGATCTTACCCATGCCTTCCATTTCTTCTTCTTCATTCAGCCTTAAACTTCTCAAAGTTCCAAGTTCCTTAAAGTTACCAAGGCACCCTTGCAGTTGGTTCACGTCCCCCCTAAGCTTCATCTTCCTCCCCTTTCCAACTTTTTCTTTCTCCAGACACGTTCATTCTCTGGTATCTATTCTCCCACTCTCTTTCTTCTCCTCCTCCTATCTATTCTTACTCTCGTTTCCCTTCACGTGTTATAATTCTTTCTATTCCATTTTAGCTCCTACTTAGCATGTGGTGAAAGCCGCACTTATTCTCTCACCTTGACCCGATGGAACCCCGCGTACTCGTAAAACAATCGCAAAACAGAGCAAGCAAGGGATAAATATTTACAAGTTTATTCGATAGCTTTTCTGCATTTACACATGGAGGAGAACTAAATACTCAAAATGGGTTGGCTAAATTTCTTATCAAGAAAGTCTCCCGTTAGCAATTTAGATGATGGTCTCAAAGCCCAAGCTTATGATGAGACTGTGGCTGCGAATCCTCCAATCCGCGGTATGAGCCGAATTTCCTTCCCAGGAATCTGGTAAATCTCCGAGCTGACCTATCTCAAGGCACCTATCCGGTAGCTGGCAATGGCGCCAGTATTTTGGAGAAATTCCAGAAATCTCATCCGCATTTGAGAGATACGAATTTCAATGCATCTCCTCTACCGCATCCTGCACTCCCTCCGTTTCTCGAACGCCCTAACACGGCGCCGGCTCATCGATCACCGGAGGGATCCGCACGGCCAAAATCCCAATCAGCGAGCTCAGTAAAACCACTACCGCCTCCCCCCAAAAAGCGACACGGCCCGTATAAGCTCCCTTCAAAGTTACCAGACGAACGAAACGACGAAATCACGAACAAATCAATCTATAGTGTGCCATCCCCGACTTTCACCCGCAACCGGAACTCTTCAATCCTTAGTACGGATTCAAGTTCAACCAGGAGATTCGTTGATCTCTTGGATGCTCACTCATTCATTAAGCCATCTGACTTTTATGGTCGCGTCAAGGCCACTGGTGCAAAAGATTATGGTGAAGATGTTGCAGATCGTAATATTCGCGAGAGTAGATCTAGTATTAATCCTACGCAGGCCGACGAAATCTTTGCGAAGAATTTCGCTTTCGGCGCTCATGACGATAGCAAAGATGTCAACCGGCCTCCATCGTCAAGGAAAAGGCATTCCGTCGGATCTGGGCTACGAACTAAATCAATTAGCTCCAACTTCCATAGCACACTACCTGTGATTGCGTCCCCAGAGCTTCCCCAAGAAAGCGAGGACACGAGCGTAGCAGAACCGGTTCGAAAAACGCCTCGTCGAAAATCTTTACATTCATATATCCCTCCGTCATCCGCAGAGCGCTGTGCAGAAAGACCGAGAAGTGCCTCGCTTACAAAACGAGGAGAAAGAATAGAATTAAACTACTTCCCTGATTCTCTTCGAGAGAGAGCTCGGGCTGTGGCTCAGGAAGGGTTTGAACACGACATATCTATGAACTTAAGCCAGGTGGTCAATTCAATACGCCCCTTGAGAGATGCCTACGAGGCTCCACCTTATAAGCAGGATTCAGACGATGATGTCTATCATGATTGCCACGATTATAGACAGGACCCGCTAACCCAGATGGATCAATACCGATCTGTCAAGAGCTCTTCTGGGCATAGATCCACGTCAAATGTGTCGTCGTTGACTGCATTCAAACATCCATCTAAGAGCGGAAGCCTACAAACATCTCAGTCATCCAACAGGAGGGGATCGATTATTCAGAGCAGCCTGCCGGGGGTAGAGGAGGATTTGCATGTGCAAAAGAACCGCAAGTCATCAAGGCATGAATATGGGGCTAAATTTGATATCCACGACTCATTCTATGAATTCTCATCGTCAAACATTGTGGAACCATCAGGTTAGTGATGTGATTCGGTATCACATTTTCCATGCATTATGTACTAACATGTTGTTTAGCTTCGAAATTAACCTACAGCCGTCCTAATAGCAGAGATGAACAGAATTATCGTGATCGGAATCGAAGTGTTGTTTCTGTGTCCGCGAAGAGCATGAAACACTCCGGAACGGGGGATGTAGTTCCAGAACGAGGTAGTAGCATCCGCCGTTGGTCGTTAACCTCTGAAACGGGAGGTTCTACACAGAGCTCGAATCCATTCAGGCCGCAATCTGGACACACCACTAATACATCTGTCGATCTTACGCCTCGTGTACCATTACCCAAGACCATCGAATCACATCAAACGTCCCCTCTATCCGAAAGCAACCATGTAATATCTGAAAATCAATCAGAAATTGATACGCAGGAGCCGTTATACCACGAAGTTGACCCTGAGTTATTAGCAGGCTCTAGCCGACGACAACGCTCTATGGATTTTGTTATCGATGAAGATGCCTCGTCAATTGATTCTTTTGATAACCCTCAACATTCTGCTGGCGAATTCGAAAAGGACCTTCTCTTTCAAGGCTATGGCTTTGGAGGATTTCAACTACCAGGACTTCCAGGATTGTTTGATGCAGGTGTATCGAAGCCTAGAAAAAAATTATCTCAACGAACACATTCGTTCTCTGCGGGTAGAGACTCTCATCACTTAACTGCTCCGGACCCAGACTTTGATATTCTTCCGCTAGGTTCCCGGTACTCAACCCGATCTTTAAAATATACATCTCGCCCTAGGTCATCTCGACTACCAATGCCGGATTTCAGTGATAGTGATTCGGAATTTGACGATGGCTCTGAGGTCCAATACGAATCCGAAGAAGATATCAATTTCGATATCCCTCGAACACGTTCGATTGAGTCTAGACGCCAGTCATATAGCAGCAGACGTCGATACGAAATGACCACGGAATCGCTAAGAGGGAGTGATACCGTGTTCCCCGACATCTCAAGGGTTGCGCATCTTCGCAGGGAGACAAAAACAAATCAGCGTGTGAGTACTGGCTCGCTACGCAAGGCGAAAGGCAAGGGGAAGGCAACCGATATTGGTATCCCCAGAATTGGATTAGACGACCCATCGAATTATGCAGATGTTGAGTGACGAGACGACGAGAGTTCACAATCATATTGAGGCGCGTTGGATAAATGCGCAATGCACAAGCACTACCACATAATACCCCCTTTTCTCCTTTCCATCCAAACAGAATTCCTTGTTTCAACACATACACACGTACACACGATTGTAATGAATACTTTTACGGTTTAATGTTCGGCGCATTGAGCTGAGACGGCTTGGGGCCCGGCGAGGCTCGAGCCCGGTTTTATACCCTGACGTCGCGGATTGGATCCGACAAGACGACGAGGCACGAGAAGGGGCCCATACTTTCCAGGCGATCATAGACGGCGGCGGTGGTAATTTTTGAATTTTTTGAAGATCGCATAAGTTCGACGACGACGACGCATAATCACATGTTGTATCTAATTTTTACGTCTTGCTACGTTCCTCATTACTCCCCCCTTTTCTGGTACCCGTTGGGGGATTTTGCATGCATGCGCACGGGAGAGAGAGAACCTGTACGAATGATTGAAGACTTTAATAATGAGATGGATAATAAGAGAGAATTACTTCATCAGTGTACTCGTGAGATTGGCAGTGATAGAAATTGTTTGTGAAGTAGTTGCATCTTACTAGATTGGAAAGGAGAAATTATGTGAAATAGCAATTGGTTGGTACAGGTAGGTCACGTCGAGTCAATAGAATGAATTATCGCGTTTTGTACTCCTTAAGGCTTAAGGTAGCGGACTAAATAATTATCTAGGTACACCTACCTACGAGCGATGATCTCACCGGAGTTTTCTTTTAGTATTCCGTCAGACCGCAGTAGCATGAGCCAATGGATCCGCGCTCTGCGCATCCTCAGGCGAGCACCCGCATCCGAATGTCTGTTTGTACTCCCCAACATCCATGACCTGCAGCTTATTCATAATCTTCTTCGCAGCCGCAATCTTGGCGTACCTACCGCTGGCGGCGGTAGCGTGCTCGCGGACTTGGCCGTGGATCATGATGCCGCAGAGGACCTGCGCGTGGCCGAGGGGTGCGCCCTCGACGGCGATTTCCTGGATCATGAGGCGCCAGTCGGCACAGTGGAAATGTAGCTGCAACATATTCGCTAAAAACGTGACTGGGTGCCGGTTAGCAAATGTGTCGTAAATGTGCATGTCCTCGAAGTAGGGGCGCATGTGCGTGTCGAAGAAACGCTGGACTTGGTCATAGTCATATGCGCTATCAACGAACAGCGCGCCGATGTACGCCTCGACGATGTCGGGGAGCGCTTTGGGCGGTCGCTGGACCTCTACCCAGAAGTTCCGAGCGTATGACGCGCGGCCGAGGTTAGCCGATTCAGCTTCCTCCTCTGCTTTTTTGCGTGCCTCTGTTATTGCAGCCACGTATTCAGCAATTTCTTTCTGCAAGCCACCAGTCATTGAGAGCATGTGCGTCTGCAAGCCAAGGGAAACGCAGAGACAGCCTAGAAATTGATTCGAAACCATAGCCATTTTGTGCTCGGTTAGCCACTGGGGATCGGCGCCTGTATACCGATGGAATAAAAAGTCGACACAGACCATATCGAGCAGTGAGTCTCCAAGAAACTCTAATCGTTGGTAATTAGGGATTCGCTCATAAATGGTACCATAGGACGGATGCATAAATGCGCTGCGCAGTAGACGAGGGTAGGTGAATTTGTAACCAAGCTTCTCGTCAATTTGCCTAGCAACTTCTCGTTGAACTGCCGTAGCTTCAGCGCTCTGCCACTCGGGGATTTGATATGCCTTGTAATAATCTTCGTAAACCATCATCTTATGGTTTGGATGGTTGACGAATTTAGTCACGGCTTGGATAGCCAAGTCAAAACTGCCCTGTCCATAAGTCGTAAGGTAGCATGCTCCGATGAGTGCCTCGCAAACGTCAGCAATTGACTTGTCTGCAAGCGTGTGAACTCCTCTGCCACTACCCTTTCTCCCCAAGATACTATTGTTCTGCTTGCCTCTAAGTAGTTCTAGTCCGTCCGGATACCATATTCGTCGATTGAACCCTTTTGACCGAACCGACTCCTCGAGTTTTAAGTCGAGCGCGTTATTGAAGAGGTTCTTGTTGCAAATAAGCAGCATGCGGTCAACGTGGTATTGGAATTCGTTGCTATCAGGAATTTGGGAAAACAAGGCAATTGTGGTACTCATCTTCAAGAATGAATCCCCGAGAAATTCAAGACGTTCGTAATTCTTTCCCATACCTCGCTGAATATTTACCTGCTCTTCAGAGTGTTCTTCGGTGTTGTCGCTATCCTTAGTCATTGCCTCGAGAGCAAGGTCGGGGCGAATGTTGAGAGATAGAGATTGGCATGCTTCTAGCACTATAAGGCTCGTTTCAACTCGGTAGATTATTGCAGGTAAATTGTAAGCCATGGCAATGATATCAATCGGTAACTAGTTTATAATTAAGACTTCAAGATCCAAACTATTAATTCCGAGAGAGGCTTACCGGGGACATCTTCAAGGTTTCGAAGATGAGGAAACACTTTCGTTCTACATCTTCAGGTTTGTCAAGTTCGTCAAGGAGATTTCGTCGAAGCGGAATATACTCAGCCTCTACTACAGGCAAGTCGGGATGAAGTACCAGCTTAGATCGCGTCCTAGACCATAAGCTGATACTAAAATTCCAAATATCTCCAGGCTCCCCCCGCATACCCTTTCCGCCGCCTTGTTTCCTGGGCACTCGCAAGGCCGCTGGATCAGTTGGCTTGAGATCGGGGCGGCGGCGAATCGTGTAAAACTTGCGTGAACCATCATGTGGATCGATGACAAACCGGTTCTCAAAAAAGTCGTCAGGCTTGTTCTTTAAGTCGAGATATCTTGCTGTAGTTTGGAGCATGGTGAGACATCCCCAATCGACCATAGCGCGGGTATCATCGGTACTATTAGTAAAATCGTAGTTGTGAGGGTGCACAAGTGGCGCAAGAAAATACGGCATCTTTTCCGGTGCCGACCGGTATTCCTTACTGAATATTTCATCGAATATTTTGAGCGTAAAATGATTCATCTGCTCAATATCTTCGGGTGTTACCTCTAATGCCCCAATTAGGGGCACGCATTCTATGTCCGAGGTACGCTGATGATCGAAGAATAGTGGAAATTTGGCTATTTGCGGGAGTGGGCATCTCGTGAGGATAGCGAGAGGTCTTGAAGACCTTCCTAAGGCTTCTGGAGAAGTCATCCTTAACACTGTTATAAATAGCCTCTCTGGTATGCCTCGATTATGCCACATTTCGGGCTTCGTGCGCATAGGATACTCAGCCCGTTTCTTTGAACTGATAGCCAGATGAGCGTTGCGCATGCTCGGGAGCTTCTTAGTAAAAGTTGATTGTAGATAATCGTCGAGGTACTTCTTTTTCTTTAGTTGCAGGCACATTTCAAATGCTGCCGCGCACTTGGCAACTTGTTTGGACGTTGCACGACGTCCGACTGCACTTTTAATCGGAGAAGTATCTGGTAGAAGAACTTCGCATTCGAATTCACGACCAACGTTCCTTATGATATAATCCGGGGTGTATATGGTGTCCAATGGGCGTGGTAAGGTTGAGACGAAATTGGCCAGAATTGTGAGACTAATTTTGTAGGTCAACTTCGCGCGAGTTGAAGGCACAATGTAGGTGCGGAGGCTTTTCTCTTGGGAGAGGAAAAAGTCTATCTTATAATCATTACCGGTAAGAATTCGATCTTCGGACAACGTATTATAAAACCTGCGAAGTCTAACCTCGCTATCCTCATTGTCAAAAATAGTTTGTACCTGACCTTGATTAGTGAATTCCACCATATGAAAGAACTTCGAGTCCTTGCGCCGTGCTCGACCTCTTGATTGGATATATTGGATCATCGTCTTGCAAAGATCAAATCGGATGATGATATTGCAGTCGGGGATATCGATGCCTTCTTCACCAACACTCGTGGAAAATAGGCAATTGATATCACCATTTCGAAATCGGTGCATCGTCACGAATTGGTCTTTCAGTGTCATCCCCGCCTCGCCCGAGTCATTACTTGCACCTAGCTATACATTAATTAATAACAGTATTCGTAAACCATACGAGAGAAACTTACCAGCATCCCAGCTTTGATATCGGGCATGTTTATACTCGGCTGCTTGAAAAGGTCTGTCAGTAACATTGCAGTGAGGCGCTGTTCGATGAATACGATACACTTATCCTCTTTCGGATCTAAATGTACCTGGAGTGCCTCAATGAGCGCTTCGACTTTATGGGATAGATGGAAAGAGTTGCGGTCGGGTTTAGGCATCAAATAGTCTGCCACTATCTGATAGGCCTCCTTGACAGCTGATCTTTCTGCGTCGAGGGCGGTTATCGGAAGCTGCACTTTTCCAGACGTAAAGTTCTTCTCGGTCTTTGCCTCCAGTTTCTGAGCTTCCTGCTCAGTGAAACAGACTTTCCAAACACGATCTGCGCACCAGCGACCCAATTCTGCAGTGCAGCTTCTTGAATAGGAGAACAGTCTTCTAAAGACATCGTTATGCCCAACCAATTTGTGTAGTTTCTGCCAAAGTAGAGTTTCGAAGGGCTCCGGTGGTTTAGCATATTTGATAAAATCTTCAGTTGGTCGGTTGATAGATGACTTCGTATAGACCGAGAGGTCAGCCACTGTAGCTATCTCACTGTGCAGGAGACCCTCCAACTTCGCGGCAGCGGATGTAACATCCGTTTTAGCATCAACAGGTGATGCAGTCATTCCCAGAATCCGAGGCCGTCTTTTTTCTCCTATTTCCAACGAAGCATAGAAATCCTTGATTATTCTTGCATATGGATGGTTCTTTTTTGTATGGTGGGCCTCGTCAAATATTAGAAGGTTGATGTTCTCCATTTTGACAAACGAATGGTGAAGACACGAGAGTAGAATCTCCGCAGTGCAGACGATCACCATGCTATCTGCAGTCCTTTGCTCCCAGAAATCGCGGGTGAGGGTAAAGCCACCAAGATTTCCGTGGAATCGCTGGACGGGATGATCAAGATTAGCTTTGAGAACTTCGTACTGCTGATGAACCAATGCAACTTTATCGACCTGTTGATATGTTAGTATTATATAGTGTGTTAAGTCATTAGGGGAACAGATACCAAAAAGAAAGAAACCCGTGGCGGTTTTCCAACACTTCTGTCCTCTAGCTCCTGGTCGAGTGTGTGACGAATGAGAAGGGCGGCGATGAGCGTCTTCCCGGTTCCTAAATTGTTGATTAATAAGAGCTCTGATATTTCATTTATATAGAAAGGTGGGCGCACCGGTATCGAGGACAGCAATGATATTTTTCTGCTTGGCTCTCTCGAACAATTCAGTTTGGTATTCCCTTGGACTCGAGATGATCTTCTCGCTTTCTGCCTCTCGCACGAGCAGATACATGGACTTCTCATCAAGTTTGATATTCGAGTCGAGAGTTGAATTAAATAATTTCTCTTGGTGATCTCTCATGAACTGAGAAAACTGCATATTGTCAAATACTTTTCGTGTCCCCCTCTGAGGCTGCTCGGCCTCCTTATGAGAAGGGACATCTTCTTCAGAGCCGGAATCGTCATCAACGTAGGAAGGGGAACTAGCATCTGATGCGGGAGAGCGCGACGGGCTAGGACTAAGCCTGACGCCCCCATGAGAATTCGGCGATAGCATCTTGCGATGAATTCGAGATTAGCTTTTGGTTCATGAATTCCAAACTCATACCTAGGTAGAAAAGTAGGTAGTTTCCTAGGAAAGTTATTATTGCAACTTCACGTAAGTTTGATTATGTCAAGGTTTGTTTTTAGGGCAGGGCAGGTGATGTTTACCATTTTATAAGATGGAAGGTGCGATCGCAAGACATTGGGCACTGAAACCCACGAAGTAGACACCTACCTACTTACACAATAGTACCTACCTTTAAAGTTGAGAACATTAAATGACTCATCTAATAGTGTTATTTGTACTCGCCCTCGTCCTCGCCCTGAGGTATTTTTGGCACACGTTGAAAGCGACTTTGTGGGTTGAGGGAGTCATAGTGTACCTACCTTTTTTGTTCACGCTTGTATGTATCAGTATAGTAGTATATAAGCAATGGTATCCATGGTTTGTTTGTGCCTTCTAACAATTAACTGTTTGATTCGGATAACCATTGTGCACATGGTTTTGAAGTAGAGTATTGTTGAATAGAGGCCATATTGAGTAGGTAGAGTATTGGCGAATAACAAATCCTCTATCACGATGTCCTCTCGGGTCGACAATCCATAGCAACATGGCTACCCATTATCTTTGTGTTAAATTGGAACCGTGTTGTATACCTAGTAGAAATATATACGTCTGTTATTGCTTCTGTGGCCTGTTCAAATTGAGGTAGATGATCACCTGCATTTTGTGTTCTCGTGGTTTGCTCAAGTTTCTACCTACAGCTTGGACTTCGTGCTAATAAATACAATCTATGACTTATGTAATGCACCCGGTAAGCAAATATTGGCCAAAATATGTATATAACGCGATGAATAGGTAATCTAAATTTAGTGGCTGGGCCACTTTTCTGAATTATTAGATCTGGAGAATCCCTGTTACACACATAGATTGGTGCCGCTGACGTTTTAATCTCGTCACTCATCTCATCTATGAAAATATTTCAACTTTCAACGTACCGACTTCACGCTGAAGGAAAGTTAGCTTGTTCTTATTTTCATACCGATTAAGACGCTTCCTTGTCTCGTTCACTTCCAAGGGCACCCCTCTCATATTACCGTACCTTACTACCGCAAATGATTCTATAGTCATGAGTCAGGAACCGAGGACACTAAAATCCGCTTTCCAGGCCGCTGAGAAAAAAAGGATAGCACTGGAGGGTACTTATGAGACGAGCTTACCTGTCTACCAGGAAGAACTAGCCGAAGCTTTAAATCTGTACCACGAATGCATTCAGATCATCAATAAGATTTCCTTATTCAGTTCTAACGAAGAACTTGAGGATGTCGCTACATCTGATCTCCCTTATTTGCTAGTTAATTATCGCATCGCCGAATTACTTCAAAAAGCCTCAACACCAACCCCCTTAGGAAGAAAGACGGCGCTGAGGACGACTCGGGAGGCGTATGAACAATTTCTCCATCTTCTTGACAACTATTCGATATTATCATCATCAGAAAGCAAGCTCTTTACTGAATACAATGAAGACCCCACAGCCTTCTCTACAATATCAACTGCCGACCCCGCGGTTAGACGGAATGCTAAGATAGCCAACTTCAAGATGGAAAAGGAGTTGAAGAACAAGCTAGCGTACATGCAAAACTCACCACGATACTTGGAGGATGGGGGAGATGAAGAAGCTGTCCGTGAACTGTATCTCACAAACATCGCTTTCTGCACACATATGGCATTCCAAGGCCTGGAGGGTATCAATCGGGAGATGGAAATATTAGCGCAAGCGCCGATTCCATTGATGCAGACAGAATCGACGGTCGAAGACGATGAGCGCCGTCGTAGGGCGTCGCTCAACAACGAAACAAACTCGGAGAGATTAGATCGACCCCTGAACAGTTTCCTGTCTTCAAACAAAGGCCCAATTCTCAGCAAAGAAGGGAAGCCGTTGCGACCGTTTACCCTCACCTCTAATCGACAAGAACTTCAGAGAGGTGTATTTCGCCCTGGACATAATCTTCCTACCATGAGTATCGACGAGTACCTAGACGAAGAGCGAAGAAGAGGAAACATCATCGAGGGTGGTGGAGAGGCTAGCGGGAGACAGCCAGAGCCAGACGAAGATAATATCGAGAAGGCGGATGCTGAAACGATGAAGGCACGAGAGTGGGATGAGTTCAAGGAAGAGAACCCTCGAGGAAGTGGAAATACGCTGAACAGAGGTTAAGAAAATTTTGACAGTACAATGACTGTAATATCCTGTGGCTTCAATATAACTACATAAAGTAGTAGTCATACAATGAAAGGCGACGACTACTCCACCACTTCTTTATGCGAATATCCTTGTGCTTCTAACCGTAAATAAACTCTATCACAAAATATCGTTCTAAGCAAACTATCATTGTACTAAACTATGGCCCGTGCGCAATGATTAAACGCGCTATGCATGAATACGATATGCAGCCTCGTACACGACTTGTAGTGCAAAGCTTACCTAGTAGCTTCAAGGTCGAGCTTCTTTCAATGATTTCGTAACTTTTACATCTTATTCTTCAGCTTCCGTCATTTCGATAACCACTTCTAACGGTAGCACGTTTGAATTGGCCACCCGTGACAATGGCTACCGCGGATAATCCTCTTCTCCTGCTACGCCAAGCAATCACCCAGAAAAAGACGATTTTCCCAACCGCGTCCGACGACGAATCCGCTGAAGAAGTTCCCTTGTCGCAAGCAACGCATCTCACCTTCCTACTACCCTCTCGTGTCTCCGTCCCCCTCGATTCCCAGACTAGATTCTCCTCCCATGAGACATTCGTCAACCTGCGCAGCATTTACTTTGCCTGGCTGAACCGAGAAAACGCGATCCCGGAGTACAATGCATCCGTCGCGCAGCTCAACGAGGAGCTTGGTGACAAGGGCCAAGTTCGCAATCTCCTCTTCGTCGAACGATTGGATCTGATCACATGGTTAGAAGGAGCTAGCGATCACACCGAATACATCAAGTTTCTAGCCAGTGACAAAGATGCTTCAACCTCGGTCGCTGCTCTGGCGTCTAAGGGAGCAACCGCCCCTGCAGCTTCTACAGGATTAGGAAGATCTGGAAAGGGTTCGATCGACCCGCGACTTGCGATTACGCTTAGTGGGGAGCGAAAGATGGGCAATCGGAACAGCGTGCTTCGAGGCATCAAGCCTACGGTAAGGTCTATAGCCTCGCATTTTGACGAATTCAGGAACTAACCCACCGCTCTTCAGGACTTCTCTCACGTACGCAAACTTGCCGCACCGTTGATGTCTAAGAAATCACAATCCGCTTCAGCATCAAGCATCCCGAGCAATCCTACGCTGGCGACGCACAAGAAACCGCGCCGACCCGACCCGATCATCCTTCTCTCCCCTTCCGCCTCCTCCCTCCTTCGCATGACGAACATCAAGTCCTTCCTCGAGAACGGCCAGTACGTCCCTCCGAACTCGTTGTCTGCTAGTTCTAGCACGGGTGCGAGCATGTTACACATCAACCGTCTGATCAAGGATATCGACCCGAACCGACCTATGAGATTTATTCTCGTCGAAGGTCCTGAGCAATTCAAGCCGGAGTACTGGAACCGCGTAGTCGCCGTCTTCACCACTGGCCAGAGCTGGCAGTTCAAGAATTACAAGTGGAGCAACCCCACCGAACTTTTCCGTCACGTTCTCGGCGTCTACGTCGGCTGGCGAGCTGACAAACCCCCCGAGGCCGTCCGCAACTGGGGACATCGCGTTATGAGCGTCGGCATAGATCCTTGGAAGGAGCCGGTGCAGGGTTCCATCGACTCGACTCGATGGAGAGACAGGGAGATTGTGGAACACATCTGGAAGACGATCGAGGGCAATATGAGAAACAAGGGTTGGCGACGAGATCAAGCTCCCACGTCGATATGAGAACGATCAACTGCGATCTTATCCTACACTCTCACCAAGACCCGGATCTAAGCCCCGAAAGACCAACATCGAGAACGCTTCAAGGTAGTCCGGGCTTTGGATGGTCTTGTCCGGCCATGAATCTACTTGTTCTCCGCGACCTTCTTATGGCGCGCAAGCACTAAGGTTGTAATTTGCTATTTCTGTACTACTAAGGACAAAAAGGACCTATCTGATCGAGCAACGGTCCATCATGAAGGCGTTGGGATTTTTATAAGCTGCGCAATGAAGCCTACAGATGATGGCTTTTCTACCTGGGTACAAGAAGATGTCGTGTTGGTAGCATAGCACCGGCGAACGGTTAATGAAATGATATCATAAGCATAATGTTTTGCTGTCTAAATCTACCTAGTGTTAAATGTGGTGTAGATGAGCTTGGCCGAAGGATATCGTCTCAATTGACAACTCTAGACAGACCCAAAATCGGATTAGTATTCAAATCTCGAGTATACTCAAATTCGATAATCAGATAGACTAAATTTCGGCGTTACTTCGCCGGCGAATATAGTGAGCTCAGCTGTGAAGATTCGCGCGATAGGCGCCGTAGATCACAACTACGCCAAATTTCGAGAACGTACTAGCCCACGTGCCTAAGGAATGACGGCGTACTAGTTCGGCTGATTCTTCACCTCTCTCATCCCACAATACGGCCGAACGCAGAGATCCACTTGATCGAGACGACAGACCCCTAGCTACAGGGAAGAAGCCAAGACTGGTTCACCGTATTAGGAAGAGAGACAAAGAAGGGCGATACACTAAACAACGGAGGAATGTAATGGGTGACTTTCTTGTCTTTTCGAATTAAACCCATAACCCACTTTTTGAAGGATAGTCCCAACGAACCAGAGTAGTAGATAGAAGTATTGATGTAAATACTAGACACGAGAAAAGCGACGACAGCGACAAGAACCGCGTGTACCCCAACACCCATCCCCCCAACCAACCGAATCCCGGTACCCCCCAGACGGTGCGCCAGAAATACAGGACAGGAGAAAAAGAAGAAAATAGTTAGTTAGTTACAAAGGAAATAGTGGTGTAGCGTAGTAGTAGTAGTAGTAGCAACAGCAGCAGGACTCTAAATAGACATTATCATCTGCGTCCCCTTTCCCCTTTTCTGCGGTATCCAAATTGACAACACGACCTCCCCACGTTCACACTCCCTCAACTCAACTCAGAAAGCGCAAATAGCTTCTTACAAAGCAAGCGCACCCAGAACCACCGCGACAAGCGCGAACCCAACGCCCCTAACCCCGCGCTCCGCAGCACTGACCTCGACGGCATTCGGGGACGACGTAGCGGTGTGCACAGCGCTGACACTAGCAGAAGTCGGGACACCAGCGTACGTAGTGGAGACAGCGGGGGCAGCGCCAGCGGGGACCGTGTTCTGGGCTGGGGTACCGGGGGCGACGGTGCCGGGGACGACGACGGTGGCGGAGGAACCGGGGACGACGGGGACGGGGACGGAGGCGCCGTAGGTGACGGTTGTGCCGGCGGGCATGCCTGGGACGACGACGGTGGGGGTCACGCCTGGGGGACAGAGGGAGGAGGTCATGGTTGGGACGGACTATAGTCAAGGGGTCAGTATCGCATTGAGAGGTAGGTAGAGAGATTAGGCTCTCTTTGAGCGTGGGTAGAGCTTACAGTGGTCATGGTGCAGGGGCAGTTAGTGATGGTGATGGTTTGGCCCTTGGTGGCGGTGTAGTGGACGCCGCTGTAGGTGAGGGTGGTGGCCTCGGGGCAGACGGTGGTGAGCACGGGGACGACGACCGTGGTGGGCACGGTGGTGTTGTAGTACTGCCAGACGGAGGTGGTGGGCGTCGTGGTGTTAACCGGGTACGAGACGTGCGAGACTGGGTACGAGGCCGAGTGCGAGCTCGGGTACGAGGCCTTCGAGTGCGAAGTCGAGTAGGTGGTCGCCTCAGAGGTCGCGTAGGAGGTCGCGTAGGAGCTTGCGTAGGTGGACATCTCGTACGCCGAAGTGGAGGTTGCGTAGACAGATACGCTAGGAGCGCTGGTGCTGTATCCTTCGCTGTTGGCCATGACACCGGTGACGGCAACGAGGCCAGAGAGGGCGGCAGTCTTGTGGTACATTTTGGTGGATGGTGGTTGCGGCTGATTTGATTAAATAAGTGTAAAGATAAAAGTCTGTAAGGTGATGATTATCTTGTGAGCGAGTGACAGACGCAGAAGTTAACGAACGACGAGTGTATGAGAGTGAATATTAAGGTAGTGAATATAAGATAAAAAAGTCGAGCTATAGGAGGGGAGATCAGCCGTCTTAAAAGGACATAGGGGATGGATGAGAACAAAGGGCATGGGCTTAACTCGGGAGAATCTGTAATTAGACAGGCAATGCCCGAAGGCCGCCAATAGGCCTGTCGAGAAAGAGAGACAAACAAAACAAAAACAGAAGTTAGTACATCCCTCGTGTCTTGGAATGCTCCGAGAGTCGCTACAGCCGCTACAGTCGACTTCGGTCTTGATTCCATTCCACCCCTTTTGGAGGTCAATAAGGCGGTTGCAGCTGAGGATAATTCAGACATAGCGCAGATCACGTTCCAGTCAGTCTCGTTACCAAAAAGGGGTCTCCCTGGTTCTATTTTGATTTCCATTTTCGAGAACCGCAGCGTATGGCAGGTCAGCTAAGTCGTATGTACAGGTTGCCGACAATTTGGCCGAACGCGTCCTTCTACTGTTCAGATGATATCCACAAAACGTTGGTTGCGTATGCCATGGGCCATGCAAAGCTACCACACAGTCCGACACCATCCTCTCCTCTATCCCTCCAAAAACACCATGATAATTATAAGGTTGTAGACCCCCGACGCAATGCCTCCAAAACGTTGCCAATTCCAATTCACCGATAGCAATGATTGCTCATTGATGCACCTCGAGCTCTCCGTCGTCGTATGGGTTGTCGATGGGAATGCTTTTGAGACAGAATAACCCGTGTCTTGAGCCAAAACCCTCAATATACACTCTGGCTGCTCTCCTCCGCCTTTTGCACTTCACTGTAAAAATTTCAGATGAGCCACTCGATATGTGCGGTTAAGAACGCCGATGGGTGTCTATGCTGGTTTATTCCTTCAACGCCGCCCAGGTAAACAAAGAAAGTCTTAGTCGAGAACCAAAATGTCAGAGATTGCTATTAGGTCTTTGCAATCAAACGCCGCTCCAAAGGTGACGTTGCATTAGCAAGAAAAGTAGAATAAATCGTCGAGGATCGATGTCGAATAGATAGGTCGGTCATCCAAGCTAAAGTGGGCTGGCCTACAATAGAATGTCTGGTCCACGTACGGCGACTCGAAAATGCGCCGAATCATCGTTTCTTTCACTTCCGGTTCGATTGGCTCTGGCTTCTTTCCGGTCCGCGTCCACTAAGAACGATCGCATCAAAATCATAATTCTTCAACGTGTGCTCATACTTCGTGTTCCGCAAAAACTTGGGTACAGAGTCCTATAGAAAGGTCAGCAATTGACGAGATGAGAAATTCTTGAAGCATGACTTACGCTAGCCATCAACTTGAAAACGGCATTTTGGGCATCTTCAAAAAGAGTCGTCACCTCATGTAAAGTGTCGATCATCGTCACATCTTGTCCCACTGCTTTCGTCATACGAGTGGCAAGGTTGTTGCGCAGTTGATGATCGATATTCAGCTCGCAAGGTGAACCCGGCGCCAGGAATGCGTTGTAAATGCCATATGCTTGCGCCATAATTTCCTTGATTCCGTCCATCGATGTCGCACCAGGATTCTTCTGGGCCTGCTTAATTGCTGAACGGCAACCTGACACAAAATCTTCTACATCCAAATAGAACGACAGATTCTCTTCGCAGTGGGTTTCCCGCAGGTTCTCTCGGAATAATAGTCGCAAAGCAGCATCGTTCAAGATCTTATCAAGACGTTGTGTGTTGGAGTCCCTAGCGATTCCTGTCCGCGATGATGCCATTCCTTCGCTCTCGGACGTGCGCCCTCTTCCTGAGCCGCCGGTAAGGATATCCCGTCCCTTTGCCGTCAACTGGTAGATGGCATTTTTAGTAGGTTGGAACGGATTGTTGCCGGACGAAGTTGCCATATGTACTCGGTCATGCTGGACAGGCTCCATAAGCTCGTATTGAACAAAGAGCGTACCCATCTCAAAAGTTTCGCGGCGATCGACAGTGGTGCAACAATCCATTAGCCAGTCGGAACACGCCTTACCGGTGAACGTATCTTTATACGTTCTCCCTCCTATTTTGCGTTCGCCGGCCATTTTCACACCCGTAAGACCGTCTCGGTAGTCGCTCAACGAGTCCGAGTCGGCGGCGCTGACACTTGATTTTACATTGAGACCATTAGCACCAATCATTCTCCTGAAGATGACTTCCATCGTTCCCCGATCCATTACCAGCTTGTCAGTTTGGCTGTCTCTTTCCAAGATACACAGATAACTCATTCCGAGGGCGATAAGGTCGCTAATCTGTCTTTGTTGAATACCATTTCTCGAACAGAAACGATCCAACACACAAACTCCCTTCGGTGTCAATTGCCATACAGATCCCTTCATCGTGTAGACTTGCTGCATTTTGCCATCGGCCGATTCAATAAACCTAGCGTCCAAAAAGCGTTGACATATCGACCTAGCCATATCCTTCGCCATAGAGAAAGTAGTCGTAGTCGTTGTCGTCACGATGCGCGACGGATCCTTTGGATCAGGCATTCGATTAGATTGAGAGAATTTCAACGAGCCCAAATTATTGATCGCATCTTCTGACAGAAATGTGTGTTCGATTCGCGTTAATCGTACTCGGTGAGCAGACAACGGAAGCAAACTGACGATTAAGGTCGAGAAAAGGTCTTTGAAGTCCTTTTCGGTGCACATTAGTACTATGTTAGAGAGAGACGAATAGATTGCCCACGAGCCTGGGAATAAATACAGCACAAACGTGGATGTTGATTCTGATGGCTACCAATACCATACTTTCCACCAAAAAAAATTAACTTACTTTGGTAAATGGACGGTCGTCATCCGTCATACGGAGCAACCTAGAAGATGTTTGATGCATTTTGTTTTCCAAGCTGGCAGGTACTAAAATGGGAGGGGGTCGGCTTGCGTCTGTCTCAGAATATGGTTTCGAAATAGGATCTCTTAGCGACGATTGACTCGGCCGCTTCGCGTCAGAGAGAGGGCCTAGAAGAGACGGCGTTGATGGGCCGGAAGAATTGCTAGAAAAACTTCGAATTCGAGAGGATTTGTCTGAGTTCGAACTGTCAGTGCTCGTAGGAGAATCTAGCACGACAGATAATCGACTGAGGGCGGAGGCAGATGGACGGCTGCGAATTGTAGGTTCTGATATGTTGGCAATGGTCTTGTCAATCGCGGCAGCGGCAAAAGCGAACAGCCCTCCAGACTTCGGGTTCCTAGAGAGAGAAGCAGATCCGGTCGAGGCACTGGCTTGGTGTTGACGAAAATTGTGGGAGTGCACCACAACCGGGCTATCAGCGACAGACTCAGTTGGGTCGCCCGAATAGGGTACTTTTCTTATAGAAGCGGAGGGCGGCTTTTGGATTCTTGCGTGCACGGCTGCGTTAGAGGTTGAGTTCGTGCGGGATGGTCGATGGCGAGGCTCGTGGTCGTGTCTAGGTAGTGATGTGTTTTGGGAGGGTTGAGAGATTGCAGCCATCAAACATCAAACTACCATTAAGATAGAGGAAATACAACGAGTCTTTTTGGGTAAGGCGCGAGTAGGCCAGATAATAACATTAGGATAGGATCAATAATAACAAGATCGATTCTAAGTAGAAGAAACTAAAATAAGTCTGAGACTGAGAGGAGAGGAGAGAGAAAGTGAGTGGAGTTCCTGTGAAGGCATAGAATGGGAACAATTGGGAAGCGGGACGGGGGTAGTCGAAGGTAGAGGAGGATATCGCTTTCCCTCTAGTTAGTTCAACCAGCTTAAGAAGTGGTACTTCAAATACCTTCAAGCAATGAAGCAAGGTACTTGTGCTCCAGTCATTCGCCTGGCGGAATACGTGCACACATCAGGTACCCAGTTCAGATGGAGCAGGAAGGGAGACAACCGGAGAGGGTGCTGGGAACTTGGGAGGCGGCGCTGATCAGCAGCTAATACCAGGTATAGAGTACCAAAATAGATGGTGAGAAATTGTACCTGCTCAATCTAGTCATCGACGTTAAACTTTCTGGAGGGTCTGGCGCTCTTACTCTGATTTGTAGCATGTGGGTCGTTTATATGGAGGTCAATGTATCTTCTGTAACGTACTCAGGTATTTCGCGAGCGCCTTCCAAGGTTAGTACGAACTAGGTAGTACATGGTATGTATTGTACAGGCATATACGGCACGTATTAGGCGGGAGCCACATGCGCGCCCCGCTATGTACGGCTTACTTACAGAGCGGTACACGCGACGAAGTACCCCCAAGGATTAAATCGTTTCCATGCTCCCATGTTTTTCCATTCCACGAAAGGTTAGGCGCACGATAAATTAAACCCCTGACACCAGAAACAATAGAAGAACTTTTTTTCCCTTCCTTTTCTTCTGATTAGTAGGATGTGCATAGTAGGGCTGGTCTGTGTGTCATCTAGGCCTAATAATTGCGAGTCCCCTACAACGTGGTTTTAGTCATTCTAACCTATTTCCCGATCAGGATAACCTGTTAAATGTGCTGAATAGGTATGTTAATATGTTAAATGTGTAAAATTGTGCAAGATGTGCGAAATGTACCGGGTGACTCAAAAATCTGTTCAACTTTTCCATGGTCTACCTACCTGCTAGGTACATATGAAACCCCAGCAAAAGCCCGCTTTCGGATCTGGGTTTAATATGAAGCAAGTGAAGAATTTTGGGATGGAATCAATTGGTCATTTGCTAAGTGGATATGGCATCTTAGTGCATCGACTATGTGGGCTGCCACCTGCCGTTGGAGGTTGGAACCCCGTAATTCGTAGCTTGCCATGTGCGTGGAGGATATAAGCACGTTCGTTTGAGAAAGCCTAGCATAGATCTGATTGGGGATTATGACGGTACCTATAAGTAGGTACCATTACAGTTGCATCCGCATCCACACAACCACTGCATTATTTAAGTACGCATAATACCTAGTACATTACCACCACGGTTGTTAGTTACACTGCCGGGGCGGCCACGAGGCACTGAACAAGCCCCGGTCCGAACAATTAATTCCGCCCTCTCCGCCTCTCTTTCCACGTTTTAAGGAGATGCGAACTCTCCGCACCTAACCATTCACATACAACCTTTAACGTAAATTACGTGATCCTTTCTACTACCACCCCACCCTAATTAAGTCATACCCAACACCGTTTTTGATGGGAAGACACAATTCTGTACATTACGTCTTGAATTCATAACCAATCCACATAAACCTTATTTCCTATAACTTGTATAAACATTCAACTTTCATCACGTGGTTTACTATACTCTTATTTATCGTCAACACAGAATCCAACCTCTTGATGTTATATTCTAGCTTCGATCCTTAGTACCGTTTGAGTCGCGGTCCCTGAAAAGAGGATCGCCGGGTAGCAAGAGCAACCAAGAGCAACCATCCACAGCAGCGTTTAAAACACGAATAGCACCTGATCTCAGTTACACCAACGCAGAGAAGATACAGGTAAAACATGCACATGGAAACAAAACTGCATGGTCGAAGCAATTTTGTTAGGCGCCTTCTCCTGGAAACATACTATCGACGGGAATGAATTACTAGTCGACTTCATGTGGTAGCACGGAGATCAGTATCATCGACTTGCGCATTTGGGCTGGGCTTATCCCTTCTTTCTTAACAGCTTATGTTTTATGGCTGGTCATACGAAAGACTCTAAGCCTAGAAGCATTTCATCGCAAACAACAGCCAAAGTCGGCATTATTGGTGCTAAATCCGCGTATCGAGAAGATAACTATCCAATGTGTATGGATAGTGTAACATCACGAAGACCTCTTTTTAATTGGCAAGACACCGCGAATGGCGTACATAAAGAGAGAGCGATGGTTAAAGATTGCTAGGCTGCCAGATTCCTATTTCTCTCATTTCAATCCCTAAAAGGTCCCCTAAGTCTCTCAGAAACATTGCCCACCGGCCTCCTGATGACACCCCTAGTCGAGTAACCCCTGTGGCTATGAAGATTCATCAATGGCCAGGGCCTTTTCCGCCTCCACTTAGGTGTAACCCTGCTCCGCTCTCAATCATGCCTAGCATGATTGAGCTCCAGGTGGCCCGATTTGTCCAACACATTTGGCAGACCGACAGATCTGCACGTGCTGTCAGGGATCACTTCCACCAACCAGCTATCCTCTATCTGGTATGGTTGACCTTCTGCAGAAGTCCACCCTCCTTTTTTTTCTCCTCGGCTTGTGTCAGTCATGATTGATGATCCAACCTCTTTTGGGCTTTCAATGACTTGATCTGACAGTTTGGCATACAGCTACGAACACTGTGTGCTTAGCGTGCAGAACGTAATAAGCGTACATAAAATAACATATGCACAGATATATTACCTGCTTCCGTATTGTATCGTATTGTATTCCAATACCGTCATCAGCGTAATCGCCGCTACTAGGTAGTCAGCCATCGATACAGATAAAGCTGACAAGCTCGGTACATCAGAGCAAATCCGAGTTTTGCGACCAGCTCCGAGCTGTAAAGCTAGACCTAATTATCCGATTTCGGCGCATAAGATTGACCTATTATTATGTCAATTTGCCACCGGCGGCAGGAATATAGCAGCGTCTTGCAATCATAGCTCCGGGCAAAATCGAAAGATTAACTCACCTAGTCACAACATAAGGTTGAGTATAACACCAAGCCATGTAGGTAATATCGATGACACCTACATACGGCGCTAGATATCTGTAATAATTCACATAGCCCATTACCGACGTGCGATAGCATGTTGAGTCGCCGATTTAGAGCCAATGGGCTCCAGTTCCACGTGCGGACGCCATGTGGTTCATTAGCCTTGGTGCCAGAATGGAAGAACGCCACTTGCTGCTTGTCCTTGCTATTGCATGGCCTCGGCAGTGAGTCGCATGGCTGGCGGGCTGGCAGGCTGGATGTAAGGCCGCACGCTGTCGATTTTGGACATAAACACTTACAGTCACAGTAACGTCAGCCAGTTGGAGACTCTTCTAAGACACGACTATGCAACCCAATTTATCGACGATACCAGACCATTGCATACTTTCATACTAGGTTTGCGCAGGCGCTTTGGCATTCACTGCAGTCCTGATATTTATCTGAGCATCCGGTGTGATACTCTTAGCAAGTATGCATCCCAGCTCAGGGCTAACAGGCACAGCGTTCATATGTAATTAATTCCCAGTCTTAAACGGTTCCTCATATCTTCTGTGGGTCTTACGAAACCTACCAAGAGAACCATATTTTTTCATCCATGAAACTGACTATAAACATATATACTATGTACAATAGATATATACTCAAATAGTAGTTTTTGTATACCATCTTGAGACGATGCGAATGCGAAGTACGAATGGAAGACCGATGGAAGAAGCGATAGAACCAACCCACAACTCTAGATCACCGCTTTCTTACTAACCACTTAAATTTTCAAACGGGTCATACTATAGGATAAGCAAGGCTTTACGATTGGTCTTAACCACGTTCTAGTCAGCCTCATCTACATAGTATGTACTCGTTTAAAATGCAATGACGACAGACATATGGACCTTGGTGTGGGATGTTGTTTATCATCCATAGCAGGGACTGCACGGAGTAGCCGTTCTACGCAATTTACCAGAGTTAGGGATAGCTAATCCTCCTAGTAGATAGGAGCTCCGAACTGGAACTTCTCCACTCCTTCTAGCGTTTCTAGAACAAGGAGGCAGGGTCAAAGAACAGCTTCGATTCCTGAAAATAGCTATGGGCATACCGTATTTGAATGCAAGGATCGCTCGATAGATCATATTACGATCCTAGTGCCAATGCTTTGATATTTCGGTCCTGGACCTTTGTAGCTTTGGTCAAACCCCAGCAAGCTCCAAAACTAGAACACTCGGAGATGGCGACTTTAGGCTTTTGGGATATCAGTCTACAGCGTACCAGTACCAAAGTGTAATAGGGACCCGAGAAAGTCCAATTCCGAACCAAGCGACGACATTATCGATTCTTAGGAAGTATGTACCCGTGGACGTATGCAGCATGTTCAATGTTGGCATTGACATGCTTACATAGTACCTAGTTTTTCCACCATTGTTTACATCATACTTCATACGCATGGCAAAATACGCATAGTACACATCCCCCACAAGGATCTACTCACCCACGTTTCTTGGCCTGCTGCCCGGGTCGAATGCTGACGATCCTAACTTCTCACGATCTGTAATATCAAAACAAGGCAGGGGGCTCACGTGTATGCGAAGCCTCGCCCTTCTTAGTCCTTCCAGTCCTTTTCTCGAAGGATACCGTTTTATGAAAATGATCCCCGCGAAGGGATGTTTCACGATCGGGATTTAAGCAAGTCTTTCGCCTCATCCGACCTGACCATGCTATTGGCCGGATGAATGAACATCCAGCACGATATCGTACTATGTATTAACTGCCCAGTACCTTTGATAAGCGCTAAAAGCCGGCAAGTGTTTGAAGTTACATACGGGTTAGGTGGTACAATAATGCAATACGTAGTATAGTTCATCTAAGTAAACAACATGTATTATCCTCATGCCCGGTTTACAGGAGTTTTGATGATGTTAGGGCTAGGCATACCAGAAACGGGTAACACCAACTCTCTCTCCGGTCTAATACCATGCGCATATACTAATTAGCATCATCTATTTTATAAAATCACCCCTTATGGAGTTCACAGACCGTACTTTAGCCGCGATATAATGCTTACTACGCGCTGATCTTT